CTAATACAAGTAGTTGAACCACGAAGATGTTGACCGCGATGCTGAAGCGGTAGCTTTTGATGTACTGCTTGACGGTCCGAGTTGTTAGCATTTTTTTTTTGCTCTACAACTTGAAGACCACGCCCTGATGCTGCTCTAGTACTTGTTGTTCCAGCATCTACTAGTCCTAGAACAAGACCGCCTGTTTTTGTTCCACTACTTCTCTGCGCATTATCCTTATCCATAAAATAACGACTCTGCTTCTTCAACTCGCTAGAGCTGTGAATCCTTTGATCTTTATCCATGTAGTTGTTTTCGAATCCACTTGCTCTCGTTAAAAACGACTCGAGCACCCCCGTCGAGCCCAGTCGTCGTCGATTACTACTACCATCAGAAAAATTGTTTCCCACACTCGTAGTTTTGATCGCCCTGCTAGATAGAGAAGTCTTGCTCATCAGCACAGGTTTTGATTTGTTGCTCATCGAGGCTGTCGCTGTAAAGGTTGAAGAAGAAACTGTTGCTGGAGGTGCAACTGCAAGAACATTATCTATTGTTTTCCCACCACGGCCATCACCAGCATTCACTTCTCCTCGAGGATCATGATGCTGATGTCTACTCGCAACTACAGATGTTGGTGACCACGCTGGAAGGACGAAGCTTCTTGACGACACACCGCTACTAGTACTAGGTCCTCCCAGACAGCCATAGCGTGAAGACGAAAATAGTGAACAAGCTGTAGCACCAGAGAAACTACTAGTCGACGACGACGACGACATGGTGGAGGTCGCCGTCGTGGTGGAGGAGGAAGCGACTTGGTTACTACTACTAGCACTAGACTGGTTTACATGAGCAGGCTGCTCAGTCTTCTGCTGTTCCATATGGCGACCGCTCCTAGTCCTGCCCGAGACACGCCCGCCAACGTAATTTTCTCTATCAGCTTGCGCACTGCACTCAAGATTAGCCTTGCTTCTGTTGATGTCGTCACGAAAACGCAACTCATTTGAACAGGACCTGCTGCGACCGCGATCACTGCTTGGAGTAAATAAAACAGAAGCGAGTTTTGCTTTCGGCGGATGTCGTCTGCTATTGTTCGCAAAAAGATTCGTGTCGCGATCATGGTGAGCAGGCGTGCTGTTGCCTGCACCAGACGACGTAAGCTTCTGGAAGGATCTACTCATTTTCGATTTATTCGCATGCAGCTGCACGCGATGCACAGCAAGACGATAAATAGTGCGGCTGTAGAAATTAACTATCAACGTAAATAGTTCATAAAAGCGACCGCACTGATCATTTTGGAACGTGTATCAAGACTTTCTCACGCATTGACGCAGTAGCGTTATCTTTGCCTTCTAATGATTTTTATCCTCGCTATTGTTATATTATTGAACGAGGCCGCGCCACTTTTAGAAACTACAAGGCGAAAGTAGTAAGTTTCCTAGTGAGATAATAATACGACTAAGATCGGTCCCACCTCGACTTTTCTTGCACGACAATTTTGAAAGTGACTTCTCAAGCTACACTTCCTTTCCGAAGGAACAAGACTACAGCAGGGAAACAGCGAAACAACTAAAAATGAAGACAATGAAGCAGGTGGCAACTATTTTGCTGTTCAGGTGGGCATAGTATTACTCTCACCCTCATCCTTTTCCATTCTTCTTGCTCTCACGCCGATAGGCAAAGGCTTCTTCTCAGAATCACTCTACCTGCTCGTCTCACAATTCGATGACCACATCGAGAACTTCTCTCATGAAGACCACCAGCAGAAAACCGACTCCGAGGACCACGCCAAGACGAAGCGAAGGATTATGCACATGCTCACGCTGAAAGACAGATTGTAAATAATGCTCCTGCTCCTTTGCACCAACTCGCTACAACCAGTCAAGGAACATGCTGACACGCCTCCACATGTTGATGGCTAAAAACAATCCACAACTTTCAAAGCCTTACATCTGAAGAGTAAGCGTAAGCTGGAAACTTTTCATAACGTTTTTTTGTGGTAACCTTTCAAAGCAGTTCGTTTTTACTGGACTGGAATTATTTCATTAGAGCGTCAGTGTTATAATGCACGCACATCATATCCTTCATTTTTACTTCGCCACGGCGGCCCTGCCACTGTCGTCATTCCTGCGTCTTCACGGTCGCCATTCCCACGCGCACCTCTAGCCCAACACCAATGCTCTCTCTTTTTTTACTTCGTGGCAACTAGTCGAGAGTTGCAAACTGCTAGCACTATAGTCGCGCGAACACATCCACCTCCAGAACAGTCTTAATTTTTATAGACGTTCACCCCAGCACGACCCTCCCAGTGCCTTTTTTTCTCTCTCTATAGCTCTGTAATCACTCACCCGCTACCAATATGCCAGAAGTCGCGTCTTCTCGACATGAATAGACGCACCGGCTCGCCGACTATCTCAGCCGGATCTTAACGACCTGGAACGCCACTGGATTTCACCAATATGCTGACCTACTTACTCCACTTTTCTGCAGCAAAACGGCAGGCCCGAAACTGAGCTTGCGGGCGAAAGAACCAATAACGTCAAGACACACTTTTCTTTACTAAAAGTAGCTACCTCTAAACGAACTTAAAAAATCATAAAACTCAATACTACGAATCGAGGTAAAAAAATATAAATTCTAGTAGGTCAAAATAGAGGCAAAATTAAAAATCTGGCAAAATCCTGGACAACATCCAGCAACATCTCAGCCCTGGATTTAGTGGAGTCTGTTTGTTTGTAAGAATTGTAAGGAAATAGAAGCTGTACATCTTGCTGGTCGGACTGCGACTTTTTCGCTTTCGCCGATGGAAGAGAAGCCACGAATGCACTCCATCTTGCATCTGCTACTGCTGCTCTCTCTTGTTCATCTTCAAATCGCTTATCGTATACGAGTTGTTCCCCTTCTGAAATGTACAGTAATATCTCCTCCTGCAAAAGTTCTTTCAACCGATGCCGCTTCAAGTTCGAGAGCCTGGAAGATGTGTACGTAAATTCATTCAAGAAAAGTGTCGTAGTCGTTCTGGTGGATTTTGCGGTGTTTGCCTTTTCTTCATGATTGCTGATCGTGTATGTGTGAAACCAATCATCAATAAATTTTCTTTACTTAGCTCATGCTCAATCTCAATGGATGTAATTTCTTACCGGAGCTCCACCACCTCCACTCGTTTATGGATCCCTTTTTCTGGGCTACGGCCACCGGTTTCCGCACCCGAAGAGGGTAGCGGGGGAGGGCTGTGACTCCTACCATCGGGGCTTTCAGCGGCTGCTTTTTCCAGCGCTGCTTCAGCTGGTGTTGTCTTCAGAGAGCGCACATACTTTCCCTCGACAGCGAATTCGTCGTCCACACGTGAGACGAGTTTCTTCACTCGACTCGCGATGTGCTTGTCAATTATCACTTTCTCCTCTGCATTGAAAGGCGCAGCTTTCAGTTTGGCGGTGTTTCGCTTTCGCTCACCTTCGCGCCTCCGTTGCACATCCACGTGGAGCGTGCCACCCGCACCGCCAGATGTCACTGCACCCAGGTCTCTTAGCTGCCGTAAGGCACCAAGCGGATCCATATGGAATATGCGTCGAACCTGTAGTTTTTTGCCATTGTGACTGTTTATGTGACAACGGAACCTCCTCTGTTTTTCTAAATACGTGTCTGATCAAAATTGAGTTTCAGCCTTACTCATCAAAATTGAGTTGTACCCACTTTTCGACGTCGTAACTCGTGCTGGGGCCGACGATCTGTTCGCTATAGAGTTTCTCCAGCACGGGACCCCGCAAAGAATCACGAAATTTTAGCATGAGCTCGCGTTTACGATGCATCTCTCTTTCTTCTGCTTCCTTCTGTCTCATGGCCTTCGTAGGGGATTGCGACTGCGTCTCTCGCAAACCATTTTCCTCCGTTGCTGCTTGTTCTGGTGGTGTACCCAAAGGCACAGATGGCCCCTTCTCGCCACTCGCTGACATTAGGTTTCGTCGGATAGTGCTGTTCCGTCTCGTTGTGAGTTTCCGTTGTGAGATGTTCTTGCAGCAAAAGAAGTTTTATCGCTTCTTGTTTTTAATTTTATCACAACAACATGTACATCATCTTTGTCAACAAGCGATATAACAATAACATGTTGTGGTATCAATCTAGTATGACAACTTCTAGTAGTTCGCTGTCGCTGTGTGGTTCTTCATTAACAACCAGGAGATTGCGTCTGGAGCTCTAGTTGTTCTACCTCTGCCTTCTTCACGTGCAGCGATCCAAACCCAACGATAGATCTATATTAATACATAACATTCATCTTATTCTACTGCTAGTACCAAACAAAATGACAAGATTCAAGAGATATGTGCACGTCCAACTCTACTCGGGTTCGGGAGATGCAGATTCTGCAAGTGATAAGTGTATTGATGGGTGTTCCTTGTGATTATGATCTTGTAAAACTACTGAAAGAAACTCTTGGAGCTGTGTACTACATTGCGAGAGCTAGTCTTCTTGATGTTGATGTTAAAATCATGTAGGATGAACCAAAAAGTAGTATAGGGAGTTCGTTCATGTGTCCTCTATTTTCATCATGTCCGTGTTCGCAGTACTTTGGAAAGTCGGGTGATAAGGGTCAAAGGGTTTGTAAGTGTGACAGATAATGTCGAAACATGACAAGATGACCGAACTTTTCTTGGACAACCGACCTTGATGACGCACGGAGGTGAGGATCCGATGGTTTGTAGAAGTGTAGATACAGCATCAAGCTGTTCACCTGCGGGATCATTCATCAGGGAACCTCAGAAATGCAATCACTCTAGATATGCTGGATGTTGACATTACTGCTAGGATTAACGTTCATTCACATTGCATCATGCTCATTTTTCTTATTAACCTCTCGAATGTCTACGTATAATGCCTGCTCAGAAACAGACTAGAGGTCACAGGAGTCAGTGAGTCAAGGCAACGGCAAGTCAGCTATGATAGGCTTTACAGACCCTGACAGCGGCGATGTGAAGAACACAAACGCGAAAGCGATGTCCGACGCTTTCGGTCGCAACCAAGATACAATTCAGGGCGCAGCTAACAAGAATATTTCACCATGTAAGAGAAATGCGAGTGATGTAGATCAAGTTCAAGTTTTCGCTGCGTTATTAAATCTCTTTGTTTTCAGCTTCTATCCTCCTTTGCTGTGAGGTACGTGTTGTACGTCTCAGCATTGCGAAAAATCCCAGACGATCGAAACGTTCATCCCATCAATTGTGTTCATTAAATTTTTGACCTTCATAATTTTGGGTAAAGCTCTTGACATTGTTTTCTAATAGATTAGAAAAATTTAGAAATCTATTCTTTTTTGTTACAACAGAGGACGACTACTTTTATCTAGATCTATTTGCAAAAAGGAAGGTCAAGGTCATTGTTCGTTGTTTGGGAATAAATAGATTTGGATACATCAAGAACTCATCCGAACATTTATACCGCGATGCGCGTGCTACTACATGACGCATCAGGGACGAGGACGATCAGCGTCTTCTTCATTCTTATCATATTAATGCAACAAAGGTTGCCCAAGGTGAAAAGAAGATACTGCATTGCGTCTTTCGAAGTATATCCACAGAAGCGCACCTTGTATATAAAAATAACTCTAGTAGAAAAAATAGAGCTTTATAGTTCAAGGATCCCTCCTAATATTCACAAATCGACTCAAAGACGCATCATCCGAAGAGACGAATGCTTTCCTTTATTCTCGATTACTTAGTTGTCCTTGACATAGTTAGGTAGCACCTACGTAAACGTGGTTCTTCTTACCCAACATGCAGCTGAAAACAATCAGAATACCTGTAAAAGTTGAGGTAAAGATTACGATTTCTAGTATGAAGAGAACGCATCACCAGACAAGAATCGAAGTGCAGTACTATGAGAGTTGTTCTGATATGACAACTACATGATTTCAGCTTTATTCGATTGAACTGACTAGTTTGAATACAGCAACCATTCTTAATGTATCGGTTGGGCAACATCATCAAAGAAAACTATGGTCGTCAAAACCAGAAGATAACGATATTCATATAATTCACTAGTAGTGTTTCTTCAGCCTCTAAAAATGATGTTTCATGTTTGCATAACTAATTACGATAATCTGAGGTACTTCTGGTGCGTAAAAGAGGCGTTTTTCGAACCACACATAACAACAGGATCGAGTTCATAAGCAACAACTGCATTGAGGGGACAGCGATGCGAAATGACCTTCACAACTACATGCGAAGAAAACGAGCGCAATGCAGTTTACGCACGGTCAATCCACCTGCTCGTTAATAAGAATGGAACGAGGTGGAGTCGTTTTATCTACATCAACGCCTGCGGTTGCTACGTCTGCGGTTGCGATTGTCCCGTCGTGAAAACGATCTATCTTCTGGTTGTAAATGCTGCCACGCTGTACTAGCAACTATACGTATGGGAGAAATGAATATTCCACGGAGTTGTAGTTTGACAAGATTTTATTGGCGTTTACGCCAATACATAAAGCAAAAAGTTGCCTAGAAAAGATTCTCCACACGGCGACTGCTAGTTTTTATGCGACTTTATCTTGTTCAAAATCCGGAAATACACTTTATTCATCTAGTTCATATGTATCACAGCATAAGTACTATTGTGTAATGAGGATATTCCTAGAAGTAGAGGTTGTAGCCTTGGTTGTTCATTCTTGTTCTTGTTATTTGAAAGCTAGGTCAGTGACGAATCGACGAGGAGCATCATGTGAGTTTTTCACGTCGCTTACCACATTGATTTGTTAGTTGTTAGCCAAACTTGCTTACATATTTTTTTTCTTCCTGGCGATAGCGCTAGCGGTTAAGTTGTACTACTAGCCACAAAAGAAGTAGTAGTCTTTCTCTTTTAGTCTTGAGATCTCTACTAGACAGCTTTTTTCGTCTATAATTAGAAGTAACCATCTGTATTATAGAAAGCCTACTACGTCGACGAAATTAATGTCGATCCCCAAATTATGAATCATCTCAAGCATGAGCATGAAGATCATCCTACCAGTACGGAAATCAACAACTTAAAGATTTACGAGCATCATGATCAAGGAAACAACAGGAACAAGAAAATCATAACGACAGCAACACGAAGATCAACACCATCAAGATCAACAACATCATCAACATCAGCAACAAGATCAAAGTCCTAAGGTCTTAAGCGTGTGCAGCAAGTAGCAAGTTGATGAGTTAAATAGTTGGCCCGGATCTAGTTAGCTTAGGCAGATGAAAGGCACTAAGCCCCAGGGATCTTCGTACTTAACAACAACAACAAAAACCAAATATTTTGTCTTCTCAAATTTATCCTGTGCTTGTGCAGATTAGCACTAGTTCACAGGACAGGGGCGACATCGCTGAGGATGATGAAGAGCATCATCCAAACCGTAGCCATTGGGCTACCTTATGAATTATCTAATTTCGATGCTCTCCTGGCCGCAACATTCTAGTGCTAATCTTGGGCTTTTCTAGTTGTTTCCTCATACTGAAAACATTGGAATTTTTTTGGTTATAGATAATTGAACTTTACACGAAACAGAATTTTTAAATCTGTTACGTGTAAGAATTTCGCTCTTCTTCTTCGTCGTGTTGTAGTGCTGATTAGCTAAAAATTTGAATGAGAAAATAAAAATGACCGACCACGAACCACGAGCAGCATACAGCTCGAAAAGTTTTCTGTTGAGAGCTAGCCAATCTGTTGCACGACGAGAAACCTACGAGGATACCAAGCATCACGAGAAAAATACGATGCGGCTACTCTGTTCGAGTCTTCTGGTGAGATCTGAAAGCACGACGAGGAGCACGAAGGCGAGCACGGTAGTAAAATTTTGATTGATTTAACTGGTACAAATTGACCAACGAACTCCCAGCCTTATGCTACTACAAAAACCCCACAGGGAAAGTTTTAAGGTGGCCCATTTTCCCAATTTTCTAGTGGCATAGAGTTCCAAGAAATAAATAAGTCAATCAATCAACAAGTCACTCAATCACGCAGTTACTCAGTAAATAAATCAAGAAGTCACGAACTAACTAACACAGTCAGCCAATCAATAAATAAGTCAATCAGTCAGTTAATCAAGTAAGGAAGTCAAAAAAAAAAATTCCTCGTGGGTCAAACAGTCACAACCTTCACAAAAGTAGTCTCATCCTTACACGAGCACACCGACGAAATTCGGCGGACCTTTCTGGTTGACGCGATAGGGATACGGTTGCGCAAGCTGTTGGAAGTTACTCCCTTGACGGGTTTCAAAGTGGCCAAGGGAGCAAAACAAGAAAATTCTGAACGGCAAGAGTCTAGTGGTGTAAGAGAAAATTTCTAGTGGGTATCTAGTGGCATTACCAAGCTGAAAGTTTAAAAATTCCTGGTGACGTTAAAGCAAAGGATCCAGCTGTTTGGCAGTTTACCTGGCTGTTGTACAGGAGCCAGAGCAAAAAGCGAAAATGCCGCCGCTGGTAGTGCAATGCCAAGACCTCCTCGATCGTGGGGTAGCAGCCATCCTCCTGGTGCGAGGAGTACCTCCGGGGAGCCTATACGACGGGGGAGGAAATACCAAGTCGCGCCCCGAAATGTATCAAGCCGCAATCCAGAACAACTACCATTGTACTCCGCTGACAGCGGTGACGTCTACGCTAACTGTGCCGGAGGTCAGTCAGTTGCTCAATACGTATTTCCTGGATACCACTGGCACGAAAGCAGAAAAGATCCTACGCTTCAAGGATTTCGCCAATGGTCATCAGTTTGCACCACAACAGCAGCCTCCAGCAGCAGGAGGAGGAGCAGCGCAAAGCAGTGCTCCACAACCGCAAAAGCCTGTCAAGTTTACGTGTGAACTAAAAACGTATACGGACCGGAGACAGTTTGAAATTTTCATCGATGAGATTTTCGACACTTGTAAGCTACTACGCATTCGCGACCAGTTTCAAGCCCGCTACATACCTCAAGGAGGACTAGTTTTGCCAGGGTTATCGGAACAGGAAGAAGCATCGTTTGCGGTTTTGACCAAGGCGATCAAGGACGCTCTATCCATCGGCATTCGCGTCGCGGTACTCGAAGAGATTCGTCAACAGCGCATGACTGACACGGCCTGGGATATCGTGAAATATATCCAGAAGCAAGTGAACAGTTTGGGCGCAGCGCAAGAAGATGTGGAGTTTGAAGAGTATAACCGATCTAACTGGAAGCAGTACGGTGGTCCGCTACGTGATTACGCAGCAGAACTGAGACGCATGCTAGGTCAGTTGTCTACTCGGTTTCCCGCGGGGCCGCCGTTCGAAATGGAGCTTCGGCGCAAGATCATCAAGCAGATTGATACTTCGCAAACCGAGATCAGGATGGTTGTAGATCAAGTTCAAAGTCGTGCAGTCACGCATGCTGAAGGTTCCGTCGGGTTCCTCATCACTGAGCTTACCCGCCGTATGGTGCGCACTGCTGGCGATTCGGAAAAACAGTGCGAAACTTACGCTGCTTTGGACGATGAGCAGAAGCAGCAGCAAGCTGTCCAGCAGGCTTTTGTCACTGGCAAATCGTTCGGAAAAGGAAAGAGCACGTGGCAAGGCGGTAAGTCCAGTTCCAACGGGGGCAAAGGTGGTTACAAGCAGCAGCAAGAGGAAAAGTTTTGCAAGAATTGTTTTGATCACTACAAGTCAATCGGCAAACAGCACGAGAAAGCTGCAGCTATCCGCTCGCACAATGTGAAAGATTGCAATCAACCTTGGAAGACGCCGATGAAGGTCGCCAACCACAAGGGAAGGAACAAGCTCAACAAGAAAGGCAGAAAGCACGACAAAGGAAAAGGCGCGAAGAAGTCTGATCCTAAGTACAAGCAGAATCAGCGACTAACTTCTTCTAATGGTAGTAAGTCTAGTAGTGAAAAAGAAGGGGCGAAGATGGATGTAGCGAAGAAAGTAAGTTGGTGGTCGAACTACATTCCATCTTGGGTGAGTGACAGCACCCGAGGAGTTATAAAAGCTGTTATCAAACGGGAGCAACAGTGCAAGCAAAGGATGAAGAAGATGAAGATGAAAACGAAGTCGAAGATGGATTTGGAGCCAGCATTTGAAGAAGTTGAAGATGGTTTTGAAGTGTTTTTACAAGGTCAGTTTTCCAATGGAGCGATCATCGGCTCCGGGTCAAAGTTTCACATCTCTCGAATCGAGTCGGACTTCGACACACTCGAGGAAGAATCCAGAGCCAAGATTCAAGGCGTTGGCGGTATTGTTCCAGGTCGATTCGGCACCCTCAAGCCGAACGTACTCGGAAGTCACTTAAAAGCGATTTTTGCCAAGGATTTACCTGTAGACCGACTGATAAGCGTCGGCGGTCTGAACTCAGCCGGATGGAGAGTAGTATTCGGAGCGGTTCCGGAAGGTTCTCACTTAGAGCACAAGTGTCTTCGTGTGCCCCGGGTGAATTTGCAGAAATCCGCAGGAGGTTTGCCATATTTGCAAGATTTGCGCTTCGAAGAAAATAGTGCAAGTAGCTCGCTTGTAATCGACGAGTGCTATTCTGAGGATGAGCTTTTCTGTCCAGAAGTAGAGACTACAGATTGCGCCATCAATCAGCCTCCCATCGGAGCACTCTTAACGCGTAAACTGTCTGAGCGAGAACGGTATCTCGAGCACCTTCGCAATTGCCATCTGTATGACGAGAGGCTCGGCAAAGTCGATTGCCCGCACTGCTCGATGCAAAAAGCGAAAGCCGTGAGTCACAAGAAGGAACGACCTGAAGAATTCCATAATCCGCCATTTTTGGTAACAGCGTGCGACTTCTTCGGTCCAGTAGAGCCAACTTCCATCAGAGGAGCGCGATTAGCTTTGATATTTGTTGACGACGCATCCAAGTACGCAGTTGGTCGAGGAATTTCTTCGAAAGATTTGGCTCCGAAAGTTCTGAAGGAGATCATTGAGGACCTTCGAACGAAGTTGGGCGCGAAAGGCACGAACATGACTCCAAGTGGGAAGATCATCGCTGCAGGTATCAGGTCGGATAGCGAAAGCGTACTCCGTTCCACCGAGTGGCGATCGACAGCAAGCAGACTACAACTGAACGAGCTTCACAGTATTCCTTATAAGCCACAAGGCAACTCCGTCGCAGAGCGGTTAGTGGGGACACTAAAGTCGAACTTGCGAGCCAGCATGGCCGGCGTCGACTTACGATTGTGGTGCTGGTGCCTTGAGTACCTAATTATAATTTACAACATGATCCCCAGGGACATGAAGCGAATTCCACAGAAAATTATCAGTGATGGAAGAAAGAAACGCTTGGCGCTTACTGGGGGCAACTCGAAGTCCAACGAGCAAAGCAACTCAGGGCGTCGGCGCGCGGTAAAAGCTAGTCCTCTGGAGATCCTCTTGAATTTTTCAGAGGACCCAATCACGATGATGAGACCTGCAGAAGGAAAACTTAAACACAGGCGCCGCCTCAGTTGTCTAGTGTTCTTCAAGGTCCACCCTACTCCTACGAAAGTCTTTGCAGACCGGCGCAAGCCAGGGGCGTTTTTGGGTTTCAGTTCGGTCAACTCCGCTTGGATAGTAGGAGGGATTGTCTCTGATGGCAGGACCAAGACGGGTTTTAAGTTCAACGTCTACGAGACGATCGATGTACAATTCCACGAGAGTATATTGGTCGCTAAGATCGAGGACTTGCTCCAGGTTCCGGAGATTACTAAGTTGGAAGATGATTCGTCCGCTCGCATGCCGGAATATGATCCTTCTCGACCCTTGTCGCAGACGGGCGTGCTTGGAGAAAAGTATGGCAGCTTGAAGGGTTCTAAGTACGAGTTAGTCATCTGGGAGCCTGAAACTAAAGGCAAGGAGCCTGCTACCGCGGGACAGATCGAGGCATGGGATCCACTCCAGTTAAAAAGGAACCGGCCCGATTTAAAAGAAGTAAGTCAACCACGACCGAGGAAAAAGCTCAACATAAGGTCAGAAAAGTAGTGACATTTGGAGCAGTTACGAAGATAGCACACGATCCAGCAATAGCAGCGGACGATCAAGATCGTTCTGTACCACAAGAATCTAGTAGAGAGAAGTCTTCCTCCAGTAAAGATATTCCGCAGCACATCCCTCCAGCACCTTCTTTAACATCTAGTAGCGCGCAGAAGTCAGCTCCGCTAGAACGTTGTGACGCATACCAGACGACGCCGATCACTATGCCGCAGCACAGGTTTAAGAAACCTCGGTGGAAGAAGAGCAAGAACACTTCCGCTACGTTAGCTACTGCTGTTTTCATTCTGGACCAGCTACAATTCGCAGCATCATACGCGGCTACGCAAGAAGCTTGCCGTCAGCTAGAACAAGAAGAAGAAGAAGAAGAAGGCGAGTTTCTTGGTGCTGAAATCGTGCTAGCTGCGCAGGATGGAGATGGTTTCATAGGATCGCCGGTTCCACCTAAGGTCGCCACGAATCCGCAAAGCCCTCACTACCAGAAGTGGATAGAGGCGGATGACTTGGAAAGGACGAAGCTGGAAGCGTATCGTTGTTGGAGGAAACTAAGCGAAGACGAGGAAAGAGACTGGATGGAAGGACGCCTCAAGGCAACCCCGACGGCGATTCTGTATAACCGCAAGCGGGGCGGTAGATTCAAAGCTCGGCTAGTCGTTCTAGGTGACCGATGGGATCCTGGTGGCTATCAAGAGTTATACAGTCCTACGGTTTCGCAAGTTGGTAGTCGTCTTGTTCTTATCGAAGCAGCACGTCGAGGATGGGACATTATTCCGTATGACGTCGGAAATGCGTCCATTCGAGCTTCAATAGATCGCACAGTTCTAATATCTCTGCCGAAGCAGTGGCGTGATGGACAGGAAGACCATGGCGCTAGGAGTTTACCTCGGGCGCTTTATGGGTTACCGATGTCACCTCGCTTATGGCAGAAACAGTACGCCAAGGACCTACAGGAGATGGGATTCGAAGATAGCCGACTCAATCCCGGCATTTGGACTATGCGAGATTCTTCTGGTGAACTCATTGCGATGCTGAGTGTTTATGTGGATGATTGCATTCTAGCCGCGAAGGACAAGGAGCTTACTACCGATTTGGTCGATAAGCTACATGCTCTACACCCGTTATCCAAGATTAAAATGGATGAAGTTACCGATAAGGATGGCACTTGGCTTCACTTCGACACGCTTGGGGCAGACGTTTTCTACAATGCTCAAAAGAAGTCGGCGAGGATCACAGTGGAGACTTACCTCAAGAAGATGCTCAAGACGTTCGGTATGGAGAATTGCAGCAGCTTACCGGCTCCAGCCTTCGACGAAGCACTTCTTTACCAAGATTCGCCTCAGATCGAGTTCAACACTCGGCAGGTAACCGGCTCCCTACAGTGGGCAGATACGGTGGCCAGGCCCGATTTAGCTCAAGTGACGAATTGTCTAGCGCGTGCGGCAAACCGTCCGCCAACCAAAGCAATCGCTGCAGCGTGTAAGCGTGTACTACGATACGTTAAGGGATCTTTGGGCGAAGGATTAGTTTATAGTCCCCAACAAGAGCAGGAGTTCCAGAACCTATTCAGGGACCTCTATCGCCATCCAGAGAGTATTCAGATCAACGAAATGACTGAACAAGAGAAGAAGTTCGAGCCGAAGTCTTTTCACCCCATCCAGAGTTTTGGCGATGCAAGTTTTGCTTCTACGCTCGAATTCAAATCGGTTTCCGGTGTAGTCGTGTACTACTATGGCTGTCCAGTTGTGTGGAAATCCACGGCCCAGACGGTACGAAGTGGATCTACGTGCGAGTCCGAAACTGTGGCCCAGTCGGACCTTCTCAAAGTCTCGGAAGACATCCATGCAATTCGCCGCTTTCTTCGAGGTGTACCAGAAACAGGCGAAGGAGACAAGGATCTTTGTACTGTGATAGTCATAGTGCTATAATTAGCTTAAAGAAAACCAACCTTAGCGACGTACCTAAAAAGAGTAGACGCGTAGCCTTGCGCTACATGCAAGTGCGGGACGACGCGCAGCGCCTTTGTTACGTTCCAACGGGCACGCAGAGGAGTGATGGCTTGACTAAGAGTTCGACCAATGGCCTGCTTTACAAAAACGTCTTCCATGTTCAAAACATGAAGAGAGATGCCAACCTTCCTACTTATTGTTTTCTGGCCTATGCAATTCCATACTAGGAAGGCACGTCTTACATCTTCGAAGTCATTCAAATCGCATGCAACAAACTCCATCTTTTGCCAAGTTTAACATCTTCAGCAACAACGCCCGCGCTTGTATTATAACACTTTCCACTTTCTCAAAAATTAAGCTTTGCTACATTTTCCTAGCTTAGTCCGTATTAGCTAACAGCAAGAAACACACAGTACGACAAGCCAGAAATAATTAAAGAAGAAAGAACTAAACAGCTAAAGCAATAAAAGCAAGAAACTACTACCGACAAACAAAGAAGTAAAACCACAAAAGTGAACTACTTAAGCTTTACCTTAAGCCACTGACTAAGTATACTCACTCGACAAAGTGTAAAGTTTAGAGTATCTAGCCTTGGTAGGATTGTTTTCCTTCTTTCGTTTTCTGCTCGGTCGCTTCAGTTTGGTGGAGGGCGTTACCTCTTACCCGTTGCGCATCGTTCAGTTTGCGTTTGAAGGGGGGAATGTCGATCCCCAAATTATGAATCATCTCAAGCATGAGCATGAAGATCATCCTACCAGTACGGAAGTCAACAACTTAAAGATTTACGAGCATCATGATCAAGGAAACAACAGGAGCAAGAAAATCATAACGACAGCAACACGAAGATCAACACCATCAAGATCAACAACATCATCAACATCAGCAACAAGATCAAAGTCCTAAGGTCTTAAGCGTGTGCAGCAAGTAGCAAGTTGATGAGTTAAATAGTTGGTCCGGATCTAGTTAGCTTAGGCAGATGAAAGGCACTAAGCCCCAGGGATCTTCGTACTTAACAACAACAACAAAAACCAAATATTTTGTCTTCTCAAATTTGTCCTGTGCTTGTGCAGATTAGCACTAGTTCACAGGACAGGGGCGACATCGCTGAGGATGATGAAGAGCATCATCCAAACCGTAGCCATTGGGCTACCTTATGAATTATCTAATTTCGATGTTCTCCTGGCCGCAACAATTAATCAGACGGGCATTGGTGGAGAGCCTGACGCGCGCTACCATTGTATAAGCATATAGAGGCCTGTTGAGCGAGTCGTGTGAGTCATGAGGAGGGGACGCTTCTAAATGATTGGGTAGACGCCATTCTCTTTCTTAATCTTAGTTTTCATGTTGATCAAATATTCTTTTCATTTTGGTGGTTCTTCATCTTCTTCTTCTTGATCGTGTTCGTAGTTCATCTTTTTCTTTATCTATCTCCACTCGATAAACCGAAGAAATTACTTCCAACTTTTTCCTCAAAATCATGCCAATCAACATTTATCAGTATGATGTCAAGAGCTTTTCTAGTCGTCGTTGCGACCACGATCTAGTGCGAGAGCGCTCGCCCAACAGAAAATCGTGGTGCCGCTGCCTGCTCCTCCTGCGACTCCTCTCCCAGTATGATTTCGTGTTCATCGTGGCCACTTACTGTGGATACAGAGCTCAGCGGCTGCGGCACGCCACCTCCGAGCAAGGGAGCGCACGGCGCTGACGCAGCTACCATGGGAAGCGGTATCAGATTGTTGCTACCGACCGGGAGCTCCTGAGCAGCTCCTGGACAGGAAGCGACCGTCACAGGTAGCGGCGACAAGCAACTTGGACCTCCACCGCAAAACGAGTCAAAGGACCTAGCTGAAGGCAAAAAAGGCCCACCCTTGACATCCATACCCATCGAAGCTCCTGTCGTACTTTGAGCTTCCTTGTCATTCGGAATTTCTGGAATGTGAGGCAGTTTTGGTCCATCGGCACCGAACAGCAACGCTCCAGCAGAAGTGGTCGAAGATGTGTTTAGATTCATAGCGCTATTCGCATTCAAGCAGGCGGAACCTTGTTTTGTCGCTGACAGTGCTCCTGCGCTCTGTCCGACCAAATGCTGGCCGCCAGGAGTCGCATTTGTGATTCCAAACGCACTCGTGGTGCCTGTGGTCGGTGTAACGAATCCGGCGGCGACGCCTCGTTGTTGCTCCCTCTCCTGAATATTCTGCAACTCCGTTAGGATGTTCAGCTGTCCCTGCGTCAAACTCGAGCGACCCTTGGGCACGTTACTAAAAGTACCAGATGGAGTAGACTGCTGCTGCTGCTGATCACTGACAGCAGACTTGCTTGCGTCGATGTTCGGCGTCAGAAATAAGGACGAATTACGTTGCTCTGCGAAGCCCGCAGAGGTTGTGGTAGCCGGCTCCCGCATGAGACTCGCGCGTCCTTCCGGAATCGTGCTGAATGCCGGCAGCATTCCTGGGGTCGTACTAGTAACAGGTGTCGTCGCACTGAGTAAAGTCTGCGGCATTGGCGGATTTCCGCCCATTCCGACGCTGCTGCGGCGCATTTGGTCGATGATTATGCTCAGGTTGTGGATTGTTGAAGACGCCTGACTTATCGGTTGCTGATCAGCTTGTTGTTGGTCATTTGATATACCAGCTCGCAGTAGCACATTGTTGTTATTTGTCGTGGTCTTAGATGTCGTAAAGTTGTTTCCCAACACTGGCGCGAGGGTCAGCGATGCTCGTGCACTTGCGGAAATCGAACCAAATTCGTTGTTCATCATCCCAGACCCGAAGTTGTTCGCTGGCTCCGGATTAGGAGTCGTGTTCAGATTCAGGCTTGGCAACGTGAGGGAAGCCAATGGACCGTTATTGTTCATGGTGTTTCCGGAACTACTTGCGGTTGTCGACATCAGCGGTTGCAAAGCAATGAGACTATTGCGCTGCTGCGCTGCTGAAGCACCCGCCATGACGGAGTTGCTTCCATGCCAAGCTCGGTCCCCAATAAGAACGCTAGACGGTGCTGCAGATCCTGTAGCCAACTGCGGCGTTCCAGATAGACCTCCGGGATTAAACGCAGACAAGGACAGTCCTGTGTTGCTGTTTTCTTGCTCTGCTCCAGTCATTCGCGGTGTTGCATTAAGAAGCGCAGCATTGTTGTGATTCGGATTGTTGTAACTCACTGAAGCACGTGCTGCAATGTGAGAGTCGAACTCAGTCACACCCGAAGCCGGTTCGTGGATCACTGATGATCGCGCTGCCGGAATCTCAATACCTGCTGGTAAGGGCGTCACCTGCCCAAGCAAAGGATCTCTTGCAGCTCCAGTAGACGCTCCTCCAGCGTTTGCACCCTGGCCTGGAAGCAGCACGGAGTGTCGTTGAGTAGGCGCATCCATTAGCGATGTTGCGTTTAGCAACAAGGATGCCCGCGCAGCCTCCAACGAGTTGCGCGGCGCCGCGAGGCCAGTTCCCGATAGGCATCCCGTTGGCGTTGTCGACGGCAGCTGGATGCCAGTTGCAGAAGGCAGCTGCAATCCGCTACCACTGGTTCCTGTTGCAGTCTGCAGGCTGTTGTTGATTCCGGATGGTCTTGCACTACAAGGCGTCATCGACGCGAAGGAGTTGTCTGCTGCGTTTCGCGTTCCGGTCCCGACAGGGGCAGGGCCGAGGTAGAGCGGCAGCTGCTGCAAAATGCTTGGAAGTGTCGTCTGGCTAGCGACCGCATCGTTGTTTTTGGCTGATGCTGCGCCCGCTGCAAGATTCTCGCCATAGCTGAGCGATGACCGAGGATTAGCGCCACCACCTGGAGTCGCTGTCGCGGATGTCAGGAAGTTCGCAAAATTGGTGAGTTGTTCCTTGCCGAACAAGCCCCCAGTCGTGGATCCACCAGCGTTACCGCTTCCGCTTGCAGGAGCCGCTGTCGTGTTCATAATTGTTGACGTGTTTCCAACTACCGCGCTGCTCCTGGCACTACTTCCCTGCATTATGCTCATTGCCATCGCGTTCAGCGACTGATTTTCACCAGCCAAAGACGGTCTTGCTGAGCGCAGTTGTGCGTCAATAATCGCCTGGAAATCGGACAAGCTACACGCCGCCAGGCTCTGGCGATGCTCAGGGTCTGCAGAGCCTGGTTGTGGTGCGATGTTCGCAGTTTGCGTTTCCGGAATAGTCGGCGGCGGATTGACCAAGTGACTGGGTCTCGAAGCCCCTGTTAAGGTTGTTGGTAAGCCAATTACAAAAATCGCCTAACTAGTAAAACCATAATTTCCTATGAATTGCATGAACATGATGCGTGCCACAAAGTTTTTCTTTTTCAAGATCTTCTACTTTGGAGACTGACAAAAACCAGAAAAATATAATGGACAACTTCGTATTTTTCTGATTCCTGAAATGCATGGTATGGATTGCGTGCATTGCTATGTATAGCTTGCAGTGAGTAACGGAGGTTATTTTTCTCGAGGCGCCCTTCAGGCGCCATATTCAATGCGTGCCTGCGCCTGCTGTTGCCCTGTCCAACCGTTCAAAGAAACAACGACGACGTCACGAAGAAGCCGCATCCGGGCGGCAAACGCGGCGTAAGCAAACAAAAGCAACAGAGCACCTGCCTACCGGCGGCGGCTGAGAGGACCTTGAGCGCCTTAGCCTCGCCCTCGCATTGCCTAGCATCTCTCAGTAACGTGGCGAGGCGTCAGGCGCTCTGCGTCCTCCAGGCAGCCAGCCTGAGCTGAACCCGAAGAGGGTCCATTGAATGGCACTCCAGCATAGGCGGGCTCACCCCTACAAGAAACAACCCCGCTAGCCGCGGGCGGACAGAGCCTAAGGAGTCAAGGCAACGAGCACCCCGAGGCCTTGTCGGGCGGGGCGCTGCGTTCGGTCAAAGGCGTACGCGCCTCCCGGTTAAGGAAGTAGAAGTTGCGCCCTCGTGTCTCCTAGGCACGCAATCCATGCCAATCATTGCAGTCTATGCAGTCCATAATGTACCTTACGAAGTGCTCAAAATTATAATATAATTCAACACTTTCATGGACTCACACAGAGAGAGACAATTGTCTACGAGGTGGATGAAAGATTTGATGACTCATGATCCTCCTCCTCATGACCATGACATTAACATTATATGCAGTGCACATGGTTGATTAAGATTAAAGTGTAAGAACTACCCTTTTGTCCTTTGCCCTGGCGTTTCTTGTGCTGAGTGCAGGGACCATCCGCTGGGAAGCGTGCGTCTTCCATGGGAGCACCAGGTATTCCCTGCGCTGCATGTTCCTGGTGCTCCGGAACCGGTGGCGGTGGTGGAGGCGGAGACGCAGAAGCATCTTTAGTTCTGCTTGCTCCGCCTACAACTGCAGGCGCTGCGGGCGAACTGTGGTCATTGTTGGCCCACGCTGCGAGGTGGTGCGGCGGCCAGTTGAGGATCGTAGGAAGATCCATCGCGGCGCGCAACGGGTTGTCGACTCCAGAGGAGAGACCACCGCCTGCTTGGTGCGGAAGCTGCAGCTGATGTCCTGCGGCGATCGCCTGCGGGAAGTGAGCCGCTTGTGGAAAAGCGCCGTCTGCGCCGGGTCGGTGGATACCGGTAGCTCCGATATTAACCTGCGGATCGGTCTGGCGCGGGTCGTTCTGCAATATATGCGCACCGGGAGCCGGGCGGACGAGAATCGCACCCGGTGGCGGCGGTCCAGCAACAACAACCGTTGTTGCCGCTCCTTGCGCTCCCGGCGTCGGAAACGCTCCACTCAGATCCACGCCAGGATTTTGCTGCAAGTGCTGACCCGGAGTTCCTGGAAGGTGGTATAAGGGTTGCGGAGTCTGCTGCTGCGCTGCGTGCAGTAGCGCTGCATGCTGATGTACACCTGGGGCTGCTGCTCCGTGATGATGCAGAGAATTGTGCACCACACCAGCCAATGGAGGAGCAGGCGGCGGCGGCAGATTGTAAGTGCCCTTTGCGTTGTTGGAGTGCGTGCGCTGCAAGCCCGCTGCTGGCACGCCCTTTGCGCTGTTGGACCGCGGCAAGTATCGCGAGGTTGCGGACGTCATCAACTGACGAACGCCACGAGCACCCGGAGGCGCCGGCGGTGTGGGTAAGTAGTGCTGCTTCGCTGAAACGCCCTTCGCGTACGAGGTGCCAACGCTTCCCTTTCTGGCTAGATGATGAGCATAGTGCTGTTGTTCATGTTGTCCATGATAGCCTGGATGCTGGAAAGCAGCGTTTGCATTGTAGTCGCCTTTGCTTCTTGTGGGTGCCAATCCAGTAGCATATGGTGATGGCGGCGAGGCACCGTTTCCACCATGTCCAGCATGAGTCGCGCCATCGCGAGATGAAGTTGGATACAACAATGCGGCACCGGTGTGGGTCGTATTCGCACTGCCTTGGCAGCTGACGAAACCCGGATTGGCCGGTGGCGGAGGAGGAACAAAGTGGTGCTGGCCGGCGCTCGCAGCCTGAGTACCATAGTGACTTCCGTTATACGACACCCGACCCCGACTCTGGTGCCAGCTGTTCTGTGTGTTGCAGGTCTGAAAAATGTTGGATGAGCAATAGGAGTGCTGGGAATAATGTCCACCAGCATGGCTTCCGCGATCTTCCGCAGAATGGTAGCTGAAGGAGTTTCCGGCATCGTAAAACTTCACACTGTCCCTCGATGGATGCATACTGCTACCGGGTCCGTGACGCGTGCGCTCGCGCACATACCAGGGTCGTAGTGGGTACTCAAATTCCAAAGTATGAAACTCGCGCTCGGACCACCTGCGATGAAGATAACGACAAATGCGAAGATATATTTCTTCACGATCTTAAATTTAACGTCCTATATTTCTTCACTTCTTGATGACAGTCGAAAGAACTGCAGTTTTATATACACAGATAAGAAGCGCATGCGCAAGCACCAAAATGAAGTTTCTTCGTCGAAACACTGGATTACAAAAGACAAACAGAGGCAAATCAATAAAGTACTCATCGCCGTCCTTGGAGAGTTTGATTGTTCCGTATGCGACAACTTCCCAGCCACGACGTAGAGTGAGCTGACCAAAGCCAATTCGTGTCAGATCCTCACCACCGTCAGCGAACATGAGCCGCTCGTGAGTCTGTGTTCGCATCATACGCCTGTCCATGTCCTCGCTCGATTCATTTTCCAAATCTGCTTTTTCCGTAAATTCATTCACAACAAGGTCGCCCACGTTTTGGTAGTACAAAGACTTACCTTCATCGTCGACACAGGCACCTATGATCATTAGAGTGGAAGTGGATGTGGACGTCGATCGATGGTTTATCTTTTAAAAAAGCTGGAAAAACGCTGATGAAGAACGTTGAGTATAAGCGGTTCAAATAAGTAACACATGTTGCTTGACCATAAAAGTGAACAGGCCTAAGCCTATCGTAGATTAGTATGAATTCTAATGACACCATCTTTTGTGAGATCGTGCGCCAGCCCTTGTTTTCCGTTGAGGAGCATTCTCGGGTTCTTCAAGATCATGCGGCCGATCACTTTCTCAACTTCAGAAGTACGCGCGTCCTCAGTGTGTTCTTTCAGCTGCGCCATGGCTTCCTCGATGGTCGGGACTGCATTCGAAGCAATGCCGGAGATCCTTCCTCGAGGACCCAAGGTCTGCGACACTCGTTTGGACTCACGTCGACTCTTCACGTCTTCGTCGCCGCTAGCAGCCCCACCGTCATCTTCCGAGGCGCGCGGATCGTGGACACGCGAACGCTTCTTGGGTGATGCACGACGTCGCGTGGAAGATTCATCCTCGTCCTCGTCATCCTCTTCGCGAATGGCACCACAGCCACTGCCCCCGCCTGAGTTTCCGTTTTTCGAATCATCCTGCTGTCGGTAGCCGCAATTTTTTCCACCAGATAAGGCTGCTTGAAGGTCTTCAACAACCTTCTTCAGTTTTCCGCCATTGGGAAGCACGAATGAGAAGGTCTTCGGCGGTTGAGTTGCGTTGTCAGCGGTTGTCACGCGAAAGACTGCATCCCACTTCGCGTCGGACTGCCCAACACGCAGAATAGCAGTTTGATTCGGGGACTGTCGCTGCGCTTTCCAATCGCTATATAGATGATCCCGCAGGTGTCGATCAAGCATACACACCGTCACACGCCGAGAAATGATACGGTCTTGATGCGTCTCCTTGGCATATCTGTTTCAGTCAGAAAATCGATTTCAAGCCCAAGAAACCCGAAATTGAGACACTTAGTGGAAGAAGAACAAAAATGTAGCTCAGTACAACTACAATAGACATTCGCACTTGCTTCATAAATGCTGTTGTTTCCAGACCATAGCGGATGTGATAACCTTCTTCAAATAGTCGCAAAGGACTTAGTCTTTAGATTTCAAAATTAAGAAGCACCTTCTGCAGCTCTGGAGCAATCTGTCTCGTGCTTCCGGTGACGAAGCAGTCATGAACGCGAATTTCCGTTTTTCGTTGAAGAAGAAGTGCTCGGCTAGGGGATCGAAGCGGAGGATCACTTCTTTCAGCTTTTCTTGCTCACGGCGATGCAACATCGCAGAGAGCATGATATGAATGCCCAACTCGTCGTCGCGATCGTGTTTACTGTTGCGTGGGGCATGGCAAATCATTTTGTTACTGTTATCTTCCACGTTTTGATGATGTTCACCATTTCCTTCGCCTTTCTTTTCAGCCATGCTTGGGTATGCCAATGCAGCCTTCGTGGCTTCCTCTACCTTCTGTGCCCCTGTCAACAGCAACTGTGCGCCTACTTCCGGTTTATTCGGTAGGTGCTCCACCTCTTCTCCTACCGCTCTCCCCGAAGACGAAAGGCGCATCTGTTGCTCCCGATCGAAGCTGTTGCATTCTCCACTTCGTAGATCACTGGGTGGCATCGCAGCATGCGTAATGTCTCCTCCTGTACCGTGGTTTCCTAGTCCTCCATTGTATACGGATAAAGGCGGATACTCATCCGGATCTCCGATAACCAGAACGCCAACGCTTGAAGGCTTTCCACTTGATGATACAGCACCATTCTTATTTGCCGAAGAGGACTCACCTGCACCGGCCAAAAGGCTGTGGTTCAGTGGTCCCGGTGTCTCTGGTAAAGACCCCTCTTGAAAACTCTCGTCGTCATCGATCGTCGTTCGGGATCGGTCGACCGCCTTGGCGGCGGGCGTTTCACCACTCATTTTTTCCCACAGCGTTGCAGGAGAAATTTCCACCTGTTGGCCGAGTAAAATAATGGACAATTATTATAAGTTGATAGATAAAAAACATAACAAAAAAAAAAATCTATATTATTAATCTATATTATTGATCGCCGCCATAAAACTCCCCGCCTAACCCACCGGAGATTAGTCGCCTTCTTTCGCGAAGCTATTGCCCATAGCCTCCTGCCCTTTCCCCTCATTCTCAAGCCTGATAGCCTCCGGCCGTTTCCTTGTTGGGATTTACGTTGCGGCCCCGTGGCAGACCACCAGAAAAGAAGGCAGAAAAATGGCCGACGGGGGTGGGGGCGCAAGCTGGGGAGAAAAGTCCAAAGAGAGACAGCCAACGAAAGACCGCCCACCGAAAGGGCAAAGACCTTGGACCAAAGACACATGGACCAAAGCCGATCTTTGGACCAAAGACGAGCTTTGGACGAAGGGCGACCGTTGGACCAAGGGCGATCTTCGGACTAAAGGCGACCTTTGGACCAAAGACGACCTTTGGAGCACAGGCGATCTTTGACCCAAAGACGATCTTTGGCCCAAAGGCGATCTTTGACCCAGGGGCGACCTTTGGACCACAGGCGACCTCTGGACCACAGGAGACCTTGGGACTTAAGACGACACTGGGACCAAAGACGACCTTGAAACCAAAGACGACCTTGGGACCGAAGACGACCGCGGGACCACAGGCGACCTCTGGACCAAAGTGCGGCGACCTCTGGACCAAAGTAGGGCGACCTTTGGACCAAAGTAAGGCGACCTTTGGACCAAAGTAAGGCGACCTTTGGACCAAAGTAAGCCGACCTTTGGACCAAAGTAAGCCGACCTTTGGACCAAAGTGCGCCGACCTCTGGACCAAAGTAGGGCGACTTTTGGACCAAAGTAAGGCGACCCGGCGACCTCTGGACCAAAGTAGGGCGACCTTTGGACCAAAGTAAGGCGACCTTTGGACCAAAGTAAGGCGACCTTTGGACCAAAGTAAGCCGACCTTTGGACCAAAGTAAGCCGACCTTTGGACCAAAGTGCGCCGACCTCTGGACCAAAGTAGGGCGACTTTTGGACCAAAGTAAGGCGACCCTTCGACCTCTGGACCAAAGTAGGGCGACCTTTGGACCAAAGTAGGGCGACCTTTGGACCAAAGTAAGGCGACCTTTGGACCAAAGACGGCCGCTGGACCAAAAGCGACCTCTGGACCACAGACGACCTCTGGACCAAAGCCGACCTTTGGACCGAAGACGACCTTTGGGCCACAGGCGACCTGTGGACCACCGGCGACCTGTGCGTGGACCAAAGACGACCTTTGGGCCCAAGACCTCCGACACGACAAGAGTGAGACCCGCGACAGCAGACATCTGACGAACGACCTCCGCCAGAAAAACTGACGCGAGGCCTCCCTGTGGCGCGAGGCCCTTGAAGATAGCGAAGACCTTTCGCGAAGGACGTCAGTCCGGCGAACGCGGTCAATCTGGCGAAGCACGTCAGTCCGACGAAAGAACGGGGTCAATCTTACGAAGGAAAGACATCCGCAGCCCGAAGAAAGGCCCCGCTCAGCCTGTTCCCTCCGACGCAAGGCAGACGCCTGGCGAAGCATTGCGCCGGCCTGGCGAGAGGCCTCACCTGGCTGGCGAGTGCATCAGCCTGACGAACGGCGCCGAGCTGAAGCAAGCCATCAACCTGACCAAAGGCGTGAGTCTCGGCCCGGCGAGGAATGTCAGCCAGGCGAAGCGCTTCAGCCTGACGAGAGACGTCGCCCGACCCTGACGAAAAGCCTCAGCCTGACCCAAGACGCCTGCCGAGGGGCGCCGGCCTGCCCGACGAACGCCGCCAGCCTGGCGCAGAGCGTTGGGCTGACGAACGGCATCAGCCTGATGGAGGGCCTTAGTCTCCAGCTTGGTGAAAGACGTCAGCCAGCCGAGAGGCTTCAGCCACAGCCCGAAGCGCGACGCCGCACGACCCCGCGAAGTGCGCCCGCCTGTTTCTGACGAGAGACATCTGACGAAACAAAGAAGCCCCGCCAGGTGTAAGCGCGTAGAGAGACCCAAGCAGCGCGGCCCTGCGTTGCTTTGTCTTGTTTGGCCCATCAAGGTCGCCCCTCGTTCTTGCCTGGCGCCACCGCGAGGCGCTTGCGTGCGTTGGGGCTTGCGGATTCTTGTGCGTGTCTGGTGGCTCTCTTCTGGTTTTTTTGTTGGACTGCCGTGGGGGTCTTGCAAATTCTTAAGAATTTGCATGACCCGCCCGGCAATCTCAAAAAAAAACCGAAGGCAGCGCAATGCCCTGCACATGAGTCGACGCATCTGAGTCGGCCACCGCCGGCACTCGGCTCTTGTCGTAGTCAATTCGTAAGGTGCAACAGCTCACCCGCGGGCTGTCTCTACTCTAGCGGCTGTAGCCCGTGGGAGGCCGCAGGAAAGTGCTAAACTAACTTGAAGCCGGGCGAAGCTTGTGGAGGCTAGTGTCTTTCTTGAGAAGAAATAACTCTTGAAAGAAACCACTACTTAGAGAAAACTATCTGAATGAAGATGCGCGTGCACCACCTACCAACTACCTTCAGATAAGGTGACCACTACTTCTTGTACCACGAAAATGAAAACTCAAACATCTACGGTAATGGATCATTGAACTTCGTTAGTTGTGGAAAAAAGAACCCACATCCGCTAAGACTAACAAGTTTCTTACTAGTACTACCTACGCGTACTCGTCTATGTCTAGGTTTGTCATGTGGGTAAGTGTAGTCGTTGCTCCACCGTTGTTGAAAACGATTATGATCTCCTTCTCCACATAGAACAAGAATTTTTTCAGCGCAAACTAAATATCAATTTCTATATCCCGCTTTTAGAACTATCTAGATCTACACCTCTACTCTAGTTCCTGCAAAACATTTGCTTGAGGTTACCAGAAGTTTCTTTTTCTATTTGGGTAAGCGACTCGACTACAGATAAACATTCATCAGATAATCCTAACTACAGATCCTGGAGAAGGAAAACGAAATCTATTTCGATTCATTGAATTCTTACAAGAGCATCATCAAAGAAATTTCAGTTCGATCATGGGTAATTCATTTTCATTGATGATCGAAGGGAAAAAGAATAAGTGATGTGTTACCTCAGGCGTGCGTAAGGCGTGACTGCCTGTTTTCGTCTGAGTCATTTCGCTGCTTCTCGAGCTAGCTACGTTCGATTATGTTGTGATCGCGCGGTGTGAAGGATTACAATTTGTTAACTCGGATTTTGCATTTCGAAGAAGAATCTGCTCAAGATAAAGGAGGATCGGTGACTATACCTATCAGGATTCTAGAACAACAGCAACGATGATGGGAGAATGAACTGGATCTCGATCTGTAACATTGATCGCTGTAGAATTGAACAAATGGTTAGCTATTTTTTACGAATCTCCTAGATGCCGTGCCTGTCGAAAAATTCTTTCCAAGTGGCAATCGCGGTGGGTGGTTCTAGTTGCGATTTCGGGCTGTTGCCTCCTGTTATGTTTTTCTGTTTTCGTTTTCTGTAGCGTGAAGATCGGGATTGTGCAATCCTCGGAAGATTTGTTGATCTTCAACAAGAGGATACAACCATTGATGTGTACTACTTTTATTCTAAGTGCTTGGTCCTTGGTATTTCGCTGCTTGGGTTCTGGTTCTGAGTGTGACTGTCAAGAATCATCTTTTTCGTGCTCCCACTTTTTAAACCGTTCCTTGTTCAAGAACAACTTGTCATCGCTTCTGTATTTCGAGGCGGAATCTTACAACTGTCAACTTCTACGTCATCAACTTCTACTACTTCTTGTGTAGTCTTCAAGATAGCAACTACAACATCAAATCCTGCCTCTAACACACTAATTTCCCTCTGCGTCTATAGTTCCAAGATGACAGATGAGGAGCTTTAATGAATCCGATGATGATGAACATCAATTAGATTTATTTAAGAAAGAAAGAAGATACAAATATACTTGAGATTCAAACTTACCAGAATACTGTGTAACGTGCTCGTGCTCATCAGGTAAGTTAAAAACGGAAAGAAACACTAAGTCGTAGGTGCAGCAGATCAATTAATTTTACATCAGAATTGTAACTTTCAGGAGGAATAAAAAGGGAAAGAAAAAGTTGTCGTCACACTAGCTTATGAATCACTTTGAAGTTCTTTTATTAGGGTGAGTTTGAACCTCGGAACACCTGTAGAGAGATGATTGATTGAAGAGGCGTTATTTTCAGTCTCATGATGCTAAAATGCGACGCATGAAATCAAGCTGGTTTACGTCAAAACAGAGAAATTCGGATCTGCGCGTCTGCCCTTTCACATTTCTTTGGAGGATCGCTGTACGTCGCTAGTGGAACCTTAAATTGCATCAATGAACTATAGGATCTTGCGTCTTTACGGAAGGTGCTTAACAAGAATGTGGATCTTTACTGTCTGATCGTCTTTGCGTTCTTCCGATGAATGTCACCATGATGATCTTGTCAGTTAGTACAGATCATGATGATCCTGATTTCCTGAAAGAGGCCGCTCGAGTAGTAAGATGATCTCTTTATAGGATTTCATGTATTATTTCTATTTTGCAATTCATCTTCATGGGCTTCTACATTCTCTGGACCGCAAGCCAGTTGTACAGCCTTTTTCGAGAGACTGGGATAAGAAGAAGAGCCTTGGTACTAGTCAACATCACACTTTTGTGACTTGTTTGTTCTTGATGATGAAGTAGCTGAAGATCTACATTTTTTAGTCTACCGTATTTTTTCCATCCGCATCGTCATCGAGTATGTTCTATTTGTATCTGAATTCATACACTTGTTTTTTGAGAAAAATTGCGCACACAGCTTCAGGGGCCGCACTCTGACGACCGGGCATCTCGCCTGAACGAACTGTTCAGCTTGGCGAAGAGCAGTAGAGGAATCATCATGGATGACATGTTGACATTTTTTGAAAGAAATCGTCATGCTCATGAATGCTTGATAAAGTAATTATAGAATATCCTCACCTTTTTACATGTAAGCATAGACATGTCGATTTTCTTAGGGGAAAACAAGAATATACTTCGATTACATCAGTGAGGAGAATAAGTACAAGTATCAGTTACTTAAACGTACAAGGTAGAGGTATGAAAACACAGCTTCGTATGAGCATGTTGTTCTCACAAACCGCAATTTGTAACACGAAGGATTCATCATCATGGGACGAGGAGTCAGAGGAGCACGTCGTCCGGAATATGCCCAGCAACATGAAGTAGTTCAAACCATTCAATGGTCATGTTTGGGTAGAAGCTCCTCCATGCTGTGCTTTGCTCTTAAGTCTTGTGCAGGAAACGATGTTGGAGCTCGTGGTAGCGAAGCGGGACGGACGGGATGTGGGCTGCCCGACTGCAATCACATCATGAGGAGTGGAGGGGGCGCGGGAGAGCCTGCGCAATGAGGAAGAGTGGTAGTAAATGTGCGTCCCTGAGTGCCGCACCTATTGCTTGGGTTTGATGCCCAGGAGATTCACGCAAGTCGTGTGAAGCACAGGAGGCATGCCTTGTTGGGTAGAGCGAGCGTTTATTCTAATCATCCCTCCTTGCATTGCGCATTCCAGCAGTGCGGAATGGTGTCCGCCACCGGAGCCATTTGTGTAACGGCCCATGTAGTACGAGCAATTGTTGCTGTTGTTCTTCGCCACAAAGTACAGGCCTATGCTCTCCAGCTGGTTAGTCAACGCATCACCCTCATCCAGTGCTCGTCCGGCGCCGAAAAGATACACACGCTGTGCTTGCCTGGCCTCGCTGCCCTGCCACAATGACATGAATCCCTGGCGGTCGACCTGGACAACCAAGAAGAAGAAGGTAAAGGATGAAGTCAACACAGTGTGAGTGCCATACTCTTGGGCAGAGTCAAACTACGTCGGTGTAGAGGTACATCTTTATCAGTCGTCCTAAGAAGAAGGTTTTGTTCTTGTTCATTTGGAAAATTCTCCTTTGCAGAACCACAACATCAATGTTATCAACATGACCTTTTTTTAAGAGTAAGTACCCAGTCTTTTCCGCTGCTGTTGTCTAGAATCGCGCTTGCGTCGAAGGGTTGCGTAAAGTAGAAAATATCAAGTTGACACTTAATCGCGACCTGCAACTGGAGAGAGTGCGTCGCCGCTGGTGGCACATCTGCCACTGTCAATTCCGATTTACCGGTCAATAAGGGTAATTCAACTTCGCACTCACCACCGTTTCCGGGTAGTTGTGCTGGCATCTGAGGTGTGAAGAAAAGGGTGGAAGACCAAGATGCTGAACTCACCACTATAAATATATTTGTTTTGAATGATCGACGTGAAGATGAACAAGGTCTTCTACGATAAGAATAATGTGCGTCTGTGTGGTCACTTTTCATTCTAAAATAAGAACGCAAAATTTATCCAAAAAGTTCGAGAACAAAGAACAAGTACGCGGTCTCATGTAGAAATACCAGAACCCCCAGCTGCTTCGCGGGCGCTAATCCTGCAGGATTTTTGTTTAGCTGAACTGCGAACTTCTCACCCTGCATCGTATTCGGGCAGCTGTTCCGTATTGTCAAGCACAGGACTGGCAGTCCTTCTTTTCTTATCAGGGCTCCCTCGATCGCTAGGCCAGCGTTCTTGTTCTGTCCTGGTTGCGTCGCTGCGAGAACCTGTTGGTGTTGTCGTATTTGAGAGATTTAATTTGGAGAGATTGATGATGAGTTTCATCTGCAGTGGAGGACCAGAAAATTTCTTACGTGAAAACACCCGATGGCGACATACCAACGTATGCGTATCCAAATACCTGTGTTTTTTGGACAGCTGGTGGCGAGTTGGACTTCGCAGTGGGTGTTGCTTGTCCGTCCATATCTAATAGGTCGAGCAAATCCCCAGAAGTTTTTTCTTTGAATTCCGCTGGCTTTGCTAATTCGCCTTTCATTCGACTTATCTTGTCTCCGTAGTCCTCTTCATCGTCTTCCTCCGCGTCATCCCGTTGCTGCACTTGCACGCGTGTGATAAACTCCTCTGGTAGTTGCTGGTGATAAGATGGTGTTTTTGAGAAAGTAAACACTTCATCAATGGCTCGCAGTCGTAGTTTCTACGTTTGTCCACATTATCAGTTTGAAAAGATGAAAGCCAAGGTCGGTGGAAAGCTACTAGTATCTGGTCACCTCCTTTGGGGCCACAACTTCCGGCGGGAAGATCACCAAGTCAATTATATTTATCATATTCAAAGTAGTACGTGGTAGACACTGCTCATCATCGAAAGTTGCGGGATTAGCGCATTTAGAACTGTTTTGTCCATTGGCGCCAGCTCGCTCCTGATCTGCGGCTTATCACCCAAGACTACGCGCTTCGTTGCTTCTGGGTTCTTATGCAGCAATCGCCAGTAGATATAGCCTCGGTCTCGCAAGTCCGGGTTTTCCGACTCTTCCGTTGCCATCTTCAGGACCTGATCATGATGTCAAAGGAACTACGGTGAAGACCTCTAGTCTACTAGGTGGCTCACCGCGTTGTGGAGGATTGATTTTGATACGCATCATGATCAAGAAACATGGTCATGGAGGTGTCCACCAAGAGAAGAACATTATCACATCCTTGAAGGCCAAAATAATGGTCCTACGGGAGGAGCTTACCTTTTGCACCATCCCTTGTGACGTCGCTGGCATTTTGAGGAAGAGCTTAACTACAGCGGTCAAAATTTGAAGCTGCACTTGCGCCGGCTCGTCGTGGAACTCCTCAACAAATGAGTCCAAAATTTCCTCGACTTTGTCGATTCGCTCTGCGTAGTCACCTAATGCGTGGATATAAAATATTAAGTTACACCATTAGGTGGACAAGTTGTGTTTTTTCCTTGCGGTTGTGTCATGGTAAAAATTATTTGCCAGGCGTTTTCTAAAGTTAAAGTACATTCTAATTCGTTCTTAAGTTTTGCACTATGACCACATTCTTTTTCGGATTTAGAAGATTAACTTGAAGAGACAATGACGAGTGCAACAAATGATAAATGCAGCGGTATATTACCCAGAATCCATATCATGGCAGATTTCGCCTCTTCGGTGTCTAGGAGATCAAAGGACTCGCACAGCGCGGCCAGCACAGCTTCGTATTGCGATGGGTATTTTCGGAAGATGTCTTTTATTACTACTACCGCTTCCTGAATGACGTGCGCAATTTTTGTTTCTATCAGCTCCAGGAAGACTGCGATGCACTTGTTAGATATGCTCTCGAATTTCAGCGCGACATTGCCGATACTGCGAACAGCGCGCCGTGAAAACTCCATATCCATGCTCTGCGCATAGTCTTTGAATTCATTAAGGACTTGGTCCGCGTTACGATCCGAGCATAGCATGACCATTAGGCGGATCTTCTCTAGCTTCACGTACACAGGGTCATTATATTTCACGAAAAACCTGATATTGATAATGGTCGGGGAACAAGGAGTTGTTTAAAGCCTGTCCGTGCGTGCATTATCTCAGTTCAGGGAAACGATTTTCTTATATAGAAAACAGGCCACCTCCAAAAGGAGTCGATGTGATTTCAGAAAAAAATGTTTGAAGAAAGTTGGTCTTGGTTCCTATAACGAATAGCTCTTCTTGTATATCGCCTTACATTTTGACGTCGGTTGTGACAATGCCAGGCCTTTTCTGGGCAATGAGATAGATGTTCCTCAGGGCTACGTACTGCAGCTCTGGTTCACTCGAGAGCAGCGTGACGAGCGGCGGCGTCAGTTTCTTCATCAATCCCTTGATGATGTCTTGGTTATCGACATGCTCCATAAAGGTGATCGCTACCTTAATCGCCGACATCACTACAGACGCGTTCGCATGCGAAAGTCTCGCCGTCACGCGATCCACTATTTGCTCCGCGTCTCGTCTACTATTCTTTGGTGCGTAACTGTTTGTGGAAGAAGATTTTCATCTTATATTAATTCGACAGCGGGACCGGGAGCAAGAGGGCGATGAAGTATAATTGATTCTGGAAAAGAACACCAACGTTACTCATTACACCACGCCACGGAGCCATCGTCAAGCTAGTGAAAGGTAAATCGTTTGATGCTCAACGAAAAAATCAAAATCATAGTACGCAGCCAGTGCATCCAGGATGAAAATCTGTCCCCATTCCGTGCACTCGTTCAGAGCGGTGAGCAGCTTCGCTATTGTGCCATCGCGATCGAGCCGAAGGTAATCTTTATTCTTCGTTTCTGATATCTCGGATAACGCCGCGACAGCATTGGCAACAACCATAGGATCACTATTAGACTCAGCTTGAGTCCATCTTGGCTCCCTCATCTCGACCCCTTTCCCGTTGTATTTCATGAGAATAGAAGGCAAAAAGGGACCAAGATGCCGAGAAAGATGGATAAACGCTATCCATAATACTATCTCCAAGCATGTCTTGCAGAATGTCTGGCACGAATCCCTGATCCTCTACTAGATCAGGATTGATTTCGTAGACCTGCATAGCTCAAATTCAAAACATCAGAGAGTGACTATTGTCATTTCATGTGTGCATCTCAAATGTTGACTATCGTCCTCAATCATTAGTAAGATGAAACATGTCACCCTTCTAACAATTCTTAGAGGATGCGGATGGTAGCTTTATTCTTGTTATCATTACTTAGTCTTTATGCTCAGAATGTACAAGTACCTTCGGAATGCATATTGCCGCCGTTTTTCGTACGTAGGGATCGCTGTCCTGGCAACATCGCTTAAGAGGTTCCAATAGATACTCTGTAATCTGGTCCAGCCTAATGCAGCCCATTGTACGAACCGCAAGTGCTCGAATAAGGGCGTTCAAATCTTGCGTGTCTTTGCAGAACGAGTTTACTGGCAGCAAGGCCAACTCCGGTTGCGTTCGTGCGTAGTTTATGATGTACAAATACACCTGAAAAGTAGCCGTATTATTTCTTTCTGCATGATCAAAAAGAAAAAGTGAAGTATGGCTATGGACGTGCTGTTCCGAAAAGTGTCGATATGAATTATCTCAAGGAGTAAGGATCAAGACACTCAAGAAGGTTTGTTACCAGCTTTTTGAGCTCCACATTTGTTGTCTGCATACTCTGCACCACGTCGGGAAAAAGCGAGGACATGTCTTTACCGACAGTCATTGCTGCAATCACCTTTTTAACGGCGTCCATACGCTTCGACTCATCGTGAAGATGAAGCTCCTCCTTGTACTCGTGAATCTCACCTGAAAGAATATTCGGACGACATGCGGGCACAAGGATAGTTGGTGTTGAAAACGAACTAAACAAGTCGACCAACTCAATACTGCTACAGAGGGGAAACTTCTCTCGATGTTGATGAACGCTCAACGAAAGCCATCATAAATAAAGCTCGGCCTCGATTATAGGTATAGATACCCTTCTTCGTGGTTTGGAAGTATTTTCCTTCGCCTCTTGAAAGCCCCACCATCTTGTTAACCTTCGTGGAGGCTTTCTTAGCGAATTTTTCCATCATCCGGACCGATTCTACTCTGCGTCAGCCATATACCCGACAGTCTGCCCCCTGACGATAGGACAGCCCGCCACAACGAAAACAGTAAGAAAAGGCGAAACCACCGTGTAATCGATTTATTCTTAAGCAGGGTTGTAAGGCTTTTTTTCGTCTTAGTGTTTCGCTGCAGCTACTTGTGGTGGAGATCTCCCTTTCGTAGAGATACAGAGGTAAATCTGCTCGTTCGCCAGTACGTGTGGCAACAACTGATCGAAAAAGGAAACACTGAATTAACGGGCTGGCCTCTCCGCTACTTCGTTCTCCTATCGAGCACAGTGTCAGACTTCCCGCTTTAAGTGCGTTCCGAGGAAATATACAGTCTAGCAGTCGTCTGCTCCAAGCTCGTCGCCAACAGCAAGCGGAAATGTCAAAGCATCTACAATGAAGCAAGCAAACGAAGTGGCGTCACGGCGCATGGTGCTGGTTTCGTCTCCTGCCTCAACATCATAATATTCACGTCTATTTTGATGGGACAAGCTATTTCATCTACATCTACTCTCATTGTCTTTATCATTGTACATCCCAAAATCATCAAAAATTGTCGCACCTCCTCCTGCCTTTTGTGCTTTGAAAAGTCGCCAAAGAATCAGTTTCTCTTGTTCCACATGTTCCGCATTAGAACACACACAGAAGTAACACAATCAAATGAATAATATATAAGAAAGTCATAACTAGGAAAATGAAAAGAGAAAAATGATCGTGAAGTCACAACTTATGAGTGACAGTCTCGTCCTCCTCGTTTAGATATAGTCGATGTTCTTGAAAGGGTCGTGAGAGGAGGAGTAGTTGTTCGTCATGCTACGCATTCGTATCATGAGCAAGTTATTTATTCGCTCCAAAAGCGATGCCTATTTCTGATTTCCTCTACTTCAATTTCTTCACAACGCCATGATGTTTACTTGTAGTCTGTACGAGGAGATTTAAAAATGCTAGCGGTATTACAGGCAATCGAGAATGGGAAAATGTCTTGCTGAAGATGATTTGATTCCTCCTCTCGGTCTTTGTTGATCATCATCTCCATCTCATTCATCACGCTGACCACGACCGACCGACGGCGAGATACCTTTTTTCCAGACTCTAATGCGCGTGCTGCCGTTGTTATGATACGTTTTTTTTGGCTCCTTGTCATTATTCATGTGCTCCAGACGTTGACGTTGTACACCCAGAAAATTATAATTACAAGACCATTGAGCGCGCGCGCGGTGATAGACGCGGGGTCCTCCTGCGTCGCTCTACGCGACGCAGACCGTTTACTGTATTTGCATTTCTGAAAACAACATCTTCTTGTTATTTCCTTGTTGTTGATAAAAATGAAGGGAAATTTGCATTCGTTTTCAAGTTTATTAGCCAACATTTACCTGGAAGAATTTTCCTTTTTTCAGTACTAGAGGTCAAACAAGATGACAATGAGATGATCCAAAACTCTTCTTATGACCAGGGACAAGCACAGCAATGATGTGCAGGAGTCCTCGTTTATTCTGTACATTATGACTCGTTCCTTTCTCTGCTGCTCGCAAGTCCGATATTATGTGTGAAGAAAAATCGCTGTGCTAGTGCTGCTTGTGATATCTTCGAAAGGATTGAATATAAATAAGATGGATCCTCGTGCATAACCAGTGTGCTGCCACGTATTTAGAAGATTAAAAAGATTGACCGTGGTAGCATTTATGATGTGAATGTTGACCGGATGGAATCTCGCCTCCCGAGTCCTATACAAAACGCACCTCCCATCCGCCGTTTCAGATTGTGACGCGTCCTTCATGCGAAGATGTCGATGACGATGTATATCGAAATATCAGATGCAAAGGCTTACTCTACCTTGTCTATTTGATCTACGCATACTCATACGCAGTAAAAGATAACTTTTAAGATGTTGGAATATTGAGATTTCAATCGAGTTTGAGGAAGCTGTAAGCTGGATCTGGAATGTTTGCTAGAACGATCTTGAAGTTGACCTTCAAGTAATCAAACTGTAAAAATAAATCGCCATGAAAAGCTTGATGTTGCGAAATGTTATTTGGACGACGTAATTACATATATCCCAGGCCTCAGGGCTGAACGACCTCCCGCGATCTAAATTTTTGAGGGGGGGCCGTGAAACCCTGCGAGCGCCGTATCCACCTGAGCGAGGAGCGTGACGCGCGAGGGACTATTAGCGTGACGCGTAACAGCGTGACGCTCGCGCTGAGGAGCGTGACGCGCGTGGGGATATTAGCGAAGCGCGTGAGGGTGTGGCGCGTGCACATGATCTAGAGTGAGTGGCCCAGCTTACGCGGAGACGCTAGCTATACCTCAGGTTTTCCTGTGGGTCATCGACTTGGTGCCCCCGCTTGCTTCCCATTCGATGGGCCCCATCATGGCAGCAGCGCTAGCCAACTACGAAACTACGAGACAGAGCGAGCGAGAGACCCCCGCGCGCGTCACGCCAAGCCCCGCCCAGAAGCTGAGCCATCCCTAGCGCATCGCCACACCCTGACAAGGAGCACACCCCGCAGAGCTCCCGCGGTATCCTGAGCGATTTCCTCCAGTCAAACACCCGGCCCCTCTTGTAAGCCACTACAGCCGACCACCAGCGCGCCCGCGCTACCAAGCTAGTGGCTTACAGAGTGGCCCGCAGACCGCGGACGACTCGACTAAACACGGCGACCCACTTGAGGCCGAGATGGTTTGCCTGCTCTCGATTCCTGACCTGAGCCCACTCTAGATAGCTGACCAATGCCCAAACTGCAAAGCTGGCCCGAGCTCACTCGAGAGAGCTGACCAACGCGCAGCGTGGATAGCTGACGCAAGCCCATCCACACCACAGCAAGATAGCTGACCTTAGAAAAGCCAAACATCTACGCAAAGGCTTGACTTCATTACTTCCAAGCTGTGGAAGTTGTGACGAGTTGCGTCCGAGTTGTGGCAGCTGTGGCGGCCTGAAGCTCAATTGGGGGGATGAGGGCCAAACGGGCCAGGCCTCGCGACCGTGGCAGCCTTCTGCCCCTGGAGGCAGTCCCCGGATAAGGTCCAAGAGTCGGGACGCCTGTGGGGTACACGCGGAGAGCCGCTAGAGGGCTCCGGCTCCGCCTTTTGAGGCCTTCGCCCCCGGAAATCTTTACACGTCACCACCGCGGAAAAAAGGGCGCGCGGAGACGCCGCCGCCGCTCCATCCACAGGAGTGACGTGGGGGTAGGTTCATGGGCCGCGATCGCGCCGAGTGAGGGAGGCCTCCCTCCCTGGTACACATATAACGTCAAGAAAGCCATGCTTCAGGCACGCGCCTCCGTGTGTCGTCCTCTGATTTCTTGTGATGTAGAACTGGTCTCTAATACGTTCTTGTTGTTGACTGTTATGCAATACGACTAGCAATGAGAATGATCATTAACGTGAAGCCTTATGGGCGAGTAAATGCGACAGGCAATCGATCGAGGAACTTATGCAATCCGCGCCATTTCTATCCCAGGCCAACATGAATTGACGACGTGAATCTACTCGGCGATCTGCCTAAGCAAGATTTCCCTGAGTGACGCCTTCTGAATTACTCCGTTTATTTCTTACTCAATGAATGCGCATCGTTATTCCATCCTTACTCGTCTTAGGAGAAAAAAAACTAAAATCATATTGTTGCTCGACACGATCACGGACACCGTCACCGATCGTCACCATGATCCGCTTACTCCCTGTGCTAGGGTTTCTCGTCGTGTTTTCATCATGGCGACATTGAAAGATCTAGTTGAGAGTCTGCATCTCCGAGCCCAAGTGCGTCAAAACGCCGATCAGCTTCCTCTCCGGCGCGAATGTCGCTTTCGTCATCCCTATAGGTTGAGCATTGCATCTGTGAAGACGTGGCGTCGTCTACGAGAGATTCTTGTTTGTTTGGTGACGACGTTGTCAATACCTGTGACCCACTCGGTGGACTGGCCTCTTTGTGGAGAGGTGCTAGAACTGCTTGCGCGCGCAGTGCAGGATTCATCTCGTCTACGACTTCTTGGCTATCAAGCATATAGTTGCTAGTTGCACTAGACATCGGCGCCATATGATCTGATGTTGTAGTGACGAACTGGTAGTCTTCCGGAACGTCCGGCAGGTGTACTGGTCCCCGCCGGTCATCACGCGGGACAAAGACTTTGCGCTCTTCTTCCAGCGGTGCATCCGTCCCCCCGCCCAACGTGGTGGACGATGTCAACACCCCTCCTGTTACAACATGATGAATTGCTGGTGATGTTACGACGGACGAAGGCAGAGACGGCTGCCGAGACTGAGCTGCGCTACCCATGTCTGACATCGCCTTCCAGTGACCCTGAAGCTGCGCATGAGCTTCTTGCTCACCCTTTGTGGGTTGCTTCATAATGCCAGGTCGAAAGCGTGGTGAGTTCGACGAGACGCTGTGCGGCGTTGTTGCGCTGGTCCCCAAACGTGGCCGCCGGCTCAGATCGAAAGTGATGGAGGCTGAAAATTCGTTCTCAGAATTGCTGTTGTTACGCGACAGCTGACCGCTCCGCACAGAATCGTTCGAAGCACGCGAACGCGAAAGAAGACCGCGAGGAGAGGAAATTGCGAGGCCCCCCGTCGTCCATGCGGGCGCAATGGTAGGGTTACGAATAGTCAACGAGTCCCATCGAGGCGCAACATGATTTGATGACGTTGATGTAGCGGATCCGACCCTTGGAACACCACCACCAGTGCTGCTCGACGACTGCTGCTGAGACGATGAGGCTGAAGCTACACCGCCTTCCCCCATAGCACTAGGCTTAAGTTTCAGCGTACCCGGTGGCGGATTGCTAGAGGACGAATCTGTGTGTGTCATTGAGGAGGGCTGTGTGCCTGAACCGGAAGTCGAAGAAACGTACGACGGTGTTGATTCGGCCGCTCCAGCTGAGGCTTGTAATTGCTGTTGACGACTACTAGCTCCTCCGCTGGTGCCAACAACAACGTGTTGTTTCGTTACAACTGTTGGAGTCGTGGTTCCTCCCCGGGGGGAGCCTGAAGGAGATACACTGGCAGAGTTTACGGTACTATTGATGACACGTGGATGCGCGGCCACTACGGGGACGAGGTTGACGGGTTTCAAGTGATTCGCAGTCATCTGCGCCTGAACCTGTCCCGGAGACCCCGAGAGCTGAACGCTTGCATTTGCGCTGGGCGGCGAAGAGGCAATCTTGTTTAGGTAACTGTTGTAGAGTAGTTTCTGATTGTTTTGAGCTAGATTGTAACTATTTGGCGAGGACGACGCTGAAGAAGACTTGACCACATGTTCGCGTCCACGGATGACGAGGCTTCGCCCTATAGGCTGCCCAGTCGTGAAGGCTTTCACTACGTCTGCAAGAGTGCCGCTCTGGTGCGACGGGACACCAACAGAATGGGAATTCGCTGGAGTGAGTTTGATATTCTCGCAATCCTCATCTTCGGACAGCGACTTGAACGCGACTCCCTTCGATGACGTCTGAGTTACGGCTCCCACGGTACCGCCGTTGCGTGGGGTGTAGTACGCGTACTCTTCCGCCGATGAATACGCAAGGGCCGTGTTCCCTTTACTGTTTGATGCTAGGACCTCTTGCCTCGAGTCTTCGTGCTCTGAGCGCTCCGTGTAAAAACTCATCCCGGGCCCGAGTTTTTCTGCTGATATACTGTTCCCCTCACGTCGAGTTCTCTGGTCAGCACCCGAGCCATTCGTTCGCATGCCAGTGATTGGCAGTCCGTTAGACCTTCGAAACGCTCCTGAAGATCCTGCGCTTGTTTTCCCATTCATATTCTGGATCCTAGTTGTAGCGGCCGTGGACGTCAAAGAACCACCAGGCGCTGTCGTGTTCTTGGAGGACATATTTGAAGTCGAATAGCCTGCTGCACGAGCAGAAGCTTCTGTGCTGCATTCGGGTGACATCGCTATACTTATTCCATCCTTCGTTTGCATTCCTTCACGTTGTATGTACTGTTTCTTGTTTCCGTTACCACCTATTCCGGAAGCCGTTGATCCACGTGTGTCAGCAACTTGGTCTTGTGAAGTACGATTTGGTGAGTTTGCCGCAGACTGCTGTTGCAGGATCCTCCGTTTTGCCTCTAGATAAGCGGCATGCGTCCGCTGGTTTTCGGCAATTATGGCGGGTATTGTGCGCGAGTGGCTGTCTCGCAAAGCAGGACGATATTTTGTGGTGCCGGAAGATGAAGATTGTGCTGCTGTTCCTGAAGAAAAACGCCCCCCTACAAGATTCTTCGAGCCACGATGGGATACTCCACTCTTGCCACCTCCATTGTGGCGCGCAGAAGCACTTCCTCGCGTTTGCCTTGCTCCTGCGGACCCGGTTGCGACGCCCCCTCGCGGCGTGCGTAATCCCGGATCTGTCACGGATTTCGACGCTGCTGCCGAGCTCGGCGTAGTTCGACTAAATTTCCGTCTCGAAGCAGAAAGCGCAGTCGCCGACACAGGTGCACTGCGTCTATCGCCTCCTCTTGGCGTGACAGGTGCTCCGTTCTCGCCTAGCGATGAGCGCCTAGGCGTCCGAACAGGTTGAGCACCTGCTGCGAGAGAGCTTCCAGACGACCTCACAGCCACCAACGACGTTCGCACTGCTCTCGGGACTGGTGGTGTCGCAGGAACGCTGCTGCTGGTCTTAGAAGAGCCGATGGTCGTGGTCTGCTGTGTAGAGGTGCGCGAATGCGGCAAAAACGGAATCCCTCTAGAAGTGCGAGCCGACTGAATGCGCGCTGACAATGGCGCAGCTCCCACACCTGCAGAGCAGGCTGGACTGTGCCGCGACTCACTTAGCACCTGATCGCGGAGCTGCTGCGAGTGCTGCAAACGCTCTAGTGCTTCCAGTTCCATTTTCTCTGCCGCCTTGCGATTGCGTTTAATGTTGGGTTGACGTTGATCACGATTTTTGAACAACTAAATAATTCTAGAAGCACAGAGAACATGATACTTCTACTCTGTCCTAGAAATCACCCAATTTTTGAAATTATTGAATAACTGTTCAGATACAGATGAACAAGCAAAGAGGTACCGCAATCTGTGCATTCAGTGCCTCAACATCCCGGAGGCAGGTAACGTATCGCTCTTCTTTCTCAATCGTACGCTCCTCCTCTATTCGTTGTAGACGCTCCGCTCGACTCTGCTTCTGAAGTGCGCGAACTCCCTGCGCCATCGCTACCTGGTGATGCCAGGACGTTTTCCTGGTAATATTCACACAGCATGTATTAACCATGCTACTAGACAACAAGCGTTACAGGGCGTCGCGCTTGCCTTGGCCTAGAAGCATGCTGACGCTGAGTTTCAACTATCACTGATAATACCTGTTGCTGTTTTTCTAAGACTTCTTGCATTTTCGCAGATGCGAGCTCCTGCTCGTGGCGCTCCTTCTCGTCGCGCAAATTTGCCGCAGCCTCTCTTGCTTCTTCCTGTATGATAGCTAACTGCACCCCTTTATTAGCCTCCAACTCTGCACGCACGACATCCGCCTGGGAGGTTTGTATTTAGCTTCAGTAATCAGTTCTTGTTTACCTATTACTAAATATTTTTCTTTGTGCCGCGACTAGGAATTCTCCAGTAGACCATCTGCAGGTTACAATTCTCAGACTCTCACCAGCATAGTGGTTGCAAGGGATCACATATATCCATGTTACCATAGCTCTCTTTCCCTCGAGCATGGTCACGATGTCGTCGTAAAGCTGGGATGAATTGAGAACCCTTTCTTCGCGCACAACATCGGCTTGCTCAGTTTTTTCTGCTACTACCTGCGTCTTGCTGATTTCTCGCCAACATTGTCCTTCCTGGTTTGTCAGACGCTGAATCCGATTGTGTAAGATCTGTAACTTTTCTTTTTGCTCCTTCTCCAATTTCGCAAGGTGCTTTAGACTTCCATGCGTCGCCCCTACGCCACTAGCGAAAGACAAAAGGAGATCCTGGCGATCCTCAGCATCTTCTGCACCCTCATCATCATCTGGAGGTACGCCCGCTTCGTCACTGTCTTCTGGTGCACCGCCGTCTACAGAGAACATGATGGCGCTCATGTCGCCCAATGCCTGTTCGTCGCCAACGGCACTCACAGAAGGCGCGGTTCCCTCCTCCTCGTCAGGGACATGTTGTACCTCGGTAGCCATTTTGTTAGCGCAACTCTTTTCCTTCCAGAACAAGTCACGCTCAATGCTCGTAAATCAGGATCATGATCAGCATGGGAGGGCCTCCTTTCATATCCCCCTGTGCCTCAAATCCATCGTGATATGAAGTAGTTCTTTTTGTAGAGCTGGAGCTGTGGGGGTGAGTACCAATAACACAGTCCATCAACGGTTATACGTCTTCAGCTAGGGGTATAGGCAACACTGCCACGATCTTCATCTTCAACTTCCTTTACCTCTTTTGTTCATCCTTATCTCTGCGCAAACACTCTCCCTTCGCCTACATAACAAACAGAGTGAGTGAGAAAAAAAGATGAAGAACCATTCGAGCTGAGCCTTTCTGTCTCCAGCGATTTGCTAGCTTTCCCGAACAGGGATCAACAGATATGTTGGGTATAGATACATTAGTTTTTGGCTGGGCTACTCAATGCCCATTTGTTTAGTCGCGAGCTATGATGGCTCAGAAGTTTCTTAATCGTGAAGGTGATTGTCTTTATAACATTTATAGTTATCGAGTGCTTTTCTGATTCCCAATAGTACTAAGAATTTTCCTAAGTGTTGCCATCAAGAACAGCTGCACAGCTACGTCGCGTCTTGCATTTTCATGTATCAATGACCAATACAAATATCAAGGGACGCTCGATCCATCAGTGTCACTGATAGCGTCCAAAGAAGAGAGGAAAATTTGAGGGGATCAATCACAATCGAATCACTAATGTCCATGATATTCCAGCTCGGATCCGGATGCTTACAGCTAAATAGAAGAAAAGCGACGAAGCGCTGCCCTGGGATATCCTCATATCTAATGGGTGGAACATGAATTAAACGAGACACTTTCTACTATCAGGGGTGATGCATCGTGGGGCGCGTATGGTTTTTTGCTAGAGCTAAGGCTGTACTAGAATTCATTGTCGCGTACAACATGGTGCTGTCTCGAATCCACTGAAAGATCGTACTAGTTAGTTTTGCGTATCCTCTCGAGCATCTTTCCCCTTTTGCCACAAGGAGAGTCTGATGAGAAATTACTTCTACCTGTACCTAGCCTAGGTGCAAACCCTCATTCCCGTGCGCGACGGCGTTGTTCCCGAATAGTGTCCGGATCATCCCGGTTCTGGTCGCTGAGGAATTTCCGCCAAATCTTGTGATCCTTTCCGGTTTTTCGGTCGAAGACCCGACTGAAGTACTCCGTCGGCAACCAGCCACCCCTTACTCCGTCGGTCAAGACTACACCATTGGCGGACACATAAAAACGAATGCCGTCCCTGATGGCCTTGGCGATGTCCACTTCGATAACCACAGTCGCTTCGGGACGCATGCCGGAAACTACACCGCCATGTTCTGGAAGCGCCTGACAGAAATGGATATGATTGCGCTCCATCTTGTGCAAGCCGCCTGTTTCCAAAATTTTGCTCAAGGACTTCTGGAAGGTACCATGCACAATCACCGCAAGCGGTCGTGGTTGTGCTTCCACTTGCTGAGAGAGGCCGCCAGGGGGTGGGAGCACCGGGTGCTGTAGGGGTACTGGGGGAGAGCAGGTGGAAGACGCACCGTGGGCCGCGGCATAGGCAGCGACTCGTCGTGCGGCAGTCGCGGCTGCTTTCTCGCTTATCGTTAACGCTCGAGACGCGTTCAGTGGCTGTAGGGGAGGCGAGCGGGAGGGTGATGAGTATGGACCTGGTTGTGAGTGCGCACTCGATGACCTGGGCAAGAGGACTTGAGATGATGTTCTTGAGTTCGGTGTTGAACCTGATGACAAGACTAAAAAGTCGTCACGATGCTGGGCGGCTACAACAGCCCGATCGGCGTAACTGGCCAGCCCAGCTAGCTGGAGATAGTGCTCAATGCTCGCGACGGCAGTCATGGTTTCTTCAGCACTGACAATCTTGACAGAATGCCCCTGCGTACAGCGAATCCGCAAGGAATCTTCTGGCTCGCCCTCCTCTGGACCAGAAATCTGAAAACGCTGCTTGCGGTTCGCTTCCACAAGACATCTTACTTCTAATGGATGAATCGCGCCAAACTTGCCGACGTACTCTGGGTGTCTCAGGATGTCCCTAAGCACCACGTATCCATCCCGTCCCATACTTATGCCCATACGCTCAGCGGCATGTCGCAGGGTTCCTGAAGAAGGACGATGAAAGACAAAATACGGATGCAAGAGCATAGCGTCTAAGTAATATTCCAGGCTGATTTATCTACCTCTTCTGCATATTATTGTACTGATATGATGACTTAGTCATGATCGCAATCGCATCAGTACCACTCAACATCCTCGAGAGAAGTTCCTCGCGGCCCCGGGGAACAGCAATGGCGTGTCCCATGGGAGGCCCAGAGGACCAAGCAGTGGGACAGTAAACAACGTCCACATTGCGCTCTCCCGGCTCTGCTTGCCAAGCGTCTAACTGCAGTCGGTGCAGATCCTTTAACTGCTCTCCTTGCTTAGTCCTTGTTAAGACCAAACCGGGAGAATTCCCTTTGGTTTTGTTAATGTCTACAAGTTCCCATTGTATCGGACGGCTCAGCCATGCGTCACAAATTTCCTGGGGAGATAAATCCGCCGGATTCACTCCTGTGCCGAAAACTTCCTGTGGGTCATACTCGTTCCTCGTGCGCGGACTAGGCCGGAAAACATAAGGAAAGTGTCGGAATTCCGGCCATTCTTTTCGTGACATTGCATAGAAAAACTGTCCACCGGTTTCGCGTGCCAATGTGGACTGCACTTCCTTTCCCGCTGTACCTGACACAAAATCGGAGCCCAAAAGCTTTACTAAGACTGCTGGCACTTCGGAAGCAACGCCGCCTCCTTTTCCTTTTCCACCTTTGCCCATTTTTGTGTTTCTATTTCAATAAATAGTCGTGTGTGTGATAGAGCCGCTTAGAAGTTATGAGTACCTTGCATGCAGTACTAGAACGGAATAAAGTTACGAGTTACAAAACTCTTCAAAAAATCATAATGCTAGCAAAGTAAACAATGTAAAAACGTTAACGGCTAAAGATGGCTCCTGGCTCCTCACTCAGATAAGAACGAAGAGTAATAAAGCTTACAACACCTAAAGTCCTAGACCCCTTGTTACTTTGTATCCATCGATTAACTCATTGTATCCATCGAGCCTATCTACTTTCACTTTGTTGACTACCTATTCTTACTACGAATTCGATATCTCGCAAGCAAACAGAAACTATGGACGACGAAAATCAAAACAAGTGAAAGATAAACGCTTAGAAACGAGCATTTATGAAGCGTAGTGAGTAAAAACACGACGAAATAAGAATAACTAGAAGCAACGTCGTCTTTTACTTTTGAATTACAAAAGAAAATAAAGCAACTCGAAAAACCTACAACACAATCGGAAACACAATTTTTACAGTACAAGAATTAGACTGAGAGAAATGGCAAATCATCATCATGCTGGCACTGGCTGTCCTCAATTCATTGATAAACTTGAACAGGAACTTGATCAACATACAACTCGACCACTACCCTCTCCAATGTGGATCGGAAACATACACATGGGAGATCTTCTTTCGCACGGTGCGAGATCCATCGTCAACCTGACTCTGATTCTGTATTGATGAGAAGGATCTTACACTTACTGCGACGCACGGGGAAGCTACTAGAACCTCTCTCGCAGATCTTGATCTTAATCGTCGAAATCGGATCAAATGTACCGTGGTTTTTGCCGCACTTAGCTTATCTTTTCCGTCCACCACAAGCACTGACCCTCCACAACGACCAACTGCAGCTGCAGTACTAGAGCAACGGCTCTAGCAACACTTCGAAGCCTTTACTCTTCATTTTTTGAAGATCCGTCGACGAGTCCCTGCGTCGCTCTCTAGATAACACAGACGCAGAAGGCTCTACTTGTGTGTCGCTTCATCTTGTGATTTCTTTGATAGAACACAACATGCATTTGTCCGCACAGTGATAAGGTCGACCTCTTTTTTCCGTTTGCGACAGAGATAGGTGAATACAATGCCCGTGCGAAATTGCTTAACGTCGCAGGAGCGACATCGACGATGATCTTCAAGCGAGGATGAAGGTAGTCTTTGAGGTACATCAGGTGATGCTTTAGCGAGATGTGTGGGTGCGCTAGCACAATGGGGAATGATGTGCGACGTGGAGGTATTCGTATTAGATATGTCTCTTGATAGTTAGTGTAAAAATGACTAGAAGTTGAACAGTTCTTGAATCAGTCCCAATAGTGTGGAGATTTTTTCGAAGCTACTAGACTCTGGAACTTCCCATGAGCGTCTTCCATTGATCCTCATCTTCTAACTCCTCGTCGTCAGAATCGAGATGAATTTGGCCTCTGACGTCGAGATCCCACATGTTGAGAGGACCGCTTGCTGAGAGAATCCGAACTGCATCTGGCCCGCCTGTCCCATTATCGTCGTCGTAAAAGAAATTGTCGGGTTCGGGGCTGCTATCAAATGGCCCAGCTGTGCGTCCTTGATGGAGTGTGTTTGGGGTGCTCTTTGCGGTGGCAGTGCCTCCTCCGCGTGGAGTAGTCGTTGTCACTTCGCCGCGTGAACGCAAGACTTGGTTCCAGCTGCGGCGCTTTGCAGTTCTGGCATTGCCGCGTGGGAGCTGTCTTGTGCGCTCGCTACGTTCTAAATCCTTGTCCTTCTTCCGCAACAAGGCTTTTCGCGATTCCTCCACGAAGAGAATAGGCACAAAGGTGATGAGAAACGGGATTAAAATATGAAAGGTTGAAATTGCTCGTGTCTGGAACATGACGTTGCCGCCGGCGCTGAAGACCACCCAAAGACCTGAGATCATTTCAAGGATCACGAGGACGTTCAGCATTTTGTTTGGCAATCCATACTGAAGCAAGGATTGCTTGAATGTCGTCGTGGCGTAGGCGGCAGCGAGCTGTCCGACAACCAACGTCCAGTAGTAGCTGGTGGTCGCCTGTAAGTACAGATCGGCTTCTATCGCAGCTCTGTGGGCGGTGTCTGGCTTCAGCGGATCTGATGATCCTTGGTCAAGGCTTGTTCCGGGAGGCATGCCGTCCAGGTCCATCGAAGCCATATCTGAAGAAACATCCTCGTCGTGGCTGTGGAGAGCGTGCATCGCTGGAGCATAGAGAAGCAAGACGGAACAAACGAAGCAGCAAACGCTTTGCATCAGTCCCATGTAGCAGTATGAGTAGAGGAGGAGTCCTACATCCATCAACGGCTGCAACTTTGGGTGACGGGGTAGTCGCGTCATCAAACTGTCCTCGCTCGGCTGCACCGCGTACGCAATGCTGGTCCAAACGTCCGTCAAAATGTCGATTGCGAGAATTTGCGGAACAGTCAGTAAGGGCCCGGGTAGTTTCCACATCACAGAAGGCAGGATGATGCTGCTGATGAAGTTAAGACCAGGAAGGGTGGTGAGGATTTGCAGCAGCGTAGGCAAAAATTGTGGCATCTTCGAGCAGAGGGTGTACATGATGCTCTTGCGCAAATTATCGGCACTACGCCGGCCCTGCTCGATTCCGTTGATGATGCTCTGGAAATTGTCGTCGAGGAGAATTATGTCCGCCGCGTCCTTCGCAACCTCGGTACCGCGCACCCCCATGGCAATACCCACTTCCGCTTGTTTCAGAGCGGGTGCGTCGTTCACGCCGTCCCCTGTCATCGCGCAAATGGCACCCGTCATGCGCTTCCACCGGGTTTGGTTGCTGTGCAGTTGGTTCTCCATACGCCAAGGCCGATTATCGCGCCCTCTTCCTGCGCCATCCGCTCTTGCATCTTTTGACCGCGGAGGACGACCTAACACGTGAACGCGGACGCCTTCGCGGACCCGCCGGATAGTTTCTTTTGTGTACCTTTCGAAAAAGTGGTTTAGCGCGTTGTTCTCCATGCTCGTATTGGTGCTCCCGTCCGCGTCTGCTCCCTCCATCTGGTCTCGATACGTGTTTTTGTACATCTCTTCCCCGCCAAACGTTTGGTAAGCACGCACGATAATCTGCTTGTGCATTGGACTGACCCGCGCAAAGACGCGACACTCCTGTACGGCACGCATCCAGAAGTCAATAATGTGCTGTGGTTCTTCTCCCGTAATCATAGAGAATTCGTCTCCAGCGATAGGCATGTGCTCTTCTACTTGCTCTCCCGTAAGCACTTCCATACTTACGACAGATTCGAGGAAGACGCGCGGGGCTCCGCCCCCCGGGGTCGGCGGTGAGCCTGGCGCCGCAACGGGTCCCCGTGCTGTGTGAGCACCTTGAGAAGAACTGCCTGGAAAGGACGAGGTTTTTTCAACAACGTTGCCCAGCTCCCCAAAACCTCCGTTGTCAGTGTCAAAACCTCGAGCACCACTGCCGGGAAATTGTGCAAAGTTCTGCTGTTGCGATGGATTGAAATCCAAGTCAAACAGCAGATCGTCTTGCTTAGTTGGCGCTCCAAATCCCTGGTCATCAACTCCCAGGAGTGGATCGAAGCCGTCTGTAGCACTACCTTCACCATGCAGCCGACCGTTTTTTCTGCTTGTACCGAAGCCGAGTGCAGCTCCCCCAAGCTGTGACTCTCGACTGTTGTAGCTAGGCCGGCCGCCATCGACATGTCTATCGATCAAACCGGAGTGTGCTTCTGGATTTGTGTTTCGCGTGGCGAGCGAGGAGCCGGCTCCTGCTCCTGCAGTGTTTGGACCCGTCATTGGATCCACACCGCCAAGGACAGCGGCAGATCCGTCATCCTCTAGGATTCCGAGTTCACGTGCGATGGCTGCGGCTGTATCTCGATGATCACCCGTGACCATCACGACTTTCACGCCTGCACTTCGGGCACGGCTTACAGCCTCTCTAACGCCACGCTTCGGCGGGTCTTCCAGACCGTAAATACCAACGCAGCGCAGGCCTGAGATGTCGAGATTGAAGTCATCGAGACTGCTTCCGCTAATCTTACCTGCTGGGATACGATGCGACCCTCCACCGCGCATCTGATTGCTACTTGCTAGCGCAAACGCGTCATCACGTGGACTTGGTCCTAGGAGATGCGCAGCCAAACCTCTGTCGGCAGTATCCATCTGCAGCAGCGAGGAAGTCTCCTCTGGCGCCCTGCCGTTAGCACCATTTGACAAAGCACTGTCCGCGTTTCGACACTCTGCAACCATGATAACCCGTTTTCCTTGGTTCATCAGCTTTCTCCACTGCTCGAGCAGCCTTTCACCTGGTGGGTGCATTTTCAGGTACGGAAGCAACCGGTCTGCGGCTCCTTTTACAGTTATTACACGCGATGCTCCAGGTCCAGCGTTCTGACTCCCACCACCAATTGCAAGAGGCTGATCCATCAGAGACATTTGTCCACCTCCTGGTGTATTTTGGTTCGTGAAAGTGGTTTCGTGGACGGTGACCATGTACTTGTTCTGACTGGAAAACGGAATCTCGAAGATCTTCTTGAAGCACAAGCCAGCTGACTGCCCGACCAATTGCCGCGCAGCGTGATAGACAGCTATTTCCGTTGGAGATCCGGACAGATCGCTGGTCGGATCCAGACTACTTCCTGTCGCAAAAACTTCGCCTTCGTGACTACCAGCACCCCGTGTAGCGGTGGAGCCGCTTCCGAAGCCGTAGGAACTGCTTTGCACCGCAAGAATCTTTGACCCCGCGGGTGCAGAGGTTCCACCGCCACCAAAATTCACCATCGAAACTCCGCGATTCGTTGCGCGCGCTGTAGATGACGCAGAGCCGCCAATCTGATAGCTGCCGCCGAAATCGTTGGGGCTAGGAGCATGAAAATCCTCCACATCGCCAGTGTATCCAGCAGCCGAAAAACCTGCATTCGGCTTCTGAACAACGCTGACGCTGGTGTTCAAAATGCCCCCACGACAGAGGGGCTCAAGCTTTTGCATCACGCGTGGGCTTGCATACGAGACTGAGCAGCCTCCGCCTAGAAGTTCCTGCATTCGGTAGCACTCGCCGTCTTGGTCCACGACATCCGTGACCGTCATTTTCCCGGTCGTCAGGGTTCCAGTCTTGTCTGAGCAAACTACGCTGCAGCACCCGAGTGTCTCAACCTGTTGTAATGTGTCGAAAAATTATGGATATGTAGTTCGGCACTTCTGTTGCTGGGTCTCTGACGATTCGAAGCTGCAATTTTTATCGTTATTAACGAAGCCGAAAAAATGTTTTAGAGTCTACTTTTTAGACCTACTCCTAGTACCATAATAGATAAACAAGTCAGTGCCAGATCAGAAACTGTCGGTAAGTAAAAGTAGTTGTACCGCATCGAGCTTTCGCACGAGGACATTGACATCCGCCATTTGATAGCTTGCAATGAGAAGGGCTATCGTCGCTGTCGGAAGGAGGCCCTCTGGAATCTGCGCGAACAGCGAGCTTGCTGATGACTCCAGCACCTCAGCTGCACTTTTTCCTACGAAAAGTTCCGCAATCGCCGTGAGTAAACCCACGATTATGCCGACCCACGCGATTAAGTGTACAATGTTCTCCATCGCAATTTCGAATGTACTTCTCGGACGCGGTTTGTTGATGCCCTGCGCAATTTTTCCAAGCATCGTGTTGTCGCCAGTGGCATAGACTGCTCCGACGATGTTGCCCTTGAGTAGCAACGTTCCGCTGAACACAAGGTTGCGAGCCTCATTGCAATTCGTCTTGGGGTCCTCACATTTGGCTGCTTCGCGTGGTTCGGGCACGGACTCCCCGGTCAATGCTGCTTGATCTACCTCAGCGGCGTCACTGCAGTAGATCACTCGACAGTCGCAGGGAATGCGATCGCCTGAGCCCAAGCAAATGACGTCTCCGCGAACCAGATTTTCGGGATCTACGAAAACTTCTAACCTGTTTGATTCATTTGTTCGTTAACGCTTCCTTCAACATCAAATGGTCGGAACACAGCCTACTTTGACAATTACAAGAACATTACAACAGAAGTAGAATATGGAAAAAGAACTTCAGCTGACAAGAACGCTTTTATGTTTATCATCCATCGTCTGAATTAAATCAATAATATATGTAATTGTTGGAAGGGCTAAGTCTCTAGAGGTAAAACTGAATCAATATTATATATAATGAGTAGTTTTGTTTTCAACACACAGTCTTCAACTAAATCCATCTTCATTTTCGTCCTGAGTTCAGGTCGAAGTCCACAAGTACCTTTTTTCTGCTCCTTGCCTGCCGACATCTGTGGAGACGCGCAGAGTTTTGATTTTGTCGCTTGTTTGCATCGCATTCAGCGCTTCTAGCATGCTTTCTGCACGCTGCTCAGACCACCACTGCATCAGCGCTGACGCGATGATCACGGATGCTAGGATGCATGGCGTGATCATCTCTTCCCACAATCTGGATGATCCGTCGCCGTGTCCGCGGTTCTTAATCATCACCGTGAGGGTAATCTCAGTGAAGACAACTGCCCATAGCAAGATGTTGAAGCCCGTCAAGAATGTCGTCCGCAGCAAAGCGACCCACTTGTTCTCCTTCACTGGTGGACTGATTTTGTTCTTTCCGTAAAACTCCAAGCGTCGGCCTGCCTCGTGCATGTGCAAACCGTACACGCCGCTTTCAAGCGCTGGATCTGCAGGGGATAAGCTCAAAGTCGTCTCCAGGTACCGCGCAATACCATCGGGGGCCACGGTATGGATGTCAGTTCGATAACTGCCAACCCCATCACGTTCCTCGAGCTGTAGTAGAAGAATATCATAATACTTATTTGCCTGATATGAATTACGAAAAGTCATCTCAGCATACCTAATTTCTTTTCAAGCTGCTCAAGCACTCTCACGCAAGAAAGATGAATCTGTCTATTGTACCTTCGCACTTCTGACTCCTCCGGTCACGTCGTCGTCGAAGAGCCCTGAGGACGTACCGTGGCCGCGTTCTATTCTTTCTTTCTGCTCACGGTACCAGTAAAAAAGGAAAATGCCGAGTGCAAGCACAAATGTGCACACAAGTATGATAAGCAGGACGTCCGCAACCTGCAGCTCCACAGGTTTCTCGTCGATTGGACCCAAGCCCAGCATCTTGTCGCCTCCCGCGACTTCATCACCGATTGCAGGTGGAAAAGCCATTGTCGCTTGTCGCTCAGACCTTCTTGGTGCAGCAGACACAGAATTTCCAAGATGCCACACCGAGGAAGAAGATACGAATTGGGATAGAAAGGTATCCGCAGCACAAAATCGGACAAGCCTATGTCGCTATTCTTTTTTTCTCACGGAAATGTGAAATAGGAATACGAGTAATTCACGAAAATCCATGATCTAAAGCTATGACCAAAGGCGGAGCCGCGCGGAGCGAAGGCGAGCGCATTTCTAAATATACGGATAGGACCAGGAAGGGCCGAAGTAAAAAAGCAAGTTGTGCTGGTAATAGACACATCATCTAAGAGATATGCTCGAATATGCGAATTATCAGAATCTCAATGAAGAAAACCAAACCATCAATTACACGACGCTCCTGTAGTGGTATAGCAAAGTCAGTTGCTCTTGCTCATATATCATGTTTCTAAAATTCGTCAATGTCCTCGAGGGTGAATCAAAAAAAAAAGATATGCGCAGGGGAAAAAACGGGGGTGTCCTTGTTGTCATTTACTAGTTTACAAAAACGTCGGGTGCCTCGCCGTTGGCCTGCTGGTGGTATGACGTGCATTTCGAGTTGAAATTAGAATTAGAGTGCAGAAGATCCCATAATTAAGTTGCTTTTTTAGGCAAAACGATGAGAATGAATCAATGATTTATTGATTTACACTGCGCACTACCGTAGTTTCTCTTCACTCGTTTTCTATTTTTGCGCGCTTACATGATCTACAAAAAAGGCATCACAAGAATTTTGGGATCGATCGAGGTATGCAGGAAAGGGAACAAGACAAGCATGATCGCAGTAAATCTTCATTTTGGTTCGGAATTGGATCTTCTTCTTCGATAAAAATCATGATCTTTTTTCATCAGAGAACCAGCACTTGCAATCTATGTTCGTGGCATAAGAATAAGTACGCACACCTCTCTTCAACAGACGTCGCTCGTGCTTGATTATGTGCAAGGACAAGCAATAGGAAGCAAGCAACATGCATAAAAAAGTAATCAGAACTGATTATTTCTTTGATCTCTGATTCTAGTCGTTTTTTGCGTCACTCGTAATCGCTTCCAAGCAGGGGAAGTAGGAACGGACAAAGAACACCATGACATTTGTTGCGTTGCTGTCACGCAGAAAGATTTTTTTGAATAATTGGCACATAGTACGAAGTTCATCTTCTTGCGTGTGCGTGATTCGCTGTGCTAGATCTTTTAAAAGAGGACAAGCGTAAGCCTACAACTTCTAGCACTTTTAGATTTTTTTGGGTCCCAGTTATGCGTCAACAGTTCGCCTTCTGTCAAGTACTACTAGTTCGAACCCTAACAAAATGATACAAAAGGATTCATCACATTCATCACAGGCGCCCGCATATTTTTAACCTAGGCTAGTTTTTTTATTATGAGTGATTACATCTCTCCTTCACTTAGACTTAAACTTTTCCAACACTAATGCGAAGAAAAATCAAGAAAAATCAATGACATTAGCTCGATTATGTAATTCAATTTCAAGTTTGTCTTACTACATGCCTCGGAAAATACCAATTTTGCATATAGTTCTTTGGACGTTGACGGATTTTTTCTTGTTCGCTCTAAAACTACTACTGCATTTTTTTTTCTAACACAAACCATGATATGTTTCGCGTCGGGCATTTTTGTTTTCTGCGTTTTGTTTTACGTAAGACAACAACAAATCTATAATGGGCAAGAGGAACTAAACTGTAGCGAATGCTTCTCCGGTCACGCAATTTAGGGCTCGACTACCTCGATCTGCGACCTCAGCGCCTGCCAGTCAGCGTCAACCATCGAAGCATGTGAAAAATCGACTCTCACAGATGCGGTAATCTGGGACTCTTCGGATAGAAACCGTCGAACTGCACCAGCGGCCGCTTCGTTCCGTTTTACATGCAGGGAGAGAGCAAGTGTAATTGCTGCACGCAGCGTTGCCAGCTCTTGTGGCGTGCACTCCCGCGTCGAAGGCGAATCAGCTGACGAGAGTCGTGGCTCCGTTCGCGCACGCTTTGCACTACGCTCATCTTCTTCCGGCTCCTCGGTCGGCGACAGAGCATGACCAGATCTGTTAAAGAGATTGCTACATTTTTGGTTATCATGATCAAAAGCCAAGAGTAAAACTACTAGTACTTTTATTGCTGTTGTACAAACACATATTATCATCCCAATGGCTTTTCCAACATCCAAGATCATGAATGAAGGAGCTGCATAATAAATGCATTTAGCACGACTACGAAATTTAATGTCCTAGGATCCGTCAACAACAACAAGTACCTTGCCGCCTCCAAAATCGGTTCCGGCAACTGCAGTGTTGGATATTTGATGAGCGCAAACTTGACGTAAGCGAGGAGTCGGGCTTCGGATCCAATCCACGGGCATTGCAGGATGCAGAGCGCACAAATCAGGGGATGCCCTGCGTCACGCAGGATCCACTGATCTGTAGGGTATGCATTTTCGAGTATCCTCAAGGCATCCGAGGCGCTTGGTCCTCCGAGAGGCGTTCTGCTTGGGCTCATGCCTGGCGCAACACCTAATCCTCCCCGACCCTTGATCTTGATATTGTGCGCTCCCGAAGCAAATAAAACGCGATCTAAACGGGCCAAATGCTCGAAGTAGGCCTTGTACGGCGCTCGACCGCTTCCTGCCAGAGCGAGCTTCGCGAGGTTCGGTAGCTGCACGAAGTACCACTGTCGCCACTGCTGTGGGGTCCGCACGAATTGCTCTACGGGAACGATGTAAGCAGTCGGTGCGGTGTTAGCTGGTACGACTGAAGATGGCGTTCCAGCCGAGGATGGAGCAGGTGGCTTCACACTCTGGGCGCCTGGAACACTTGATGAGAGGGCCTGAAAGAGTAGACCGCCAGGGACAGCCGAAGACCCGGTCGGGCTGCTGTACACAGCACGATTGCTAGGACTGAAGGGGGATTGCCCGGCAGTTGGCATCGCTTGTTTTCCTTGACCTTTGTTCATTGCCGAGGGTGGCATCATCGGGCCGAGCGAGGGTGAACCATTGCTGTAACTCTTGCCCTTGCCTTTCGCAGCCTGCTTGCCACCTTTCATTTCCGTACTGGAAATCTTTACGGCAACGTCTTTCAACCAGGGGTTGGGACTATCAAGCGATGAGTGCTTCTTCGCCCACCGATCAGCATGGCCTAATCCAAACTGCCAACTCTGATCTCGCACTTCATCATCAGCAGAATCGTCCGTTCGTCGTCGCTTGGCCGGTGAGCCCTAAAGATTGGATCGGGGAAGAAGACGCGTTTATTCAATATGCTATGCTCGTTTGAGTTGCTTCATCTATTCTTCTTACAACTTCTACATCAAATCATCTGCATCTTTGTTATCATGATCGAGCACAGTCGTACTATTACAAGAAAATGCAGAAGATCCTTCTTTCCTAATACATGATACTTTTATTACATCCTCATCCTTGTTGTGTTTGTGAGTACTAACTCATTCGATAGCTGCTCTGCTTTCGACTACGAGTTATCAGCATAGTTCTTCATAATCATCAACTACACAATCAGAACACCATGTAGTACCGCTCCTTGTCCTTGTTGTCGTGCACCTGCTCGTGGCGAGTCAACCTGAAATCGAACCTTCGTTACGGGTCCGCTGCCGGAAGCCACGGCGTGGTTTACCTCTTCGCGCACCTCCCTTAGCTTCGGAGAAAGGTGATGCTTCAAAATTGGATTGATAGCAACCGAAGATGGTAGCACAGAATCCTGTACAGTCTCGGAAAGACCCTGGTAACCCGGTACATGCTGAGAATGTCGTTGAAATATTATTACATACAAAAAAGTCACAATGATGAAGATTATAAATGTTCAAGAAAATGAAAATGCAACAGCGAAAGAAATCCAGAAGCAGAACAAGTGAGCCGCGAGAAAATCCTCGTCCTAGAAGTAGTATCGTTCCTACAGAATTATAGTGCTTGTATGTTGTATAGTAGATCTGTGAGTAAGTTGTAGGAGTACGTAGATCTGTATAAACGACCTCATCTTCTTTCTACTTTTACTATAGTTTGAAGAAGATCGCCAGCATATTGAATTATTAATAAATATGAAGAAGCCACTTTGAATTCTGGTACTGGTTCCCACATGATCAATTACAATTAGTACCGAGAGTTCGTGCACGCTCGCCGTGACTGTGAGCGCCCTCCGACCCGGCGTCAGCGGAGTCTGTCTCGGTGAGTCTGCAACTGGTAGTGGTAGCGCTGGACTAGGCTTTGTGCTACCTACAGCAGCTGTAGGTGGATGAGCACTCGCGCTCATCGGAGGTAATGGCGCCACAGATGGGTGTTTGACGGGAGAAGAAGACGAGGTGACCGACGACACAACCGGTTCGAGTTTGTCATCCTTCAGCAGTTTCCTTTGGGCTGACTCGTACTTCAACATCGCGGGTGCGATTAGCCACTGAGCCACGAATGAAAGCGAATGCACGAAGACTGTCACGGTGAAATATTTCCCTTCAAGTTCAGCGGCTGTCAATGACTGTCTTTTGTGTGCTGAGCTTCGGGTTGACGCGGCAACGTCGGCGGTTGTGGACTCCTTTTTCGAGGACGACTCGCCCGATTTGCCTCCTGATGCATCCATTCCCCAGCCGCGCATGAGCTCTTGCACGTAGCTCTCAAGTCCTGCTGTCACACGGTCGCCGTCTTTCCCAGCATCGCGGCTCTTCATGAGGGGCGACGCGCCAGCGAGTTGAACGGTCGTTGGCATCGGAGGCAAGAGTGCAGCCGTGGATTTGGGTACGTAGCTTGTGAGCCCGCGTTTTGGCAAACCGATTCCGCAGAGTTCGTGGCGGCAAAAAGCCGCTGTGTTCGCGTCTTCGAGTCCTGCAATGCGAGCCAGAAAGGAGTTTTTCTGCCTGAAGAGTACGAAAAAGCGTTCGAGGCCTTCGAGGGTCCAGTAACTAGCAAAGTGCTTGAGAAGGCAAAAAACACCCATGTAGTGGGCCTCACGAATGTCCTCGGTCAAGAGATTCGAGAACATGAAAAAGAGCTTCTCCTCTTCCAGAATAGAGCCTGCATCATGATGCGCTTCAGACATGTCAGTATGATGCTTGAGAGCTCCTGCGTTTTTCATCGCCATCTTTGAGGTAGACGAGGATGCAGCATCGGACTTATTGTCTTTGTCAGCGACGTCTGCAGATGAGGTAGACTTTCTCATTATCTTCATGGTGCTCGAAGTCTTCGCAGATAGCTGGCTCTTCGGAACGCGCTTCCCAATCTGTCCGACATCCAGATCCTTGCCGAGCATTTCACCCAGAAACGCGTCTAGCTCACTTTTTCTCTGCTTCTCACTGATGTTGATATATGCTGCAGCATCCCGCCTAGGGCTTGACGGTTTTTTCGCAGATGCAGCAGCAGCTGGAGCCGCCGATGCTTTCTTCTCATTTTTCTCCGTCGAAGTGGCTGACAGTAGCGGCGTTCCGTGCACGTTCGGACGTTTAGCAGCAGCTTTTGCGAATTTTTTGTTTTTCCCGAGTTCAGGAGACTGTGCGTCAATTTTGACCTCCTTTTTAGTAGGCGAGAACTCTGCTTTTTTGGACTTGGTGTCCTCGCTGTGAGTGGCGCGAGAGTCTCCTATTTTGGAATCCACATCCCCCTCATCTGAGCTGGCCGCAACAGCGCTCTTCACCAGCTTTGCCCATTTCTTTTCAGGTCCCGTGGCCGGGGATCGCAACTGCGTGACTGCCTTGTGAGGCGACACAACATTAATCGTGTAGGCGTGGCTGTGGCTTTTCAATTCGGGGTGAAGGTCTTCTTTGCTAGCACCCAACTTCTTCCAGAATTCTGGCAGTTTCTCACGCGCCGCTGCAGCTGCCGCTTCCTTTTCCGCTTTCGCTGCTGCTTTGGCGTCTGCTGAGGCCTCCTCCAAGCCCGCCAGCGCTGGGACCACCTTGTTGCTCCCCGCCTTTGAAGACTTTGACGCGGGCGCTTTTTTCATCGACGAGGACGATTTCTTGTCTCCAGCTTCCACATTTGCTTTGCTTGTGTCTCGCACGAATTGCAGCATTTGCTTGTCGTCTTCGTCCGAGGACATGGGGTACTCGTCAATGGGAATCACCTTCGAACCAGCAGTGCGATCCTTACCGTATACAGGGTAAAAATGGCCGTGGCTGTGATGCGAACCCCGCACAGAAGTTTTCTGGTTCGCGAGCACGTAATGGGGCGTCCCATTATTCGTGTTTTCTTCGTGGCCAAACTCTCGTCCCAAGGCCGCCGCTTTCGCGCGCTCCATCAAATTACCTGTGGATTCGCCGCTAAACATCGTACTCCGGTAGTTCTCTTCGGGCTCACGCGCTGTGCAATCATGCCGTCGCAAAGTGTTCCGACTACGGTAGTGCTGTCCGCAATCGTTGCAGAAGTGATCCGGTTGTTGACCACTGGCAATTGCAGGCGCAGCCTCTTTCTCCTCCGCAGTTGCAGCCGACTTTCTCGGAGTTGACGCGCTCTTGCCCATCTTGGTACCCGACGCCATTTTTGCGGTACTCGTCTTTGCGACCTTCGATGCGCGAGATTTCTTGGCTAATGACGAGGTCGAATCTCCAGCTTCCGCATCGTTAAAGAAAAGAAAGGACATTCCTGCGCTGCTTGAAGATGGACCCGCGCCTGCGCCATGCGCATCGGGCTCTTTCTGGAGTGTTGACATCATGCCGGAAGATGGCAACGAATCGGCGGTAGAGGTCACTCTTTTTGCCATTTTCATGGCCATTGCCATCGATTTCCCTCCTTTCGGCGCTCCTGCGCCAGCTTTCTTTGCCATTGAAGTGGCCTTCGTCTTCGTCGAAGCGGTTTTTGCCTTGTCATTGCTCTTCTTCACCTCTTTCTTCACGCCCGCTTTTTCCGTCGATTTCATCGCGGATTCCTCCATTTTAGAAACGGCAGCCTTGTTGTTTGCATTTTTCATTGCCGCGCCCTTGCTTTTTGCTAGCTTTTTGTCGGTTTGATCCTCAGCCGCAGAACCAAGCGCGAAGTTATCATCGAACAAGTCTCCCTTTGCAGCCAGCTTGAGGTCCTCTTCCTGCTGTTTCGCGGCAAAGCCTGACTTTGCAGCATGCTGTCTCGTTAGGTGCGAAGCCGCGCCGGCGCTGAACGTCGGAGCTTCCTTCCGAAAATACCGCGTGCACGCTCCGGACTCGGTGAGCCACTTTTGAAAGACCTCTTTCACTGTATCCGCGTCCACGCCTAACTTGGCATCCCGTACGATGGGTTCGATTCCGCCATCGTCAGTGCTCGCGGAGCTGCTCACACCACCACGCATCTGGGCCCCAAAGGAAGCCGACGCTTCCAGGAGTTCGTGCAGGTCGCCAAGGCATCGCGTCGCGAGCGGTTGATACTTTGGTGGATACTTCTCACCCCGGTTGACGTAGACACCGGACACCGTCTGGAGCATCTCACAACGACTCATGATGACGATTTTTGAGCGATAGAGAGATCAAACCAAGAATAACTATTCAATGGAACGAAAACCAAATTTTCAAGAATAAATCTTACCAGGTTCCTTCCAGTCGTAGTTTCAAACCAAGCACATCACAAATAACTTCTCATGCCTTACAACGAGAAAAACGAGTCCACCTATTTACCAGCTGTTGTTCGAATACGAATCTATTCACGTCAGACTCAGATATCATTATTACTTCTCATATCAACATTTGGAAAAATTCGACCTAGAAAATCTGCGTAATAAACATAGCCTAGAAGACCACGCAAAATCCAAAGGCGCTTAATAGAATAGATACCCATTTACCTAGTTGTACCAAAAGATACTCATACTTAAGTACTTATGTATGAAAAAATCGGGAGAAGAATCAAGCGATAAAAGTGAAGTTCGCCTGCAGCATCTTGGATGCAAAAGGATATCATAAGTCTTGTGCTGGCAGCTTGCTCGAGGACAATGCAAGATGATGAACATGATGAGTTTAGACACTTCCCTCTGCACCTCACAGCAGACACCTAGCGTTATTATAACAGAGCAATTTATAAGGTTTCACAGCTCGCATGGCATGGAGTGCACGGATCACAGGGAGTAGCATGGAGCTAAAGGGGGAGCTTCTTGCGCCCCTTAAAGCTCTGCCCTCCAGGCACTCCATGCTAATCCATGCACCATGCGTGCTATAAATTACTCTGTATATAATCACTCAACTCTGCAGGCCCAAGCAGCAGCTCTTCTCGGACAGACGAACAATGCTCTCTCTTTGCTCTTCACTCGTGCACAGACTAAGTTTTGGATTTCTCACGAAAGATGCAGATCCTTAATGATGCATGTCTGCTCGTACTCGGCTCCCTCAAATAGAAGATAGTATCATACGGACAGACTTAATTTTATCTCTCAAAGATCTACAAGTCCAACGAGTACAACGCGCTGCTCAACAGAATATATCAGCAGTTGTGTTGTATAGACATGCATTCTTCATGTTCACCTCTTCATGAGTATAACATTCTTGTCTGCAGCTCTTGTAGGACCGCGCTCCCATGAAGTTGAAGCCTCACCGTCACGACCCTCGAGAAAGCATAAACATCACAACAGGATTATAAACACACGGGGCGATCAACGCATTGTCTGCCCGCAACATGGATAAAGCCAGGCAAGAATGCGCTTTATCGTTAGTGTTTTAGTTTATATACCTCACCAAAATAATGGAGATCTTTAATCATGGATGTACAAAAACTGCTATTTCATCGTCGTATAATTTCGTTAATTGTAGTATCTTGTTTTCTGGATAGCGCGAGTTCTACTGACTTCCATTACATTATATATTTCATGACTGTGAAACCTCCCGCTTACCTGACTCGTGATGTCGCTGCTACCAAGCAACAACGCACTAGTAAGGCCAACGTCCCTGTGTTTCGTTTCCTCGTTCTCAAGTCTCGACTTCTATTGTGTTCGTGCTTCCGTCAGCTTCAGGGAGGTCGGGTTCTAACAATTTCATCAGTCCGAATGCCGACAATCTCCATTTGGTACTGTTTCTGAGAGTTTATGAGTTTCGTGGACGCAAAAGCGGATAGATATGCGGATGTCGTCGAAGCGTTCGTGGACCACAAGAAAGGAAAATAAGTACGTCACGCACGATTTTTGAGGAACCCGGTCGTGAATATGAATTCCGGGTAGAAGTACTACAACCTCATCTGCTCCAGTGTTGAACTGCTCTTTTTTGTTGTTGTTCGCCACGTTGATAAAGAATCATTCGAAGTTGCTCTTGCTGCACGACGACACCGCCTAAGATAATTTTCTCCTTTTGAAAAGTCACCTGACTACGGCACATACACGCGCTCCACGTGCGTACGCACTACGATCTTCTGACGTGGATGCAGAACCTCCGGCAAGGACATCGTCGCTTGAGCTGTGATGTTGAAAACGGAGGGTAAGGTTTTCGTTATTGCATTTCATGTGTTGAAAGTCTGATAAGTACGCGAATCAGGTGGATTTCCGATGGATATGTCTACACTACGAAGATAAAAGAGAGCATGACGCTAAAAACAAAAACCCGATCAAAAAAATCGAAAAATACCCGCTGTGGACTCTGGCTTCAGGTAACGATCGACGCAGATAGGATTATTTTTCCGGTTGGTGCCGAGAATCATCTTTTTTGGCTTGGTATCCACCGGAGCAGAGGTACGTACATGACCGCCCATTTTGACTGATTTTCTATTCCAAGAACTTACCAAGATCAAGAAGTATGCGAAAGAATGCAGAAACTCGGGAAGTAGTATTAGTACTATTCCAGTGCTGTTTACTTAGACAACTCCTGTAATTCGTTTTACTTAACTTAACTAATAAATTAGAAGTAGGTACAACTTAGAAAAACAGAGTGAGCGCCACAGGACAGAGGATTGACCACGGATGTCTTAGCGATAGCTTTAGGCCTGCCAGCATATGGACCGGAAGTAAGAGACGTGAACTTCAGCAATAAAGGAATAAAATACTTTTTCATCGAGAAAAACATTCAAGATTTACGATCTTGCTCTTCTTACGTCTACACACATTGAAATCAGAATATTAGCGGTCTCTTCCCTCCGCACAGAAATGATGAAAAGAACATCCCTTACAAAAGCGTCTGTCGGACAGAGCAATGGGTCAATCAGCATTGATCACAATACTCGTCTCACGAAGGTCACGCTCGCCGACAAGCACTCTATTCTCACTCGATAACACAGACACAGACAGAGGCCTCGCACTGACAGACAAGGACAGATCGCTCGGCACGTGCTCCGTGCATTCTCTGCTTGCACTTCCACTTTCACATCACTCGGAAATTACAGATTGGTCCTCAGAACAAGTACCAACATCCGACTAACACAGAATCCTGTGGAGAGTTATAACGATGAAAGCGCAATAAAGCTCGTTTCTGTCGCACTCGATAGGGATTATCGGTTGGTGATTGGCACAAGGACTAGACTTACACAACATCAAAGAGAATGGAGCAACGTACGGATGAAACTTTTTTCCACTGCGAGTTTACTACATGATGATGAGCTACAGCTTAGAGTTACGCGTCTAGAAAATTGCGGTATCCTTCAAAAAAGGCGATCTGACACAAGCCCATACCATGCAAATAGTAGGGCAACGATAATGAGACTCAATCGTGGTGGAAGGAGCCATATCGCTGCCCCAGCAATTGCCGCGAACGTGAGTGTTTCTTTCACTTCAAGTAGCCAATTTGTGGTGGGTTGCTTCTGCACAACGTGTTCTCCAGCTCTTCTCTCTGCTTCCGTAAGCTGCGCGCTGGATCTAGTCCTTGTTCCACCATCCTCGGACCTCTTCTCTGGCGCTTGCAGAGGTGCGGCGCTGCTAACTGCCGTCATTCTTTTGGAATTTGGACTGTGAAAGTATACTTCTCCTCGACAATGAAAATGAAAAGAGCAAAAAAATATACCATGATAGGAGATGATGACAGGTGGACAAGTGAAAGATGCAATCTTACTCACAGCCGCAAAAAAATGGCCAGTTTTCATCGGGCTACGCCTTGTGGAGTTCATTCACAACCTAGGATGAAAATGAATGCACAGCCGAGTGGATATTTTTGAATTTCCGAAAACGTGCTGATGTCTACGACCTGTGGACTCTTTTTCAGGTTCCAAAGCCAAAACACAAGCAGAAGTGCGGCAAGAGCGAGCATGCGTGCTAGTTTAAGAGAACCCGCATTGAGCAAGGACCTCTGGCTTTTGTAAAGGGCGGATCTCATCATGGGGATCGAGTGTGTATATCTATCTTCAGTATGATTCTGAGATAGCACCATTGCCGGAACACGGCAGGGGGAAATCGTGTCTATATTTGGTCAACATACATGTCCGTCTTCCGTCAGCAAGTAGTATGTATGTATATGTGGGGGAGAGTGAATGAAAGCGCACGTTGTAGCTCATGTATGTAGTTTAGAAATGGACCCGCAATATAAATTGACGGCGTTTGAGATTGCTCTGCACGTGCCTCAGCCACGTTGAATCGACTGCCTGGCGAATCGTCCACCGGTTCCAGGACTTCTTGAAACGAGAGAGGCATCCGTATTTGGCGGGCGCCCAAACGTTGAGGCTGGCATCATGGTCCCGCCAGGCGGGATGAACTGTGTGGCGCCGGGCGAGGTAGGACCGGTTTCTGAAGGTAGAGGGCAGGGTGGCTCAATTGAAATAGAACTAGAATGGTCAATGTTTGATAACGTCATGACGATGGTCGCGCTGAGGGAATTCTCTACCATAAACGAAAGCTACTGCTAGCACTACGTACTAGAAGTAGTTGTAACTACCCCCATAATGACCTCCACTCGTGTGATAGCACTATACCACCCCTTCGAGTCGTCGCATCGATCCCTTGCTTTCCTGCAGGACCGCCACCCCTCAAGTTGCCGGCTTGTGGCGGTGGACGCGGTCCCAGTGCCACAGCTTCTTCGAGATACTGTCCGTAGAGACGTGGGGATTTTGCGATAGCGCAGTAGCCTGCTATTGACAATGCGAGTAATAAAATTGCTAATTCTTGAAACAGACAAGTAAGTGCCCTCCCATTAGTTAGTTCAGCTTCCAGGGATTTTGGATCACGGCGCCATCTAAGAAACGTCGCCCACTCAGTCGTTGTGAATCCGTACTTTTTTTCAGCGATTTTCACGGCTTCTTGAAAGCGATCCCACTTTCTTATCGGTGGTGCTCGCAGAAAAATATTATCCACGTACCGAAGCAATGGTATAATGTACCTGCAGCAGGCGGGAACAATCGGTATACCCTATAAAGATGATCTCATCAAATCTACTTAATATTCATCGAGTGTATGCATCGCCTTATTGTTATTCACAATTCCAGAGTATCCCCTCAGTCGGAAGTGCGATGTGTCTCAAACTTAAGTTAATAACGCTACGCAGTACTCTACTCAAGCAAGAACGTATTATCAAGAAATTATCCTGGTACCCTGATCTCGCATCATGCTTCGCTGAGTCGTCGCAGTTGAAGACATTCGCTGTTTTACAGCAGTCCACTCCGACTGCCCAGTACTCTACCCGGGACACGGGAGTTGGTGACTGGAACAGCACTGGCGCCACACAGTAGGTTGCCGATTCGCCCATCGGTTGGTAGGCTACGGCTCTCGTTGCGTCCACACGCGAGCCTTCGATAAATTCCAGCGTTCCTCCGTCAGCCCACAGCTGGGATGTACTACGGGGGTCGACACCGATGTAGGAGGTTCGGTCTGGCATCATCACTGCGCCGAAATGCTGATACAAATACATGTAGTTCAGAACGCCGAGGCATGTGAAGAAAAAGCCGCACGCTGCTAGGTCACTAAAGATTTTCTGCAACACCCGACGATTTGCTTTCTTGATGCACGCTTCATCGACAGAACGTGCTGCGGTGCCGGGCTGTGTAGTTGATGAGTTGGTATGTCGAATCAATTCGCGTCAATTCGCCATCTCTTTTTTAACTGATGAGTGCTCTTGCTCTATGACAGAAACAAAAACATGTTTACAAGAATGAAATAGCGACTCGGTGCATATTTTCATTGATTTATTGCAAGAAAAATGAACAATGAATACGACAAGTCGCCGTTCGATAAATGAGTAGAGGCCGTTGAAAGACGGAACGGGGTATACAAGCGGTAAGAACGCTGGTATGAGCGAGAAAAGCATTATGAGCACAACCAAACTCAGCGCGATAAGCTGAAGAGAAAAAAGTGGTAAAGGAATCTGTTTGATGAGGCCGCTGCTGGCGCAGCCTTTGTACAGCATGCGCTCACAACAAAAATAAGTTACTACTTCTGAGCCTGAAGAAGATGCGGATGTTTCCACATTTTCCATTTTCATCTTCTTCCAATATATACCAGTATGAGATGATCGAAAAATGTGTGTATCTTTTTCGCGTATAAGTGCTGGGGTGGCAGATAAACTCTTAGAAATACCGGGTAAGTGTGATAGCAGAGCGTGACGACCAGTCCCGTAACGTTATAGAAGAGAAGTGCACACACGATGAAGATAATGAAAAGCGCTCCTTGACCCACCTTCGGTGGAAGGTGTTGATTTAGAAGCGGCGTACCACCTGGGCGTGCACCTCCCGGCGCCGCTGCGCCGGGCTGGAGGCCACTGCTCCCGCGAGAGGGTGCCGCCATCGCCATTCTTCTCGCGTCCTCCGAACGGTGCAAAATTCCGGCGCTGGCAAACACTGCGCGCTCGCCGAACTCAGTCTCGCTGACACGAATATCACACCAGCACTACGGCGACGTATCTGTTACCTGCAGCCACTCGCGGTTGAGTAGCACCGACGATTCGACGCAGGCGAGTCAACGGAGTTACCGTGCGTAAAGTCAGTGCTGGTGGGGACTAGGTGTGTGACTGCTCGACTGCGCAATCAGAAAAACTTGGGATTGTGTGCCTCAGATTCCCTCCAAATAAACGGGTAAATCGGATGTCATTGTCGGCTAGTTTTGCGACCCCTCGACAAGTTACGCTTGCATCCGAATCTGTGCCTTAAAGAAGGGGTTAGTCCGCAGAACGAGAATTAGCTCGGTCTATATATATTTTTTGTGTGATACACTTCAGTATTTGCAGCGCTTGTTGTTGTGAACGCAGCTGGAATCTAGTCCTTCGCTCAGCTTCTTCTTGTATTTCATTTCCGAAAGCGAACCTTGTTAAAGGTAATCAGATTAAAGTAGCACACTCCATCAAGACTCGGAAAGCCAGCTCTAAGAATTTTAAGCTTTTCTCGATGGTTTTGAGAAGTGCACATTAGTAGAGTTCTTGATATATGATTAGGATCTACTGGATCTCTATCTCAGCGACCTATGGACCCACCTTTCACTTCAGTGGAATGAAGTATTCCTCTACTTCCCCTTGTTTCTCTCGATCTTCATCACTCGGACTTCTCGATAGTAAATTTTGACAATATAATTCTTTTTTCTCCTTGTCCTCAGTGAGAAAAATTGTTTTTCGGTTTTGTTCCTTTCATTCTCTTCCTCTTGAGAAACCAACATGTACGTTCTTTTGAGAGCAGTCCGCGTTGTTTTGTTCTGTCGTATCGTGGGGTCCTGCGTTCAGCCCGCATAATGTCGAGCACCCGACCTCCAGCAAGAGGTGAGTAGCGTTACTATGTTTCTCATGAGTATACCCAAAATCCAATATTCATGTGCTAACAACATGCTGAGTCATATATTGCGGTCAAATCTTCGTTTCTTTCTGGTATCAATAGTGTCGAGTTCGGAAGAGGTCGATTGATCTTCAATAATCAGTTTCCAATGCTGAGATGTTCTCCTGTGGCACAACCGGGTGCCATCGAGACATGTGGTGATGCTTGGTTTGTTGCCAAATAATGAATGTAAATAGTGTAGAGATAGACGTGTAGTAAGTGAAAGCAGAAATCATTGATTCACCACGATGATCCTCATTTTGTTTCGAGATAGATGAGATGAACTGTAGTCGTTGTGGTTCATCAATCAATGTCAATCACGATCAATATTGTGCGTTCTTATTCTTGCGAAAAGGCTTGAATGACGCAAAGCTTGTGGAATTCGAAAATTTATGCGAGCTATTGGTTTTCAACCGTTCCGCTCCAACCATGTGACAGGAAAGAACGAAGAAGCATACACTGCTGAATGTTATTCGCTAACGCTGTTACTCCTTTGGTTGGTTTTTTGGATTTGCCGGAGACCTTTCCCAAAGTTTCCAACACTTGTCGGTAAGCTGGTTTCGCTTCAAACTCGGGTTTTCCGCTTTCACCTTTTTTGATTGAGGTACACATCATAAATGATAGACTGAAAATCTGCTGGGTCTGATGATCAAGAAAAGCTCAGCGGAAGATATTAACCAAAAAACAAGAAGCATAAGTAGTTGAATTGAAACCACATCCAAGGACAAGATTGTCCCAAGAATCAATCTTCAAGCATATCATCAATTACAATCAACATTGTCGTAGTAAGTACCTTGTCGAGCATTTCACTTTCGAACATTTTGTATGTCATCTTAGGTGGCGGCTCCAGAGACAGTTTCTTCAAGGCGTCGTCAACGCTCGACGCAGAGATGTCGTTAGGATCTCTGTTCGGGTTCGGCATAATCTCTGGCGCATCCACTGTCATTGTTTTTTTCGTCTTCTTCTGAGCGCCCTGGGAGTCAGTTGATGCGCAAGAACGTCGACAAACACAAATTCAAACATATAATTGATTGATCTCACTGCTCATACAACATGTAGAAAACATAGATACCTTGTTGAAATCAAGATTCGTTTCCGTCGATCAAGAATGGCCTTAGTGTTTTATCTTCAGCTCGAACTCGATAATTATGGGTGCTTTTATACAGTACCTGACTAGACGCCGCAGCAAGAAGAGCCATATTCGCTTGAATCTGTGCTTGCGTTAGCTTTCCAGATGCCTGCTTCGCCTTTTTTGCCTGCACCTTGTCCACAATTGCGCCTGTCTCCGCCGCTTCTGCAGCTTCAAGCTCCTTCTTTTCTTGTCGTTTTCTCTCTGCCTCGGCCTGTTTTTCCTCTTGTGCGGCTGCCCGGTCAAGCTTCTTCTTGGCTCCCTTATCTCTCTCCTCCCAAGAAGCCTAAGAAATTGACGACGATGCGGATGTATTCGGCAATCTGCCTAAGATTTGCCTGACGACTTCTAAGAAATTTATGTAAGTAGTTGAAGGAGCTAGACTGTCTGAGAAGATCGTCTCCTCTTCAAAATGAATGTTGATGCGTACTAAGATGCTCGTATGTAAACGTAATAATTCGTACACATAAGAAGTTGTTGCTTTTGGTTTTGACATAGGTAGTCGAAGCCAGATCTTTCTCATCTATGTCTATCAACTACAACCTAGTGCATAAATTATATTTTTTTGATTCATCGACGATCAAAAAAGGGAATTATATTGGTAGTGGTACATCCTCCTCGGCTTTTGCTTTTTTCGAGGCAGCAAATTCTGCCGCCTCCGCGGCTTTCTCTTTTTTTGATTTGTCGCCGAAACCCATTTTCGGAAAAGTCGCTAGATATTACCGTACTTAGAAAAAAAATTAGGAACTCATCGGAAAATTTTTGTTGGAGCTATAAACTCATTCGATGAAGGAGCCGCTGTAATTTGGACGTTGGCTACCACTTTCACATAGTACTATAATCACGGTCACTTACTCATTCGCTAATTTCGTATTCGCTCCATCCTGTAAGTACTAGTCCAACGATTAGTACTATAGAATATCAAGCGCTTCCACATCTAATGTCTTGGAAGGAGTACGAAGTGATGTGATATCAGTCCGAATAGGGATACGATGTTGATTTCGCCGATAGTCGAACGTCGCGCGTTTTCGTTCACCTTTATAGTCATATGTAGTTACTTACATACTAGAAGATGATGAAGATGAAAAGTGGACGAAGATTTCAACTTCAGTGCTGCTTAATGTTATCATCAACCAGGGAGATAGACCGAGTGGTAGCACGATGGTGAATGAAATTATGAAGATGAGTCGTAGTAGTCGTATTCAACGTTGATCACGATATGAACAAGTCGATGAGGGGTTTCCTCTTTTGCTTGCGCAAACAAGATGAATCTCTGTATTAACAGGGAAGATCATCAAGAACGATCGAAAATGGTTGTCGACTGCGCGACTACCGCAGCACCGATTTTGACGCTTTAATGATCCAGAAGATCCATGGTCTTGTGGTCATATCTTGAAGAGATGATTGAGAACATGAACAACAATAGGGGAAGCATTTTTCATCAAGCCGGTGCTGGTCCTGGTGAAGCATGGACGAACGTTATTATGATCATCCAAGGACTCGTATATCAACTACCTTGACTCACTCTCTCGTCATCTTTCAATTGTCACGGATATTCGGATCACAATCGATGTCTGAAACTCACTTCAAGGAGTCGTGGAACACATGTACAACATGCACCGTGATCTAGTATGACGATATCTCATAACAACGCGCGCCTAGCTAGAAAAATTGTTTCACACTCGTTTTGATAATCGTATCTCTCTCTTGATACGAAAGCGGCTTCAAATTCAATCCGTATTTTCTTGCAGATCACGTACAAGTAGTAGTTAGAAGAACAGGTTGTTTGATGAATACGATGAGAAAAATGTGGTTTTCGATGAGGATGCAGTGCGCAGGACTGCATTAGATTATCGGACGTTCTTTCCGAAACCCCCATAATCACCGTAGCTGGTACGAGCGTGCCACCTCGTTTGGAAACGTTACCAGAAGGTCAAGTGAATTACGCGCCGGCGGCAGCGGCCATGACACCTTCTGCTGCCAAGCGATTGACCTCGTCTTTTGGCAGCCCACAATCGATCTTCACACACGGAACTCCTTTAGCTTCGAACCATTGGGAAACTCGAGCGGCGTCCTCTCGCGCAGCTTTCAACTCCCCTTCTGACATACCCTGGTGGGCCGATTGACATTAGACCAAAGCCGTCAGCAGAGCATTCGGATTTTTTCTTACGAAGCATGAAGACAATGGAAATCTTACTCAATTACCAGTTATTTCCGAGCATTAATACGGACTAATAGCTGAAGCCGACCAGCAAAAATCATAATTTTGTGTCATCTGTGCTTGGTCGGGGAAGTGCAGGCTTGCTATATCTGTCGCATCCAAGACGACACAGCGGTCGATCTCTTGGTTCTCTGCGGCCAAGGTCTTGCTTAGCATTTCAGCCTGCACTGTGTTCGCGGGAAAGCCGTCAACAACAAAACCTTTTCGACATTGCGGTTGTGCCAAACGCTCCTGAAAAGATGTCATACGAGGATGGGGATGCCCAAAAGCAGAATATTACAAACGGATAACAAAATCAAACTCAAAGATAACGAAGCGAGGATATATTCTATATCTGATTCAAAATTCGATATTCACAACTTCTAGTACCTGAATCCGCTGTAGTTTGTCTTCTGCCGTCATATGTGGCGAGTCGAGGGCCCCTAGAGGACTACAGTAGCCAAAATTGTGTCGAAAATGCTCTGCAACAGATGACTTCCCCGATGAAGGTGGCCCCACGATGACGGTTCGTTTTGTTGGCGCTCCAAGAATTCGATGCCGTCTCGTCAACTCCTGAATGAGCATGTGCGTTGGCATTCCTTCAAGAAATTCCCCATGATTGGGCAACGCCGATCCACTCGAACCACCCTGGGACGATGTAGCCATTCTTATCTTCTGAGTTCCTCGTTTAACGAGTTTTCTATAACTACAAGTACTCCTACTGGTAAAAGTCGAAAAAATTCATCAGTCTGCTGTGTCTGTGGATGATGTCAGTTCAGCAGTTCCTCTTCCCTACCGGCACGATAAGTAATTTTCTACCCCAAAAACTTTCGAGCAAGACTGCAAGAATTTCCACCAAGAAAAAAGGGGGCTACAAGGTGGACTTTCTCTATTTTCGATATCATTACAGATGCATGAAAACTTTCAGAGCGCAGAGTCAAGCAACAGCACCAGTGTTTGATCCTGTGGGCGGCTGGGTCACAACGATGAGCGTGACGCGCACAAGGATTATATCGGTCAACGACCACCCACTTTCATGAGGTGTAGAACAAGTAGCTCCTAAAACCACGTCTGAGTAGGCGGAAGATCATGAGGTAGACAGTAGAGTCAGGCAAGCTGTCCTCACCACAATCTGAATCTCGACCAACATCATCACCCAGCATGTGAGAGTTCATAAGATTGAACTCATTCAAAAAGTTGATGACACGTCCACGTATTCCTCAGCGAATCAATTCGTATTGCCTCGTGCCCTTAGCACTGGTCCGTGTCTGTACTTGAGAGCGTACCCTCATAGCAGCTTGTCGCACATCCAGAAAAGTGATTGCGACTCGCCGAGAATCCCTCCTTTGGTGCCCCTCACCCGCCTGCCTGTCTGTTCCACCGAGCATGTGAGGCCAAAAGAGCCAGCCAAGGCTCAAACCACTGCTGTAGTCCTGCTCCGGCTCGGACTCGTCGGATGAAGAGGAGGAGTCAGAACTCGATCCGTCCTCCGTGTCTAGCGATTCATCTTCCACTGTCGCTTTCTTGTCCTTGTCTCGTTCAGACGATACGAAATTCCCTGCAGATGAGGCGTTCTTCTCCCGAGGGTTTCCCTGCATGTTTCTTCTATCTCCATCACGTGTGATATGTTGCGTCTCAAAGCAATCCTGAAAGGCAGATTCGGTACTCTCGGCTGCTGAATCGCTTCTACAGCTAGGACTGCGAATTGAGATTGTTGCGACCGCTTCGTGTTTCGCTGCACCAAATGCGAGCTTTCCAGACTGATCCCACATCAGGTTTTTAGTACTCGCCTTTCGCCTCCCACGCGCATCCTCGGCCGTAATTATATCTGCTTCGCCATTTTCAGCGCCTTGCTTATTTCCGTCAGAGCTGCCCGTTTCGTAATCGTCCGTGGTGAGGTGCTCTTCTAATGCTCGCGAGAGTTCTGGACTGTCGAAGTCTATGATCAAGGGAAGCTTGGTCTCGCCTTCAGGAGAACCTTTCTTGCCTTGGTGAAATAGACTTCCTGCGCTTGAGGATGTCTCCTGCTTTCTGTAGTTCTCTCCCTCATCAGTCAGCTTCCATCGACTGCCAACAGGAAGCTCCGACCGCTTCCACTTTCGTCCCCCACGGACGCGCATTTCGTTTGAAGGTCGTATCACTTTCTCTGCATAGAGCTTTGGTGTTCGCCGCAAACTAATGTAGACCGCTTCATCAGCTACGTGAGCAATGTCAGCTCCAGAGAAATTCATCATCATCGCGTCGACACACAGAGCAGATAAGTGCTCTCCTGCTCCGTCTGAAGTTACGCCTTGTGCTGACCTTTCGTCTTGGCTTTTGTCCTCCTCTGCTTTAGCTTTTCCGCTAGTGCTTCCAAAAGAGGAACGACTCGACCTCTCATTTTCACTAACCGAGTTACGAAGGATCAGCGGCTTGTCGGCTAAGGCTTTCTCGAGTATCAGGAGTCGCTGCTCTGCGCCCGGAAGCTGGAGGAAGATTTGGCGGTCAAAGCGACCCGGACGTAACAGTGCTGCATCCAACGCTGCGTAGCGATTTGTCGCGCCAAGCACCATGATGTGATCACTATCAAAACCATTTTTAGAAAAGCCATCCAATTCATGCAACAGCTGGTTCACGGTTTGCACGGTTTCGCTGTGTCCTCCATTGACCGAGAACGCTTCTTCTCGGAAGGAGCTGCCAGCGCTTCCGCGACTTCCAATCGCGTCTATCTCATCAAAGAAAACCACGCACGTACCACCAGTCTGTCCGTTCCTCCCGTCGCCGCCATCAGAGGATGCACTTCCCCTGAAGCCATTTCGGAACACCTGAGTTGCTCTGTCAACAATCTTTCCCAGTTGTCCGTCAAACGATGTGAGCCTGCCTGGTCCTGCACTATTCCGTCGCGTTGCAGTCGCAATTGCGCGCGCGCGTTTAAAAATCGTGCGAACCCGCGCAGCTCCGCGACCAACGTAGAGCTCGATCAACTCAGAGCCACAACAAGTGAGGAATCCGGCATCCGCCTCGTTGGCAATCGCTTTAGCGACCATCGTTTTTCCAGTTCCCGCTGGACCCGTCAGTAAGACACCGCGAAACGGCCCGCTCACATCTCGGTACCGTTCAGGATGGTTCAGACTGTCAACGACTTCTTGCAGTTCGGCTTTCACAGAAGCAGGTAGCGTGACGTCATTGAGCAAAGGCCGTGGCCGTATCAACTTAAATTTTATCTCAGAAGTCTTGTTATCGATTTGGCCACCAGTTCCCTGCGTCTTCTCAGCCAGGCGCTTCCAAAATGCTCGAATATAACCTCTCTGCTTGATTTCGTCGCGCAAAGACGTAGTCGCTTGACTCTGGACATTCTTTTTACCTACTTTCTTGTTGCGCGTAACTCGCTTCCGACGTCGCTGTGTCTGTGTGCTCACCTCAGGTCTGTAGGAGTCATCCGCGCCTTCTGCCAGGGATTTTGTCAGGTAGAACAGCACGATGAAGCTCAATGCAGGTGCCATGACGGTTAGAACCGTCTTGGCGACTCGAACTACAGTAGAACTTGGTAGAGGAGGTAGCGCCATCTGAAAATCTCGGACATGCTCCTGCACTAACGAAAAAAGCATTTGCTGAGAGCCAGGCGTCAGCAAAGCCACGTATTTCATCGGTACCAGAACGCTCGAACCAGCAGACACCGACAAATTATCTAATGAAGTGCTGCCACCCTGGCTTTCACTAGAAGACGTCCTACTCTTGGATGAGAAAGCAAGTGCAGATTCCATGATCTTCGTGGATGCTGAGCTGCCAGTTGCGTTCGTATCGCGGTGAGGTCCTTTTGTTTTGCTCGTCGTGGTCCCTGGCATCGTGTCTACGATAATACAGTCACTCAGCTTTTTCGTTCCATGCGCAATAACAGTTTTTCCACTCAGCTGCCACTCTACAGAGTGGATATTTCCAGCTTTTATCTCCGATATCAACGAGGAAAGCGGTAGGACTAGAGGCTCTGCTTTTGCATAAATGTGGGTCAGCCGTTGGCATAATTTCTTTTCGGCAGCTGTTAGAGCAGTTTCCCCGGTAGATGTACTTGATGTTGATGACGTGGCGGCGGATTCGGCTGAAGGTGAACGTGCAACAGGTTGACTGTTGCCTTTTGATGTTCGATCAGTGGCCGTACGACTGGAAGCTTTGATTTTCCTCAAACGTCGCACAAGAAGAAACGAGAAAAAACCACCAAGGACCAGCAACGACAGTGCCTCTCTCCTTTGATGCGTGTAGAGCCGGACGAAGATGAAGTACAGGAACTCCCGCCAAAGTCGTTGAAGCATGTGCCATAATTCCAGCAGAGTGTAGTTTCTGTTATCTTTTTGATCCACCTGGTGTTCTTTTCCCACTCCGGTATCGCCACCTCCGCCTGACGAAGGTCGTCTTCTCGGAGGAGGACTACTGGTGTCGTATTGCAGAACTAGGCGTTGGTAGTCCGCTGGTTGATGCGGTTGCAGGAGTCCCGAATTTTCGACGATTTTTCCAACTCGGGTTCGCAGGCGCGCAAGTAGAAGCACCGTCAGCCCGGAGAGTGGCACTGGACGATGTTCTGCAAGAGATGTCGCGTCCGAGACTAGAGCACGTGGCTCCTCCCGATAACGGGACACTGCGTTAGCCAATTTTTGCGGCCACGCTACCCCGGGTGGCCCAGCATCCTCCTCGGCTTCAGGCTCCTCCGCGGTAGCAACAACCATTTGATTGACCACACGAGAAGGGATCTAAATTAGAGGTCCTTCATCACGTTCTGAATCTCATCCTACACTCCTTTTCTCATTCCGCGGCATTCTTTTACTACGTCAACATAGACCAAGGCTACTTGCAAAGCCGCAGGAGGTGAGAGTCAAGAACGGATTTATTCCAACCGGATCCTTCAGGAATCGGACGTCTATTCTTTAGAACCAAACCGATGAAACTTGTTCGACACAGTCTTAGCTTTCTTCATCATAGATTCTCCTCTACTGTGTGCGTATAATGATCATCATGACGACATGGAACAACTACATGGAGACGCATTGACCGAGAAGCTGATAGAACCGTCACGAAGAGCAGAGAGTAGGATACTCCCAAAGCAGCGTTCTCCTGCATCGCTGCAGCTGTGCCAAACTGTTTGGTAGCAGCTCCACCAAAAAATTTGGTATCTATATTTCCTTGCGACAGAGTGAAACACGATCTCGGAGGACTGCAAAATTTATCACCCGTGCGGTTGTCTTGGTCTTCGTACTAGTTAATTGGCTTGTAATGTGCAGGATCAGGAGCCTAGCTTAGGTTAGGTGTGGGCCCACTAGGCTACTGAAGAGCGAAAAACACGACTACAACCTAGAGCTGGTGAGGCTCCGCTAAGTTCTACGCTTTATGTTATACGCTAATCCGTTGATCTACGTTGCTTCACCATTGTTGATCCAAGTTGCTTCACCCTTTCATCGCGAAAACATCGCCTTCGACAAAGCTTGCGGAAAACCTCGGGTTAGGCACCCAGGTTCAAAATACCGCTGCGACGATTTCGTAGTACGTAAATCTATCATGAAAAAGACTTTGAATTTCATTTTTGTTTCGTCGGCCAGTGCTCGTACCGCAATCCTCAAAGTACGTGCAAATAAAAAAGATCTACCCTGACCTAGTCAGCCATACGTAAGTTATGAGCTACTTCTAGATCGTCCGCAAAGAAAAAGATAGACCTGTTGGGTGGAGATCAGGACTATGGACGTCCAAGGAATTTGTCGCTCTAGGGCAGCACAGGACTCTTACTGTATTATCACCTGCTAATTATAAAGAATACGGTGGAGGTAATGGATCCTGGAAAATTAGACGACAATGCAAAGGGAACAAGTTCCCAATGCACGGCGCTGAAAGAGTTGTCGGCTGCAACGTTATGGTTGTCTGCCGCCGCTGCCGCCGCCGCTGCCATCCAGACAAGTGAGTCAAGGACGCCGTCGGTCCAAGCACTGCTGGTACGTAGGGCAGGTCTCTTCTTGTTCTTCTTCTTGTGTGAGAAAGAAAAATGAAATCCAGAATAACAAATTGGTCGAGGTGCTTCGGTATACACACTTCCTGCTATAGGATAATGGTTTCTCGTTCATCATGTTGATACTTCCACCTTCACGTGAATTTTTCTCGAAAAGGGCTCCTCTTGCTGCATGTTAAAAAACTGAAGCTAAAAATAATTCGTATGTTATTAAAGATAGTCCGTCCGAGATCGCCCATCGTTTGTATTTGTCTGAATGCCTCTACATAATAATTTCTTTGATCTGACAGCAACTAATTACTTACATTTCCCTTGCGTAAAAAGAAAAACAAATGAACTAGTATTCACTGATGCCGTCTGCGTCTAGTATCTGTATATTCTTAGGTCTGAAAAACACAAGCATTCAATAAGTTCGTTTTCATGGATTTCCTTTCCTTTTCTAAAATCAAGTAAAAAATGTTCAAGATCTCTTTCTGAAAATGATGAAACCATGGAACCTCAAATCATAGTTGTACCGCTTTTCTCCAGCACGTCGTCGATGATAGTGAACTGAACAAGAAATGCTTAAACTACTCCTCAAGACTCAAGTCGAGTCCTGCTGCAGATTTGAACTCATGATGTAGACTTAGCGCACGCGCACCACTGGAAATGGAACAACTCCTAACTATGCCAGGTCTACCTGCTATAAGTACGTAAAACTTAAAACTGAGGGCTACAACGCATTAGAACTGGACGTTCTGTCCCCACGGCAGAACTGCTGGGATTTCCATTTTGGTGGAAACGTCGTTGAATTCCAATGGTAGTCCGCCTTTTGCGCCGAATGGAAGGGCTTGCGTATCCGGGAACTTGCTATCTAGCATGCCCTCCGGCAGTGGCGCCGCACAACAGGCTGGCGGACATGAGATCGGGTTCACTCGGACCTTCGGGTCCGTAGGCATTCGGACGCACGTCAGTGTGCCAAGCGGCTTGCCGTCTTTTACCAACTCGACCTTGAACTTGCCGGTTGGCTTGTCGTTCTCGAATTTTCCTTGGAGGCCGTCGCACGTTACGACAGTTCCCTTGTAGTTTCCAGCTACGCCGTCCGAAGGAAAGTCCGCCTCTTGGCCAAATGTCCATACACCCGCGCCAGTACGCTTGTTGCCGCTGTAGTCGCCGTCATACTTGCCGGTTGCTCCCTGGACTACACCTGAGGAGGAGCGACAGCGAGGCAGTTATGCGATACATATTTCTTACCGACTTCTAAGATTAAGTAGTACAACGAACAGGAAACTCAGTGACAATGTTGTTCTACTACACGTACTCCTTTGAGGCTTCCAAGATTTATTAAATGAAGGTAACCAAACTACTCTGTACCTTTTCCATTGAGCTTGTGTCCTTGCACTGTTCCTTTGATTATTGCCCCGTCGGCTGAGACGTCAATGCTGCCGTTAAAATCAAAGGTCTTGCCCTTTAATTTCGTGAGATCACTCTTCGGAACCTTGTACTTCACTTCGCCTTGTGAGCCATCGACCGCGAAAACGAAGTATTTCTCTCCTTTCTCCTCCACCAATCGCCAGCTGTCTTTCGGAGTCGCCTTGCATGTGTACTCGACTTTCTTCGCCGTTTGCAGCTGACCGTCTTTGAAAGTCCCTTCGACCACAGTCACATCTTCTGTACCTGAGATGTGTTCCATAGAGGCTTCCCCGTGTTTCAGGCCACCTTTCCACTCGCCTTTGTACTTGCTCACGCCCTTGAATTTCCTTAAAGCTGGTGGCTTCACATTAAGGACACCACGACCGTCGAACTTCCCCGCTTTGTAGTCGCCAGCGTAGCTGAAGTCAGCGGTGCCGATGAAAGCGTCCTTGCCGCTGCACGCGCCATTTACCATCGGGGCTGCGAAGTCGACGACTTTCTTCTCGTCATCCACCGTCTTCATGCACATGTAACCGTTCAGGCAAAGCTTGTTGTTCTTAGAATAAGATAGTGTTTGATGAGGAAAATGTCGAATTCCATTTCTCTACACGAAAAACTATGACTATCACTTGTCATAATCTTCAATGACTCGTAGAGCTGGCCTTTAACCCAAGGGTCATCTTGACCTTCGTACATGCCTAATGAGTCGTCGCGGAACTCGGCAACTAGACCCGCGTCGTCGACGACGCCATTCACCTGTAGTGAAGTGGTGGGATTGAAAGCGTGTGATGCGTAAGTGCAAAACAAAGCATGAAGTCGACGTCTAGAACGTAGTTTCCAAAACACAAACAGGAGAAAGAAGTATGAAGACTGCTTACTGCCATGAACGCGCTAGAGGTAGTCTATCGCATGTATCAAGTCTACCTGCAATAGCCTGCCCATGTAGTTCGTAAAATTTGTCGTGACATCAAGGTCCGTGCCTGACGCGAAGGTTCCTTGTAGTTTTTTGTCTGTAACCTTCTTTGTTTCCACGGGCAGCTTGTCCCACAGTTCCTCGGTGAAAGAGGGGAATGCTGTGGGAAAGATTGCGCTCAATTTGCGCGAGAGACTTCGGAAATACTCTTTGCTCTCCCAGTGCACCTCTGCGTACACCTCGCCACTCACTGGGGTTAGAGATGGGAAGATGTAATTCTTCAAACTACTTTGTATCATGATCGCATATTTTATGTGTGGGATTTCTAAGTGTTCCGAATGGCTCGGCTACTTGTTCATGATCTCAACATCAAGATCAAGGTCATCCTCCGTTAACTAATTACTACGTACTTCGTACTTATGTTGCTCCTTAACTTGGTGTACCATGGTGGGGCAGAGGTTTCGCATGGCAAACCCTGTAAAAGCAACTCCTCGCAAAATTTCTTTTGTTGTGCTGTAGACATCCACTTTGGCTTCTTTTTCCTGCCCATTTCCATCAGCATACAAGCATCCTCGTATGGAATCTCCTTCTTATACGCCTTCCAGTCTTCCGCAAGATTCGCCATTCCCTTCTTATACTGATCCCACTGGAAGTATGAAAGGAGAAGAACGGCTATAACCGACCGCAAATTCTCTTTAGTCATTTGCTGTCACGCCTATGACGAAAAACAGAGCATTTTTTGATTATAGCTAGGTGGTTTGTCATGCTTGACAACCTTTTTTTGTAATCGCTTGACAACTGTGAAACATACGTCCAGTATGTTCATGACCATAACATGTCCTCCCTTGTGTCAATCGCGTACACGGTGCCTTGCTTTGGGTCGTCACCGTTGACGCAATCGAATTTGAACCACTGTCGGTAAAGGGCATCGAGGTCCTCGCGAATGTACTCGTCGCAGTGGTATTCCTTGACGTTGAGCCTCTGCGGAAATTTGTAATCGTTGACGTTGAGACCGTCCCGGAAGTAGGAACTCGGATCTGCGTCCATCAGATTCTTGAACATGGGTAGCTTCTTAAGCGGCTCTAGTAATCGGGAGAGCACGTACACGTCAAAGTCGCCGAGCGGTTCGTCATAGAAGCCATATGTCCGTCGCGTTTCCTCGATCTTGCGATTTAGCTCGTCCTTAATGGCACCTCCACCGCCGAAGTCGGTGTCGGTCGTGGATTCTGAGTCTGTGTCGTTCGGGATGCCCAAAAGCTTGCACAGCTTCTTGTTTTTCGTGCCCATTAAGAATGCATAGTCCTTCTTCAGCTGGTAGAGCGCCTGTGACGGTGAAATAGCGTTCTGACCGCAGGATAGACACGCCGCGCCGAAGAGTTCCACAGGCGAAACGTCCATTAGCGCATTCTTCATGAACTGGGAACTGCCTTTGCCGGTGGTCCCCTTGCCCTCGTTCAGGGGTACGACTGTTCCGAAGTAGTACTTGATGACGCTCGAGCCGGCTTCGACCTCGCCGTCCAGAAGCATGAGTTCGCCCAAAACAGGTCGGTCCTTGGCCCATATGCCGTTGAAGCGGTAAGTCAGCTTTTTCTTGCTGCTCGTCTCGATCGCAAAGTAGGCCATCCCCTTGCCACTGCGCAATCCATTCTCGAAGTTTCCATCGTATTGCACGACTTGCCGTTCGAAGAAAGCTTTCGCATGGTGGACCTGTTCCTTATCATCACCTGGAGTGTACACGTCCTGCATCTTGTGTCCCAAGGGACTGGTGCTGCCTGGATACAGCGACTGGTGCGGGCATTTTTCGGAGACCTGCAGTTTGAAGTAGATGCCGTCGCCGTGGAACTTGTGCGATTTCCAGCTACCGCAATACCGCGATTTCGGCAAGTAGCCTGGAACGGTCTTGCTCTTCATGTAGAACTTCTGGTAGCCCTGCTTGCCCTCGCGAATTTGCAAGTTGGGATCCTCCGGATGCTCTCTGGCCTCGCCGTCGTACCCCAGAATAAACTGTTGCGGCACGCTCATCTGGTATTTTTCGACCAAATCCGCCCACATGGTGATCTTCGCAGCATCCATGCCGAAGGCCACGATGTCACCGCTCTTCATGAGCAAGTACAGCGTCTTACCGGTCACTTGCAGCTCCTCCATGCCGGTTTTTGCATTTCGTTTGAACGTGTCCATTTTGACCGGGAACATACCATACGTGTCCGAGAAGTCGAAGTTCAGCGTGTCCGCCATGGCGTCCTCGTCCACCGTGCCATCTCCGGCGGGCAGCTCGAATTGTAGCTTATCGGGCAGTAGCTTGAGCAAGCCAACTTCACCTCGCGCAAACCCATCTTTGTCCATTTTGAAGAGCTCGGCAGTGTGCGGCTCGCCGCGCTGGGGCTGCCATGCATCCACCACATCACCCGGGGCACGCAGGTCCGAGTCGGTCAGCACTACGTGCAACACTTGTGGGGTCAGTGCTGGCTTGGCTAAAGCCGCCACTATCGGACCGGGCGCGACGACTGGCCCCTCCCGGAATTTTGGGTGCTTGTTCAGCTGCGTCGGCGTCTTTCCGGCTTTCGCCTTGAAGCGGAACCAGTAGATGAATCCCGGCCACTCGGCGTCGTTCTCGGCACCGTACATCAAGTAGTCGAAGTACTCCTTCACCGTCATCCCCGCATCCTTACGGTCCTGCACGCGTGCCAGGAGTCCCTTCTGCGAAGCAATGAGGTCTTTGCGCTCACCCTTCTTGAAGGCCTTTCGCTCGCCCGTAGCGTCGGCGGGTCGTCCACCGGTGACAGTCGTGTCTTTGCCCCAGAAAAGCTCGTCAAAAACGTTGTGCACATTGGACCGAAGATTCGTGGAAGCGCCCAATGTCTCCAGCCAGCCGTCGACCTCGTTGAACCAGTCGGCGCACTTCTTTGCCTTGCCCTCTTCGAGAGACAACTCGCCCTCTTTGCGACAAAGGAGTGCCTGCCCCGGTGGACCAGGCCTCACCGGCGAAAAGCTGTAGCGACTCCCACCCTCCGCCTTGATTTTGAAGCGAGCCATATTCTGCGGAAGCGGCTTGCCCCGAAGATCCTTGGGCACGTGCGACCAGAAGCCATAGGTGTTCTCAATCTCGTAGATAGTGCCCTCTAAACCGTTGTTCTCCGTGTCTTCCGGCCGCAGCTCGAGCAGCTGCGGCTTCTTCCAGTTGGCCTAATAATAGGTCGTGATAGGATTGAGGATCAAGATAATTCTGCTGTTAGTAGAGCATATTTCAATCGACATCAAGTCCTCAAGTTATAATTTTACTCATTTTAGCAACATCGAACTCAAAATTTTCATTTTCCTGTTTTTCTCATACTCATATATTTATAAGTTTATGCTGCTGCTACAGAGCAGTTCCGATAGCATCAATGAGTACCAGCTCCCAGTCCACAGCGTCAGCGACCTGTGATGCCCTCTTCGGCGAGGCTGGGCCGCCGTCGTCTGCACCAGCACGCTCGAGAGGCTCTCTGGCAACAAACGTGATGTCGTCTTTTGATAGCGGCATTCCATTTGATGCTTTGTCAAATGCGTTCTGTCCAGCCAATTTCGGAATCATGGTGACCTCGTCGTCTCCCTCACCCTCGATTTGGAAGAGATCGCCCACTTTTACGTCTTGGAGAATGACCTCGTCTCCCATTTTGTAGATGTCCAGGTTGACGCCAGCACCCTTCTTGCCCCCTATCGTCTTCTGGTCGGTCAAGGTGAGATAGGAGTCGTTGTCCGGTCGATCGGCTTCGCCCTTGCCAACAAAGTTCACAATCTGAAGTGTACACGCCACCTGCGTCTGCTTCTTGCTCTGCGCCGCGTCCTCGCCTTTGAGCATGTCTACGGAGATTTGAATCGGAAAGCTCTTCACCAAGTCGCGCGTTGTACCCAACGGCTTGTTCACCTGCAGCAATTTTTTCGACAGGCCTTTCGTGTGTCGCACTGGCTTCACGTCTGAGGGCAACCGTAGACCGAGTGAATCCACAACGATGTCAACACTCTCGAACACGTAGTCCTTGGTTGTGAACATGTCGTCTGAATTCAACGTTGTGCCGATTTCTTGCGCCTCCGGTGGTTTGGCAGGCTGGAAGTGCTTTTCGTTCAGCGCAAACCAACCACGATTGACATCCGGCGTTGGTTTCTTCTGCGATCGGGCCATCTGCGGTGGCATTTTGGTGAACGTGTGCTCACCCTTGGCCCAACTGGCATCGACTGCTTCCGCGGCTTGCAATGCTGACTCAACATGCTCCTTCTCGTTGATTGCCTCCGTGCTGCTCAGAATCGACATGGTGTGGATGCTGGTTACCTTCTTGCTGTCCAAAGCGGCGCTCTCCAGCATCAGACGCGCCTTTTCGGCGAGTTTTCTTTGCTCGAGTTCCGCGTCGCTGGGGTTCACCGCGTTTACGCCGGCCCGGTGGATCGCCTTCGCCACGTACACGATGATCAAAGCCTGGATTGTGAACATGATCGTCGACGTCGTCCCTTCCGCCAGAATGTAGAAACCGCCAAGCACCACGACACCTGGCGCAAGAACCGTCGTGCACAATTTTGAGTACATCTCCTTAGAGAGGCAGAGAGTGATTGGTGCGGCAGCAACCTTCGTGATTAGACGGAAGATCTTGCCCGCTTGCCTCCAGGGACCCTGTTGACTGAGACCCGTGATGGCCGACAGCTCGGTGGAAGCTTTCTTTCCGGGAATGACGACGAATTCACCTTTTTTCGTCACCTCAACAATTGACTCCACTGCAGGCGCTGAAACCGATAGCGCAGTTGTGTCCTTGCCGATCACAGTCCATTCCTCCCAGTGGGATCGCTCTGTAGCGTTCAGCTTCTCGAACGTGCGCGCTGTCAGTGGAATGCATGACGTCGACAAGCCAGCAGACTTGTTCACGGCCTTTGTCGCGCCTTCGTCTCCTACTCGTCGCGGTGCGGGCGCAGACATTGCAAGCACTTTCGTAGCCTTCGACGTGTCCCCAGCCATCGACGTCATCTCGACTGCGCCGCCCTTCTCGAGCAAGGGCGCTTTAGCTGGCGATTCGTTCACTTTGCCGACCATCTCCGTCTCCATTTCTTCATCCGTGTCACCGTCGTCGAGCAATCCCTGCTCCTTCTTCCTCCGCAGCTCCTCCTCTGCTGCTTTTGCGCGCTTTTCGGCCATCTGCCGAAGGTTATCGGCGGTCGCGAACGCGCGTTCAATCTTTTCTTGAACTGCGTCGATCTTTCCCTGATACTTGGCCTTCTGCGCCTCTATTTTCGCTTTCCACTTGTTGACAGACAGCATGTCGCCAACCTAGAAGAAGTAGCATCAGTGTCGAGTAGAATGAGATGCCAAGCACTACAGAATCTCGCAGGGCAATATTTTTCATGATTTGTTATTATTTCGAAGGAAAGTTGATGTGATTTCTAGAACATACAGATACAACAGATATCTTTGAAGCTAAAAAAGGTACCTGTTTCTTCTTTTCTTCGTAGATTTTGAGCTTCTCTTCGTATTCGGCTAAGAGGCGATCATCTGCTTCGGCGATCTTTTTCTTTGCTCGTTCCCACTGTGTGGATAGGAACTCACCATTCAGGCGCACAAGAGTGAAGCCAGTGATAAAAATCAGCAACCAGGCGTCCAATGAAGTTGGGATCTTGATCACAAACGGGGATCCTGGATGTCCCAAGAGCAGAATGAGAATCAGCGCGACCTCAGCAGCATACATGAACGCCGCGCCGTCATAGACAGCGTCGATCGCGAAGTACCGGTGCTGCTTCTGCGAGAACCACATGAGTTTGTCGTACATGGCGACCAAGCCGCAAAGCTTTTTGCTCTCCTTCATGTTAGCATCGCGCAGCTCGTTGAGACGCTCCTCTTCCTTTTCTTTGTACGTTTCGTTCACGTCGGGCCAGGCGGCTGTGCCGAAAGTGACGAAAGTACCGACAAGCAGTGCGACCAGTTGTGAGTATCCCGAGCTCATCTCGGCGGCATGCTTCGAAGCTGCAAGCGCGAGTTTCTTCTGGTGCTCGGTCAAGTGCTGAATTTCGCTAGCGCCTGCGCTCACGGCGGCCTGGGCTTTGCCCATGTAGATCACTGCGAGAATGGAGAACAGGGTGATAATGCGGCTGAACAAGAAGTTCCAGCGCTGGTTCTCCTTCATCTGCGAGTAGAAGTGCGAGTAGTAATCCTTCCGCGGGAAGGCAAGGTGCTTCACTGGCACTTCCAGTTGGTAATCCGGCGCAAAGTAGTGCAGAACCGGAATGTGGCGATTCTCTATGCGACCAGCCATCTCGAAATTGAAATCGCCTAACACAGACAGTTGGAAGCGTTTGCGACCGACATAGGCTGCTGGAAAGCGGTCGAAAGCATCCGACAAACGGTACGGGATGCCTTCTGGCGACAAACCCTTGTGCAGGTTGGTCTGTTCCAGAATCTGTGCCTTCGTAGCCGGGGTCACTTCGTCGCGATCCGTTTGGATCACGCCGGAATAGGTTTTGCCGTCCTTGCTGCGCAATTTGGGCAGGCCCGCACCGCCGTCACCCGAGAGGAAGGGTAGAGCACTGCGCAGGACGTCGCTTTCCTCGACCGAAATGCCGTCGCGTCCGCAGAAAACGTCGCTGTGCAGCTTCACTTCTGCGTATTCCTCCTTCGTGGGCATTGCGTCCTTCTCGCACGTGATGCTGGCTGTCGCGATTTTAAAGCCGCACTCTTGGCCGTCGAAGCACGGCCCGCAGATCCACACTTCGAGCGTGTCGCGGCTCATGGCTTGGTTCAAGCACGGATGGTCAAAATCATCCTCGAATTTGATCTGCGTCAGCTTTTTCTTCAGTGTTCCTAAAGGCTCCTTTTCCTTGATGCTGTCCAAGTAGACTTTGTACGTCTTTTCCGGAACCGTGATTTCGCCGTTCGCGAAGGTCATTTTTTCTTCTGGCGTGAGGTTCTCGGACATGAGATCCGCCAAATCTCGCAGCCACTGGGTCAAGAAGGCCTTGCCCTTGTCCTCCGCAAACGCCTTCGAGACGTGCGCGACCAGATCCTTCGTTTTCTGGTCGTACTGCGCTTCGGTTCCCTGCTCGACAAAGCCGCTCTTGTCCAGGTCCACGTCGACTACAACGGATAACTTGGCGCCAGAAAAGAAGTTGCCTGGGCTGATCTTCCACTTCTCGATGCTAACGAATTGATCCGTAATCGGCTGCCCGCCTAGCGCCCGCGTTGTCTCCCACAACTCGTTCATTAGTCCTGTCACCGTGCGCTCGATGGCCTGTTGTCCCGGAGTCGGGTTATCCTTCAGCTTCGCGAGAAGAGACTTCACGTAGTAGCTGTCCCCTGCTACGTCGAAGAACAGCTTCAAACTGCGGGAGCTCTGACGCAATACCAGAAATACCTGCGACTGTCCGCGACTGCACGTACCAGCACCACGGAGCACGATTTTGTTCACATGATTCAGTGGTGCCAAGATTTTCTTGCCGTCTGCGTCTAGCAGAGACAGTTTCTCGGGAATGGGCAGGTGGAGCACGCGCCGACAATACTTCTGATCAAATGTGGGATCTCGGTACCAGGGATTGTCCACGTTGTCAAGGTCTAAGTTTAGAGCAGCAGCTTGTGAGTACAATAAAACATCCGACTATGATGTACTTTACTTACACCTCGACGAATGCAAAACTAGCTTTTCAAAGCAAGCAACATGTTGTTGTCGTTCACATTCCTCAACCAAGAGCCGCGCATAACTTTGTATCCCTCTCTTCCTGCGCTCCCGCACCGGCGACTTTTCGGTCGAATTTGGGAACAATCGGTTGCTTTCCAATACCGATGCTCGTGGCACATGTATGCGGTGCATATTTGGCTTCCTCGCAGTAGACACGTTGGTAAAATGCCAGGGTTTCGTGGCTATACTGTTCCTCGGGCTTGCCACCTACGTCCACTGTATCGCCACCACAGCACATGCCTTTTGCCTGTTGAAGTCGGTGCGTTCAAAATTGTCGTTCATGAAATAAACCAGCGCATTGATATGGGAATGTTGATGACAAAGTAGTGACGAAAAAGCATCCTACGAAAACCATGAACATGGAAGAGAAGCGACACACGACCTATAGGACATGAAGTCTGTACGTCTTGCAACTGCGACATTAAGTCGTCGGGTTCGTCCTTCTTTTTCGCCACTGTGTAGTCCATCCGTATGTCTGTTCGTAAGGACTTCTTTCCTCCATCTAGCATGAAGTCGTATTTTCCCAGGTTGGTATCTTCTTTCTCACTCCATTTCGCAAGTAAATCCCGTGGTTCCGTTTTCTTGAGGTGCGGCAGCACCAATGGGAGTGGGTTGCTGTCCGATCCCGTCGCTGCATAGGCTGCTTGCTCACTCGACGGCACAAATTGCCAGCTGTTGTGTTCTGTGCTGTGCGCTGACGTGTGCGGTCCTGTTTTCACTGGAATCTGTTTGCCCTCAAACTTGAAACCGCCTCCCTTCTTCTGACCAACGCAAACTCGCACTTCGTAGTCCCTATCAACCTCATGTGTGGCAACTTCGCCGCTGCTTGGATCCATAGCGGAGTGCATGAAATGTAATTTCAACTGCGACGTTTGTGAGATTGGTTCCTCACCCAGGCCAGCAAGCGCGCCAGCCAGGGACCCGCCGGCCGCGCCCTTCGCCACGGCGCCCTGGCACATGCCGGTCACTTTTCCGGTGCAGACATCAAAACCAGTCGTGGCTTTGGCATGCGGCATCTGAAACTTCTTCACCTCGCCTTGTCGTCGTACTTCAACCCAACAGCGATTCGTCATCTCATCCTCTAAGGCACTCATGGAAATGTACGGAATTTTGCGCATGCGAACGATCTTATTGCCCAGCGCATTCGTCTTTTCCATGCCTGTCTCGTCAAGTTCGAAATCGTCACGACCTGTTGGGGCACGGCAAAAATGTCACGCACTTTGTTCAGCTGCAAGGAGACTTCTAGTCAATTATTTGCAACCACAGCGAACGACTTAATACGGCTTGTGATTCTTCAACAAGCACAACAGGGGAATGAGAAAAAAAGCAGTTGTAGTACTTCCGATGCGTAGAATAATGTCGTTTTCTCGCAAGGGGGTTTTCTCAGGGTCTTCAATCTTTGCAACCTTGAGCTGGTCCCATTGGTAGTAGACATTAGCCACTGCCTTCCCGGATTGCACAGGCGCTTGCCCGGCCATCGATTCGGCGTTTAGTTCCATCGTGTTCGGCTTGACTTTGCCCTCCAGCATAGTGCCGAGGCCCATCACCCAATGCACTTTCTTGGTCTTGTCGTAGATGTACTCACCCTTCTGATTTTTCGCCCAGAGAATGGGTGACACTGACTTGATGTAGGTCTGCGGTGCGAGGTTCACCTTAGCGGCAGCGTCACCGACAAGCGGAATCGGGATCTTCTCTGGTTGGCTCGCGCGGATCTCGAGACATCCCTCTTTGTCTGCATACGCTTTGAGTGCCTTGTTGTAGATGACCGAGCGCTGGTTCTTGGCCAACTCGCGGGCGGTGAAGAAGAGAAACGCCACAGGGTAAAGGAAGAACAGCGTGAGGCAGACGTGGTTCATCAAGTCGCGCGGTGGCTTCCAGAAGCCCCAGTGATTGTGCGCGTCGGGAAGGTACAGCTCGATCGTGGAACCCTCGCAGTATATCTTGCTTGCCGCCTTGACGAAACCAATCAAGCCCAAGTCGCAGATGAAGAGGAGAATGAAGTTGGGTTTTAGCTGTTCGTTGCGCGCTTGGTCCCAGTCGAAACCGTAGAAGCCCTCTGGGCTGGACAATCGCAGCAGGTAGCGCACTGCAAACACGATCATCAAGCTGGAAAGCATCATCGGAATCAAGAAGAGGTTGAATAAAGTGCCTTTGTTCTCGGAAAAGGATTTCTTCAGTTTACTCAGATTCTGCTTGAATTTTACATACTGCTTGCGGTATTTCTTCTTGATAGCGGCCACTTGCTCCGCCATGCGCTTCTCAGCTGCGATCGCGTCCTCATCTTCCTGCTTGCCCTTTACGTGCATCTTCAGAACTGTATGCTCCGCGTGGCTCTGCAAGACTTTCAGGGCGCGGAATGGAAGCCCAGCGGCTGACGCGGCCATGCCCTGGAATTTCTTCAAATCCAACGGAATGTACTTCTTCACGTCAATCGCCGGAATGTAGTCGTCTAAGTGATTGAACTGCAAGTTCACCTTCGAGAAAGACTCGCAGAACGTCTTGAAGGCATCGGGCGTTCCGTGCACCGCCACGAGAATGCCTAGAAACTGCAGAAATTTCGCGACACCCATAAAATTACTTGCAGAGACGACGGCCAAACCCAGACCGGCCGCTGAGCAAACCGAGGCGATCATTTGTGTAGCGGACTGACCGAGACCCCAGGGTGCAAAGCGCACACCCTTGACACGAATGCGGACCTCCTCAGTCGCGTTGTAGCCGAAAACTGGCTGCTTAGTATCCGGATCCACGGGCGCGCTATAGACTATGTCCCACGTATGAGATTCGCCGGCTTCCAAATGGACGGGGTCCAACTCTTCGTTTGCCTGATATGCGGTTCGTTTTTCAATCCATGAAATTCATGTTGACAGAGAACAGAGCTGGAGGAACGAATATTACTAGTACGACACCAAGGCGAGATCCATCAACTTCATCCATCAACAGAAGTAGTCTTCAGCAAAATTCTCTTAGAATTGATACTGGAGCTCGAGGAGGAAGAAGATAAAGCAGAGCTAAAATGTGTTAATTCTAAGTTGTACCTCGAAGTCTTCCCCATTAACGCGCATGCGAGTGCCGACGTCCTTTACTAAGGGCTGAATGCCGATGTATTCCGTGGATTGCGGACATTCCAAGAGGTAATCTGTAACGTTAGCCCTGTACTTTTTCGGTGACATGATACAGTTGTCTCCTGTGGATATTTTCAGGTCAGTTACTACCGGCTTCATGTTCCAACCATTTTGCAGGATGATGTCGTAGGTTTTCTGTTTTTCTTCGCAAAAAACGTCTAAACGCCACGATTGAACGCCATCCGGATTGTCCTCTTTGATTTCGAGGTTCGTCAACTCGTAGTAATAGTCTACACCACCAAAAGGGGAGCCACCGTGCGTGCCGTCTGATGCCGTAATCGTCTTGAAATCGCGTAGAAGCGTCGTTCCCTGAAAGAGTAGTTTTGCGCTCGCATCCTCCACTGCCGCATTCAAACTGACCGTTGAGGTTTTCTCCAGCGGGCAAACAAAGCGCAACTTGCTGTACTCGCTCGCACGGTAGTCGGCGGGGACGACGTCGCAGCCTCCTTTTTGCGCTTCGTCCACAAAAAAAATGCTGCGCAAAGCGGGATGCCGACACTGCGGACGGTAACCAAACCGGTACATCTCATTGACGGGATCGTTGCTCTCCCGCATTACCTCACGCATTAGTCGTCCGAAGTCGTCGTGCTCTGCAATCTCGACGTCGATGGCAAGTTCCCGAATCTTTGTCTTGCTGTATTAGAAGGGGCGGGCGGCAGTTTGAATTGTGCTCCTTGGATAAACTATGTATCTATAAGCTGTTGTACTTTTACTTCTTGAAACTGAAGACACTGAAGACGCCTCTCAATATGATCATGACGCAATTCCATGCATAATGAAAATCTTCGCTGAGACAGGTCAGCAGTACGCTCTTTTTCGCGGCCGATCCGCCGAGCTCCAGCGATACTTCTACTGTATCTCGCATGCTGCCAAGCTGGTCAACCTGCTCCATCGCGTTGACCATGGTCGTAATACCCTCTAGAGTGCGCATAGGATGGTGTTTCTTCAGCTGCTCAGCAGGACACAACTTTCGATTTTTCAGTTTACAAAGCGGCTTCCCGCACATCATGTTCGCCGGCGAGATCCCACGGCCGGTCACGTAGACAGATACTGACTGCGTCTGGTGTGTACATGTCAGCTTCACATACCTGAAAGTAAGTAAACAAGAAAGCATCGGATGATACAACTAAAAGTATTAAAGACAGATGTTGATGTTTTTCTTTATCATATTGTACGTACGTAGCGGAGAAAACAAAAAGACACACAAAACTCGTAGTTTACAATGACCGCGATTTAGATGATGAATCGCTCGTATAAAGGAAAATCACGTTCTCATCTCCTTCTCCTAGAAGTTATCATGTAGCCACACTGTAGCTGTACTTCAGTCCATCTTCGGACATGCCCGATCCACCATGTGCGTTGAGGATGCACTGCTGGACAGCTGACTGACCGATCAGGTCGATGGTTCCGAACTCTGTGCCTCCGAAGTCAAGCAAATGAGGATCTTGCGCGTGATAAGTGGGCGCATTGAGTTCCGGTCGTCGATACACGGAGAACTGTGTAAGGACACCGTCTTTCACTTTGAACTCTTCTGGCACCTTGAGCACCTCCATTTTGCCTGTCTTGTCGTTCTTGATCTTTTGTCCGGGAAGAATCTTATCCTTCTTTGAAGAAGAGGACTCTACTTTGCTAATATCGCTTTCCTTGACGTGTCCATCGCCCTTCTTGTCATCCTTGGAATCATCTTTGTCCTTGTCTGACTCTGTTCTGTCCTCGTGTCCCTTCTCCTCTTCCTTCTTGTCTTCTTCCTCATCGCCTTCTTTTAGTGCTCTACGCTTTTTGCCAGCATCAACAGCGAGCTTCTTCGCGTCACGCATCAGCGGATTGTCATCGAGGTGCATCAAGTCGCCAGCGTCTGTTGATGAGATCCTTCTTAGTAGTTTTCATTACGCCATCAAAGACGAGCAAACCTAAAAAAGATGACGACATTTATCATGTTCGCCTCTGAGCAAAAACAGTAGAAATGGCTACTAGTTGTAGGCGAAGGCATCATCAATGATGGTCTCCTATGTTGAGGTTAGTAGAACCGAAAGTCGTTGTGGGAGTCTTAACAATAGCATGTCCTTCTCGTGACAGTCTTTGAAGAGGTCGCAGACACCCTCGGCCATGTTTATGTTGGCTGCGACGCAGTCTTTATCCCTGTAGCAGCTCTCCACGCACTGCATTTCAGTACTCAGACCTCCGATGCCGAAGTACTCCGAACGCAAAAACCATTCATCTCCGGGACCCTGGTAAAAGAATAGAGGTAAAATGAATAGGCTGCTTCGAGCCACCCTGGCGCTTTTCGAATCGAAAATTTCGGTAATCAGAACAATTTTTGTGGACAGAACAATAAGATGAATAAAAAATTTCTATTTCGAGAAGTCAACATATTAGTCAACTACATCTGCTTGTTCACTTCATGTATACTAGAGTAGACTACCCGGTCGCAGATTTTGTTGCAGTGCTCGCAGACGGGCTGAAGCGGCTTATTGTTGTGCACTTGTGCGAGCACCTCTGCCTCAAAATCCGTCCCAGCATAGCCTTGAACGACTTGGGCGTAATTTGCGATTAGATCATCCGCGTCTGGTGTAGAAAGGAGAACAGTCTCCTTCGAAAAAGCTCCAGCCGATGGATCGGTCGTCGCGTAGTCGTCACTGGTGATATCCGTTTCCTGGAACGCGATTGTATAGGGATCGTTAGAAGACAAAACATCAAACCTTAGGATGTTGTTGTAGTAGAAGTTGGCGAGTACATTCAGAGCAACTGTGAAGTGACACCTTCATCTGCAACAAGAAAATATCCATCGTGTCATGCAAAGAAAAGTAGCTATATATGTTCCCAGGCGCGGGGCGACGGCACTCCCCCCCCCCCCCCAAGCGCAGGGGGGGCATCGTGCGCCCCGGACCCCTTTGGAAGGCGTCTGCCGGGGGTGGAAGGCCTCAAAAGGAGGCCAAGTTACCTCCTCCGCGTCCTTCCAGGTGCTTGGCTGTCCCCTAGAGGCCTCCGACGTAAGTGGAAGGCCTCAGGAGGGGCGCAAGAGGCCGCCTCCGCTTCCTAACAGCTGCTTGGCTGTCCCCTAGAGGCCTCCAACGCCGGTGGAAGGCCTCAAGAGGGGCTCAAGGGGCCGCCTCCTCTTCCAGGTGCTTGGCTGTCCCCCAACGTAGGGGGGAGGCCTCAAGAGGGGCCCAAGGGGCCGCCTCCGCTTCCTTCCAGCTGCCTGGGTGTCCCCTAGAGGCCTCCGACGTAGGTGAAGGGCCTCGAGAGGGGCGCAAGGGGCCGCCTCCGCTTCCTTCCAGCTGCTGGGCTGTCCCCTAGAGGCCTCCGACGCAGGTGGAAGGCCTCAAGAGGGGCTCAAGGGGCCGCCTCCGCTTCCTTCCAATTTTTTTTTCAATTTCAAAGTCTTCGGCCAAAAGCCCAGCGCACCAGCTGGGGTAGGCGCAGAGAAGTCTTACCTTTCGCGGACGATGCGCCGGCCTGGCATATATTTACCCGAGACGGCGCCAGTGCACTAGTGCAAGATGAGAATCTCTAGATATATACGAAATCACAAATAACAGGCGAAGGGAATAGGAGACGCGAAGTCGATAATAGGGGGAAGACGCGAAGTCAGCAAGTGAATAGACGCGAAGTCAGTAGTTAGTGAAAAGACGCGAAATCAGTTAATAGTACATAGACGCGAAGTCAATCATAAAGTAAGACGCTAGGTCACTAAATAGTGCTCGGACAAGTTAACAGAGCGAGAGAGATCAGTCAAAAATGAAAGCGAGTCCGCCGACGAGAGACGAGAGAGACAGATGATACAGCAAGAAACGAAGAAAAGCAAAGATCTAGCAAGAAAACCGTGGAGATTCACTCAATCCGCATTCAACTTACTTACACATCAATGCTTGACCTTCATCGACTGGGCCACTGTTCCCGAGAGCCTCACGCCGCCGGAAGCGCTTGTCTGTTGCATAGCTACCAAGGCAAAGCACCTCAGAGAGAGTTGCCAGCGCATATATTATGGTACCATGATGCTACGCGAAGAAAAAAAAGCGAAGAGGAAGACCAGTACACCAGGATAGATGAAATGCAACCGGCACCGAGGGAAGTTAACCAAGAAAGCCATCACCGCCCGGCAGCTCGTCGGCAGGAGACAAAGCAGCACATCGAAGGGAAGCCTAGAGGGCCCTGCACAGAACAACAACGAGCGTCGCCATATTTCTCATCCATGCTGTGAACGCCATATTGTGCATCAAAATAGAAAGCAGCGTCGTCAGCTTTTATGTCTTTTTGAAGCTCAACCTTGAAGGAACGCGTCGAGAGATGGTAGAATCTGTCATATCATGCCACATCTCGCCGCGTCCTCAATTCTATGCGCTACCCCCCGAAGTAGGGGGAAGGCCTCAAGAGGGGCCCAAGGGGCCGCCTCCGCTTCCTTCCAGCTGCCTGGGTGTCCCCTAGAGGCCTCCGCCGTAGGTGGAAGGCCTCGAGAGGGGCGCAAGGGGCCGCCTCCGCTTCCTTCCAGCTGCTTGGCTGTCCCCTAGAGGCCTTCCACCACCGAGTTCCACCACAGACCATACCACAGGGGGGGGGGGACCGTCCGGCCCCAAAATCATATATAAATACTTGTGGAGCATGGAAGGAATTGAAATTGAATGCAATGAGTAGTCTCGTCACTCATGCTGCTGCAATCGGGTAACGAAAATCACACCCGGTTTCTGCGAAGCATAACTCGATAAGAAACAATGTAAAATGTATGCAGTAAGAAGTTAGTAATTCCTTAGTCCAAGACCGTAATCTTTGAGATGACACGACAGAAACCGCCTGCGCATTTGTTGTGCGGAGACCAGAAAGTGCTCTGACAGTGGTGATTCGCGGAGCACTCCTTCACGGTGTTTCCGTCTTCCTCCACATCCTCGATATCACGCAAAGTCTGCACCATCAAAACAGTCGGAGTCTCGTGGTAGAGCTCTACAGGAATCGTCGCCAGTCCGTCCTTGGATTCTACTGGATATGAACTGAAGAAGGGATGATTCTTAGTTCCTAAAAATTGGGATGCCGACTATTAGTTACACTAGCCTAGTTCCACCGAAGGGGAATAAGGTCCGGATCGAAGCAACGAATAGCTGCAAATCAATACTAATAATGCTTTTACTATAACTTACACTTCGACTCCAACAATACAAAGCAGAGCCGTAAAAATTGCACATCGTTAACCAACATGTCGTTCTTGCTCTTGAATTCGGCTGTTCCGACCGCAACACCACCACAGCTAGCTCTGTAGTTGACTACCATCGGCGCAAATGAAGGCTCCAATGAACAACCAGAAGCCACGTACAAATCGCTCAAAACGCCAGCGTCTCTCTTATGCATAATCGTATACTCCAAAGCTCCACCCTTCTCCTTTTCGCATTTTTCGTACTGGTTGCACTCTTGCCGCCGGAAATATGAACGAAGAGCAATACTAAAATGAAGAAACAGCAAGAACGAGGTAAGTAGGCATCTCATCAAAAATTCACCTAGCTGTAGCGGTGCAACAACTTTTCTGCTATTCGTCTTCTTTTGCCGATAGTTTGTGTATTGAAGTATGTTGCAGTTGCTCTTGTCCAAGAAAAGCACGAGGTATCAAATAGCAAGGATAATATTCCACCACCATCTCGCATGTATTGACAACAACTCCTTGTGTTTTTTCAGTTCGTTGTAGATGTGATCAGTACTCAAGCCTTTCGTAAGGGATTGTAGGCAGTGTAGCGACATTCGCTATTGAAGAAGCACGCCTGTTCGCATTCGTGTTCGCTCTCGATGTGGTACGTCGTCTGTAACGGATATAGACACGGCTCGCAATCGCTACACATGAAAACCATCGGTTCTCGAGGGACGCTCGAATAGGATGCCACAAGCCCCTTTTCGTTGGTCTTCAGTGCCGTTCCCTGGACATTTTTCTTTGACGGCTCTGCTGCAGCTGCAAATATCTCCTGCAGCTGCGTAAGCGCTAGTAGGCACCATAGCGCCCGTTGGCCAAGTGCCAACATCGTTGAGGCCGCTTTCAGTCTTCTTCAGGAAGTGCTCTAGCGAAGCCGAAAAATAATAATCGAATTTGTGTGCAATGTGACGTTTATTCATTCGAGCTTCTGAAAACTGCGTAGGTAGAGGACCTAAAAGTAAAACTAAAAAGTCAATCATGATCTATGCAAAAGCAAAATGAGAATTGCATTCATGGAACATCTTCGAAGGCATCATGACATAAAAATGATGAAACAGTAACAGGTATTCTTAAATAAAATAAACATGTTTCGCTTCGTTCCCACTCTTTGTGAATCTCCCTCGAAGAACTGGAGATTTGATGTCGCTCGCCTCTAGTTGTTTGGCGTTTTTTTTCACAACCATTTGTAGAAGAGGCTGCGGTTTTCTCGTTCTAAAAAAGATAAGTACTGTTAATCATTTTCTTTTTCTTCATCAGGAATTCGCAATACTGCCATGCAGATCAACAGGATGTTGATCCAACGTTACCCTGCTGAAAAACAGCTTCCGTCCTCGGAGAGCGGGACCTGCTTCTCCCGCAACAGCGGTCTCATTTTTAAATCGGTGGTCGTGTTGCATCACGAAGCAGGGGTATCATGATCGGGAGATGGTGAATATTGGAAGAATCTTGAACAGGCTATTGAACAAAAAGCTGCAAGTCTTATTGAGAAAATCGTTGTTTTCAATCACGAACTGCTCTACTTCGGCGTACTGCCTGGTGTCACTCATCATCTATTTCATCCCTTTGATGACCAAGGAAACACATGTACTACTTGATGAAACTCTAACAATCATATAAATAGGTAGGAAGATCGTACACACAGAGGATACAAATTGGTGGCGTCGCGCCAGCCCTTGGTGTTCTTTTTCTAGCTACAAGGAAAATCTGACATGAAATATAATATCTGCATACTAGTACTAGTAGAAATAACAAAAGTCTTAGTATCTTCAACTTTATCTATGCTTTCAGCGAACTTTCAAGAAGCCGCAAATCACGCATCAAATCTTATCATCATCTATTAAGTCTAGTGTAAGTGTTTGAAGAAAAAGCTTTCTCTTAATCTCGGTTGGTGTTCGTCACATGCCCTTGAGTGATACGAGCACCTTTGTTGAACTACCGCCCACGTCTGAACTACCGCCCACGTCTTGACATTTTTTGAAAACTCGAGAACGACAGTGTGGGTCCTAAAAATGTGCTAGGCCCGGGCCTGAGACGGACCAAAGAACAAATTTCTTCTTTATCCTCGTCGATAACAGGAATTAACTTTACAAATCTAAGAAGCAAACACCAAATGACATAGAAGTTGGGTGACGACTACGCATAGGCGAATGATAAGTCAACATGGTGCATCGACGCTTCAGGTGGCTGTATGTAAGAGTAGTTGAACAAATACAAATTGTACGTGCTCTATGATAATTGATCACATAGTTGTGCTTATAGATATAGGTGAGGTCGCGTCCCCGACTGCTCGCGAAAAAAAATGGAATAGGAAAGGACCTTATATCGATCGTGTCTTCGAGCGGAAGGAGGAGCGGACTCAGCAGCCTGTTGGCTCCGCATGCCCTAGAAATGATCTCAAAATACTCACACCAACAATGACAGATATTCGATGCAAATCGAGATATCAAGAATTAATGATCAGCAATAAAAATTAATACTCTATTTGGTATAAATGACGACCATGATGTAAATAAAAAAACATTATAACATGACTACTAGTCTGCTCTTAAGTATCGAAAACATGTTCAAAAAATCAAGGAGATTTTTATGAAGGCACCCTCAGTAGACGTGAAAAAATTTTAATCCTGGACAATTCCGATTGTTTCACGACAAAGCGAGATCGACCTAGAAGATACTCAATTTCATCTACCTTCGTGATTCCTCGAGCGTCGTTAGAGCTGTGAGCGAATGCGAATTGCTGGTGTATCTGTGATGTTTACTGATGATGGTTTCAAAGAGGAAACAATGGTGCTTAAACCTCTTGCGTCTTCCAAAAATACAATCATGATCTGCTCGTATTCAAGTTCAAGAAACTCTTGTTCCTAAAAAATTCTATTGCGTCTTCACTTCCCGGCTTTCGATGACACTTGCTTATCCTTTTCGTATTTCTCGAGTACCCTATGCGCCAGAAAGAGGGCAATGATGCAATAGGACAGTGGATTTGCGTCCAAATATGCCTTCATCTTGTCCACAAGCGCAGTCACCTGTTTATTGATTCACGTTGGTTCGAAGCTTGTGTAAAAAAAGGTGTGTCTCAATTGTTGTACGCAAGACGATGACCACGACGCTACTTGGGTACTAGGTCTACGTGTAGCAAACATGAAATCCTTAAAAAAATATCAACCAATTTAACATTATATATATAAATATAAATATCGAGTACCTGGGGGGTGACTAGGGCTCCTGCACCAAGTGCAGTGCTCATGATCGTGCTTCCAATAACGGTACTTCGGAGAAAGTTTTGAGGCTGAAAAAATTCCACAAATGGTTTCTCTTTGCCCTTGGGCTGGAGGCAATAACCTGGAGGGGTAAAAAGGGTGCTCTTGATGAACAAGAAGATACCTACTTGTGTACAACACATCGAACAATACGTCGCGTGGTACCGAAACCGGAACGTAAGTGGCCCAACGCAACGCGTTTGTATACTCTAGTCTACGAAGAACCGCGCAAACAATCGTTTTTTACGCACATTTATGAGTAGATTTATCACACTCTCGTCAATTTGTCAGCCTAGCTGTATGATAACTATTGTCACAAGCCCACAACTACTAAGAAGTAGATGTACAACATGTACCTCGGTATTCATTTCCGGGTGCTGAGAGCACGCAGGCTGAAAAGACGGTTATGAACATATTGAAGAAGCGTCCTGTGTTCGTTTGTGCGAATTGCGGATTTCTTGATATCATCATCGTTGTCACATTGTTTCGCACGATCCCATACATGATATCACGCAGAACCTAGTCGTGATGGGTATTAAGGAACCCATGTCATGATGTACTTGTAGAACAACTTCTACTTGTCTCTTAAGTCAACAGAAGAACATACTTACACACGATGACCTGAAGAATCTGCTCTTCCTTTTTCCTAAGTAGACTTTCCTTTCCGTGACGAAAAAAAGATTCTGAAATTAAGTTTCGGTGGTCTTCTTGCGGGAAAATACCGTCGGCAAAGCACAGCAAAGAATACCGTCGGCAAGTATGCTTGATAGAGGCTGCTTAGCTCGATCGGAAGTCCCATACTTTTTCGGTATCGGTAGTTTGTGATCGGAAGAGTCGCGGTTGTAAAAACTGCACCGGTTACGGTGCCCCGAAGAGCAGGTGAAACGTCTACCATGCTCATGATCACATTCACGGCCTCGAAGAATGGAAACTTCACGAAGTTCGTGGGCAATGTCGTCTGAAGAGGAGGCACATTGGATTTGGAACAAGGATACAATAGAATAGATACGTATTACCGAGAATTGATGAGGGGAATGCAGCGACCACGCGTCGGTAAATTGTACTAGACGCCTAGCCCTAGAGGACGCTCGGCATCTGATGATGATGTCTGCCCTTGTACCTAAGATTAAGAACTACTGTCCCAAACAACAGAAAATTTTGGGAAGATTACCATTACACGCTAATAAGAACTGCGTCATTATTACCTGGAAGAATTTAGCGATGACTTCGAAGGAGACTTCCTCCATTGCTTGTTGAAGAGGTATTCTTTTGACGAGGACGCGATTTACAATGGGTTCCGACAAGGCTGACAAAATGGCACCAACTACCGCCCCAACCGCTCCTTGCCCGGCTGCCGCGACTACGCGACTAAGCACGCCTACGTCTACCGCAGGTCCACTCATCTTGTTTTTTAGTCGAGGACGTTAGAAGCAGTTTTTCCACGTTATATAAAATATTTATATTCTGACAAGTGTTGAAGGGTGGGGAGCACAGCCGACGGATGGTCGATTTTGACCAGGAAAGATTGAAGATGGTTTGTTTGTTGTTGAAAAAGAAAATGGAGGCGCAAAATTCACATCACAAGAATGGAAAAATGTTGATGATGTTCCCACTGCTGGTGTCAGCTGAGTAGGTGTGCATTTGGAGTCCAAAAATCTATTTCTATCCGGTTTGAGAAAATTATAGCTTGAAAATGAAGAGTCAAAAAACAACAAGAAATTTGCAGACACAAGACGTGCCTTCTACCATGTTTACTCTTTTATGATCGAATATGAAGGGGCTGAGGAAATAAACCGACGCACCTGCTTCTTGCTTCATCAGAGCCGCTAGTACTCCAAGACATCTGGTGACACAACAAAAAATCTGCCGGAACCAGCCACCGACAATTTTCTTTCATCGTCCTTCGCTAACACGTAAAGAGATGTAGAATTCTAGCTGTAACACTCGTCCGCCTAGATCCGATTTAAGAATGTCAATCACTCTCGTCAGTAGCAGTTGGCTGCACATACCTCTCATCGGCTCACTCTCTCTCTCTCTCTCACCGACGCTTTGATCATACAAAAAACGTAAAGGAGGAACTTCTCAATCTGAGATGTACTTTCTCTGACTCCACTGACTCACGTGGATAAGAAAAGTCATCGTCTTGGAGAACACAGGCTCAAGTAGTGAAACATGTCGGACTCCGCGGGACAGAGTAGAAACCTAAACGAACACTTCTGGATCTGCCTCATGTATGTTGTATAGGATTGTCCACTGAGCAATTCCTTCTACATCGTCGTCCCCATGGCATATTATCATACTTACATTTCTCATTTCTCTCGAGGATATGCTTGCTCCGTTTCTGTCATTATAAGCTCAACTTCGTCAACAACGAAAACTCATATTACGACTGTGACCTACTTTTTCAACTTCATTTTTGAAAAATATGTGAGAAGGACCTTGAAAAGCCACTGTACACCTACATCTTCCTTACGCCGATAAAAATCCTAAAAAGAAAAAAAGGGGGTGGTATAGGTATCCCAGTTTCAAAATAGTACGCATTCTTGTCGTCTGTGCAACAGCAACTAACACCCTCTACAATTCCTTTCCAAAGCCTCGTAGTGGACTCGTCGACATCGACTTCACTATCATTCCGTCACGAGGCAAGCCTGCAGCTTGTGAAGCACCTATTCCAGCCAGTGCTACTCTTACTCCAGCAAGAGCATCGGTCTTGTTATCTCCCACACTAGCAGCACCGGTTTCTTCTGGTACCTCCTCTTTTAGAGCTCGGCAGAATCATTTCATCTTTGTGCTTGAGTCCAACACAATATGAGAAAGTTGAAGTTCATCGAGCCTTAACGATTGCTTAACACCTTCCGGTTGTGGTTTTTTCCTCCCTTCTAGCTTTTCCGTCATGTGTGTGAACATGTCCAGCATCATCGGATTGTCACCTAGGCAGCGGTCAAGACAGCTACGCCACCCGAGCCCTTCCGCCTTGCAGCTGGTGAGGCAACCCTCCTTCGGTGCGCATAAGGGACAATTGGATAACGAACGTGTCAGCATCTCCGTCACTGAGTCAGCTTGGACACCAAGCAAGTTAGCTCTGAAACTATGCTGATCGTGCGTGGGGTATGGTTACCACAGACATCCTCCGAATAGCTTTATTTTCTTAAAAAGGGATGATCCTGTTGGAGAAGGGGTGCCTCTCCGTTTGTTAGTAGGGGTCATGGGATAGCAATACCTCACTCCTCAGCATGATGAGAAACTAAGTCTAAGTATCCGTAAGCAACGAGTAGCTGAAAATTGCCAGGTTGTACAAAAGCTGGACACGATGCGTAGGATGAAGTCGCCGACCTGCCTGCGCAAGAGATGCACCACGACACTGGTTTGGAACACCGACCATGTTTTTGCTTCTCATTCTTGCCGGTTGTCTTTCTTTCGTCGAAAACATTGCCAGTGGTCAAAACCAATAAGCATGTAGACCTTAGATAGTTGAAAAAAATACTTCACAAGAGATGAAAAAAATCCTGATCACAGGTGCACACACCAATAAAAACAATTGGCAAAAGATTCGGAAAATAGTGTCAGTTCCCGGTCGATGATGCGAATTTCACACGATATAGAAGGAGCTTGAGCATTCTCATAGAAGCAAGTACCTCTAATATGGTGAGGCATTTATCTTTTCCTTTTCTTCACCACTCTTTGGAGTGAACAACACGATCTGCCGGCACAGCGCTGCACATGTCTGTGTTCCTCAAGGGCAGATCGCATGGTCCTACAGCCACCAAAAGAACCAGTCTTGTTCCAGCAGGAAGATGGGTATCAGGATGTGAGGACTAACCCTCAGATACCAGAGTATGCATATCATGCGTATGATCCTTTGAGCAAGTAGTAGTATCAGAATGAAGACCTTCTTCAATATGTTCATAATTCAAGAGGAAGTGGAAAATTCGATCTTCTATCATATGCTTCTTGTTCAAGTTCATTATTTACAATCATACAGCAATAGCACGGGCCAAACCGGACTTATCAACCCAGACTCGCAATTAAAGCGAGCAAAGCCGAGAGGACCGTGACTCCGCCAGCCTGATGCAAGACCCCAAGGTGTGCAGGGACACAGTGCAGGAGCGTCGTGATTCCGAGTCCGATTTGGCCAAATACTGCCACGGGCAACGCGTAGCCTGCCCAAAAAAGAGCTTGTGGGGATACCAAAGCTCGCCACTTTCGCGCAGTTACCGAGAGGGCAAGCGCTGATCCTGCCGAAAAATAAGCAAGCATGCGGTGATTGAATTGCACGCACGCAGTGTCTTCGAACAGAATGCGAGGATCGCTAACTGCTTTGGCGTATCCGGATGTCACCTAGTGCAAAACTAGATCACGAAGAAATTATGAAGCTGGAATCTTGAATGCAGGTGCCAATATCATCAATAAAGATCATGAAGCGGGGATAAAGAGAGCTTTCGTATTCGTTTCTGCTTTCGCATACTTAATTTGGAAAGAGTGACTCATTCTCGACTTCCCATCAGGAGAAGAAATACGTGCCTAGGCTACTCGTCCACATGTGCTTGAAGATGAAAACCTCGTACAAGGATAGTACTTTGTCGGGGACCCAGTCGTCCAACATTTTCGGCCAGGTGTTGTAATCTAACCCCGCATCGTTCCCGGCAACGAACGCGCCTGATATTATCGTTGTGCTCACAATTGCAGCTTGCATAAGAGCAAGCTTTCGAAGTGCTGCGTGTCTTGAAAATGCTTTAGCGACAGTGTCCAGTCCTCCTGAACCAGCACTGGGTTTGCCAGCCAGAAGGCTGGGCGTCTGCAACACTCTCAGCCCGGTGTAAAGAACTCCACCGTAGATCGTTAGTGCAGCCGCCAGATGAGTCGCGAGTCGGTAGGCAGAAACCCGCGGAACTTTGTTATCAGAATGCGGCATGTGTTCCTTTGGGTCCACAAAACCACTTCGGACCATCCACCATCCGATGAAGGCTTGCGAAGCGCCTAGAACGAGTAGCCCACCAAGCCTCGCGCCCAACATCGGAGTCAGTGCCCGGCGATAGGCACCGAGATACAATAGAGGAAGACCGAAAACAAGCCCTAACCCTCGACCCCACATCCGATGAAACCACTCGACGAATGTCAATGAAGGAGGATCCAGTAGGGAATTTTCGAAACAAACAAAAATGAAGAATGACCTTCCAGTTGCCACGATACCGGAGGCACATTGTGACGTGCTGGTCTTATGATCATCATCTCGATGTAGTCGATGTTGAAGATTGTCTATACTATATACAAATATGTATTATTGTATCTATTAGGTGGGTAACTCTATTAATCAATAATTCTACACGACTACTAGTGAGTCTTTTCTAATTGCTACGCCTAAATAAATTCGCTTGAAGCCGTCGAGGTCCATCGTTCCAGCATGTAATTTCTTGTACTCCGGTGTTTCTTTGTAGGCTGTGAACTCCTGCTGCCATAGTTCTTCGTTTGCAGGGAGCAAGGTGCCCTGAAACTCCCATTTCGTCATGGATAGCCCTGAGCCAGAGAGTCGTGTGTAACCGCCAATCACAATCATTCCAAACAGCATGCCTGCTGTGCCTAAAAGCCACGCGCCCACCGCCGTATTTAGACTTGGCACAGAGACCAACTGCGATGAAGTTGTACAAGCTGATGACGCGGGCGCGGCTGCTCCTGCCAATGTCGATACGGTCGTGGAACCACTAGAAATCGAACTACATAAAGTCCCGCCTAAGTTGGATGCGGTCGGTGGTGATCCGTTGGAGGATGCCGAAGAAGAGCTCTTTGCACCTTCTGTTTTATATCCATACTGTACTCCTGACGTCATGCCCAGAGGCAGGTCACGATGTGACGCTGCATTTCTAGTGGACCTTGGGACCGATGCGCTCTGCGAATTCGCAGTTATTCCTGCAGCATCATTTTTGGCATCATCATGTGTACGACGTGGCTCAGCAGGTGGTGCGCTCGCCGAAGACGACGCTCCTGCGCTTGTGGTCGTAAAGCTCGCGCATTTCTGTGCGAAACGACACGCGAATTGCTGGTCTTGACTCGTCCGGGCAAATAAGCATCCGGTTTGATTCCTCCCGAGAGCTAGCTGCACCAGGGATGAAGCGGCACGATCTCGCCTTGCTGCAGAGAGTGCGAGTCCACCTCCTGTTCCAAGCCCTCGCGTCCCCCTGAATCTCACATCGATAGATAGAAGTTCGACGGGGCCTCCACATTTTTGAGGAGCAGATCGCCCGCTGCGTGGGCGAAACGAAACTCCACTTCGGTAGGGGTAGGTGGCTGGGTAACGCATCTTTTGCGTGTGTCTACATACCGCCAATATATGCAAGTAAGAGATGCTGTTTCTTCCCTTCACGCTTGTTCTTCTCGCTGTAAAAAGTCTGAATCATCAAAATCAAAACACCCGCAGTACATCGATCTGCGCCCCAAATAGAATGATCATAATCATTTTCACGCCGATTGTTTCTTTCCGTCGTAAAATGCTAAGGGTAACGCTATTTCATCCTCACCGCAGCTGACTATCTGAATTTTTCACTATGCAAGCAGTCTTTTACATCCCAATATTATTTCATAACAGGGCTTTTAATTTTATGCCGTTTATAAGGAAGGAGCACTCGGTTGCTGTCGTCGTCTACAGCAAGCTCAGCCTCGTTTCCAAAGAATTGTCTCAGACTCAAGTTCTCTCAGCAAGAAGTAGGCGCCATCGGAATCAAGTCAAGCGCAACGTTTCAAGCATCTTTGGATTATTCATCTTCTAGTTCTATCAAGCTATCTATCGAAGGGTAGTCGAGGAGCTTCTACACGCGCCTGCTCACCTCATCGAGCGAAAAGATTGGCGTGCGACTTCCTTGTTCATGATGTGATTGACGGACCACACTAATGCTATGGCAAGGTGGCGGTAGGATGAAATGTCATCTAGCTCCGTGCACGTGTTGTAACTATTCTACCCCGTTCAAAATCAACCGTGGAAATTAAGAACTGTTTCTCTTTCTGGGAATTAAAGTTGTCTGTAAAAAGTGTCTTGGCACACGCACATCTTCGTGGTCACGAAATCATCACGTTCTTGTTACTGACACGGACATGAGTATTGATTCTCTGAAAGACAATTACTAGGTCACGGACCTTTACCAATTCTAACCTGAAAGCTGCGGTGCGATTTCCCGCAGGGTATTCAGCATGCCTCTACTTATGCCGTTGATTTCTTTCCGGAAGGGTTCCAAGCCGGAGCCTTTCTTCAAGAAGATCGTCGTGGGCATTGAGGTTACGTCGAATCGGCGCTTCAAACTTTTTTTGCATTCGTCAACATCCACAACGGCAAAGTGCACGTAGTCTACTAACTCCCTATCGAGGCCAGCGTCTGCGATCTTCTTCTTGAGACGTTGGCAAGGGGAACACCACGATGCAGAAAAGATGCAGATGACGCTACTTTTCGAGTTTGCTACGCCAACATTGCATCCTCATCTTTCCTAGGAACATTTTTCCCGCCCTCGATGACTTCAGGCTCAGTTTGTTTCTGATTCTGCTTGAAAGAGAAAATAAATGAAGCCAAGTACTAATGTCAAGGTTCTACCTGTCGAGGTGGAGGATGCCCTAGCTGTACTTGTAGATAAGCCATAACCTTCTCTCTTACGAGCGCTTCCAGCTCTTCCTCGTTCTCCACATGCATCAGCCCTTTTGGACCGGCACCGATTCGCACTGCGACGGCATTGTCCGGCGTCGCCCCACGTTTGTCTCCTGCTCTTAGCGAGAAATACTAGCCGGCATAATGACCGAGTGCGAGCATTCATGGCCACCATTGAATGCGAGCAGTGGTTCATTCCTACATGCATGTGCTCCTTTTTGCCTTCTTCGTACTTTCCTTGCGATGACTCTGACCCGCGAGGAAAAATGTGCATGGTGCACTTGAAGAAATTATCATATCACTCGCGCACAAGTGCAACATATCAGCGAATTAAATAACTACCAGATGTACTACCCATCGACATGTGCTACTGATGTATTACCTCTTCATCCTCTTGTTATTAAATAATTAGTCGTATTAGGCGTAAACGTGAAGCCTTAATTTTCCAAAGTCCTCTGCTCTGCCAGGTGCGAAGAGAACCTCCGTTTCATTCAGACAGATCGACACGTCGCCATCACAAAAATTCACGATGCATGTGCCCTCCTCTTCATCGACTTCTGCAACAGTGCCACTAAACCCCAATTAGCGACGGCACTTGTTATATTTTTTTTAGTCCTCTCTTACGACTGCTTCATGCAGCACGCTCCAATTTCTATGTATAAGTTTAAGTCAAGTAATGACATGTTGTTACAGTTACTGTTACAGTACTCGGATAAAAATATAAGAGTAGTTTCTAAGGTTTCGCAGGGCGCATGGAACACATGGAGTAGCATGGAGCAGGTACTCCATGCACTCCATGCGTGAAATTTTGCGAGGCGCCCTTCAGGCGCCTCTCATCTGTCAGAGTATACACGCCTCCAGCTCGGTCCCCCAGGGAGGCACCTCAGGCGGCCAATCCGCCAATCCCATCTCCGACTGCTACGCCGAGCTTCCGGGCCGACGCGCTCACTCGCGGCCCGGGCCCGGTGCCCTCAGGCCGCCCAGGCAGCAATGCAGCTGCAGCGCCGCCGGCGACGTCGCGACCCCTGGGCGCATTACGTCCAAGACAGTGCTCCCCGTGCGTCTGGCCTATCAACCAACCCTCACAGCGAAGACTCCCAAGCCACTCACTCGCGGACGGGGGCTCTTCAGGCGGCCAAGGCATCAGCCTCAGCGCCGCCGGCTGCACCCCTCGACGCATTGATTGCCCATGGTTGGGGCTACAGCTCCCCGCCTACCCTCCAACTCCCCGAGGGCTACAACTCCCCGCCCACTCACTCGCAAGCTCGTTCCCTTAGCTCAGGGCCCTCCCGGAACCAGCTGCAGCGCCGCCGGAAACGTCACCCCTTGACACAGCAGTCACCAAGCGTCCCCCCGGGCGTCTAGCCTATCAGGCCCAACTTCGGCGGGGCATGCTCCACGCGTGCCCGTCCATTACACGCTTGCGATGCACTCCATGCGTGGGCAGGCTGCCGGCGCTCCATGTACTCCATGCCACTCCATGCACCATGCGCGCTATAAACTACTCTGGGATAATAACTTTTCTGAGATGTACTTGTTCAAGAGGAGAGGACAGAAGATCTCGTCATCAGTATGTCTATGTGCTTCCCCGTCCTGCGACAGAATAGTCCGTGATATAATAGGGCAAGGATGCAAGAATCCTGATGTCGTAGATAGGTTGGAACGAATGCGCTTCTGTCGTGCGGGAACGCATTCTTATGATCGACAGTTCTACTACTTGCTGTTTGTTTGGTGAGATAATATACAGGACTCAACATGGGTTGTCCGCCTTGCCGCGGTAGCTGTGGAATTTCGCGACAACCTCGTGGCCTTTTCGCCATTCAATCGCGCCAATGCGTACAGCCATGGCACTGTCCGGCGTCGCGCCGCGCTTGCTCCCCTTTCCGAAGTCTTCCGCTCTACCTGGCGCAAACAGAACTTCATCCGCAGACAACTCGACAGAGACGTCTCCGTCGCAAAAATTCACCGTGCAAATTCCTTCTTCATCGTCGATATCCGCAACAATTCCACTAAACCAGGGATCATCGTCTTTACCACGGTACGCATCAAACTTTGCAACCACCTCGTCGCCGATCCCCAGTGCGTGCGGCAGATCATAATCATTCATCCTTGAAAATATTGTTACGAATTCGACATACATTACTTTATATATAATTTATTTACAAAGTAACTTTTGTGCTATGTATTCTAAATTCTAACTAAGGCCATAAATCAACAGGTGGAAGCTCCGCAATGCAATGTGGATTGGCACAGACACGAAACATCATAGCTGTGAAGATAAGAGGACAGCTTTTGTTGCGACACAAGTCACAAACACAAGAAGTGTCATCGTCAATCATACATATCTAGTTGCAGACAGCTTGTTTCAACAGCCGCATCTAACGTCGCCGTCGGTGAGATATGATGGCACATGAAGGGTGGGCTTCGAGGACTACGACTTCCTGAACAAGTAAAAATACATCATGTCACTATCCGGTGTCTCGTCGGAGACGAATTGTCAGACCCCTCTGCACCCTCAGCTAACACGAGAGTAGCCCGAGCTATGATCACCAGCCTGAAAGGACAAAACGGTGCGGTCGGCTCCTCCGTCTCGCTGCAATTCATGCATGCCCTGGAGGTCGTATACAAAGGCTCCTGGAAATCCACGCTCTCATACTCCTACACAACATCATGGAACAACTATTTATAAGCGGCACCTTTGCGCTTGTTTTTGCTTTGTTTCTATGCTGTGGCTTTTTTTATCTCGCAGCACAATAGATACAGGTAAAGGCTTGTATGCTATGTTGCTGTGACGATCTTTCTTGGAAGAGTTTTCGGCTTTTAGATAAACCATTTCAAGTACTTGCTCAGCTCAACTCTATAACGATATGTCCATGCATCATCTACCGTCTCAACCCTCTGGATAGAAAACTTCCAAATAAGCAGTTACGGCAAGAATGCGTAGGGAGTACAGATTAGATCAGAGCTATCATGTGATCTACGTAACCAAATATTAATTATTAAAGAGCTAAAAAAAAAAGCAACAACGACCACGCCAAACTCTCAACCTCCCACTCCCGAACCCCCAACCAGATGAACTTACAAACGCAAGAACTTTAACGAACTTATACACTTACGAATTAGTCATGAGCTAGTAAGTGAGCCTGTGTTGAATATATGTTGAACCTAAGAACTTAGGAACTTCCTACAACGCACCACCCACGCACTTAAATTCATTTTTTGGACCATAAAGCTAAAAACTTTGGGACTTTGTCGCAAAGCTTTAAACTGAAGCCCCAAACAAACTAGAAAGCGCGAGAATGAGAGGGCTTTTGACTTTATCGAAGGGAAGTAAACTCTTAGAAAATCGCTCGCAAAGTTCTTATCTTTCTTCAAAGGACGCGAATTTTAAATTTGGGCAACTTCTGTAATCGATTCTATGTTGATCATAGATACAATCATCTTGCTCGTCAAACTCAATGACGAGAAACTTCTGTATCATTATTTATTATTATGTCTGCGCGTGGCATTACCGCCTCGCACGTGTCGCGCTCGCGAGCGCTCGTGCCATCTGTCACTAAGGACGTTGATGTAAGGGCACTAGGGACCTTCCTGACGACCTGGTGGCTGTTTTGGGGTTACTGGGAGGAGTGCGTGCTATTACACGCTACGTTATCTAGCCGCTCTCACTTCAGATCCATCTTCTCCCCGTATCCAGCTATAACGCGCCATCGAACACAATCCGCAAGTCGCGCGCCTTCGCCGCCGCTTATCCGCGTCGCGCTTCACTTTCCTGTAAGCACATTATCACTTCGTTCCAGCAGTGACAATTTTCGGTTTACATTGATCTGTAGACGTAAAACCTCTCCAGTGAACAATTTCATTGAAGCGTAAGCCCTCTGTTTATCTGACGATGAGTACCACAGTCCCATTGTTCTGTCAGAGTAGTGCACCGTCTAGGCGGCCAGTCACACACACACACACGCACACACCTCTAAATCGATCCAAGAGCATCAGTATCTGTTTGCCAGTGGTCACTACTGGCTCAAGATCCAACGGATGAGCCTGATTTCAATGCCAAATGACTGCTCTCACTCGTCGCCTTGATCATGATCGATGCCGTTCCTTGTCTTGAACTCTTGTTAGTTGCTCGCGTGATCATCGTTTGAACTCAATGAGTTCCAACATGAATGAGCTGCAAGATCTCCCAGATCTTGAGCTGCACTATGACCCTTCATGATATCCCAATGACATTGAACCCATTTTGGTACCATTTCAGGGCCTTAGACAGTCAGTGATCACCCGGCACGTCCGTTCTGGTCGTCTTTCTGTTAGATTGCCACTCTATTGATTCCACTTGCTCTCAAGGAAGAGCTTCGTAGTGCGCTTGGATGTGTTCGGATGTTCCAACAGTATCTTTATTAGCTAAAACTTGACTTTCTTGTCATGTCATAATGTTTGAAGCCAAAGTCAAACGGGAATATGAGACAAAAGCGAAACCTGGTCGCAGTTTGCGGGGCCGACCACTCACCTCTGCAGCAAGATTATGAGCGAACCAGACACAGCGATGAAACGAGTTCTGTGATGGATAGCACGTCTTGTTCTGCTCGACTCGACCTCAATCTATCGGGCCAAAAAATCAAAAATCATAAACATTTAGACTACAACATACAACAATATCCTGGCTCTATTTTTCGCCAGCACACACACCTTGCTCTAAAGGAAAAGGTGGAGGATAACGAATAAAAAATGGAGCAGCACAACCGGAAAATTTATTTTGGCCACTTCTTCTATTGTATATTCGCCTATATTGGTGTTGTTTTAAATTTTGCATTATCTATCACTCTAGGTAAAGCTGCGACATGGAAATTTGTTCTTCGTTGCCACCTAGTAGTTCTGTAGTTGCACGATCTAAAATGCCTTAATATGTCATATGAGTAGATCTAGTAGACTCAAATAGATACGTCACACACATAGACATACGCCAATAAAATTCATAAAATGAGACCTGGACACTAAGACCAAGACATGGGAATGCGGCGGAACAAAAACGGGACTCCAGTCATTGATCGATAATACGATGATTAATCGAAAAAAAGTCTTGCTGGAGGTTTTTAAGTTTCTCGATCAAGATCTTCAAGCCCGAGATAGAGAATCATTGGACACCTGTCGACGACCCCCCTAATGCGAGGTGACAAAGTCAGTGTACATTTCTCTATGAAAAGTTGTGCAAGTATCAAGTACTTACGTAGCAGGATTCGAAGGAAGCACTTTTCAAGCTTCAACAAACATTTTATCCAACTACAAACTACCAAGATAGCGCACAATTAGTAGTGCATGCTGCTCTGTCGTGTGATAGCCGACGTCTATTTCAAGCGAAGAACAAGAGCTCGGTGGCTTCATAATACATCAAAAAGACACTTGATTTCTTGTACTTAGCACGAAGGAATGGAAATGTTGTTCTGGTAGAATGTTCAGTTAACCTTTAAGGAGATCAAAATAAGAAGCAAAAGCAAATCAAGTCAGAGCCTGTAAATCTCTATCAAATAAACGATAATACGGACACGGAAAATACATCAAAATCGAGATGAAACAAATGATCAGCGTCGGTCTCCAGCTTGAATCATGCGTCTTAACACTACTTCATTCAAAAAAAAGTCTTAATCTTCTTGTTCGTGCAAGCAAGTGCAATCGAACACGACGCGGGAAGTTGATTATTTCTTCATGGCGACGGCACGGGTGAGGACTCCTCTGTTTCGGTTGGGGACGCTCGCAACAGTGACGCGGGAGAACTATTTGTGCCGTCGGGCGACGCACCAAGACCACTCATTGAGGAAAATGAGTTCCCACCTCCTACCCTTCCAGAGGCAGGAGTACGGCTCTTCGTATCACGTGCTTGAGGTCCCGCGGTGCCATTCCACGTCTTGGAAACGGAGACGGGCGCTCCGGAACTAGTTACACCTCCCTGGCTAGTAGTACCCTCAACAACTGCGTTAGCATGCATAGTCGTAGTTGCATCGTTCGCGGTAGCAACTAGTTTGTTGCTAGTGGCAGTCGCGCCGAAGCGTGCGTGTGCGCCGAGTGTCCCTGCGGATTCTCCCACACTGCTCAATCCCATGGTTCCTAGAGAATTCTGGGCTGCATGATCACGTCTTGGCGACCCTGTCCTCACTGGACTTTTTGAGCGTGTCCCATTCTCTTTATTCGTGGTGAAGCTCCTCGTTCTCTGCGGAGGGGTGGTCTCGCGTGCAGTTGCCAGCCAGTCCATGGGTAGATCCGAGTTTACATAGCTGACGCCTAACCGGACAAGACGCGTCGTCTCTGCCAGTGTATCGACACTATCACTAGCCAACCAGACACCTAGGATGCAGTTCGAACTAATTTCTCGCATTTTGTCCGCGCGCGCGGTTGAAAGCTCCGGTTCCCACTGGATGTAGATGCCGTCGAGAGATATTGAAGGCGTCACGCGGAGCAACGGCGCAATGTCATGAACAAGAGAAAAGTTCATTTTTCCATCTAGGGATGAGACCATGCTGCCGGCACTTTTTCTCCCTTGAAAAAAGTGCTAGGTAGAAAAATGATCCGGCTACGTGGTACCAAGAAAGTGATGGGAGGAAAAACTCTATGCATAAATGTCTTCGCGAAAAGAAAAGTCGTCTCGCCAATGCAAATATTCGCCGTAGGAGTCCGGTTCGCCTACTCGATTTGTCAGCAGCAGCAGATCGGGTCGATCCCACTCTAAGTTATTCACCAGTTTATTTCCATGGTTTTCTCCGACTGCAGACGAGGTATTGGTTGCTGTTGTAGACTGTGGCACCTCTACCTGCTGTTGGCCTAAAAACGAGGATGAGGCCGTGGCCATGTGCGCGGCTGTTCTGTCCTTGGGAGGCGGGCCGGGTGAATATTCTGTGCGTTGGGCTTCTCCTGGCACCGCTGCACATCCTAGTAATGCCCCAATATCTCTCTTGTGGACGCTCGACTCCCGCTGTTGCTGTTGGCTCGTCCCAGACGTTCCAGCAGCCGGAGCCAGGAGTCCGCAGGCACGCCTAGAAATGCCATTGATATTTGGGTCATCTGAACGTGGAGGAGGTGAGTTGTGTAGAGACGGAAAAAGCGGTGAGGGCGGAACGTCCTGGCGAACGACCACGTCTACCTGGTCTCCTATCGGGGACGACAGTTGCCGCGCGACGTGCAGTTCATTGTCGCTTGTGCTCCAATTCCCCACAACTAGTGTTTCATGTAGCTGCCCCATGGTGCTCCCTCGTGCCTTAGGATCGAACACCAGTCGAGCGGCCGAGTCCGAGTGGGCCGCTCGACCACCCTCAATATCGGAGAGCGATTGCAGACCTTGGTGCAATCTGAGACCCGCAGCGCCCTCATCTCCCTGGTGGAGTGACCCTAGCATGTTTGCTCGTCGCGCTTTCGCTACGGTCGTGATTTCTTCGTTCTGGCTCTGAGTCTCTTTTTCACTGCATTGACCAAACGAATAACACACGTTTTCCGTGTCTGTATTCCACGCCGAAGACGTTGAAATAGAAACAGAATCTGCGGCACCGCCTGCTGACCCCGAGAACCGGATATTGGTGCTGCTACTACTACCTCCTTCCTGCTCATTGGAGTGCACGCGCCACTTTTCCAGTACAACTTCTCCCGAAGGTATGTTGTTGACGACGAGGTTCGTGTCCTTGTCCGTCTTCTTGTCAAAATCGTTTTCGTCCCGAGGACTTTTTAAAGATGCAGCGGCGCTTCCAGCATTTACAGATGCAGTAGAGGTCTTGAACGCCATTTGAGCCTCATCTCCCTCGCTGTCTTCTAGACAACCAAGGGCACCCACGTGGGACGCTGTGCCTGCCCCATTGGAGGGTGCCTGCACCTCTTCTTCTTCCAAGTGCTTCTCGAGTTTTCGATCCGCTGACGAGGTTGCTTCTGCCTCGCTTATTCCTCGCCTCTCTGCAGCTTGTGGAGGATATTCTCTACTCAACACACTTGTCTGGTGCCGCACATCAGCAGTTCTTCTAGTGTTTTCTGACGTCCTTTTGATGTTTTTGAGAATGCCTCCTGCCACGGCGTTTCCTGTAGCGGTACCACTTGAAGTGCACGAGCTGTCACCCTCGCCAAAAAAATCGTGGTCGTTCTTTGAAATATCATCGTTCTCACCGAGGTCGGGTACCATCTTGATCTGGATTTCGGGAGGTGATATCTGCTCGGAGAAAAGGCTTCCTCCTCGTGATGATCTGCTGCTACTTCGTGAACGGCTCCTGTTTGTCCTCCGCAAATCATTGCTGTCCTCCGGTATATTAGACGAGGACCCTTTGAACAAATATTCTGGCAAGGCCATGAAGAATCATTTCAAACTATTTTTATGACTTCCGAAGTACTTCGAGTACTACGCGGAGTCTTCCTTGATGTTCCCGTCTAGTCCTTCTCCCTTGAAAACAACACAAGTATCTATCGTTCTTATAGCATCTATCTAAGTATATTGCAGCTGCCGAGTTGTACTAGGAGTGGTAGTGGATATTGATTTTACTAGTGCTAATCAAGAACGATCCGTAAGTATAGACGGTGGAATCATTATCTCGCCTCCGCGACTTCGAGCTCCACGATGGGCTCCACGACATGCTTTGGGCGTTAGCGATGGCGTCGGATCATTCTCAACTGCATCCTGGAGGTCTAGTGAGAGATCCACCCCATTAAGTTCGTCGAGAAGCGGCTGAATCTGTTGTATGATAATGCTGATGAACAAGTTGTACTTGCATGTGGTGGAAAACGAGAAAAAAATTGAAATCATGATCATCAATTCCAATTGAGCAATATTTTTCAGAGACAACAGAAAGGCGTTGTAGTTGTCTTCCGTCATCATCAATTCCAAATATCGCGCTTGAAATCGTTATCAATAAAATTCTTCGCGAGAACACCTTCGCGTCAGCTTCAGCAGCGTTTTTGATAAAGATTGGTGCCAACGAGAGCGCAATCATGCAATGGGCATAAATATCGTATTCATAAATGTAGGTACCTCTGCAGCCCATTGCTTCGCCAATTCACCCATGACGTAGAGGTCAAATGACATGATAACCCCAATATTCTTCACAAGGGTTAGATCGGATTTCAACAACTCGATCAGGCGATATACCTTATATCTTATTTTATTTTACGACTACGTTCGCGACTTTTGAATTTGGTTTTCTTTCGCATGAGTAGCCTAGACTAGATACGTTGATTGTTCAGATGCATTCTTCACCTGCGTCGCCTCCCACTTCACCACTTTTTCTAATCCGCTGTAACTGCATCATCGATTTGGACAACTTTTGGTATAGGAGCATCACGCTAGTAGAATCTCCAATCACAATCAGCAGCTGCCTGCAAAGGCAACCTTGAATAAATTGTAAGCCAATCCCCCGCCTATCTACCATCAACTATGACCAAGAAGTAGTACAGTGATCATTCCTGGTGATTGTCCGCCACCTGTTGCGGGACCGCATTTCAACTCGATTACTAGCTTTGCGCCGTCGCCTAGTTCTCCAGCTGACGAGAGAACTTCTGTCAACAACGGCGGCCGCACTCCAGATCGGAGCGGTGTTTTCATCACTTGACGGACGAAAATGAACCAAGAGACGATTACACAAATCCACTCTAGAGCTAGCGGAAAGACTCCGAGCTAGTAATTCTAAAAGATGAAGAGTTAGTACTTTCTAGCTATGCTCCTTTTTTAGTTTTTGTATTGATTCAGAAAAATGAATCACAGCACGACTATGCGCGGTTGTGTTTACTGATGTAGGACGTCAAATCTCATCTTCAGTCGCTAGTCCTATTACATCTTCACATTTTTTTTGCAGCTCCGTCCACGGCATAATCTACTTGTTTATCATTCGCTACTGTATCTAGATCGACCAGTTCTAGTACGAAGACGAACTCAATTATAAATGTGGCGGCTTCATCAAGTTCAACAAGCTAAAAAAAGTAACCTGTTTTCGTGGCGATCTTGCTTGATGCAAATATGACGCATAACCAACCATACAATCAAGCTCCCCCACGTCCTTGCTTAGGTTCAGCTTTTGATTCCCGACGTCAAGGCCGAGCCGGCGAAGGTTGCTGTCGTGATTCAGAATGATTTGCCTTAGAGCGCGAAGGGACAGCAGGAGGTCCTTCACCACGAGGAAGAGCAGCAAGTGGATCATGACTAAATAAACTAGGTCTAGAGCTATAATCATGGTGCTAGTTGAGGTTCTTTAGACACGTGCTCCAAGCCAAAAAGAGTTACTCGTCACAGAACATATGAATTTCATGATTCGCGTCAGAAAGAAGATCAAGATGGCCCGGCTTCATCAAATCAAAGTTCTAGTTCTTCCCTTTTTTCTCTATTTCTATGCTTCATAACTTTCCATCCCTTGTACAAATAACGTCGCACTCGCAGAAAGTAAGACCGGCTGACCAGCTCAGCTCATAGGCAGGCAGAGAGTTTTCGACAGGCCGTGCGTGCTCGCTGCCCTGCTTTCCGTTTCCGATATGAAAGCCACGATGTGAAACGACGCAGCCAGCGGTTTCTAGTACAGAATGGATTTCGAGTCGCATTTTCATCTGGCGATTCATTTATTTCTTCTTGTGTATCATGTAAGATTCCTCTTAAGACCGAGTGTATGTGAGATTCCTCTTGATACTGAATGCGATTGTGAAAAATGCAGCGCCAAAATGTATTTGTACGTGGGTTCAAGGATGCGACAGTGTCGTAGAGCCAGTGTATCTCCGCCTGCAGTTGATCACTAGTGTTTGCCAGGGGGCTAGGTATCTGCTCTCGTGCCTGGCTAACTTGCCGATTCATGGCGGACCGTAAAAAGGACGAGGACTGACAATTAAGCGTCAAAGGGATGACTAAACCATAACCAAGTCATGATGGGTAAAATGGAGGTCAACATCATCTTCAGGAACTCTATCTTCTTTGTCTTCCATCGGCCTTGCTCGCTATTTTCTACTTACTGTTCCATCATTTTTATGTGTTGTGAGAGTTGTCAGGTTCTTAATCTTGTGGGAGCATACTATCACATCAATATTCGATGATGCTATGTCTTTTTTCGCTCTATGATATTAACGGGATCCCGATCGTGTGTAGTACCTTGTGCAGTCGCAGGTTAGAGCTTGACCCTATGAGGCGATGAAAAGAACCAAGAGTCGTGCCACGCCTTGCAAGGCGTCTTGCGGAATGCTTGGCTAGTGTGGCACTGCTCGAAACGTTGCTCAGTCCACTGGATTTGCCTGCAGGTAATACGACCGCCGCAGAACTCCTCGATCCGTGTGGGATCATGAGGTTTGCAGGTCCACCAGAGTAGTCTCCTCCTCCGACGACATCTAGGAAAGCTGCCGGAGAGGCCGAATTCGCACTTGCTGCGTTTAATGCAGGGGAAAGCGAAAGCGCGAGCATGCGCTTAGAAGGATGAAGATGAAAAATAACGTAGTACTCTACTACTGTGATCTAGACCGGTCCTGCTTTGTGAAAAAGGGACAGTCGTCGATGTGTGTTATTTCGAGCCTTAACTTTCTTTGCCACGCAGCATACAAGATCGCAGCTACCACCGAACTGGCTTGCGTAGAGCGCTGGCAGCAATTTTCGAGCAGCTGCGCCATCGTTGCTAGTCAAGCTTGTTTTGTCGAATTTCTTTACACTTTTTCTCAACGCTGCAAAATTATCCTCGACGAAGGAGTGCAACGTCATCAGCAACGCGTCGCTTCGTCGCATGTCTTCTAACTCGTCCACCGAAAGGCACTCGACAACAAGTTCGAGCCCCTCTGCTCTGCCGGCTTTCGAATACAGCAGATCCACTAATATGAAGACACAGGACAGACTTTCAATAGCAGTTTTATTAAAAAGCCATAACGGGTCATACATCAAAAATGGTTTGGCAACACCAGAAGTAGAAACGAATCGTGTTTGAAGGTGACGGGACAAAGAAAAGCCTACAACTTGATGATCTGCTATTGGTTCTACTCTTTGTCGAGCTGAAAGACGAAGTAAAACCTTGCCTACTCACGTAGATTTGCATGTTGCAATATAGATGTTAAGAGACATTCCTTCATGAATGACATCATAAAGAGCTCTCGCCATTTTTTGTGGAAAAAGGCATCGATTTTCGATAGCTGCTGCGTCCATGCTTCTATGAATTGTTCGGTGCTGCATTTTGCTGCGATCAGCGCCTTTAGTGCATCGTAGTCACAGTAATATTCCTCCCACGGCGAATGCCGGGAAACACGCAAATGCGCACCAAAGCGCATCCTTTCACTTGTTGCCCGTGCTCAACCGCTAGAACTTTGAAGATCTTATTAATAGTTCCTGAAGATCATTTCGACGAAGCGGAAGAAATCGTGCCGTCTTTGTGAGGTAATGAGCTTCATCGTGCGATAAATATTTGCTTTTGCATGTTATCACTACCAACAAGTCCTGTTTAAGTAGCTGTTGTTCTTCTTGTTTCACTGCAGGAGGGACGCGGCGCCTATTACACACGATTACATCATAGGATTACTTAACATCGATACATCAGCTACAGCAGGATGAACAAATACAACAAAATATTTCAGCATCAGAGGAACCTCCAGTTTATCAGTAGATCAAACATAAACACTATGACCTTCTTGTCTTTCCAGATCTAGGATCTCCAAAGATGAAAGAGAGCCACAGCTTCCAAAGAAAATCATCATAGCACAAGTCATAAATATTAGATGTTACGCTTATTTCGTCCCTCTCTCATCACTCGACCAACATCTTTTAGATTTACCCTGAGAGTCAGACGTTCTTGTGAAAAACTTGTATGTGAAAGTGAATAGAGGAAACAAGAAAATATCACTCTCCCGTGTCGTATTTGGGTGTCATCCCTGAAGCCACGCAGTTGCCCCTCCAACTTTCAGAATATGCGATTCTCTTTAGCTTTGGTATTTGTTCTTTAGATGTGAGTCTCAGTCGAACCGAGGTGCTGGTCATCTTAGTCGTGTACTACTACTACGTGATCATATGCGCGCTTTGATATTGATTCACTACGATTCTCATGCAAGGGGACAAACCGCGACACAGGGTTTTGGATAGCCCAATAGTGCTTCACTGCATCCTAAGCTGCCGACACTTCATTTTTTTGATCAGCCATGCCTTCTTCTGCGTGCCTCCGTGTTATAGGAGAAAGAACAAGCAGGCGATCTGCGGGGCATCACGGAGGACCGGAGGCCGCACTTGGCACGTGGTCCAATGGTTTCCCCGAATGCTTCCTGATTTTTCGACGTAGGAACGTTTCCTTCTCGCGCGCCGTGCGAAGCTGTACCCACTCAGCGATCGGCACGTGTAGTACCTCGTGGCCTAAACGCTGCAGAAGTACGTGCTTTAGCTTTGTCGTCGCCGTCATCGGCGCGCCAATATCGTACCAACGCGCAACAGCACCGCGCCCCGGCTCTGGCGCAGCTTGGCTTCGCAGAAGTTCCTCGGCTTGTGCTGCCTTCACGCGAGCGCGTTCTCGCGTCAACTCTGCTCGTGTGGGACCCGAGGAGTTTTCTTCATCCAGCCTATCTTGATGCACACGATTCTTCCTCGCACGAGAAGCTGCTCCCATTGCATCACCGCTTTCTTCCTCAGGCGGTGAAGCAGCTTCCGTATTCTCCACCAGCTGCCGTTCCGAGTCGACGAGATCAGGTCGAGGCCTCAAGTAGTCGTCAACGACTGTGTCCTCTGTCGTGCAGCGCCGAGACGCCGAAGACGGCGTAGTGCTACCTGTAGCTATTTGTGCAAGTTTGCGGTAGTAATGCGTCGGTCCCTGTGCCTCGATTACCAGACTTTTCGTTGCAAGTGGCGTTGGACTCGGAAGAAATTATGAACGAAAAAGTACAACGGAAGCAAGTGCTTAGCATCTAGTGCATTTCATAAACAACTCGACCTCATACTCAACTACTTCTAGGGAAAGAAGAGAAGTGAGAGTGACTCAGATGATTCGCAGCTAGTGCTTGTATCTATAATTGTCTCATCAAAACATGGACAAGAACCACGGCGGCTGTGGAAGTGGAACTCCTATGGTTGATATGTGCTGTGGCTTAGGTTGACATAACAGAAAGTCCACTTGATAAGGCCCGACGGTGACCTCTGTGTCGAAGTCGACTTGGAGCTTTTCCAAGTGCATTTTCAGGTCCTTCTGGAAAGCGGAATTTGTGTGAGCGAATTCTGGGAGAGCGCCCGCAAAGCGGACTTTGCGTAACCATCCACGAACCAAGGGTGGAAGTTGTTGCGGCCAAAACTTGGTCCTTAATGTGATTTCGATGATTTTCATCTGCGAGAGAGCAGCATGCAACTTTGACCGCGAGGTCACCACAACGGAGCCGTCCTTTCCGCAAATGTGACTGTCTGGCACCTGCATCACACGTTGCACGTCGCGGAACAACTGCGAAGCGAAGTCGCCGCATTCAATCGAAAAATACGCCAAGGAAAGCAACAAATTGGTTGCGCTCTTCATGCCCAAAACCGGTCGCCGGCGATCACGGTGCAGAGAGGAGGTCTCATTTGGGGATGATGAAGCCGGCGACGTCTGATGTAACAAACGTTTTTCAGGGTGAGGTGTGCAGCGACCAGGTGTCGAACATCCATCTTCCAGGGTACCCTCATCGGCCTCGTCATCGTGAAAGAGACTTGCTTCGTCCTCGTCTTCATCGTCACCTCTGTCTGCTGCCTCCACCAGGCCTATTTCTTTTTTGTCGTCTTGCACCTCCCGTTCTAGGGCTGCTTGCTCATGATTGCGCTCATCTTCGTCTACGTCTGCTGATATCTCATTTTTGTTCTGTTTCGGAACATCACCTAGTTCATCAGGTTGTGCGAGTAGGATTTGCTCGAAAATTTGTGGATGCCAAAGATCCAAGCGAAATAGCTCATAGGCAACGAGCGACGGGTAGCGTAGCGCAATACCGCTTTCGTGAATTCGAGTGAGGAGGACACTGAAGAACTCCCCACCGGGGCGAAGCTGGAGTCTTCCCAAAGCGCGTAAAACGAAAATTAGATCCCGTACCGAGATTTTGCCGTCCTCGAGAGCAATGGAGAGTTCCGGACCCTGAAAGACCCGTCGCTCTTCCGTGAAAAAGGAGCGGGGAAACATGTTCAGTAAAGCGCAACTGTCGATGATCTCCATTTCCTGGTTCAGAGAGAAAATAGCGCAAGCTCCTTCCGACGACGTCGTACTCAAAATCGCTCTTACAAACATATGTACTTCAGATCCTAGGCTAGGCATCCGCGCGAGCGCACGCATGATGCGCACGCGCTCAGCGCAAGTCATATAATTCGTGTAACAACAACGTGTCAACGCATTCAGCTTTCGACCGTGCTCGAGTCCCGCGGCTGCCATAACCTCGATCATGCGTACCGTTAGCAAATTCCCAGCTGCAATTTCTATTGTCTCTTCGAAGCCTCGCGATGGTGACAATATTTGTTCCGAATCGATCATCGTCTCTCGAGTGTCATCATGAAGTCTCCTCGTATTTTCCTGTGGGCGACATGTGGTCGCGTCCCTTCGTGGCTCCTCCGCAAAATGAAACGAATCGAGAAGCATCTCCGCTTCACGCAGGCATAAACGTATCCTCGACGCTGATTGTTCTGGTGTTCGCACTCCTGCCGCAAAGATACTTTCATCTTCCCCACGACTACCGGCACGGCTCGCCTCATCTCGTTGCTCTCGCCCGTCGTCTTGCCGCGTACCAGCAGATGTCAAGACGACAATACGCGCAGTCAATAAGCGCTTGGCTGTTCGTAGCTCTAGTCTGCCCAAGCAGCTTTGTAAAGCAAACAAAACTTCGCGTCTGCCTTGCCCACGTGCAACACTCCATGAGGGGCCGCAAAGCAGTCGCAGGAGCGCCTCAGTGGTGTTTTCCACCCCACTTGATACTCGCGCACGGCGATACCCCGTCGATCCGTGTCGGAGCAGCTGGTCCTTGACTTTGTCCCAGAACGCACGCAGGAGTGCTTCCAATGCCTCGTCTGCTTTCGTACTCGACGAGTTCGCCGCTGCAGCTGGTCGTCCAAATTCCAAACCTTTTCTTGCGCCACCAGATGCACGAAGCACCCCGGCGCAAACCGTTGCGAGTGACTTGACGGAGGACAACAAGTGTACATTTTCGAATTGTAACGCTTTTTGAACCAAGGCTTCAACTCTAGAAGCACCAGTTCTGGCCGCCTGGATTCTAGAGCTTTTCGTGCACGATGCCGTGCCTCCGAGGCGTTCGGGCGGTAGTTGAGCAGATCGCGCTATGGATGAAGAAGAACAAACGCTAGTTGCGTATGCATAACCAGTCCTCGTACTGGCCCTGTTCCTGTTGTATGCTGCCACCGCTCGGATCTTTGACATTCTGTTACGATCATTGTTGCCCTACTTCGTGCCTCGTCCGAACTGCTCACCATTCTCCTCAGTCGTAGCAAAAAAGGACAAGCGCGAGTCTCGTACAGAAAAGAGCCAACAACAGGTCACCGTCACAGACGAGATCTATATATAAATATAAGATAGACTCTCGATCTCGTCATCCGCGCTTCATATTTTATGCTCTTACCGTTTCCGTTACCGATGATCATTGGGCTACAAATAAAATCTACAGAAGTGTACCTAAGTGAGAACTGATCTAAAAACTGGGAATGTTTACTTCGGTCATAAAGGTCGTGCAGTGCGGTCCCAGTGATGCTTCCACGCAAAAGCAATCGCAGATGAACAAGAGCGTCGTGCGGCTTTGATATGATTCAGGGAAGAACACAGAGAAAAGATATCTTGGATAGCTTCCGTTGGTCTTGGTTACTTCGTTCTTTCTAGTTTTTAACAGAACACCGCGAAAGATGAATGCGAGGACGATAATATTTTTTACTGTTCTTCAAAAAATGAAAATAGTTCCACTGAGATTGAGAAGAATATAGTGTTCGTGGAAAAGGGACAGTGAAAACGAGGAGCGTGAAAGTGACCTGTTCTACATCGAGGGATCCCCCTCTTGCTCCCTTGGTGTGTCTTCTACTTCTTCTACTGTATTTCCCCCCGACGATACAGTAGATGCGGTTTCGGCGACAGCATCCGCCAAGAGTCCCGCAGTTGAGGATCTCAGCAGGTCGCGTGTCAGGTTATTGCCTAGTAGGCCAGATATTGTCGCGCCGCCGGAAGTCGGTGCTGCTCCTGCGGCGGCAGCTGACGGGTCGAGCTGGGACAGAAGGGTGAAATTTGCGGGGTGGATGTTGAAGGTGGGTATCTTTTTCATCACGAAGGCGAGCGTCAGATTTAAAGGCCATTTGAGCATACTCTTGGCAAGGTAGAAGTGACCCGTCACTGCGGACGCTGCACCATCGTCGACGGAAAGGACCAGAATGCGCTGCTGTGGCGCCTTTGAGTCCGCCTGTTGTTGTAGTTGGACGAATTCATGGAGGTACGCAATGGCAGACTGCAGCGGCGCAGCGGTAGCACGCACCAGCTCAGAAGTAGAGTTACATGTCTCTTTCGCATCCAGAACCAGGTCCGCTAACTCGCTTTGTGCACAACTGCACTCACCCAGTGGCGAGATTACCAGTAAAATTTCCCGAATACCCAGATCATCTATGATTTTGCGCAGTCGCTTAACTGATGATGACGATGATGGTTGTGAGCCCGACGGCGACGTCGACTCTCCAGTGTGACCGTAGGAAAGACGCAAGCTTTGGGCATCGCAGCTGCCAAAATTGATTTTCCATGAGACCCTGCTTTCTCCCTCAGGGTGTGGAGATACAGCCCCACCATGAGCGACTGGTTGGCTTTGAGGAACCAAGGAAGAGGTTTGTGAGCTAGAGCTTCGTGGCAACAAATCAGTGTCTGCCACATCAAGAAAACCAGTCCCGCCGCAGTACACGTTTCCCGAGAAACACACTGGGTAACGCACTTGGGAGTATTCTTGTTCGACTTGCGACGGTGGCCCAAACAAGTAGGGTGCTTCAACAAAATTTTTGTTACCAAAAGCAGCAATTCCATCATCCCCTGTGACATCCAATCCCTGTGCTGACGAGATTCCCATCTTTACTGCAACATCATTTCGTCGAAGCACCATCGGAAATTCCGAGGCTACCTGAGCAAAATCAACTCTCCAAACCTCGTCAAAAGCGAAAGATGTGCTCAAATGAACTATCTCATCGCATACGTAGATGAGCGATTTTCGCCGGTTCTGCAACTGCGCTCGCTGTCCTCTGCACATCGTCGCCGTACCTGATGTTGTCGATGCCGAAGAAGCCGCAGTCGCTGTACCAGGACATGCTTCTTGTTCACCTCTTTCTCCAGTCGCGGTCGAGGCATTTGAAGAAGTTGTAGGAGATTGCCGAGAAGTACGAATTGTGGTTGTGCCATCCATTTGCAGAAAACTGTCTCCGATTTCTCTAAGTGCATCGTCTAACAGCAAGCCTGGTTTTGACATTGCGGAAGTAGTCTCTGATGCGGAATTGCCGTAGCCTACCCAATGGAAACCGTGAATGTGGCAACGCTCGAATTCAGCCCTCGATTGACGAAAGTCGATGCAGAAGTACGATGTCCCACCTGCTGTCGGTGGCAATTGGAGAATGTTGAACAGCTGTTGCGGTTTCATCACTTTCACAGCAGGCGTCCCAATACTGGGTTGTCCACGACCAGCTGTTGCTGGAGGCTTGTTCAACGATGTCCTTACACTACCCTCCTGCTGCTGCAGGAGCATCCTCATCATCGACTCACGATCCATCTTGTTCTATTTGCATTGGTTTCTTACTCTACTGTTCATATTTCATCCAACTACAACTAGTAAGACCATGACCACCTGTAATATGATCTAATTTTTACTTAGGACGAATGAAGAGAAGTTGAAGGTTAGACGAGATCGACAGACGAATAAACGGAAACGAGCAAACGAATTGCGTCAAATTAACCATGGAACGGGCGTGATCCTGATAAAAAGAAACAAATATAGAGGAAAGAAAACAAATATCATCTTGAATGATAAACAGAAGAACGTGGATCAAGAGAAGGCTGCTCTGCGTCAACACAAGGCTGTTCACAAACAACTTTGATGAATGTGGACGGGAAAAATGAAAATCGGTGATCATCAGGAGACTAAATCTTTAACTACCGTCTCAACATACCATTCGCGTGCTCATTTGAGGGATTGCCTTAGGGGATCGCGTGAGCTGTGCTGAGATACAGTAAATGATCCTGAAATCTGAAGCGGCAGTGATAGAGCAATTGCACGCATGTCGTTGTTGACATGCGAGAGAAGGTATTAATGTATAAGGTTGACTACTTTTGCATATTTTTGGAAGTGCACGCATAAAATCGGAGAGCTTCCGTGACATGTCCCTCGCGGTACTGGCCACGCCACTGATACACGAACACGAGAGCAAGACAGACACACAGAGACAGACAACCTCGGAGATCGTATCAATTACAAAGAGGTGCGCTCGTTTTCATTCAAAAGGATTCAAGGACAAGGAACGAATATGAGCTGCTCCTTGTCAAGGATCCAAATATCGCTTCTAGAACGTTCGATAGGAGAAGCTTCATTCATGTGTTTGTGGTCTCCCCAAGAATGACATAGATACAACTACAAAATTAATCTACGTCGAAGGTTGTTTTTCCACATCTTTATCGATGTACTCAGACTGACATCGAAAGTGAACAATTTGCGTAAAAAAAAACGGAACACAAATTGCAAAAGTTAACAACATGGTGAAAGCAAAACTGAAGAATACCAGAAGTAAACTCTAGTGTATAGTCGCTTCGTCCATCATTTGCGTTTTCTTTCAAAGAGAGTTGGAATGAGGTATGATACCATGCGGTGCAAAAACGCAGAGGTAGGCGCTGTTGCGTTATGTTCGAGAACAACTATGTGGATGTAGGCTATCTTCTTCTACGAACTCATGAGGATCACGATAGAATGATCACTCGTCCGTATAGACAAAATACATATAATAGTGATATCCATATCTCGCGACGAAGTTTTTTAGAAGATCTGGTAGCCTTCCTGCGCGATTTTTCGAGTGAAATTTTTCAGATAGACAGAGTACCCCGGTGCGACCTGTGTTGTGCGTGGCGATTTTTTGGGCTCGAAAGATTGTTGTTCTTGTGTATATCTTACTGCAGGGCCTTCTCCCTGCTGAGGAACGCGTCGCCGCTGCGACAGGGATTCGGTCTGCTTAGCCGCTGGCTTTGTTGAGAATTTCTGTAGCGTTCCGGAAGATGCCAATGAAGACGACGACGGCGAAGGTCCCGACGTCCTGCTCGTCGTGGTGTTTCGATGAAGTTCCATAGGTGCAGTTTGCTGCAAGTCGTTTCGTATTTGAACCACCTTTTTTTTTCCCCGTCCTGCTCGTCCGTACATACTTACATTCTTCGAAAGCGATTTTCCTCCACCTTCAACGTCTGCTTGCAGTGATGAAGGCACTGACGCAGTAGTCGTAGGAGGCTGCGCGACACCCATTTTTCTTGGGTTCTCGTCTTGATTTCTCTCCGTCTCTTTTGATCCAGTTACCTCCTGCTTGTTCTGAGCTGCCGTGCGATAAAAGTGCTTCATGATTCGTCGAGGATCTACTACATTCGTGCTTCCAGACACACATGTCGTGCTATCGCCAGCGGAGGAAAGCAACGTAAGACCCCCAGTTGTAGTTGTACTGCCTTTGGACGTGCTTTTCATTTTCATTTTCGATTGTGCATTACTGAGTTTTGATCCCGATCTACTTTGCGCACATGATGAAGACGAACTCGTTGTATTTTTGGATGTTCTTGAAATTGCAGTGGCTGTACTCTTAGAGGCTGTACTTCTCGAAGGACTTGCGCTACGATGCTTGGCGTACCATTCCGCTAGTGCTGCAAAATGGCGCGCAAGGACGTCTTGTTGTCCTTCGGGAGACGTCGAAGCAGGGTGCTTGCGCTCGTGATCATCTTGTTGCTGCGATCCAAGGCTGACATCCCTCGTCGTGTCCACGTGGTCTTCGACTACTTCAGGAGCATTAAGAAGACAAATGTCCTCGGTCCCGAAGAGAGCAGGAGAAGATTCTCCCTTGTCAGCTGGAGGCTGTAGAGAAGCATCTTCCAATGTCGTGTCCTTGGCGCTTATAGCTAGGTCGCCGTCCTCTGTTTCGCGGTAACCGTCCTCCGACAGCTTCAGTTCTTGCAACTCAGGTTTCACGCCTCGGCGGTCATCTTGCACTAGCAGTTTTCTTTCTTGCGCATTCTTTTGCGCCAAGTCATGTTGCAGGTGCGCTATTTCCGCGTCTTTTTCAAGTGAAATTCGCCGAAACTCGTTTATCAGCAGGTCTCGCGCCGCTAGCTCCGCTTTCAGTGCAGTAATCGTGGCTACGGGATCTTCAGCATCATGTTCTGTCTCCACGTCATGGTCTCCTTCGATATCGACATTCTGCGGCTGCCGAGGGGGCCCATTCGTAGTCCCCGGGTGTTGTGCGCCGTTGTTCCCGTTGTTCAGACAGCTCGTTGGCGTCTTCGGCCTCGTCCCTCCCCTACCAACTCGGGACGCTGGAACAAAAGAAGTTTTGCTGTGCTTTTTCGCGTGGTTGTTGTAAAGCATCGACTTTGGCATTTTTACCGTCGCAGATGGGGGCAGTAGGGTTGCAAGCGAAATGAAATCCGGCGATTGCGCCGAAGCACTGAAAGTTGCTGAATTAATGTTGTAGAAATCGGACAGGAGTTCTTTTGCCCCAATCACCTTGTTAGCATAACCGCTCGTCGTGCCTGTTGTGGACCCAGTAACATAGTTCGCGGATGAAGATGCAGTTTTGTTTCTCGTACAATAGGATGTGGAAGATGAGGTTCGACGATAGTTGCTCTTTATTGTACTAGACGAGTCTGTTGGCGGCATCATCAGTGTATGGACAATCTTCGGTGTCAGAAAGTTTGTGCCTGGCGGATGCGATGTTCCCATGCGCGCTCTGGTATGAAAACGACGCGGTGCTGCAATGTCAGCTCGCTCTTGCTCTGCTAGGATTCGCTGGAAGCGCTGAGAACCACGCTGAACTACGGAGGTGGAGTCGGGAGTCAATGGCGCGCGAGACAATGCTAGATCTGCGAATCCTTCAGCGACTTTGTTTGCATCCATATCCGTAGCATGAAGATGCGCGTCCGCCGCCACTGCCGACGACGTCAGCACACCAGCATTTCTCTCCAAAGCACCAGTGATAAAGTCTGGCTCGTCCTCGGAAGCACAATCGAATCGTGCACTTGTGCTGTAGCGTCGTGGCAGTTGTCGTAAATTCGATGCTGATAACAGAGACACGTCTACATGATTGTCAAGGTCATTTTCATCTACGACAAAGTGCCCGAGCCGTGCGTCAGATGTTCCTTCTTGTTTTTCTTGCTGATCGTACTCCTCAGTAGGTCTACTACGCAGCAGGGCACTTTCAACTTTCATCTCGTTTCCATCCCTTTCTGGAGGTTCGCACTCCTCTAACTCTGGACTACTGTTCTGAGTCCCTGGCATAGTCGGCGGCCTGCCGACCACGACCACCTCCCGCAACTCGTTACCCGCTGCCGTTGGCGATTCTCGTGGTTTTCCCATCTGCAGTGCAGGACAGTCAAGAACGGTCGATCTATCCCGCCCTGGAGGGAACAGTTCTTGATGCGGCTTTCTGTCTACCTCCACTACCGCTTCCGTTGGACCATGAGTATCCCGGTCCGCTCGACTCTCGATCATATCATTCATCAGCGATGCCCCAGCCGGATCATCGTCAACAGCATCTCCTAGTCTATTCTTGCTTACCACCGTTGTTGTGTTATCCTTGCTATGCATCTCCTCGCTGATGTCGTTCCTATCAATTCTTGTGCCAGCCCCTTCCACCAATGGACCTCCTGTGCCACAACAAGCATCCTGCTCGTAGTTATTAACTGCGCAAGCCTCGTCCTCGTCGCCATCGGCATCGGTGGAGGACGAGGATTCATCTGGGAACTCACCTGCACTGAGCACTGGACTCTCGGAGCATGGGCCTAGCAGCGCGCTAGGCTGCGAAGAGCGAAGTTGTATACCCCCAATCAAAGACGGCCTGATCATACCCCTACCCGACGTTTTCGCTAGGAATTCCAAGGCGTCTGCTGTGGTCTCCAAATTATCCGGGAAAACTTCTGAAAACTGTTCAGTCGAATTTAGAACTGCGGTAGTTGGTGCGGTCGCAGGCTCTGTTACAGCTTCTGGACGGCATGTTGATGCCTCCACCTCGCAGCTCTCGGCACTAGGTGAGAGTGATGCCTTCTGCGTGTCTGTACTCGACTCCTTTTGCGTGTGAGATGGAAGATGATGCTTCTCTTGTTCACTAGAATTGTTAAAAAAGAGGGGTTCTTGTTGGACCGGGAAGAGTGCCTTCTGCGACGGGTGATTCAACGGCGCAAATATCACTTCGCCACCGGGAAGAATTCCTTCATCTTGTTGAATTTGTCGTGTTGCTCTTTCGTTTACTCGGCAACTGCTATCTCCCACCTCCCCCCCTGCTGCTATTCCGATTTGCTTTTCCACTTCATCGATTCCGGGTTTTTCTAGGTCATCGATCGCCGTTGTGCTCTCTGAGGCAGAAGATGGCGCAGCTTCACTATACGACGAGGGACTGGTCTTAGGTGGTTGGTGTTCACTTCTTCCTCCTTCTGCTGCGTTGATGAAGTGTTCGTGCCCCAGATCTATCATGTCCTGAAGATAAGAACTGCCTTCATGATTTGCTATTCGCTGTTCTACCTCCTCAATCGTGGGCTTCGACCTCGAAACTACAGACGCTGAAGCCGCATTACACTCCAGTAAATGACTCGGCGTAACGAGGTCTGACATGTTTAGGCTTGCCGGCGTTCCACAAGTCTCATCCATTGCTACGAGACCTCCACCGGAAGCGGCCACTGCTCCTTCTCCTTGGTCTGCGTTTCGATCCACCAGACTGGTTTTTCTCGATGTTATTGAGCTACTCCTTTCGTCTAACAGTATGTCATCACCCGTCGCACCTCCTATGACTCCTTGCGAGGAAAATGCTCCTGCGCGAGTATCGATGTCCAGCGAGCAGTCGTGCTCGTTTTCCTCGAGAAGCCCGCGCGCAGCAACTGCATCCAAAAGCATAGTGTCGAACGTATCGAGCCCAGTCGCTGTTTCCCCAGATGTCGCAGGGTCCGCAGCGGCTAAGGGCGACCGCGGATTGGCTGTACTAACGGACAATAGCAACGAACTGTTTTCGAAGTGCTGTTGGAACCGTCGAGGCTTCACCAGTTGTCGTGGCGATTCGTTTAATATGCTTTCGTGTTGTACTGGTAGCTGGTGATCTGCATCTTCCACACGAGGTCCTGAGCCTGGTTTTTGAGAGGTCGTGGCTGTACCTGACGTTGTCTGCTTCAAAATGTGGCTCAGGAATGTTCCCACGGTGCGTTGAGCGCGTTTTTCTGCCACTACGTCAGCCACAATCTCCTGCAAATCGGCGACATCAGCCGACAAAATCAGCTCGGACAACTCCCCTGAAGCTGAACGGCGCACACCTCCAACGGTCGGAGTGTTGTCGTCCGAATATTCAGCTGCTCCTGATGAATTATCGAAAATGAATGACGGACTTGTACTTGGACTTCATCTGAGAGAAAACATTAACACCACGTAGAGGAAGAAAAGTACAACAGATCTAGTACCAGTTGAACTTTAATATCGATAAGAATCAAGAGCTGCACCACAGTGTGCTGTACGAACAATTTGCAGTTCCACCTCGTTGCATCATCGTAGGAGACAAACCAGATCGACTATTTGTACCAGCCGGAGCCCCAAGTGCAGCACTGTCCTCCTGATCAATACCGTCCCCTCGGCAGCAACCATCTCGCGTGGCATCCGCAAGTCCACGAGCACGACCAGAACCGACGCTTTCCTCCACCCTCTCCGCCAACCCTGATGCCGGCTTACGTTGCTCCTCGTCCGATAAGGACAGCTCATCAGATGAAACACTCAGTGGAGACGTACTTGACGAGGTCTCCTTGCTGTCTTGTTTAGCGTGAATGTCGTGACTAGCAGGCCTGTCAGGGGAAGAAGCTGGATCCTCGATTTCAGCTTCCGATATTGTTGTCAGCGGTTTGACGCGCGTTTCGCCTGAAGCGTCGCGAACGACAGACGGCGAAATATGGCTTATCAAGTCCATTCCTCCAGCGTTCCAGGGCCGCTCACTAGATCTGCCTCTGTCTCGCCGTTTTTCTTGGTTGAATATTCCACGACACAAGGCGGTCCTGCTGATGCGTTAGCCTTGATCAGGTGGAGAGTATCATCATCTTGGTACTTCTATTTTCGTGGTTACAATAGTTTCGTGTGCGTGACACCTGTTATTGTACTTAGTTGGTTCTTGTTGTAAGACAGCAAAGTAATTTCCTATTTCCTTGTATATCTACGAGTCAATTCCTCGTCACCAGCAGACGCATTTTAGTCCACTCCTAAGGAAACACTTTGCCATCCTTTTATTTTTACTATCACACTTTTTCTTGTTTTTCTTTTGCTCTAAACGCTTTTTCAGTCCTCACTCTCTTCATAGTCGTGCACCTTTATAGCGCAGCCGGATTTTTCTGGACAGGTCCACCTTGTCCTTACTGGGTGTGTACTGTATACATCAGAGCATCGACCGGCGGGTCCACGTAAGGCCGTCCCCCAGCATAGCTGATTAGCCCTAAGAAATTCGGTGTATCTCTCGGTGTCACTTCCTATCATATTTGCCTGATCTTTAAATGTTAAAAAGCTGGATAAAAAATCAACAACGACCCCGCCGCACTTTCACTCTTCCACTTCCGGACCCCCAGCCCCCAACGCCCGGACCTCCACCGCCTGAACCCCCAGTCCCAAGCTCATGAACTTACGAACTTAGAAACTCATGAGCATGGACTTAGGAACTTCTGGCTCTGAACTTGTAAATAACTTAAGAACTTAGGAACTTATGAGGCCCCAAGTCTTCAGCTTGAAGCCTGCAACGCGCCACCCTGGCACTGCAGTTCATTTTCAGGGCAATAAAAATAAAAATTTTGGGATTTTGGAAAGTTGCGCTGAGATTTCAAATCTGAAAGCGCGAAAATGGAAAAGCTTCTTTCTGACTTTATCAAAGAAGGAAAAACGTTAAAGAAATGCGCGCAAAGTCTTTAATTGCCTTGAGGCTTTAAGCCTTCAGGCTGAAGCCGACAACGCGCCACCCTGTCCCTGGCGCTTGAGTCTATTTCTTGGGCGATGAAGTTAAAAGCTTTGGGACTTTGAAAAATTTTACAACGAACTTGCAAACTTGAAAGCGCGAAAGTGGCGAAGTTTCTGACTTTATCAAAGAAGACTAATCCTTTTGATTAAAGAAATTGGGCGCAAAGTCTTGAACTGCCTCGAGGCTTCAGGCCTTCAGTATGAAGTGCCATTTAGATTCATTTTCTGGGCGATAAAATTAAAAACGTCGGGATTTTAAGAGAAGTTCCAATTTGAAGCTTCAAACTTGAGAGCGCCAAAATGGCAAAGTTTCTGACTTTATCGAAGAAGAGTAAACTTCGAAGGAATTGGGTGCAAAGTCTTTCTCTGCCTTGTGGCTTCAAGTCCTCAGCTTGAAACCTACAACAACGCGCCACGCACCCTGGCACTTGGGTTCGTTCTTTGTGCGATGAAGTTAAAAGCTTTGGGATTTTGAAAAGTTTTACACTGAAGCTCCAAACTTGCAAGCGCGAAAATGACAAACACAAAGCTCGCGATTTTATCAAGTGAATAAAAAACTTACTTGAAAAAGATGCAAAGTTTTTAACTTTCTTCGAAGTAGACGAATCTTAAAAGTTTGAAACTTAAACGCTTCAGCCTTCCGCAAAGATGCTAAACCTAACAGAAGACCAGCAGGCTCCCGGGTCTACCATTTCCCGGCGTGCCTTTTCAATGGCCGCAGGCCGCCAAGAGACCCGCTTTTGTGCTGTTCCACTTCTAGCGACCAACTCCGCCAGACAGTTGTCGCGTGGGGAAGGGGCCGGGCAAGCAGGGGCACGCAATGGCGGGGGAAGTGCGTGCAGAGGGTGGAGGATTCTGGTGGGGTCTGTGCTGCCGTGCGCTTAAGTATAGTCTATTTCATCACGAAAGCACTACTTGTGCTGGAAGCTCAATTTGTAACCTATGCATTCTTCTGATCTACTCGACTATGCAGCATTAACTTCTGCTGCCTTTTTGACTTCTGCTTCGTTCGGCTAGTAGCAAAGTCCTAGTCCATGCACTCTGTCTAAAATCTTGCTGTCGCCAATTCTTTGCAACAGCTACTTCACACGAGAAAATCTTAGCCGGTAAAACTTGAGACGCCCTTGTTCTTCGTCTTCCAAAACTCTGAGCACTTGTCGCATCAGGTCTCAGAGCTGCGCTCTACCTTGAAAAGAAGATGTGTTACGCGGACCGCCACGTATTCCATGCCTTGTTCCAGTAGGAAATCGAGAAGTTGCTCCACGTAACCTGTACAGTAATTCTGTCCCGCCAAATCTGCCACGCCTACTCGTTCCTGCAAGAACCGCACTTCTGGCAGCAACGGCACTAGCAGCTTTACAACACTGTTGAAATCACCTGAAAAATCGAGCTTGGTAGTGCTCTCATGCTCACAAACGACATATGCATTTGGTGTTTTCGCGTTCGCCGCAACCTGTAGTCGATGATCAAGTTCAAGTTGAAGTTTGCAGTCGTCATTATCAACATCGCAGTATATGTGTAAGCAAGATTCAGCAAATTTAGTTTCACAGATTCTTATCTTGTGTCAACATGGGAGTCGGACTGATTCGATGGAATTTAATAGTAGAGACCACTTTGCATTTGCAAAAGCAAACCAGACTGTTACTTGGGGTACTAGAAGCTGATCCTGATGAACTATAGTCAATTATAGAGAAGATAGAGTCACGATATATCCAGTGTTACCGCACTGCCACCACAATCTACGCCGGTGGCGTCTCCGGGTAGCACCGTGCTCTCGAATTGCAAATGTTGGAGGTGTTCGGAGTATACGGGAAATCGGTCGAGGTCTTTCATGAAACACATGCGTTGCAGGTCGGGGTCACTGGCGAATCGTTCCCGCAACTCCAGTAGCCTCTCGTCCTGCACAAGGGTGTGCGGCAATAGACACAACACCAAGAGGGAACGCGCTGCCGCAGCATCCTGACATTTGCTAACCTTAACGTCGGCGGACGTTTGGGTTTGTTCATCCGTACTAAAATGAATTCTGCGCTTCGCCGACCCTTGATGTTGTGCTTGCGGTGGCCGCGCAGCGCATGCACGCCGTACGAATGCCGCAGCTGCCTCGCGGCGAGCAACTGGAACCGAGCCCAAAGCAATCGAAAAAGCCCTTACGACACATAGATCGAAATCGCAAAGCACATCTTCGTCACTTCGTGCTAGAAATCCCGGTAATTCCACCGATAGTGCTTGCTGGTTAGTGATGCTCACGCACCTCGACAAATTTTCAGAGATAGTCAGCTGCTTCGTCTTTCGCCTCTTTGTTGCGGAATCGCCACCTCCTTTTCTACGAGCTCTGTCGTCCTCATCCGAGAATTCTAATGCCGGTGGCAGCTCCTCCTCTCCCTCCGTTGTTTCTGCTTCGCTAATTGTGCCGATCAATTTCGATAACCTCCACGAGTTGAGCAGTGTTCGCTCACATCGTTCGATAAAGTTGTGGTCTAGTACCGTTCTTTCAGAATCGCCAATGTTGTCCCCAATCTCGACAGCGAGCAGGCGGATGAGTTCAGTGTCACCGAGACCTTCAAGGACAGACGGCAAAGCAGGGCATCCGTCAAGCTGCAAGTCCGGGAACGTCAAATCCATGTCGCTTACTTCTTTACTCGAGCCTGTCCTTGGCTCGATGGACTTTATGCCTGCCTTCTAGGCATGATCATCTCGATGTTGCCATGACGTCTAGATTAACTAATACTTTTCAGCAAGAGCTTGGATCCTGGCGGTAGAACTAAGAGTATCTGCTTCATCTCAAGGTGTTCCCATCGACGCCACGCTGTGTACTGTATGTCCGAGCACAGCACCAGTCTTTGTTTGTGTACTTAAACTTAAATGATATTGCTCTCCCAAATGTTGTTCACGGAACGCGGCCTCTCATCATCAAACGCACCACCCCACCTAGCCTTATAGTTATACGGCCATCTTCCGCGGAGAACACAATAATCCAGCACGTGCTCCCCTGCCACGATTGCGCTCACCGAGGCTGGCACTGCTCCCTGTCCCTCCCCCAAGGAAGTGGAAGATAACATGAAATATTATCTCTACCATTTTTTTGTTTAAAAAAATCGCGTCAAAGTCCTTTATGTGCGGCTGCATCATGAAAATGCAGTTCTGACACGCGGCCAGTCTCGTATGCGTAAGCGTATGCTTCGTCTTGAGTTGCCGTCTATATCGCTATGGAATTGAAAGCAGAAGCGCAGAATAACAGTGAAGATGCCAACAAACACGAAACAAACTTATGTTGAACAACAACGCCGACAACGATCTGGACGTGGAGATTTCACAACTATTCATATATAATATCTGTACACACGCAGGAATAGTTTCGCACGCTGCAGTTACTATGTACTTAAAAAACTAATAAACATGTCTATTCCTTGATATCTTCCTCGTGCATTTTTAGGATGTGTTCGAAAGCCAAACCGCATTCTATCAGAAAGCATTTTTCGGAATCAGACGCCGCTGCAAATCCATTGACGTATTTTCCGCTTACGGCGCAGCGGAAGGGTTCAGACAACTTTCCATACTCAAAAGAATTGTAGTTCACTGTCAGCACTTCTTTGTCAGCGCGAATATGACGACGCGCTACCAAAACCATGCAACCCCTCGTGGGGCGTTCTTCGCTTGGACCTCGTGGACTTTTTGGTGGATTGGTACAAGCGTTTTGAATCTGCTCGTCTCCCTGTCCATTCGTAGAAGTACCACTTCCCCTACTATTTCTCGACGTCGTTACATCCTCCATAATGCGAAAGGCACAGTTGGGATCATACGAATGTTGCAAAAAGCGCAACAAGCTACCGTCGGACGCCCAATTGTCGCATTCACCGATTTGGATAGAATGCATAGTCTTCGCTTCGTCGCCCACCTGGATGTCCTTTTCCAATATCATCGAGCAATGAATTGCGTCTCCAGGTGCGAAGGCCAGATCTTTCTTCATGCGGCTCGTATCGTCATTCTTTGCCTCCGATGGTAACAAAGCGTGTTCCTCGTCGGAATAAGCCTTGTCTGTGGTTCCAGCCTTCACGAAAAGTCCGTATCCAAGGTTTGCATCCAGGTCCAAAGGAGGCGCGAGGACCTCATCTTCTACGTGACCTTCATTCGTCTCATCTGTACCAGCTTTCGGTACCGAACTAGGTTCAGGACTTGCGCTCATCGCGCCCAGAAGATCGGACACCTTTACGGGCCGCACCTCGAGGCAATGGCCATACATCTTTCTGCATACTTTGTTCTATGTATTTACTCTAGTACCTGTGGTCTGAATAAGTGAAAGTCAACATCATGATAAACCAAAACATTCATCATGCGAAAATCGTCACAATTGCAGAAATGTATGACAAGCTAATCACAATCATAAACTTGTTTAGGAAATCTCGAACGAATCAAGTTTGTCCAAACAGTAAAAAGGCATCAATTCCAAATTGATGCGCTACGAAAGGGGACCATGGGGATAGGAAATCAATAAGACGTTTACTAGTAACCTGTAATTATACACAGTATTATCAGTTTTGCAGTTGCTTGATGGTTGGTGAGCATGAGCTAGTACGAGCAAGAGCAAGAGCATCTCTCTAGATAATATCAGATTGACGACCGAACAAGCCAAGTACATAACGCAACTGAAAAAATGCTCTACTGTCCTCGTCAATTGAATAGATCCCCAGCAGGCTCGTCGGTCTCAAATACTTTCGTTTTTCTGAGCTGCATCGATCTGTTTCTCTTTGGCTCGTTCGGGGTCTTCGCTGCGTTATCTACTCGTTAGATAGACACATCAGTCGAGAAAGGCCTCGTGACAGTGCTGATTATCGAACAAATTATCACTGCGGTGGTCCCGGCACTCGTCAGACGCTGATACCGAAAAAAACCGCTCGCAATGGGTTTTTTCATTTTTTTTGTAGACTTGAGTAATCAAATCCCAATAAGCCCAATTTATGTTCGTAGACGATGAAGATAATATCAAAATAAACCGTCGCGAAGTCAATTGACATCATACTTCATTTATCCCAAGAATCCCTTTCCCTGTACAAATATGAGTAACAACTACTTACGCATCTTCTGTCCTTGTCCTTGATAGCCTCCTCTTCTCACTAAAACTAATGTAGTTGCCTGAGTGATCTCTTCAAAATCTGAAATCCTTTGATGAAGCACCAGGAAGCATAAGCAAGGAATGGATCCCTAACAGTTTGAGTGTTATTTTCAATACGTTGTAGTATCTTCGGTCCCCGTTTTTCATTCCATGAAATCACTCATGTTGTTGGCGAAGTGCGTTGTAGTTGATCAGTAGTATCAAAAATATCATCCTCTTCATTCATATCTTGTTATATTCATATCGCTTTCGACGGCCAATTAACTCAATATCATGATGAACATGCTTCAATGTAACGAATTCTACGTATGTATATCTTGTCCTAATGAATCCTAATTTTAATGATGTCTTACGTTTTGAATATTATTGAAATGTGTTTATGATTATGTGAAGCTGCTGTCGCAATCTAATTTTAGACAGTGGAATGAATAGTGCTGGTGCGTTTGAAAATAGAAGCACCATCACATGCTGGATGCTGCTCTATCACATGCACCTTCTGAAAATCGCTGGCCGACTTTTTCTTGGAGCGTTTGATAGAATTCCACTGTGAATCTTCTACTAGTTAGTAGATTTTTTTCTCGCATCATTTTTTGAGTTGTCCAAGATGTTGTTCTTGATCCGCCCGTTCACAAGACACAACGAAAGTCGGATGTTTGTGTCACTAATTCTACCTTGACCAGCATCCTCATCTGATAGCTTAGTACACCCTTTTCGTCTCCATCTTTCTGCTTCTGCTGCAATCATAGGCTTTTCGTTACTGCAACATATGCTCATCTCGTTTCGTCTACAACGGTGACGATGTCGAGTCCTACTCATTTAAGTATTCTCCGTTTTTCATCTTCACGAAGGACGTCATGTGTCCTTCAGATTGTGTTAGTCACTTTCTTCGGCGCCTCCAACGCGGTTTCCTGCGCCGCTAAATGGCTGGAAGGAGCTTCCTCCCGCAGCAGCGAGTCCTGCTTGTCCGTCGCCTGCTGCTGAGCCCGGTGGCGTGTTATTGGATGCGGTCTGGCGACGCGGCTGCGTTGCCTGCATGAGCGCAGCCGTTTCCTGTTCGTCCTGTTCCACCATATCGTTGACGCTCTTCTTGAAGACGACGAAAGAGACAACGGAGATCGCGCAGAGCGCGACGATGCCGACGAGGTTGATGGCGTTCAGCATATTCCATTCCCACAGCTTCAAGGGGATGCGCTTATTCGCGAGGATTGGCGCCCACCGCGGGCCCGCAAAGATCGGAATGCTGTCGGGCTGCACTGTGCGGTGGATCAGCTCGATCATGGAAAAGATGCCGTTGATGAAGCACAGCATACCCCAGATGATTAGGCAGTGTACGTCTACGGAGCGCTCACGCAAAGTGTAGATACCAACGAAGACGAGCACCAACATGAGAAAACCGCCTAGGATGTTTCGAAACCAGAACATCTCGACCACGTGCAACAGCACGAGGAAAGTAAGTGCAAACAGCCACGGTCGCGACTTCAGAGCGCACTGACTTGGCACCGGAGTGACGCTCACCGATGGAAGAGGAATCACCATCTTGACTATTTTTTGTGACGAACCTTGTCCTTGTCCTTGATGAGTTTATTTAGTCTACAAGTGATCAAACCTTCCCGTTCGCATAATCAAAAACAATTTCTGAATCTGATGAAGAATGATGAAGAGTGTAGTATATATTGCAAAAAAGCTACTAGGTCTAGGGGAATCTTTATACTTCGACAGGGGGAGCCCAAAAAGTGAAATTATGTCATAATAACCTTAAAAAGGCTGTTCGAAGGAATGTTGAGTTGAAGCATGATCACCAGTTGCTAGAAGACCAAATTCAATTTATTCACCGGCATTTTAGGGATCAGTCAATACGGTGCTGCAATCAAAGCGGAAGAAGATCGCAATATACATGAATCCTCTCAACATGCAGCAGGTCGACGCTCTCAACAGACATAAGTGCTCTCCACAGAAGGACCACATGAAGCTCACTGTCATCTCACATACGTGTAGCTAATGTACATCACACGTTTAGACGCCGCTCTCTAGACAGAGCTTCTCCTCGGCACTCAACAGAATCTGATTCACTCGCAGACAGAGAAATTACAAGATACCTGATGAAAGTAGCACAGGTGAGCATGGTGCTCGTAGATAATATGACAGAATATGATCATCATCATGTACATGTTGCTCACGACCTCAACTGGACTTTCGCACTTTTTGTTGGAGAATCTCAGCACGTTGTAGTACAACATCTGTTTCGCTTCAAACGAACCTTCCCTTTTCTCTCGAACAAGCGCTCCCTCGAATTGAGTCGAGCGTATATAGAGATCGAGCGGTAAAGGCCGAGATCTTCCGCTTGATTCTGACCTTCGCGATGATCACAATGCTGGTCATAATCAACAAAGCTTCCACGAATGTTGCGAGAGCTGCTTTTCCTGATGATTACGCATAAGAAAGATGAATTTCCAATCTTGAATGCCCGCTTTATTCTCTAGTATGGACTTAGCTTGATGCAATTAAGCACTGCATCTTTGGTGCTAAGTAATATCATCTATTATGTTTTCTACTCCTCGAATACCAATAGAAACTTTATCCAACAAAAGCACAACAAGTTGCAATACGAGACCAGCGACAACCGACGCCCTTCCCATTAGGCTCAGAAACACGGTGAAAAACAGCGACGGAAAACCGCAATCATAACGTAGTTATCTGCACCAGAAAAAATGAAACCGGACGGCTTTTGCGTTAAGTAGGGATGTCAAAGTGAAATTTCGTTTTTCCTCGGATGCGCACTCGATCTTTGAGAATGTGGAGCTGCAGGGGAGTGTGACTGCTATACGAGCAATTTACACCAGGATAGGGTCACTGTCAAATTTAATCCCTACTGTATCAACAGCACTTTTCTCTTTTTACTGCAAGAATGACTACGAGTTTTAGTACATGCTTTTTATGAAGAGAGTCAGACTACATGTTCTCTATCACTGTCTCTCATCTTATCATGCCATTGGGTGTGCCATTTCCCACGCTGGTTTGTTTGGATCGTATTCTTCCTCTATTTGCAGCACAGGATTTTGTCGACGGTCTTCCTCCCACGCCTCTAGCTCCGTTCGGCGAGTGCGCCAACTACCGTAATCCTTTATGCATGGGCACAAATTAGGAAAGCCCTCACGGATGAGTTTCCTTGGATACAAATACTGAGCATCGTAGTAGCCCGTAGCAACATCAGTGTTCCACATGCACTGTATCTGCTCGTGATTCACGTGATGGAAGACCCAGCTTCGATTCGTCATGGGCGACCACTGCTTCACCTGAATTGAAAAAAAAACAATCTTATTTATTTACAGAGTATTTGTAAAATTTTAATTCGAAAATTCAAACTCAATTTCAAAATCTCCAAATTCAAATTTCAATTTCACAAAGTTAAGTGAATGAGGGTTATGGTGAATGGTATACTCAAGTGAAATCACAAAAATTTTGATTTTATATTGTTTTAAATGAATTTATTTCTTGAAGAAGAGATTGACAAGAACTTCTGAGAGGTTGATGAAAAAATCAAAAAAAAATCGTATGGAGGAGTTAAAAAAATCATAAAGTTCAGAAGATACGAAGGATTTGATAACCATAAAAAATTCAAATATAGAAGATTTGAAAATCTCGAAAATTTTAGATAAAGATATTGAAGATTCCAATAATTAGAAAATTGAGGTGCGGCAATTCAGATTTTCAAAAAAAAAGAAAGGTCTGAAACCCAACAAAAATGAGAGGTCGAAAATTAGTAGAATTGAAAACTTCCTTGACGTATCGTTCGAAGTTTTGAAAAAAATGAGAACATCTAGGTATGAAAGCTTTGAGGAAGTAGAAGATTTAGATGTGGAGGATTTGAAGAATTAAAAAAATGCTACTTACATACTTCACCTGCTTCTAGCGATTCTGATACCTTCTTCGTGCTGCTTGGATTTTCCGGGTCGATTTCTGGCTCGGTATTGTTTAAAATCTTGCATTCAGGATTCATAGCAAAGACTTTGTACGAATCGATATCGTCGAGGTTGAGGCTCATCGGGTTATCGGGGTCGAAAACGATGTGCCGCATGTGTACTCCCATATTTGGATCGTCGCCGAAAATCATTAGAGAGAGGCGATGGGGATAACAAAACTCTTTACTTGCTCTTGCTGTTCGTGAGATTATGATATCATATGAGGTTGAGTTTCAGACGAGCATCTATCTTCGTTGTCATAAAATAGTGCGCAACTTGCCTTGTCTATCCAGTTCCGCGAACCGCCGAATCACGTCCATCGACACGATGCGCACTACACCACGTGGATATGGGGGAAACATTTCATAGGGATAGATCTCCGGTGGATTGAAGAAATGATCCGAGGGATCCCGTGGCACGGGTGAAATGTAGTCGAAGTAGCCCCAGATGTACGCGAATTAGAAAGGATGGCTAAACCACGTTCATGATGCAGGTGGAGTAGAGCCTGCTTAGTACTTGTCTACCCAAAACTAGGCTGGAGGTCCGACCAGACGAGAGTCGGCACTCGTCAGAAGATAAAAGCTGAAGGCTTTTCTAGTGTTGAATAACTTTGCCTTAAATGAAGGGGCTCTTGAAACGGAGTTGTTCTAGAAAAGGAGCTGGCCGAAAGTAGATATCGTCGTCAATCTTGAGCAAGTATAATGCGTTCGAGTGTGCCGCAATCCAATTGTGGAACAACAGACCTTTCCGCGAATTCAATCGATAACCTTCGGATACCTGAAAGATGTTACTGTTTTGTAATTTCTCTGCTGCTACTTAGATATTGACGAGTCTGTCGTGGCAATGGGGCGTATAATAAATAATCATTTCACGGCGAGATCGCACTCTGTTTAAGCTTGCTTATATGGCTTTTGTTGACGAGCAACAGCAGCCGCGCTTCGTGGTTGTGAAATATCTACTTCTCGTCCACGGCAGAGTGTGATTCCTTTCAATTATGGCCTGATCACACCCGTCTGTAATAATTATTTCAGCCTGCTGTTACGTATCCGCAAACTCTTGCCATTAGAAAGCGCAGGAGACATTTTTCGAAATACAGTCTTCTCTCCTGCAGACACGCGACACTAACTATTCACTGAATCAGTGTAGTACCCCTAGGAAGATCATGTCGCCGTACTGGTCGTTTTCCGCCCGTACGACAGCGTTGTCAGCATTGAGAAAGAATTTGTACTGGATACCAAATCGCTTGAGCACACGAAGCCACGTGGACCGAAGGACATTTCGCTTCTGGAAATTTTTTAGTGCAGAATAGACGCCAACGAATACCAGAGGTGCGTCTCTTCGTGTCTGCTTGCGGATTTGATGCATGCGGCAAATTGTGCATGCGTACTGCTTCAGTGTCGACAAGAGTTAGAGCCAACTTCTAATGTCGAAAAAATAGAACATGATGAAGCACCTGGCGCACAAGAAGAAGTGCGAATTCTTTTCCGTCCATAAGTGAAACCCTGTCGGTACCGGTAATAGAGCATGTCTTGTAGAGTGCGCTGGTAGCTCCACAGTGCGCCAATCTGGTGATCCAGGTCGTTCAAGTTTTCCAGGAAGGCTGGCAGGTTCAGCAGGTCTTCAAACGGCATTACCGCGTCATAGAACATGCCCCCGAAGTCGCTAAATCCGTTAAAGATCGGAACGCAGTGGTGTCGCAAGGCGCGCAGGTAGGCCATTGAAACTCGTGGCAGCTCGTCGTCCAAGATCATGCAGAACCGGTAGGGATCCATCGACCGCTTATACGTTTCGTCCGTTTTGTCGTCGAAAAAAACGTGCTGGGGAAAGATTCTCTGCGCTTGCTGCAGCAGCATCCGAAACTGATAACTCAAACGTTCGGGCTCGTGCTCCGCTATTGCTGGCGCGAGCATCGAAATCATGTTCGTCTTATTACGCATCAAGGCGTCCATATCAATACTCGTCAGCTCGTCCAGCGGCCAGTAGTCACGCTCGAACCGCGACTATGAAGAGCGAGGGTTTTTTTGAAAGGATGTTCAGCATCGACAAGAGCATCTACCCTTAGTCAGTTGTAATTAGGTGATCATGTGTGCGGCAGGAGCGCAAGCATGCACTTTTGCAATTCAAATTCTCATGTAACGATTGGATTTGGAAGTGCGAAGCACGTGCAACACTAGATAAAGTTGTTACTCATGACACGCTTACAAGTACTTGCTGCATCTCCTTTTACCTGTCATTTCTCAATTGCCATAACTCAAGAAAGAACCAGTTGTCTCTTCTTCCCAAGTAGGGAACCTTGTGTAGCGAGTCCGTGAAATAGAAGTCAAAGCCCGGTGTTTCACCTTGTTTTGCGAGCTCATCCGCACCAATAAAGCGCACAGAGCAGACGTCTGGTGTACGAGGCGGCGATTCATAGTCCAGAAAGATTTCCAATTTCACGTCCGCACTGCAGTCTCCGTTCTCATTCCCGGACGAACTGTGCGAAGCCATTCCCGCAATTTCCTTCTGATCATCGATGTCGCTACCGTGAAACAAAGGTATCTGAAGCCGATCAAGGGGATCCAAGTGGTCCTGATCACCCAATGAGCTACCTGTTTGCTCTACTGGCGGTGCTTCTACTGCTCCCATCTCGTCTTCTGAAGACAGAGCTTCTGTTTGGGGAATTTCAAGGTCCTCTCCCTGTCCCTCAGATGGTGACGTCGCAGACTCGGCATCCATTGCTCTTGGGTCGTCCACTTCAGACGATGCGCTTTCGACAACGTCCGCTGCGACGGCAACGGGAAGAGAAAGGGATCGATCGAACAATCGCGCTCGATCACTAATGCCCCGCACGCTGACTCTCACTACGCGTACAAGAGATGCAACACTGCTCCTGAAAGAATCTTGCTCAACTGCAAATTCTGACATTTCTTCTTGTGCTGGGGCCTCGGCGTCGGCGACTCCTTCATCAATGTAAGTTCGTGGTCCGTTGTTGCGTTTCTTTTCTAATTCGTGCTGCCTGCTTCTATTACGCCTGTTCTTATGCTTCTCTTCATTCCCGGCAGCATCCATCTTCAGCTTGTGTTCGCCTGATAATTCGAATGGTATCTTTCTTCGCGTTAATTCTCGTCCCCACGAGGTCGTTTCAGGTCGGAATTGATGCAATCGAAGACCCGAAACTGTAACTACAGCTGTTTGAGAATGATTGTTCGCAGGACCATGCGGCGACAAAGAGCTCACGAGACTCGGGAAAACTGACACAAGCGCAGCTGCTTTCTTCATCTCGTGCGGCTTCGAGACGTTCGAGCGTTTTTCAACCGCAACTATGGAAAAGAAGGATAGACAATCCCCTACGAGTTTCAGTCCGTACGCAAAGATGCTGCTCGCCAAGTGCAAGTGGGGCAAGAATACTTTGCTGCTTCCTATGTGCTTTCGTCGCATGCGGCTAGCAGCAGCATCGGCTTGCTTTCCGTGCGGTCGCTCTTGGTTGCGTATGCGTAGTGTCGAGTCACCAGCATAGTCCCACTTTCCACGTAGTCCATTGCTACTCCTTTTCCGCGTTTCGCCAACATCTTCATCACAATCCGTCCTGTGTGTGTAAAGCGGCGTACTTGCAGTGTCACGCTCTTCCTGCACTAGACGTGTCGCATGCGCCTCCAGAGGTGTCACCTGTTCAGAGCCGCAGACAGGCGCGCTTTCCCTGAGTTCTATCCAACCAGCGTTTCGTCCTTTCATGCTGGGCATCAACCACATCAGACGGTCGACAAAGTCTTGTTCCGCAGATACAAGCATGAAAATTGCGACCAAGGCCAAAAATCCCGCACAAAATCTCTTCAGTATTCTCCTTCTGCAGGTGTTTTTGTTGTTGTTCCAGAGTACAACTTCTAGTAACGCAGGATTTCTGTAACAGAAAATGCCTGCTACACCTTGATTGGCTTTACGGCCAGGAGTAGGTCTTGTTACAATCGGCCTGCATCGACATCTCCGAGTCAGGCATCGAAGGCTACGCCACACACTACTTTGGGAGCAGAACTTGTGAACCAGCATTTTTGGTCCGTATCGGCAAAACAACTTGCGTATTCTGCGGATCAGAAGTGATGCTCTCCCACATTTAGTCCGTTGGCGTTCCGCCTTTCCTCGGTCTCGTGCGCGCAGCCCTGTGTTACTACACCTATTGTGGCAGCACGAAGATCTTGTACTCGACTTCTTTTCATCCTGTCTTCCAGTTAGTACATCCTTGTACTCAACAGTCGACCTTCTCTCAGGCCCGTCTCTTCTCGGGCGCTCCGGAATACGAGTATCTCCGCCTCTATCTCCAGGATCGTTGTGGGACAACGCGCCCGCGTTCCTGTCATGGGGCGCTGACTTCAGAGGAGGATCATGGCCAACGCAGTAACTAGGCGGCTCAGATAAGCAGCACGATGAGGACGCCGAGGAGCAAGACATCATGATCATGCCCCCGCTGACGAGGTCGAGGACGCGAAAGCGTGTTGCAGTGACTAGGTATTATCCAGCTCAGTGTCACTTCCCCCGCCTCAGACGGACGTCCTGAAACTACCACTACGGAAACGACAATAGGCTTGGTGACCGCTCTCTCAAAGTCTTGTGCACTCAGTGTCGTTCTCCTGTCCTCGGTGTTACCGGTCGCATTCACTTACCTCTCTCCACATATCTTGACACTCGAAGTCGAAGATCACCAAATGCAGGTACTACAATGTGATCTAGACGCAGGACGAGAAGGGGACCACTCCTGGGGTTTGGTGAGCAGTGTACTGTAAAGTCAAGTTGAACACGCAAGTAAGTACTCTGCACTAAGCTCGACGCCGAACGTTTCCAGGCCTTGTTCAGAAAATCTTGGACTTTTGTGTTACAATTGTGGCTTTTGGCTGCAAGTGCAACAGCGACACTTGATCATGAGATGAAGCTCCATCTCGAGGAGAATGATTCGAGTACTACACCCAAACTGTTCTTCTGTGGAATTGTACTACCTTTCTTGTCTTAGACTTTATTATATATTGTCTAAAAAATACAAAATTGTTGAACAGAATTATTATCATATAAATATGAATCTAGTGCTGTTTCAACTATCAAAGCAACTTCAACATAACGTATTTTGTTGCAATCTCTTCAAGTACTCGGTCTTGCCGTGAACTGCTTGCTTGACCAAGGCTTTACATTGGAAAGACAACTCGGCATTGAACCGAAATTGATTGTACGAAAGAAAGTATCATAACCACAATGTTGAAGGGAAGGAGTTACTTTTATTAGGGCAACGCTACATTATGATGGGAGTCGATGAATAATTCTGAAATGCGAAGGTAATCGTAGTTTGAATTTGCGGACTACGCCTCTGATCATTATGATTCATCACGGGCACACCGAGGGAGCAACAACTTTGTGCTCATCGAATTTGCCTGGTACATGGGATGAAAAATATTCTTAGTAGGCATCGGAAGTCTAGTAAAACGCGTTTTACGCGATGTTGGCCTGCAGGTACAATAGGAGTTATGTGGAAGAGTCCTGTCGACTGAGCAGCAAAGGAAAGCAAAAGGAGCGTGTAAAAATGACAATGTAAAGATTGACGGGAGGGTGTCGTGGGAGTGGTGGGATTGATGTTGATCTTTATGGAAAAATAGGAAAAATGCAACGCTTTGAAGAGTCTTTCTTTTGTTCTTATGAATGCAATGTTATTGAGCGTGGTAAGCGTTGAAGTTTCTGGATATTTATGTCTTCTAATAAATGCGTGCTCATTTAAGCAAGAAATGTGAATATGTTTACTTGTTTGCGGCTCCTTTCACGAATGCCTTCGCCGTCCCCGCCTATCATGCTGATTCGTTCTTCTTCTGCGGCTCCTCTTTAGTCAGGGCTCGAAAAACTTGGTCGAGGGTTGGGCGTGTCAATCGAATGAGGTTTCGCACCACCTCCATCCGGATCGCGAGCTAGCCTAGAAAATCGTCATTGTTTGCCTCGAAAAGCGGGAAGAAGCAAAGGAGCTCTTGCTGGGTGAAGAGCATTGAATCCAGAAAATGCTGGAAAAAGCTCAAGTGGTGCACCAGTACCACCGTGCTGCTGCGAGTCGGTGCCGTATCGTCTGTACCTAGGAACGCTGTCAGCAACAAGATTGCCATTCGCATGACGAAGTGCGGGCCGGGGCGGTCGCTCGGGAGAAGCTCCGGGATTCACTGGCGGAATGTTTACCTGGATCTCTTCGCCGTTGGGTCCCACAGCAATCACATGATTTCGATTTGTTGTACTCGAGTGCTCCTTCATGTTCTTTTTGCTGGGTTGAAGATGGGCTGAATTGATGGTCGTGCTAGGGCCTGGCGTTGTGCTCCGATGGCGACTCTCCATTAATGGCGTGCCGCCACTTGTTCTCGAAGCAGAACCCAAACGTTGCTGCGCAAGTTGACGCGATAGTTTTCTCTGCAGTGCTGGAGTCGCTCCCCGAACCTGACTAGTCGTGGCCGCCTGCTGATGCCGCTGGTCCGTCGTGCTGTTGGGTTCTCGAAGACCAGTGTCCTCGGGGTTATTTTTTCCAGGGAGAGGCACAACCCGTTGATGGGCTTCTCGCTCCTCCATCCGGACATGATCAAGATCATGCATCGCCGCTGGCACTGGTATGTTATCTGAAGGTTCTTCATAGTTGTTGTGGTGCGAGCTGAGCAGAGTATTTCCTTGCCCACTCAATGTCGTTGTGTTTGCAGCACAAGCAAGATGAGAAACGGAGACAACATGAGACAGACCTCGTGACTCCACTAACGCTACCCTCTGGTTCTCAAGATTTGAAGCGCGCGGGAACGGCGCGACAGGAAGTGCCAGACTACGCGCGACCGGGTGTCGTTTTGCTCCTGAATTATCACCAGGGTTGATCTTAATACCGAGCCCTCGGCCAGCTAAGAGTGGAGACTGCATGATCGGTGGAAGAGGACGTATTTGTTGAGCGACGTTAGCCGCCAAAAGACTTTGGCTCGTGGAGGAGAGGTTTACAAGAACTCTTGCGTCAGCGACGGCAATCGCAGTAGGAGAGGCAACACTTGAATTTGTGCAAGCTGTCGTTGCTATATTCTGTATTGGACCTCCTGGAGTGGTTCGGAACACTGGTGGTGGTAAGAGAGAGAGTGCTGGGGCGGTTGGATGAGGAAGAGAGGTAGCACACGCACCAGCGCCTGCGCCACCTACGTTACTCATGAAAGAAGTGCTTTGCTGTTCGCGATCTTGCGCTGACACTTGAAGAAGGGATGAGGACAAAGATGCAAACTGCATGCTGTACGGCGGCGGAGGAGCATGCTGCTCCTGTCGTCGAGCATAACCAAGGGAGATAGGTTGGCGTTGGAAGACATGCGAGAACAGCTTCGAGGGCGAGTGTAGTCCTCCGAAGAAATTCCTCGAGGAACCCGTTGAAGTTCCTCCAGCAGAAAAAATTCCAAGCATACCAGACGATGGTAGTCGCCGCTGTTTGGGCTGCTCTTCCAATGCTTTCTCAGGCACACTCTTTTGGAACGCGGAGGCACTTCCTGCGACATTAAGGAGTGGAGAGAAAGATGGGTTGTTGCACGTCGTAGTGGTACTGCTAGAATGCGTCAAGGATGTAGACATCTCTTTCGCAGCTGCTCCCGGGTGTGACGAATCTTGCAGTGCTCTCTTTCCCTGCGGTACGGCAGACATTACACGCTTAGTTCCCACTACCCTCCCACCGGAAGACACATTTTGAGATGCCGCACGCCTCACTGTGGTCGTTCCGAGGCCCAGTAAGCCTCCGCTACATCGTCCAATCACGCCTCGTCCTCCACCAGGGGGAGCGCATGTAGTAGTCGTACTTGAGGATCCAAATGTGGTCGTTGCAGATGTTGGAGTGTGCAGCGCGCTTGTTCTTCCATCTAGTGAAAGGGCGAGATGTGGCCCATCTCGTTTTTGATGCACTTCTAGCATTTCACGAACGAGTGCCGCCGCTTCCTGTTCTCTTTCAGGGTTCTCGCGTATGGGTCGAAACGTGCGATCGGGCGACCCATGGGCTACGTCATGATGTGGCTTTCGGTCGCGCCTGGCGGAGCCATGTCGGGAGCTTGAGCATATGTGTCCTCGGCGCGAGTTGGACGACCGTCGCACCAAAGAAGGCGTCGAGGAAGGTACCAATAACCTGCGAGCACGTCGTTCTATCTCGTACTTTCTTCACATTCACTACAGATTGAACATGAATAAGAACATTATTCGCAAGGGTCAGCGATCGCGTCAGCAGCAGGAGTGAAAAGATAGATATCATAATTTATCGCTGTTCTTGACAACGAAATCTTTTGAGAACGTGTAGACGGCATGCAAGTTTACATGTTCGTTTCCAGCAACATATCAAACAGCAATCATCAATTCAAAGGCTAGATTTAGTACAGTTTTGTAGAACTTACTATTGCATGAGGGAAGAAGCCTAAAATTCAGAGGGAAAACGAGTTGGCTGTTTTACTTATGCGCTTTGAGCGTCGCTGCGCCTAAGCCTCATCCTATAAAGGAAGAAGCCAATTTGCACTTGCAGCATACCTCTAAGCCAAAGGAGAAAATTCTTACCAAGTTCCTGTTATGGGAGTACAGTTTTGTAGAACTTTACTATGAAAGATTTCAAAAATACGTTGAATTTTTTTGCGCTTGTTCTTCTCGCACATCGACCGCGAGTTCCACAGCATCTTCGTGCACCTCAGCGATTTCTGCTATAGTGCTCGCGTCACGCGATGGATACACGGCACTGATGGCAGCTGAGGTTGAAACCAATCTGAACGAATTCCTTTGTAGATCCTCGATCGGCGACGCTGCGGTGAAGAATGAATTCTCGCCTGCTCTGCAGCTGCCGGGCGCGGCCCACGAGTCTGTCATCATGCCGCTGCCTCCTCCAGCTGCCGCACCTGCGTCGAGAAATAGACTACTGGAGTTGCTCCTTGATGCACCTGCTCCATCCAGAGGAGATGATCCACGTGCCGACCTACCCCTACTCAGATTGGTGCTTTTGGTACCCATACCCATTTCGTTCCAGCGGGAACCAACATGAGGAGCAGCCTGTAGTTGGTTGTTTGCCACGCCGCCTGCACGTTGACGACGGCTGCTGCTCTCGGTGGCGCGGTCGTGCAAGCGCGCGGTGGGGGAGAATGTTAAACGCCCAGCGCTGCTTGTAGAAGCTGCACCCAGAATTCCATTTCTACTTCTCGTAGTCACGGGTTTGTTCTTCACCATCGTAGTAGAGCATGATGAGGAACAAGAAGCAACAATGTCGCTCATGACTGCTGATCCGGAAACCGCGGGCAGTGGTTGATCCCGAGCGAACAAAGTTGTGATGACGCTTGATGACTCATCGCCCGGAGCTTGTCCTGGTGGCTCCGCAAGAATGGCTGAGACCTCGACACCGCAGACCAGCGAAGAATTATCGTTGCTTCTTGATCCAAAAACTCCGGCATTCGTCGCTGCTTTGTTATTAAGATTCACGAGTTGTTGTCGAGCTCGAGGGGTCACAGTCGAAATCAATTTGCTGTTAGGTGGTTGTGATGATGAGACTACCTTCTTGTCCACGACCTTGCGCGAAGCGTTACTAGCTGAAAAACTGTTTTTCCCAACATGGTGCATTCCAGTTTTGCTTCGCTGATTTCGGTTAGGTGAGATACGCGATGACACCTGCTTTCCGGGCGACACTTTTCGAGCCAGGAGACCAGGTGATGCTGATGACCGTCTGGCACTCTCTGATGAAATCAAATTCGTGCATGTCAGGCCATCACTTCTGGCAAAAGATGAGGACGAGACGAATGACCGACTATTGCTTCGAGGAGGATTCTCGGTATGATCAGCAGGTGGTCGCTGCCCGGCCCTCTTGCGTGCACTCGAAAGCGGGCGGTGCGGCCCCCCGTTGGTGGATGCGACACCAAGTTCATCAACTTCACTACCACGTTTTGCCAAAAGGAAAGCTCTTTTATTCGGGATCGGATCCGGATCCGCCTCAATAATATGATCATCTACAACTTCGTCTGGCGTTAGTGCGTTCGACGCTTCAACACGTGAGTGCCCTTGCTCTTGTGTACTGGGCGCCGCCTGGCAAGAGGAGAACGTGGTTGATGATGCCTCCCTTGCTGTTTCCACGCTTGCGCCACAGCTTTGCGCAGAAAAAAACGCGCCCCACGTCGACGCCGAACATTCACTGCTAACTACCGACGCATCACACGCACCCAGGATAGAAGATGAGGACGAGAGATGTCCACGCACAAGGCTCGCTTCAACAGCAGCTTTTCGAGTATCGCAATTGCCCTGTTCCTGCGCGCAGAAGTTCTGGCTGCGTGGATTCTTCTCCCTGGAGGTATCGTGCACAAGTGCGTCTTCTTCTTCATGTTCGACGTGAGAAGCCGCAGGAGCAGCAACACTTGCATGATGTGCAGTGTGTGCGGGACCCCGATTCTCCTGTTGATTTGATGGTAAAGACCGATGTGATCTACACTGACGCGACAGGTGCAGCGGCCGAGGCACTCCTCTCATAATGTCATCAGCCGTCAAGGCTTTCACGTCCAAGCTTCCATGTTTCGCGTGCGGTTTGAATTCTGCTTGCATTTCTGGTGTAGAAATTCGCACTATAATGGACTCTGAGCGCATCGGAATCTGAGATTCCAAGGTCGCATCCCCGTTTTGCTTTTCTTGTCTCTCATCTGATGAAGAAAGGGAAAGACCAAGCTGTGGCTTCGGTGGAGCGACGTAGCTGCTAGTACTAGTCTGTGCCTGCAATTTTTCCAGGCCATCAAAGCACAACAGAGCACCATTAGATCCCGTCGCTACATCTTCAACTTCTGGCCTACTACCTATCTTCAAGGTACCACGACTCTGACCCTGATCGTAATCCGACCTCGACTCTGTTGCCATCAAGATCGAGGTGGCAGGAATCGTTTTTATCATTTTTTGCGCAAGACTGAATGAAGAGGAGACGCTCCCCAGCATACCAGCTGCAGCCACGGTCGCCTGAAGATTGCTCGGAGGTGAAGCTGGACTTTTGTGTAGAGTTTTTGCTTCAATTTGTGGCGACGAGGATGGTGTGGGATGGGGCACTAGGCGAACAGAGAGCCAACTTCGTTGCTTCGTGTTGTTCGTCGTGGGGTTTCCGGCTCCTCCACCACCTGACGAAAAGAATCCCCGTGGCTGCACATTTGGTGAACTACACCTAGCTTCTAATGTTTCTGTTACTGAAGGCGATTCTGCTGATGTAGTTGCCGCGGCCTGCTGATCCGTTTTCAGCGGTCTCTTGTGGCCATCCAGTAAGGGACTCGACAAGCGCTGCCGTAATAAACCCGAAGAAGAGTTTTGAAGAATACTCCTACTACGGCTGACAGCGGAGTCCAAAACTGCACTGCGCTCTGCCGATGTCGTCGCCTTGATGAGTGGGCGTGCAGGCGAGATCTTTAGACTGCCTGACACCAGAGGGGTTGAAGCGGATAACGATGACGCACTCGATGCACCCGCTACGGGTCTGCTCCTCCCATAGAAAAGTTCTTCATTGATTTGATGGTTCTTGAGATTCTTGTTTTGAGGGAGCACCTGTGGAAGATAAGGCGCTGGCGGGGGATGCAAAGAGAGACATCTAGAGGCTACGACAACAGCGTCTTTCTGATGTGGGGCGCTAAGTGCATTGTGCTTCACTTCGCTTACTCCCGCGGTACGGATTCTCGTACTGGTCGTATGGTCGCCAGCTCTCGTTTTGCCTGGAGGTGAAGCAATGTGAATGTTGGTCTCCTGCTTGTTCTGACGTCGAAACTGCGGCTGACATAGCGTGGATTTAGCTGTGGCTTCACAAGTCGAAGCTGAGGATACAGATGAGCTACTGAACGCGTGATCAAGGTAATCTTCGATCGATGATGACGTCGAACACGATGCTGTGCTAACAGCGTTCCTCTTCACACCACTTGTACTTGGTCTAGCGTCTGCATCCAACTCTTTTCTGCGCTGTTCACCACCGAAACCAGTAACCAAAGCGAGATGCTCATGTTGCGTCATGGAAGCCGAAGTGCTAACTTTTTCAGGCAGAAGTCCTTGATGTTGAGGATGATCTTGATGAACAACTTGGGAATGATCTTGGCCAGGAGGAAGCGAGCCATTGTTAGGTGTGCCGATATTGAAATATTCGGGGGTGCCCACGGTGGCCGCTATCACCCCCAGGTCTGCGATGTCATGACCTTCTGAGGACTCCGCTGAAGTAGGTCGCAGACGAGGCGGACATCCTGGTTGTCGAGTGTAAACAAAATGTCGTAGACATGCAGTACGCTAACTACGCATGAGCGGACTTCAACGTAGTCCTAGAAGTGAACGAAAGCAACCACATTTTTTAGAGATACCTAGTAGTATTAGTAGCTCATTATACACTACTTAAGAACTTCTTCTACTTCTTCTACTTTTTGCATTTTCACACTTGGTGCGAGGAGCAGGCACAAGCCTGTTCCAGAAGTAGCGCAAGAGCGAAACCTTCATAAAGAATACCCTGGTCACGCATTTGCGTCTGCGGTGACGAGCAAACTGCCGCTTCACATGATGAAGATGGGCTACCCGTAGGGGCAAGCGCCGGGGAGCCAGTAGCGGTGGGCCAAGAAGCGAGTAGTCGGTCTTTTTGGGCGGTAGGTGAAAAGGAGTGCAAAAGCTGACCGCCGCGTGAACTGGACGAGAGGGAGGAAACACAAACAATACTCAAGAAGTATGACGAAACTAGTACAAGCATGTATGCCTAGGCACCAGGAACAATACCAACACCAGCAGTGCCAATTATGCTACGTATGTAGAAACTCAAGATCGATGCAAGGTTCGAATATTTTCAAGAAGAAGACTGGAATACAAGCACGACGAGCACGAGCTGTATTTAGTGTGAATACCAATGCCATTCGAGGAGCCGCGGTGCTATATCGACTGCATCACTTCCTTGTTCTGTTGAAGCAGGTTTTCCATAATTGGCTTTTCTTTCTGATTCTGTTTCTTGAGGAACAATTTTTTGCTCAGCTTCTGAGTCACGAAGATTTGTACTACTATCCAACACACGTTGCTCACAAGCCAAAGCCGAATATTGCTCTTCCAAGAGTACTATGCGTGCATCGCGTTCCTGAAGTTGCCTCTGCAAATCAGTCAAAACGTCTTTTGCAGCAGACGTGAATCCCAGCGCCTGCTGTGTTGTTGCAGAAGCTGCTGTGTGTTGCCTTGATAATTCTTGGCTAGTCGGACAGGTTGACGAACCGGACGAAAGCCCCGTGGAGACCACCGGAAGCGCATCAAACGAGTCTCCTCGTATCATGTTCATCGGAATTGTACTTTCAGCTACTAGTTCTCTTGTTCTATAATGAGGATCTCGAATTGCATTCTGTACGATACTACCTATCGAATGCTCCTCCTCGTCTTCACGTCTTTCGTCTGGTGGGGGAGGAAATCGCGCCGAAGGAACGATCATGGGCATTTTTCTATTCTCTTCAACTAGACGATATTCTTCGCCGCTGACCTGAGCTATATCCGGTGGCGATACAACAAAAGTTCCCCAAAGGTCAAACGACGCTTCTGGACAACTGGAGGCTTCCCGCACATTATGTTGAGCAGGTTCTTCCATCTCGTCGATCATTTTAGCCGTAGTAACTACATGAGCAGGCGGAATCTTCTTCTGAATTGTGTTATCTGAACCCGCCACAATGGGATCGCTCTCATTGCAGTTAGGAATCTTCTTCATTTCCGTGATCAATTCGTTTCTCTGTAGATCGGCTTCGTGGTCAGACGAGGTCGGATGATCGCAACTATTATTTTGCTCGATTTCTACGGCATCGCGCTGGAAATCCAACATCTCCACATCGTGTCCCACGAAAGACTGGCCAGGACCTCCAGGAATGTTGGCCACAGCATTAGCAACAACTCCTGGACTTATTCCATCGGGACCACCACTTTCTTGCTGAACAACAACCTCCATTTTGTGATATATCTGATTATTTTTTCTTCTTCTACTGAATCCGGAAGATGAACAACCATACTAGCGGTCATATTGACGTTTACATTTACATATTTAGGATTACACAGGAGATCGAAGTCGACCAAGGCGCGTTCTTGCCTCTCGTTTGACGTCACTCAGACTCCTTTCGTCAAAGACGACCACTTTTTGTTCCTCGGGCTCTCTTCTGCATTGACCTTCAAAACTTTTCTAAACGCATTCGTCTGATCGGTGGAAGAAGACTTTTTGCTCTCAAGGTTGACAGCTTTCTGCTCATTTCTCTCAACAACAACATGGCGCAAGCAAGTCAATCAATCAACTATATGCGGCCGTCTAACGAGCGGCGGCGCTGGATAACGGAGGAACAAACAGACCCAGGGCCAACTCTGGACTGTGCGAGCACGACTGCAAGTCAGTCAATCAATCAGTCAATCAATCAATCAATAATATGCGGCCGTCTAACGAGCGGCGGTGCTGGATAACGGAGGAACAAACAGACCCAGGACCAACTCTGGACTGTGCGAGCACGACTGCAAGTCAGTCAATCAATCAATCAATCAGTTGGCCGCCATTTTTTTTTGTATGCGAAGACCGCCGGAAGGGTGACCCCAGTTTTATCCAGTTCGCAAACCGGCGGCAGGTGGAGTAAGTACATTAGCCTCCTTATATTACGGATGCCAACCTCCCCGACTGCCGCACCTCTACGTCCTGAGAAGATGGGAGGGAAATTATACAACGTCAGATGTTTAAGTTTACAACAATAAATGACAATTCGTGTTCGTCGGCTTTTTTACACACACACACACACATTTTCGAGTCGGAAGATGAAATACTAGCGGCATTGGCAGACGCAGAAGCGATAAAAATCTCGGCTGCGCCAGGTAACGTCGAGCGTGAGGGGTGATCTATTTTCTTAAAAATGATGAGCACACGTTATTTCCAGCTTGTTAAACAAGTCGAATCATGATGAAGATGATGGTTTTTCTAAATAAATTTTCTACCCTGATGATGTTAGAAGATTTACAAGTCCTTACAATGACAAGCTAAGACTCTTCTTCAGATTTTTTTTTCGATCATGAAAAGAATGCTACACAAATTAATAAATGCGAGTAAAAAAAGAATCGATCACAACAACACCTAGCGTTGGCGACGTCATCAAGGCTGTGGCTGCCCTTATTTTCCATGTCAGAATCTTCAGCGTCGAAGGCTGCGGTGACAGCTGATCATATTTGGAATAGGACGAAGATGAAGACAAGATGAAGAATGAAGAATGCCTGTAATCATGATGATCATATTCATGATATGGTAATAAACTTTTCACTATTATTAGTTCTTTCTTTGATGTAGTACTATTTCGATAGTTATGGGAGTTGTAGCAGTTCTTCAATCAAGAATCAACAGCAACAATCTGAGTCACAGTTTCTGAGCAGGAGGAGTAGGCGATGTTGGCTGTTGCGGCTGCTGGAAACTGTTGAGTGACAACATGAAGAAATAGAAAAAGTAAACATCTACAACATGCATACTAAACAGAAAGGGAGATCTAGGGCACCTTCAAGTGTTCATATTCTAAGATCAGGAGGTAAAGATGGGTGGGGGCTTTCTCAGTCTAAAAGTACAATCACTTCTTTCATGCTAAGCTTCATCCAGCATCGTACTCAACTTTTGTTCATTCATCGTCGATAATGTAAGCATGGGTGCATTACAAAGACAAAGATGCTCTAATTTCTAATTCTTTGGGCATTTTTTTTTTTGATTCTGACAGATAGAGATACACTCGACTATGACTAAACTGGAACTGTATAGTTTCTATCAAATCTATGTCTAACCTGCCAAATGACCATGAATTCGTCTTCGTTTCCAGTGCAACAGGCAACGAGTAGCTCGTTTGTTCAGAAATATTCAAAATATGAATAAAGAGAGAAATCAAGTAGTCCGAAAAGGGATGTAACACTCGTATATCTTGGTGGGCGACGCGTAAGTGTGTGTTCCGCGCAGAGTCTTCACTAGTTTCATCACCAGTCGACCATCATCCACGTAACGCATCGCATATTTGAGGAAGTTGTCGAGGTCTCGGTCGCGCTGCTCCAACGCTAGGATGAGCACCGTCCCGCTTCTCATGTACACCATGCTATGATTTGTTTCCAAGCAAACTTCATCTTGACGTTCCTGAAGTTGACCTTCATCTACAGGAGGAGCCAGGTCTTGTTGTACTACTAATTGCGGTTCCTGCTCTCCGGCATCATCTCTGCTTTGTGCTGTGATTTGAGCGGATTCGTGATCAAGACCTTGTGAAGATACAGCAGCGGCAACATTCCGTTCTTGATCACCTTTCTCCCGCGTACTGGCGGCATCCGCAAGACGATCTTGGGGTGAGACATTTCCGCGTAGTTCTTGGTTCGCTTCACTTCTTGCAGTTTCTGCTTTTGAATTCTCTTGTTCAACAACGTCAGATCTAGTTTCGATATTTTTCTCGTCAACCTGTTCTGCGTCATAATCAAACTCATCCACCTGTTCTTCCACGTTTTGTGCTTCCGACTCACGCGGCTCAACGCGGACTTTAAAATCTGGATGCCATAAACGAATTACCTCTTTCGTTGCCTCGGACAAGGTATCCAGGAGTTGCACCATATCATTGTTTGTATTCTTCATATTGATGCTAGTGCTGCTCGTCTGGTTATCAAAACTAGTTTCCGACATTTCCAATAAATGATGTTCATCATGCAGGAGGTTTTCGTGTACAACTGCATGTTGTTGAAGTTGATGCTGAGTTTGACTTGAATATGAGGAGGTCGTGGAAGTTGTTGTGCTTGAGCTAGAGCTTGCTACCTTCTTCGTGTTCGTGTCGTTATCAAGAACAGCGTTTCCTAAAAGTGCGCTATTGCCGTCAATCTTAGATTGTTCCATCTGCCGCAGAGCGTTCTGCATGAAGTAGAGCTCCGTCTTGGTCCAGAAACGTGCTGGCTGCGCCAACGCTAAGAGAGTGTCGAGTAAAGCGACGGAGTGATCCTCGTCGTAGCACAAGCTTGAGCCGATGATGAAATCGACCTTGCCGTACTCGCTTAGCAGAGCCTCCGTATGACCGCGGTTGCCCCATTCGAGCTGACGCACGTGAACTAGACCACTGTGGCTTTTTCCTACTAGCTCTTCTGGTGCCAGATCTACCTGAGCATGATCTTCAAGTTCATGTTGTTGTTCAGCTCCTAATTGCTGATGTAGAGGATGTGCTCCATTATTCTTCAAATTAATGAAGTCCTCATCCTTTTTCCTGGCCAAATACTGTAAGTCTTCGGAGCTCCGCTTGCCGGGTCTGGGATAGAGAGACGAACGCGGTTGCTGCACAGGGTGGAGGGAGGTAGGCGTTGGAGCGCAACTAGAAGTTGTCGCACTCGAAGTGGAGGAGGCAGAAGACGTTTCGGGTAGTCCGTCTTCAGCGGTGAAGTGAGTCGAACGTTGATGTGCTGACGTTGATGAAGTATCGATGAAGGAAGAACAAGAACGAAAAGCGGCTTTAGTAGACCGGGAAGATGCTGCTGCTTCATGAAGATCGCGGACGGTGACCACCGTGGAGGACGTTGTCTTTGCACTAATTTGAGATTCGATCTTGCCACGCATCGTTGGCGGGACAGCAGCATTCGGTAACCCCGCGTTGTTCGTCTGGTTTCCAATAGTTGTTGATGTCGATGGAGGGGAGAAGATAGAACGTGCGCCGTTTCTCTGTTGATTCTCTTGCAGGCTTTGGTAGTAAAACTGTGGAGTCCGAGAGTGGTAGCCGAGGGCTGGAGCAGCAGTGTTTGCAGGATAAGCTACTGGTGGATTCATGATTTTAGACGGACCACCTGCTGCGCCATTCGCAAGGCTTGCATCTCTGATCACATGGTTGATCGCCGTTGACGCACCTGCACCCATTTGCAAGCACGCTGTACTAAGATCTTCCGACGACAACTTTTCCCCCTCAGACTCGCGGTATTCGCGCTCTAGGAAAGTCTCCGTTTTCCACGCGTAAACTTGTGGCTGCACGAATCTCACCTCTTCGTTCATCACATGGTAACGATAGTTCCACATCACGTTCTCTTCTGTGATTGGCAGTACTATGGGTAAATCGGTTGCAACGACTTGCGCGTACCGCCGATTTGGCTTCAATATGCTCGTCATATGGGGGGATTTTATGATCGCGTTTGATGGGTCATGTTTTCCATTTCTGCTACCATCTTCTGAGGTGGCTGATGACGTCGCTGTAGTGCTGGTCTCCTTGTTCTTGTTCTCGGAAACAAGACAGGGCGGCGCCAGAACGCAGGCGTATGTCGAATTATTATGCTCACGCGGCCCCGAAGATGCAACTACGCCGCAGATTCCGCGTGGTCCGAGCGGTGCGGATGTCCAGGGTACCGCACCGTTGCTTGGCGTGGATAAAGAACAAGCATTGTCTTGCGAGAAAGACAATGACGGCAAATATGAAGTCGCGTTCACCGATGGCCCTGCAATGGTCGTGTTGAAGAGTGAAGCTGGAGACGCGGGTCTGACTGTCGGAGGTGCAAGCGACGGGTCGAGATGACGAATTTTCCGATCACGATGGTAGAAGAGTTCCTCCGCAGTGCTGCTCTGGTCTGGACAGCCTTGATTGTCGATCTGCTGTCCACCTGCTAGATGAAGGCTCCGTACCCCATCAACATTTTTCGCAATGCGGTTCAGCATGACAGGGTCGCCGCGCTTTTTATCCACCAGCAACGCAGGATTTAACTGCAGTTCCGCGTACGCCTTGGCAGCGGCGTTGAGCCCTAGAGAAATCGAAGGCTGCGCCAACCCACAGCCTAGTTCCAGCACTACAGCGTTTTCATGAATGCGAAATCGCTTCCGCGTCGTTCGCTTTCTTCCCGTCGTTGGTGAGTGATCGGCATCCTCGTCGAAAAAAGTAACCACCTGAAGCGCAGGCGGCTGAGGAAGCAAACCATTCGCATCCAGCAAGTCATTTTCCGTTAAAGGAAAAAAATCAATGGCGCTAGTTTTAACACTGTTGCTCTTGCCATTGAATTTGGAGGTGCTCGATGCAGCTGCTTGTGCTGACTCCGTGCTTGATGGTACAATAGACGAGGACGACTGCTGCAACAGAGCGGCAGCTTCGAAGAAAAAGGCTTCCACGTCAACTCCATTGAGCATCGAGCTGACAAATGGACGCTCAATACCGTCACAAACTTCGTCGATAAGCGCCCGTGTTCGATGCTCATGCTCAGCAGGATCTATCCACGATGCCGTGGTTGAAGAGCCGCCTGAGCCGATGTCCTCCATGTCTGCGTCTTCGTCTCCTGATTCCGCCGATTCTTGGGGTGACGAAGCGATAGAACTCGCACTCTCGCGCACCCGCTTCATGCTCGCGCTAATTCCACCTCCATTGTGAAGATCGACGTTGCTGGTGGTGTCCATGCGTGGTTGCGCCAGTTGCTGCCCACCTACTGTGCTGCCACCTTCGTCTTTTTTCAAGTCAGGAGTGTTCATGATGTCAACCTGCACGTGCAAGAATTGCTGGTCGATTGGTGTTTGCCTTTGCCCTTGTTCTCCTACTTGATTTGGCTGTTTCGCAACTTGCTGGTGCTCATCTACCTTAGTAGATGCACTACCATCTTTTAGCAAGCACTCGCCCTTTCCTCCACTGTTCAGGTTGTTGAGGTTGTTCAAATTCGTTTCGACTTCGCCAGTCTTATTTGATGAAGATGCACCTCCAACAAAATGCTTGCTCACCACCTCACTCTTCAAATTCATCGGAGAAGATTGCTGTATCTGCATTGCGCCTAGTCCCAGCACCTGCTGATTTCGTCGGCCCTTCACAACTCGCTCAGCAATGTCTGGAGAGAGCTCGAGGCGGTCGAATTCAGTGTACCATAGCATATGCGCGATCAAGAGCTCGGCTGAAATCCAGAGCGACGCTCCCGTTCCACGTTCGCTGTGCCGTCGTGAGGATCCCGCACTCACTACAATCTGCTGTCCAAATTAGAGAACGACGACGATGTGCGGAAAAGCCCTAGAAACAAGTACTTACTTAGTAGTGTCACAACTCTTAGTCTGTGTCTGTCATCTCTTCTATGTCTATTCATTAAATCGTTATTCATTAATTTTTCGTATAATTCTCTTTGTTTGCCATTGCCATAATCAAATCTGGAGAATGGGGGTCGTATAGCGTAGGCGAAAAAATCGTCTTCGGATGCATCCTTACGAAGGTGCTGTCCACGACTGCGGCCATTCGCTCGGCTAGAGGATGAGGATGCCCCTTCACCAGTTGAAGAGGATGCTGTGGCGCCCCGCCTTGCAGGTGTTCTTCCAGCACCAGTCGATGTTCCTGTTGATGCTTGCGGGATATCTTTCGTGGTTGTGTGCAAACTTTGGGGGCTACAAGTGCTGGGTTCATCCTCCTCATCAAAACAATTTTCCTGCTGAACAACGACCACGCCTCCTTCACGCGGTTCTGGTGAGAAGGAGAAGTCATTCGGTGCTCCTTCAACCGGACCTCCGCCTACTCCGGCATCGATACCAGGAGTACTTTTGTGATCCCCGCCTCGGCGAACTCCTCGAAGATCATTGCTGGCGAAGTTCTGTTCCGCTGACCGAAATCCGCCTGCTCGTCCATAATGTGTTGCGCTGTTATGGCCACTACGTGCGTTGAGAGACGGACCACGGATCAACCCGGAAGATCCTTGTTGATGGTGATGATCTGCTCTAATTGATGGCCCACGGCTCGAAGGACCATCTCCAGCTTCTGCTCCTGCACTGGTCGTGAGTGAGCCTGTGTTCACACCACGAACTCGTCCGCCGACTAGGCCACCTCCGATCAGGGGTCTTGATCCAAGACCGAAGCTGCCCACGCACCCAAAAGATCTGGGACCTCCACCGCCACTGCTTGCCAGATTGTTCGAGCTACCCACAGCAACAAGGTTGCTGTTACTGCCACAGTCACCACCAAGGGTATTCAGACCACCCCCAGCAGAGGTGCCCCCAACCGAAACGGAAGCCTCACGGGACGATGAGGAATCGAAGTAATCATGACATGCACAACAATAGAAGCCCTGGTGTCGGCGCGAGAAGCCCAGTTTTCCTTGCTGCCCGCAGCAGACACAATCACCAGCCCACAAGACTGACATCCTTGATGTTACTTACTTGTTCTCAGAGCGTGAAATAATAAGATCATTGAATTCTGAAAGAAAAAATGCAATATGTTGACAATGTCAATGATCTTACTCATAGTATACGAGAAATTAGTTGTAGTATGGTCATGATGTCGAGCTACAGACTTTGCTCTTTGAGATATTTCTACTTAATCAATGATGAACACGATGAGAATACAAGCGAGGAAATAAAAAAAGAACAAGAAGAACTACGTACTACCACCTATCACGTAATACAACTCATGATCTGAGGGTACTGACAGGGTATGGCTAAAAGACACGAAGTTAGCTTAAGAAATGAAGACAAAGAGTAAATAAAAGTATGTAGAAGTCGCTGGCTCGAAGATCTGGAGAAAATAAAGAACAATTTAATCTTCATCTTACCACGACCACATTGTTACTCCTGTTGGTTGGTGACAGCAAGAAATATAGGTATATCTACAACTACGCAAGAGCTAGGACTCTGTTTTTCGGCTTCAGATCATTTTCCATCTCAAGTAGAATTCAATAGAACTAGAAGCACGCCTGGCACTGCTGGCGACTAGAACTAAAACAATGACGTTCAATCTACTTGATATTTAATGTTGAATGGAAATAACAAATGGCACAGCTTGAGCAACATGGATGAGATTTTACAGGAGGGACGTGGTAGCTACATTTATTTCTTTACACAGGAGGCTGAAGGCAGTCATCGATCTTGTTTCTATGTATAATAATTCTGTATTTCGAGAGTAAACATCAAGGAGTAAGATGAAGATCGAAACAATAGAGGGCGAGGGGTGGAAGCCTCCTGTATCATCCATGACGCTGCTGGATTCAATAATCTTCGTGTTCAACATCAGCATGTTCTAGGTCTTGCAGGTGGTCGTGGTACTAGGAAGGCATGTGAAAAAAAAATTGATATTCTGTTATAACAGACTAATTCATAATTAATAGAATAATTTATAGGGGTGCCAGATCGGGGATGGGATGGATCGGATGGATCGGATGGACTTTCCACCATTTCAAGTAGGATCGGAAGAATCAGGAGGGTCCACCCGATCCATCCAAGTCCATCCTACATCCGTTCTATAAACTATTCTATCATAAGGTTTGCCCGCTCGCATGATGGCATGGAGTGCATGGATCGCATGGAGCTAAAGGGGGCGCCTCTTGCGTCCCTTAGAGATCTGCGCCCCATGCACTCCATGCTACTCCATGCGCCATGCGTGCTGTAACCTACTCTGTTATATTAATATACCAACGCGATCTATTGGTCTACGGGCGAGTGCGCTTGTGATCCTTTGATTTGTTGTAAGTAAGTATGAAGAAGGCACGTTCTCTGTGAAACACCAACGCCTTTCTTGTGTTGTCGCGATAAGCTGCGTCAAGGAGAATGCCCTTTGCTTGCTGTATTTCATAAACTGGAAGCTTTCTAGTAATTTCACAAGAAAAGATAGAGGGTAACCCACAGAAACCTCAACAGGCTCGTTGTTCTTACTCTCGCGCTCAACTACTACTCGTCGTGGTTTCATTGATGCGGAACTGGAAGCTTCAATCCGTTCGACGCCCTCGTTTCAATCAAGAACCTCATGGTCATCAAAAATGAGCACTACATAACTAAACTCCGTATGACTGGCCACTTCTTGGTACAATTCTTGTAACCCTCATGTCTTTTGACATGTTCCGTCGCTAGCGACAAAGAAAGAGACTGTAGACACAGATCTTCACGCTTCGTCGGAAAAGTAAGAAGGGACTATATTTGGACCCTTTTGGAAGGTCGAAAAAAGAACACGCTTATACTGCTTCTTTCAGCACAGTCGATGTAGGTATCAGCACAACTAGTCGAGTTTCTATTTTAATAGGTCTTGGCCTTCTCCAGGACCGCCTGACATCGTTTGAAACTGAATAATTTGGTTTTGGCTTCAAATGAGAAGTACTACTTAGTCTTTTATTATTATTAATTAAGGTTATTATTATCGATGACTGCAGCATCGAGTAATGATCATGAGAGAAGGTTTTTGTGAGACCACCCGAGAGGCCTGTTTTTTGTGAGACCCTTGCTGCGGGACGATGCAATCAGCAGAAGTCTTTCAAACAGTACAGGGTGGTTTTGCACACAGCTACTATTTGGTTTTTGTCGTCTGATTGCTTGCATTACGTGCAAATTCGTAGATATTCCGACCAATTTTCATTTTGCGAGGTGCAGGTTTGCGCTTGCTTCTCCGTTTCGTCCTCGCTGAGGAAAATTTATTGTTCTTGTATAATTGTGAGAGAAACTCATCGATAAACCTTCTCATTCTTGTTGATGAACTACAACAAGTTCAGTATTCGCGAAAGGCTAGTTCAGTGGCTCGCCGTCATTCTCTGTGTTGTGGTGGAGCATCCCGGCCGCATATAGTTTGACTGTTCAGTAGGTACCATCGCGCCTGCGCGGTCGATTGGAGTGAAGTCATCATTTATCAGTCCAGGCACCCGGCTGATTCGAGTTGATGAGCGTCCTCAATCAGTTGCCAAGCGCTCTCATTTGGTCAGATCGGCGTCGGCTCGAGCGGTCATAGCCAATCGCTTGAGAGCCGCGACCTTGATATTTGTTTACGAAAAACGACTAGGGAGTTATATGAAGAGCTGAATTATGTTGGTTCATCATGATGCGTACAACGAGTAAGTACCTTCACATTCACATAGCGACAGCGGGATTTTTGTGAGTTGCAGCTTCAAAAAAAATTGAAGTACCTCCTCCGCCTCGCATGCTTTCTACGCCAAGTGCTCCCTGGTGTCCTCCCATACCTCTACCGAGGTGAGAGTGTCTCGGCATGTGCGGTGCGATGTTTTGTCCCCAGTGTCTGTCAAAATCCGCCTTGCATGCGTCTGACTCCAAGCCACGCAGGTATTCCGTTTGCCTGTCCTCTCCGGACGTGTGAGAGTACTCTTTGACCATTTTGCGTCCACGACCCCCGTGTTGCCGCTCAAGTGACATCTTGTCCACACCGGTGCTAGAATTACTGTAGGCTTGCTGCTGCTCAAAGGCGTCACGCGAACCGTCATGGACTGCACTGGAGGAGTAGCGTTCCGTGTGCATCTGCCCGTCGGCGCCCATCTTCGACGAAATGAACATACTAGAGCTCGAAGAAAAGCCACTGCCTCTACCTGGCAATAGAAGTCAACGAACCGAATTTTGGACGAAGAAAATCAAATGCCGTACGTGTCCGAACAGAAGTATGATGAACTGCTGCTCACATCTAATAAACATATGTCGCAAATAAAATGATCATCATTCTCAATTACACACAATAAACTAAGTACCTCCAGACGGCCTACTGCTCATCATTTCATGCATGTCGCCGAAAGGATCGCGTCCTCCGGAAAAGGGATCCCCCATGCCGCCTCTCATCATAGGAAAATCTCCCATCATTTGAGACATACTCTGCTCCATCGCGGCAAATGGGTCGGCATTGCTGCTGTGGAAATCGTTATAATGTTGGAATATCGAGAGTTTACTAGTTTTGTGCTGGAAGGATTCATGTTGTCATCGAGAATTTTACTGATCACAAAATCCATGGCGCCCGTACAACGCAGTTGAAGTTTAACAATCACAATGCATCATAACTAACGTTCTTTAATATCCTCTCCTCCAACTAGAAATCAAACGGCAATGAGAAGTTTCAACTATACCCTCTTTGCGCTAGCTGGCGGTCGCGGTTTCCTCCACGTGGCTGTTCGTTTCTACGCGAGCCGAAGCCCGAGAAAAATGGATCATTATCGAAAATACTTCCTCCGAACATTTTGTGCTATGGCTATCGTCCCTACCAGTTGTACCACACGCAGGATATATATTTCTCTTCGATGTTGAATCACAAGGAAGTTCTAGCGGTACTACGCCAAAAACTAGTACTATGAGTCTACGTCACTGTGTTACACACGAAACTGAAACTGATTATTTGTACACCTAGTCCTAGGCTACTTTTCTAGGACAGACTACATTCTTCGCAGATGGTACTGTCAGCTAGGGGGACATTGGGAGACGAGGACATTAAAGGGGCTGAGCAGGCGGATAAAGAGCCAATGAAAATAATAGAGTACAATAAGCCGTCCTGTCGAATTTTTCAGGGATTTTTGTCCCCAAATGTTCAAGAATATTCATCGATTAAGACCATTCATCAAACATCCATTTCCATGCTTCTTGTTCTTGTTACTGCATACAACAACTAGTACCGATTATTGAGAAATACCGAACATCAATCGTGATCAGCTGCTAGAATCTTGAATGTCAACAAATGAGTAAATCCCTTCAAGCAAAATAATCAAACGGCTAACCAATGAGGTGAACAAGCAATTAAAAAACAAGACCGAACACCATATGTCGAATCAATCGAATCGCCCTGCTCCGCGACGCTCAGTGGCGTGGTTATTTTTTTCCCTCTCTCGTCGTCACATCTTCAACTTCGGAGGTACATCCTGTAGCAGATTATTTACGCGATAAGAAATCAGGTTTCATCAAGGTACGACTAGTGTGAGAATTTTCTGATTGTTGAGACAGTTGTGATGATAGTGACTCAATGAAATTACAGACGTCAAATTTACGGAGATATCGAAGTATTCAATCCATGTTATCTGGGCAAGGCGACCTGCAGAATGGGGACCTGAAGCGAGATACTTATTCATAGTGTACGTCTCACCACGTTTCAGTGAGAGTATCGTGCGCATGCACATACTTTGCGATGTGGTATGCCGAATAATCTACTCCATGGCGCATCATGATGATCATGACATTTTCAATGATATCTGGTACTGCAACGTGTATCGACCAGGTAGATTCATTTCTTCCCCCCATATCCACGGAGAAGCTCCTGGTCTGATATTATCCTCACTCTGTACTAGGATGCTTTTCCCCCACACGAAAATATCAACCACCCTTGGAATTCACATATGGTAACTGCGTGCAGCAGTATGTCTGGACAATCTGGTTCGTGTACAGGAAGCGCAGCATCCCGTAGATCGCGATGTACACCGGAAAGAGAAAGCTGGCGAGTGTTATGAAAGAGGTTGGGGGTCTGGTCTTCTCGCCGGGACTCCTAAACAACTACGTATCTACTTATTCTTTTTCTTGTGCTAAACTACATCAGACTGAAACGGACACAAATTTTTTGTGCTCGCGTCGAACGTGAAAAAGTGACTCCATAATGTGGATCCACCCGTTTTTCAACTCCTGGAGGGCGCTAGGAACGTAGTAAACCACCTGCTTTGGTATTCGGGCACGAACTTCCAACTCGAACGAGTCCTGGGGTGCGAAACTCCACATCGGTGGCAACGTGGAACGTAACCTGTGGTGCAATTCGGCCGTACAACGAAGCTGACGACCACACGAATGATGAAAGACTAGTGTTTTTTAGCTTCTGGTGGTTCATGGTCATCTCACGTTCAGAACAAGGAAAATCATGATGGAAGTTGAAGTACCTTATCGTCTCGTTTCTTTGTGCGTACTCCTCAAAAAGCGCCGGAAACGTGAAAGGGTCGAGCTTCGAGTAAGCCATCTGGGGATTATCATACCAGGTTTTTGTGATCATGATTGGGGTAGTCCTAGTTAGCAAAGTCTACGAGTCTTTGAACTAGAACATATTTCTCTTCATCCTCATCGCTTAGTCGTACAACCTTATTTTTCGACAATGTCGTTTCAGTGAGTCTATAATTGCAGGAAGTACATTGCTCCCCCAACTCCACGCCAACGGACTACTTTGATACTTTTGTCTCGGTTCGGATAAACTCCTAAGCGCCTCTGCTTGACTAAAATCTATAGACCCCTGCAGCGTTACACCTGAGTAGGAGGGTCATCGTAGTACAGGCACTACATTATCTATTTGTTCCGCTGGGTCGCGCTCGGCGCCCGCTATCAAAATCACGATGTGGGCGCTAGGCCTCCTTTTTACATTAACGGCAACTACTACTACAGCTACAACAGATAGTGTCGAGTTCATATGGGGAATACCAATACGTCGAGAATGCTCCATGATCATTACCTGTTGCTCCTATGCCTGATGACTCATCGCATGCTAAAAGCCCTGTCATTGATAGCTTAACTGTTTCCGAAAGTTGATATCTGAACGCTCCGGCGAAAAAAACTCGCTTCGCCTTTTCCGACATTGGCATGCTCACCCTAACAATCAGCTCGTCAGGCGTGCCGTCAACGTCTTTGTCCAGCTCCTGGTACCTCAAATTGTGTAGGATTTGAAGATGTAGTTGTTCAACTGGTCTAGGGGAGGCAATCTTGTACTAGCAACAAGTTCATGTGCATTGATTTCATCGATGACCTGAAAATGGATTCTTCACCCTAATCACCATAGAGCCTACCCTAGATCCACACAAGATTCTTCACCCTAGGCCTAAAGTCGGACTTCGTTTCCATAGGGTTATACCTGACAGAAGGTACGCGAACGCTGTTTGCGTTCAACTCGTTCAGTTTGGCGTCTGTGCTCCAGAACGCTGCGGACGTGTCACTCTGTACTGCGACTACCATTTCGTGGTTGAAACGAACTAACCTGATTGTTGTGATCACGATTACAGAGTTGATCTTGAACAAAGTACTGTGAAGTAGATGTTGTAGTCACAGTGAATGTAAATCTTAGCCCAAAAGAAAAGAAAAAACTGCTCGTCTGATAGATACTATCATTACGGCTGTTCCCTGTAGAAGGCTTCTTTGATCCAGAGACCGCCTGATGCATAAGCAAAAAATATCGGCAAGAGCACTATGGCAAAGGCACATGCGAGCCAAACGCAGTAGCCTGCAGAAGCGCGCGGCGCGATGTATATTCGCTCATAGGCACTGCGAAATAAAATGACGTTCTGTAGTATCCACAGCGTCATCCTGTCACGCCTTCTCCACGCAGAAGCGGGCACTAGTTGTAGCTTCGCCTACACCTACTCGTGTCTTCACCGACCGTTTCAATCGTTCGATGTTGTCCCAATGCTGTCGCTAAAGGAATCGGACGACACGACTGCTTCACGCTGCAGCAGGCGCCGATTGCGGCAATACGTCTACCAGTATTTTCACCTTCCCCGTCAACACCTCACTAACCGCCGCTTTTGTGCTCGCGGCGCATGCAACATGTAGTAGAGCAGGTTGGTGAACGACGCGGCCATCTTTGAGACAATGACACACTTACCTTTTTAGCAACAATTAAACCCAGAAAACGAAGGACATATTGGCGACGACGGTTGTACCTGCCGTCACGCGATTTAGAATCGTTCCTGCTGTTGAGATGAGTGGGCGCTCCATCTTCTTGCATCGTTCGACTAATTATCTGTTTTCATCACTCTCTATGTTACCTTCCGGCTCATCAAGCTCTCTTTCTCCCTCACAGACTCCGGTCACGACATCTCTCACACTCATCAAAAAAACTTGCGTCGCTCTACCACTACCAGGCAGTAATGATCACCCCCATGCACCCAGCCACTTTGGAGTGGCGTGCCTCGTCTCATAGACCGATCCGAGCAATAGGGGCCTAGTCCTTTACCACGCTGCCTGTGCTTCCTAGTGGTCCACTGCGCATGCGCTCAAGTACTTAGTTGTGTAAGCACGGCCTGGTGTTGCCCACTCCCTTCTTCTTGCTCTATGAGACTTTCTGCTTCTTACTTCAAGAACAATACAGGTGGTGGTCATCAAAGACAAAGGTTTTACATTTACATTTTGAAATAAACAATCACAATTCTTGGATTCAGATTTTTTGTAGTTTCTCCTCACTCGCTCTTATTACATACACCTGCTAGCATAGACGGAATGCCGAAAGGAAAAGACCCCCCGCAGCTTTCGATTATTTTTGAATAAGTACTGTGGTACAAAACAAGTTAAGAGTAATGATAAGTGGTCTACAAGAATATGAGTACACATATTTATACAGTTATATATAATCATACTATGAAAATGAATTGGTCGTGGTCAGTGTCATACATCTTAAGAACAAAATAAGGACAGGCGGAAGTAGGGGATCAAGGACTAATACTAGACATAATCCCGCAGATCGTTGACGTTCTTCTATCACTATCTTCAACGGGTGCTTCATCAATAGGAGGATCAAATCTAGATAGAAGATCATACATATCTATGCTGTTACAACAACTAACTTATCATAATGACTCAAATATTCTACTTACTACAATGACTAGACCTAGAGCGACAATTTTGAACAACTCAAACATCCATTACAGTTGCACCTATCAGTAATTGAAGTCCACGAAGAGCTCAACATCAAACAGAAATTATTCAGTCGACTAAGTAAATGACTATGCTCGCTAATAAGTGTTTACACCTCGTTTTCTGGGATTCTATATTTTCACCGTGAATAATCGTACCTCATCGTCCCCCGTCGACAAATTGAATTTTCTACCGTGCGGTGTGGTAGATTCATCCAGCACGACGATCGGTTTCACTTCTTGTCATCAACCTTCATCTAAGAAGTAGTTTGTTAAGTAATGACGAGCGGAGCAAGTAGCAACAATATCTTCGTCTGACAGAAGATGAAGAGGCAGCGGGTGCCGACTGTCAAATCACAGTTGCAGCCGAATAAATAATTGGATACTGGTGGAGGTCGTTGCATCTTCACCCATATTCTGAACTACATCTACAACTACTGTATTCACTAACAACATATTTTTATTTTTTTATTATAAATATGTACCTCATCGAATCTTAATCAACGTCGAAATAGGGATCGTATTGTTGTTTCTGCACTCGGTACTTAGCGATCACTTTAATATGGCATTGACATTATCTGTTCTCTTATATCATCAGAACCAGAAGTAAGCCACATCCAACTTACTAACTACCACTCAACATCTTCATCAACTGGAAAAATTTAGAGAGAAAGTCAGATAAATCAAAACAACAAAACTACTTACTTACAACCATATCTTCATTGATCATCATGTGACTTTATCGAATATTAACGTCGTTCGTCAATCCTCAACGGCATCTTCATCAAGGAAAATCGATCCGAACCTCAGACAGGAAGCTCTTATTAAATTCTCAATCGTGATCGAGCTAAGACGATCATGGCACAAAAAGACAAAAATGACAGTAAGAGCAACATGTGTACTAGCGTGTCAGTCGTGATCAATCAGGTCTTTCTTGAATGGCGCAGGCCCTCTCCCTGTTGCGACGACGCACACAGCAACTCATCATCTGGTGCTCCTGCTTCTAGAGATCACAAAAGTCAGGCTTTTATGTCTCGAGAACTCTGGTTGGAAGACGTCAGAATTTTCAGGTACAACACTGTTGTTGAGATGAGGGAAAAACCACCATAGCCTCCTCTACATGTCGAAAGTTTTGTACTTCGAGAGTCGTCGATTCTTCTGCTTCTTCTTCTGTATCTCTGGCTTCGTGTACGAGCACTTTGCGTCGTTTTTACCAGGAGTCTCCTTCTCGAATCTTGCGCATCATCTCGAGTTCGTTGTCCTTTTCTGATACCTGCACTTGCAATTTATTGACTTCTGCGGTGAGGCGTGCGTTTTCCGCTTCCAAAGCCCGCTTCGTAGTCTCTACCAATTCTACATAGTTGCTTTTCACGTCATCCCGCTCTTTTTCAACCTGCTCCTTCTTTCCGGTTAGGTCACGATTCTCGTTCGTCAGGTCAGCAACTGCATTTCTTAGAGAAGAAGCAGTGGCTACTTGATGCGAGTTGCATTGCTATTATTAACTACTTGTTGTACTTGTATTCAAATCAGCACAAAGATTACAGGTTTTCCATTCGTCCTATTAGTTGTGACACATAGGGATAGGAAAGGAACAATGATCTAAAAATTCTAAACGAGACCTAAGCACTCAAAAAACAACAATGTCGTCCCGACCGTAACTTTTGGAGTTTCTCCAGAACGGCTTTGTTTTCCTTCTCAATGGACGCATTTGTATCGTTCACCTCAGCTTTCTCCTTCTCCAAGCGTGCTACCTCTTGCTGCTGCTGGCTCAAGCTCGTGTTCACCGCAGCAATCTCCAACGCTTTTTTGCGGAGCGTCTCCTCGAGCTCACTTGCACTCTTCTCCGAAGCAATCGCTGCAGATCTGGTGAGCAAAGAAGTAAAATGTTGCTGGGAGACATGGCCCTCCTTGAACTCTGACATTTATCCAAAACGGTAATAGAAATCAAGAATATCTCCCATTCCCGGCGCTAAGCTGAATACAGTTAGGATATCTAGAAGAAGCCAGCTGAAAACGCATTGGCTCGGGTGTACAACACGCGGTGAAGGCAAGTAGCTTATGCGGTGTCATCAAAAAAAATGATAACAAGACAAAATAACAAGATTCATTGGTAAAGTACTTTAGCGTCTCCTTTTCTTTTTCCCATTCTTTTTTGCTGTTTTCTGTTGCTTTTTCCGCTGCTTTTTTCTCGCTTTCAGCTGTTTTCAGCTTCTCTTGTTCAGCTAGCACGTCCGCTTTTGCGCGCTCGCTATCAGTTTTTGCTGCATCGCGTTCCCGTTTCATTTCAGTAGCGGTCGCTTCGAAGGCGTCACGGTCTTTCTTCGCAGCCTCAAGTTTTTGACGTACCGTTTCCAGCACTTGCTCGACTTCAGATTTTTGTTTGACACGTTCGCGGATATCCTTTTCCTTCTGCTCCTGGTCCAACTTCTTCGCCTCTTCGATGAGGCTCTTTTCACGTTCCACATCGGAAATGCGTGCCTGAAGATATTCGGGTTGGAAATAAGGAACAATCAAGAGTTGCTCCACCGTCTTCGAGCAGGTTGCAATCTGGTGGTGCAAAGGATCATTTGATATCATGACAAGAAGGATAGAGCGATCGCGATGCCGATGCTCAATATAAATATATAGATCAAACATTCCTCATGGCGGGGTGCATGATGTATGTGTTACAGAGAGATGTTCATCATAGTACCACTCTTAGTACCTTCATTTTCCCAATGTCTTCAGTGAGTTGTTTTTTCTCCAGCTCGAAGGTGCGTTTCTCGATTTCAGAGGTTTTATAGAGCTGTTTCTTCATCTCAGCTGCTTTTGTGCGTTCATCGCTCAGCTGCGTCTTCAAATCCGAAATGGAATCGTCATGCTGTTTCTTTAGTGTCTGCTCATGCGTCTTCTGCGCATCTAGCAGGTTCTGGATGTGCGCCGCAGAATTTGTGCGTTCGAGGTCGATTTGGCTTTGAAGATGCATCTTTTCGTGCTCCAACTTCTGTCGTATCGTCGTCACGTCGTGCTGAAAAACAGGTTAGTCCGGGATCATGAAAAACAATATCCTACGTGATGAAAGTAAGAACAGAAAAAATATGTGTGTGCTACTCACTGGAACTAGAGCAAGCTTGTTGAATTGTGAAGATAATGCAATAACAGGAGATGGTCGACATACAATAGATATACGTAAAGAAGGCATACTTACAACCGAGAAGGAAAATGAAACATTTTGGACAACAAAACATGAACAGGTGCATCTCACGGTCGCGTTTAGCCTAAGTACCTCGTATTTTGTGCGCAGTTCTTGCAATTCCTTGTTGAGTTTTTCAGCATTCTGTTCGGCATGTTTTTTCTCAACGCTTAGGATTTCCTCCAGGAGTGCTTCTTTTTCTTTGCGCGCCGTCTTCTCTTCATCCAGACGACGCTGCCAAACAGTGCTGTCGGAGGCGCGACGTTCCTGCTCGTTGGCAACATCTTTCTTGACACCTTCCAGTTTGCGGACATGTTCTTCTCGTTCCGCCTCCGCTTTGGCCAACGCGGCTTCTAGGCTTTTCACCTTGTCCTCTAGACCTGCTATCGTTGAAGCCTTACTCGTCCCATCCTTTGTTGCTGCCTGGTGGTTATTCGGTTTTCAACAACGAAGCATCAGGAACATTATTTGAAGTTGGCAAGAAAACGAAGAACACGACGCGGCTTATTTCTGTAACAGACGATGATCAAAGACTAAGAACCCAATAAACATAATGTTGAAACAAATCATAAAGTAAAATGAATATCTGACAGACAACACCAAAAGTGTAGACCACTACATCATTCTCTTCAAACTATGAGTACCTCCAAATCTGCACACAATTTCCTGAGTTGTGTGTGCAGAGCAAGCACTTTTTCGTCGTCGACCAGCTCCCAGTCTTGGTCAGCACCACCTTGGACGGACGAAGACATTTTGTTCCTTGTCTTTTGTTGTAGCTGCTCCTTCTACTTCAAGATTATACCCACATTCAAAAAGAACTGACAAGCAGGAGCAAAACAAGTAGAATAAAAAATTCTCAGATCCTTACTAAATGACCAGACTAAGAGTAAGAGCAGATTAAAAATGTGATTAGAAGAAAATACGATCAAGCTTTGTACTTCTCAGGTAGAAGCAGCATTAGCATATTCTCTTCCGTTATTCTTATTATTTTGCTATATCAGCATGTCATTAAAGTGCTGAATTTCAATCAAGTATCTTTACAAGCACGATCAAATTCACGTTTACCTGATTAAAATTCCTTTCTAATTCTAATGAAGATGTCTTCACTCGGACTACAACGTACTATAAAACAACATTGGAACAACAAAAACGGCATCGATCAAATCATTAGATACTACAAACAACGAGGCTCTCTGCGACTAGTTGACGTCAACGGGGCGATCTTCGATTGTACTATCGATGTCAAATTCTGCCAATATGAAATAAGCGAACAACAAGGTGGACAATGCGCCATTAAATTCCAGATCATACATTCGGCTCTCGGTCCATATTTGAAAACATGGCTTCTTGTTACACCTACAAAAAATCACAAAAATATGATAAAAAAAGATACTACTTGAAGATCTGATGCTTAAATTATCAGACAGCTGCTATTTTTTACGGAGTCGGAGTTCTTCATGAGGTGATCTTCGTGACAGAGTTAAAAACATTTCAGTGCAAAGAGTGAGCTATTTTTAGGTAACATCCAGCGGAAGCCTCTTGGGGATTTTTAGCACTACTACTCGGGGGGATGTAAAGTACTACTTCGTAGGCGATGTAAAGCGGGGATAACTACATGTCAATATCTACTTATGTATCGTAGACCGACCACAGAGGCAAAACGAACAAGTTTCAACATATTAACAGATTCATTTTTAGGACTCTGCTGTGACTGCTGCGAGACAATCCTCAGCACATCACCCGACACGACATCCTGTCAAGAAGATGAATGATTTTTGTCATGATTCTTGCCTGTACCACGTCCATCGTTGTTCGTAAACACGATGATGATGAAGAAAATTCATTAGAAAAGAAGTAAGGCAAAGGCAGGAATTGGAATATTTATAATATCTCGCGATCTCGATCTCGAACTCGAGAGCACGTTAGTCGTACCAGTGAACATCACCGGCACAAATCTGTCTTCAATCTGCTAGTCATTCGCCATCAAGACGTTGATTTACAACGAGACAGAACTTGCTCGGGAGGTGTACGCTCGCTCCCTCGTTTTATGCTATACAACTTCTACGAACACTTCTCGTAGCGATGCATCTTCACTTCTCCATGGTCTCGCCCTCTCATCAAAAGCAAAATACTACAGTTAACTTTCCGCTAAAAAAGGCAGGCTGTACGAACATCAAAGTCTTCAACTTCTAGATGATCTTCATCGTCTACTCCTTGTCAGTCTAAATTAATAGTAATACATCAACATCCCGTTGATTCCTCTCGGTCTCGTGGTCGAGCTGTCAAAACATTATGTTGATATCCTTGAAAACATTCGAAACACCCAACAATCAGATTAGGATTACAATACCAAAGCCTGATATTGTCTTAGACAGTCGTTGCTTCCCCTGTACCACGAATCAATCAAAAGAAGGTCCATGTGAGTCATTCAGCACATTGATTTTTGAAGGGAAAGCCAAACCATCCTTGGTTTTTGCCAGCTCCTAGTCCTAGACTTGAAATATGTGCTAATCATGTTGGCAACTAATGCTAATCAACGTTGTTCACAAATGGAGAGGAAAGAGTCTTCTCGTGTCTTCGAGCGACGTCGCAGATTTTTTTGCCTTTCAAAATGCACAAAATAAACAAGTCGAAGTTGTCGTGCACAGGAAGTGTTTGTTGAGTGCTGTGAATTGTATTACAATTGAGGTGTTGAGTAGCTCTTGATATTGAGAGACTCGCAACTGCTGAGGCTTTGCTTTCGAATTTCGAAAAAAAAATGTTATTTTTTTGTTTTGGAGGTCTGTCAGGAAGATCATGGTGGTGGTGCTTTGTTAGAAGTTTCTGGTTCAGTTTAGCCATTGTCATCACATGTTATCATGAAAAAGGTTGAGATGATACTTTTTGTAACTACAAACGATGTTTGTATACTTCGTAGATGGAAATCTCTTTACTTGTAAAGTTAGCTGCTTTTGAGATTCGTATTCAAGATTTTGATTTTGGTTTGTGATTCAAAACTTTGATTTCGAATTTAAATTTTGATTTCAAATTTTGACTCTTGATTTCAAATTTTGACTCTTGATTTCAAATTTTGGATTTAGATTTCGAATTTTGAAAGTGGCCGAACGCTGCGAAAACACTGCAAAACAAGCAGCGCCTCCCTATGCTCATAAATTTTGAAAGTTAAGACATGACTCGTGAAAGTTAGGACATATCCAACAAGCTGGGAAAGTTAGGACACAAATTCTGAAAGTTAGGGTGTGAATTTTGAAAGTTGCGACGTGAATTGTCAAAGTTACGGCATGAACTTTGAAAATTAGGACATGAAAGAATCCTGAAAGCTACGGCACGAATTTTGAAAGTTACACCATGATGAATCTTAAAGTTGAAGGTTACGCCATGGCCATGGAGGGAGTTTGAAAGTTACGACATGAATTCTGAAAGTTAGATAGGTGCACGAAAGCAATGGATTGCGAAAGTCAAGGCGTGAGCTTTGAAAGTTAAGGCGTGAACTTTGAAAGCCAAGGCGTGAATTTTGAAAGCCAAGGCATGAAAGAATTTTTAAAGCCAAGGCATGAATTTTGAAAGTTGCAGCATGCACTGGGGAGGCGGCCTACGTACATGACCGACAAGCCGCATACTGTGGCACAGTTGCACCACCTTGGCGGGGCCTCCCAAAGTCCGAGCGAGCGACCCACTTGAAGGCCGCGAACTCCTTGCAAGTCGAGGCCCCTCCAAGATTCGAACCAGAGACCTTCAGGAGCGAAGTGCAAGCACTTGCCCACCTGGCCAAGCTGGCAGGCCATGAACCACGAACACACTTGCCACGCCCAGCACCGTCAGCCCGGGGGCCCGCATGGCCTCAGCCGTCTATTTTCTCAAGGAAAACCAGCACCACCCAAAGCCCTGCGCCTGCCTATGAATGTCTCCCACCCCGCTGAGGAAGGATAAGCGCGGAGGCGCCCCTGCCTCTCTTTTGTGTCCACGTCTCCTCAAGCTGGGCGCAAGGTCGCGGGAAGTTTCTTCCTTCTTAGAATTCACGTGGATCCAGGTACTTTCACAAGGTAATACGCACACCAGACCAAGGGCCCACCGTCCGCTGGTGACACCACAGACACGCGGACACCCCGCCGGGGGCGAATGGAGCAGGCAAGCCCAAGCAACGGGGCCCGCGCATGATTTCCCCCTCCTCATGGAATTGATTTGGTTCTGCCGCTCTTACTTCGCCCACCGCTATCCAGAAGCGTCGCGTTCACTACTTATCCCACCACCACCCAGGCAAAAGCTTTCAAGATTTCACATCCCTCCCCCCGTGAGGATATGGGGGCGGGCGGTCTTGTGGCCCTGGTGTCCGCGTGTCCCTAAGCAGAAACATGAAAGCAGGCCGGGTCCCCTCGCCGTTCTCCTGAAAGAGGGCGCGCGAGCTTCCTGCATAATTTTAAATGTTTCAGACCGTGCCAAATATCCGAGGGCGTGCATATCTAGCAAGCGGCTCGTGCTCCCATCGAATCCTGACCCTGGGGAACCACGCCAGGGGGCTAGTCATATTCATCATAGAGCATCGTCGTGTAATAGTACCATGTAGTACAACAACATCGAAAAATCCGAATTACATGAGAGGATGAAGATTAGGTCTCATATAATCAGACACCAGAAATACTGTTGCAACGAAGACCACTCGGCTTGATGACAATGATCCGCTGGAAAAAATATAGCACAACACCCGACGAGTTCCAAAACTACAAGCTCATAATCGTCTCGACTGATACACCGCATGGGGAGGACGAAGGCAACAAATAGGAGAAAACAAAACATGACATTGATATTTTTCACAAAAGATAAATGATGTTGAATGCATCTGCACGAGCAGCTCACTTTGTCGGTACACGTCGTTTCTTGCGAAGACTACTTCTCGTCTGTCTCTCGACATCGGCTCTGCTAGGACGTAGAAGAAGGGCGTGGACGAGCATCAGGAGTAGATGACCACGGGGAGGTGGAGACTGAAAATGACGTATATAAATGTCGATCCTGCTACCTGCATGATATTTATACCGAGAACAATAGTTGCACAACAAGCAAATTACAACTCGAGAACAGACCACATGGCCCTAATGGTACCCAGTTGCTTATCACTATTGTGGAGGTACTTGTGGCTTGTGTCTACTTTCGAAGAAAGATAACCGCTCAGGTAGAAAGCTATATGTTGGTCGACAACTACTACGATATCTTCCATTTCAATTCAACTACTAAGATATCATCTCAGTTCCGTTTGCGGCTCGCTCTGCAGACAAAAAAAATGAATTTTTTCAACGATATTCAAAGTCTGCTTTCAAACTTCAAATGAAAATGAACCGGTTGAATTATACGACATAAATATTTATAGGAAAAGCAAGACTGATCATAATATTTTTTTCTGATTTTTCGAAGTAGGAAGCAGTACTAGCAGTTGTTTTACCATTAGTCTACCTCTACCTCCACTATTTTCTTGTAAGTAGTTCTTCTACTAGTTCATCAAATCTGAAATAGATCAAAATTTTCTCCGTCATCACAATCCTCTATACATCCAATTACAACATCAACATAAATATGTCATGACGTTTTTTATGAACCTTATCATTATCCGTGCATTGATATTCATAGAAGCCCTTTGACACTTTCCATTCATGTTGGAGCTAATCCCGTAGTCCATCTTCTGGCGATCTTGATGCGGCCCTCTTGCCTTTTCACATCACTGGAAGAAACTACAAGATGGATTAGGTGGAGTCTTAACCAGTGATGTTGTGTCTCGGATTCCTCGGCACCGCGGCAAGCTCTCATCTCTTATCGTGTCGCTACCGCTGAACAGGCACCGGCGCAAGTGGTTGGAAGTACGCACACGCCAAAATGCAAATAGTCAGGACAACGACCGTGGGGTCAGCATACCTCATAGATGCCACAGGAGTTAGAAGTGTATAACAAGACGCATGCTAATGCAAATGCATGCTTACGAAAATCGATTATCTGATCCACTCGAAGATTTGTTGAGGGATTCAGTGAATTATTGGGCATTTTCTTCTTCTTCTTGTTCCATTCATTGAAGGAGGTCCTGATAAAGTAGTGATGTCAACACTGTCGAGCTCGAAAAGTAGGAAGTGAGTGAGTGAGTGAGTGAGTGAATGAATGAATGAGTGAGCGAATGTACCCACTCCAGGGGTATAGAAGACAACTATTCGAAAAACTGAAATAACCGAGTAACTACTTGAAATAAGCACAGTTAAGCCTGAACAAGGAAGAGTAGCCCTGTCAAAGCTACCTACCTCCCTTATTTCAGTCACTTACTCGGTTATTTTCAGCTTTCGAGTACTCTACTACTTCCGTCTACTACGATGAAAATGATGACCAGAAGTAGTTGACGTTAAGGGGCTTAAAGGACGCCGTAAGAGAACTTGCATGAGTAACCAAAAGACACTTGCATGATCCCTCTCCTCGCGACTCCCGAGATCGTTCGACGACAGCAGCTGCAAAAGTGCCGCCATCGGACCTGAAGCTCTGCTCGATGCCACTGTGGTACGCGAAGCCTGTGCCTGTTCTGTGGAGTTATAACTGAGAGCAGGATTAGGGAATTTTCTATCGAACTTGTTCTGTTTGGTTGCGGACGAGGCAGACTTATTCTTAGTTCCACCGCTCTTCGACGGACGGCTGTCGTTGGACGGTTCGCGCGAGGGAGGCTTATTTAGACCGCGAGCACGCTGTTCCCAGCCTGGCTGTTCGATGAGGTACGCAGAAGCGTCTTCGGTTCCTTCCTGCTCTTCTTCGCCACTAGAAACGGGTGTGGGGCGGAACAAGTTGTAGCGGCAATAAGCACTGTAGTCACCGTCTAAATCGCTCTCCAAAGCACGCGCATGGCCTACAAAGCGCGAAAAATCCAATGGCGCGGCTACCTTTGTTTAGCGGTTTCAGTTCTTTCATGAGCAGACAACGTGTATATTCATTTTATTTCAAGAATCACACAAACGCTGATTCTATCGGAACTAGACGGAAGATGTTGTTGTTGATTTCGAAAACATGTAATTGTAATCTGTTTGGTTCAGAAAAGGAATACGAATATGTTGATGAAGAGGAAGAAATCAGAGTTAGACATGGCATTTCCAACTATCTTGTTCATTGTTTGATTTATTTTTATTCAGCATACAACATGGAAAACTGTATTATTTTCAGTGTAAAGTATGTGCCGGCCTTAATCTACGTCCTCTAGAATGCGCTCGAGCATGTATCCACGAGTCGGCGGAGCAGGAACCGTCTCGGCTATTGCATCCACGGTTGGAAGTTGCATGTCGACACCATGCTTCATCAGTCGTGACTCGGATTGAAATCGGAGTAGGTCAGCTGTTGAACCCATGCTAACAGGGTGAAGATCTTTGGTGCCCTTCTTATTGTTTGCGCCAGCTTTTTGGGCTGCTGGTGCGCCGCCAGTCGTGGCGCAGGGGTATTCATCCCCAAGAAGCGCGCGTGTCGACGCCGCTTCTCCGAAAATACCACTGTAAAACCCTCCCTCGTCCTGATGGGATGCAGCAAGGCCATTCTTATTCTTCTTCTTTTTAGAATCGGAAGTAGTATCTTTATTGTAAGTTCTTAGTTATTTTGACAAGTATTCTGTTCCTCACTCGACTAGTCGTCGTGGATCCCCGAGGATACCTTCGACCTCCTGAGCTAAAGAGAAATGGCCTCCACTCAGGACAAGGTTACTGTGGTCAAGCACCTTATTAACTAGTGCGCCAGAAAAGAATGAAGACCACAAAACTACCCATAATCTTGCCAGGACCATCATTCCCATTTTTCTGTTGTAGTTCACGCTCCTCGAATTTTGCTTGTTCTGCGGCGGTGGTGATTCCATCGCTGAGACCCCGGATTAAGCTCATTGTGTCCAGTATTTTCCCGTTCTCGAGCATCATCTTAGACGACATCTCAAGACTATCAGATTATCAAAAGTTGAAACACCTGACTCCCTGAATATGCCTAATCAACGCCATGAGCTGATAAGTGTTATTGGAGATGATGAGCATGGAGGGCACAGTGATGGGACGACGAGGTGGAACATAAAATTTTTTGTTTTTATGTGTTAATGCAAATGCAGCAGGCACTTGTTTGACATGTATCATAATGATAACCTCGCGATTTTTCGTCAAGAGCATCGCGTCCTGCATGTTTTGATCGCCAGCGACAACGCCCGAAGTTGACGTCATGGTTGGAGAGGACCCACCCGAGGACGGCGGCGGATGCCCGCCCATCTTCTTCGCCGCGGCAGAACCGTGTTGCTGCGCGGAGCCGTCCTGGTCGCTGGCGGGTGCATTCTTCGAAGTGGTCTTCAATTTGTGCGCTTTTTTGGTATTGGCAAGGACAGCAGGAGTCGCATAAACTGTGGGAGCAACTTCGGTCGTGGTGGCTGCACCCGCTGGTTGGTCCGGTTTCTTGATCGCGTCTGCGTAGGTGCGGAATGGAAGTGCTTCGGCAAGCGGAGGCGAAGCCAGATCGACATCGCTTGGCGGCGGTGGCGGACTCTCGATCGGAATGGCGGGCGTTCGTTTTGTGCTGGCGTATTCTCGATCCTTCGTCTTGCTGCGAGCCACGTACTGCTGATCTGTCGCATAAGCAGAAACGCCGACTTTGCGGTCTCCCCAGCCGTCATGCAGGCCATCATCCTTGACGGTAGTCGTTGTTTTAGTTGGTACTTGTTGGCCATAAGCAGAGGTAGCTGAAGTCGTGGCAGATGCACTGCTCATCATATCCGCTGTTTTACCTCCACCTTTAGAGGAGCCGATCGGTTCCCAGCGAGTAGTACTCCCAGCATAGTAGTTACCAGAAGCTGAATTGTTCATGTCGCTGTACTGACTACCGTAGTACGCAGCAGCACCTCCAGCACGAGCAGCAGACGCCGCGTTATAACCGGTTGAATCTTTGCTGATGCCGTTGTTGTTATTTTTTCCTCCAGTGGATTTTCCCGAGCCCTTTTTGCCACTCTTCGCAGAAGTGTCCTTGCTGTTGCCCTTTCGTCCTGCTGTGTAGTACGACCCTGTTCCATAACCAGCAGCGCTGGTCCATGATGATGAAGTTGCGTCGTTGCTATCCCATCGCCACGCCGCGGCGACTTCATCTCCGGTCACGTTCACTTCGCTGTGATCATCAGCCTCGCTTTCGCTGTAGATCTTCGAATTTCGGCTACTGCCATTTTTGCCCCCTCCGTAAGAGGAATTGTTCATGTCCTTTCCTCCCTTGCTTTGACCCCTCATGGACCTCGATTCTCCTCGACGGGAGTCGCGATCGTTGTAGCTCGACGCGCCTTTGTGCTTTGTCTGCATTTGCTCAAACGTAGACGGTCCGCAGCGTGGTTCGTTCTGGTCGCGCGAATTCCAGTGTTCGCGCTTGTTGCGATCGTTCACACCTTCTCGACGTCTACTGTCCTCTCCATCGCGATCCATGTCGTCGTCTTGTTGTACCCCACGTCCTCGGTTCCGGTGCGCAATCGCGTCTCGTGGATCTTCTTCGTCCTCTAGCTCTCGTAATGCATTGAGGTTAGAGGACGAGGCCCGCCTCGGCAGGAGTCGTTCTGCCTTCCCGGTGTTCATCTACTAGGTACAATGAATCCTGGTTTCCTTCTAACCTCTTTTACTTGTAATTACATTTTATAATACGTCCTCACAAATTCGCCCCCTTTAAGGTCATTCATTAGCCGTAACAAATGAGCGCAGCGCACCAGGCCGACTGCGAGCCGGGCTGCTATGCTGCCCATCGTCGTCCGTAAAGCTCGAAGCGGAGGACGAAGAGCTTTTTCGTTGTTCGCGACCAACGTGTTCCGGATAGCTGTCGTTCTTTTCGAAGTTCGCTCTTGCTGCCGCGGCTCCGGCGACACCCTGCTCCTGCATCAAACTGGCTAAAAAACCGTGATCATCACACGGCAATGGACTCGCGTCAGCGGTCATTGAGTCACTGTCCTTGCGGCTGCGGTTGGTCGAGGTCTCGTCGTCATTCGCCCCCACACCTCCGAGCAGCGCGTCAATCAGCGAATTGGGACCGCCCGCATGGCCAAGGCCTTCACCTGCGCCCGAGAAAGAGCGGCCGCGCCCTGTAGGTGTAGCATCGTTCGGTAGTGCGGACGTAGAAAGAGAGTCCGCATCCGGCGTCGTTGTGTCCGCTGCTGTATGCATGTCGGTTGGAACCTCCTGTTCCGGCGGCACCTCTTCATCCCCCATGCCCTCGTCCATATCATTTGAGTTGTAGTCGCAGCCGCTCTCATTCTTCTTGTTCTTGGTGGAAGCATTTCCGCCTGAACGGCCGAAGGACCCGAAGACAGAACCGGCTATCGAGTTCAGAAAGGACGGAACATTCGGCTTCGGATCCTCAGAGACCGTTTCGCTCTGACTATCACCGTTGCCGGAAGCGGAAGCAGAATCACCGAACATCGCGAAGATCTGCTGCATGTGAGGATCAGTTTCGGGAGTTTCGCTCATCGAATTCGAAGATTTTGAAGTCGTCTTCTTCTGCTGGCCTGGCGTCGAGATCGCGGCATTTCCCTCGAGACCCAAGGCTGCGGTAACCGCAGCGCCACCACGCAAACTAGATGCGGCCGAAGTCTTGGCACTTTTCGACTTCGACGACGCGCCTAGTCCGGGGGGACTGCGTTGGGGCGCTCCTGGGCGTTTGTTGCTGGTGCCAACGTTATGTCGCGCGTCCGCTTTGTAATCATCGTCCTCATCCGAAGAATAGGAACTTGTGGATTGCGCGCGACCTCTTGCTGGATTCCGACGGTTTCCGCGGTCTCTCGCCGCCGACTCCCCGGTTGTCGATTTCTCGAGTGCAGCAAGGAGAGAATTGCTGTAGAGTTAGACGTGAAACATCATCATGACGAACGACAGCATGCTAACGCTTGGTCAGTTCTTCAAGTTCTTTCACGAGGATTTTTTCAAATTTTAACTACACAAGGAGTACACTAACGCCACGATGATATTTGTTTCTGGTCTTGTTCTTGACTCGTTTCTTAATTTGATGTGCGTTCCGGATGATCTGCTCCCTGCTCGTCCATCGCTTTCTTCAAGAAGCGGTCCAAAACGCTTTCCCCAACACCTGTTTCTGACTGTTCGCCTTCTCCCTGCAGCACACGCGGAAGATCGTTAAATCGAGCGCTAAGGCCCGAAATACTGTGCGGATCCTCACTCTGTGGGTCGTCATGGTCGCCGGTGAGGCCGGGCGGTCCATGTAGGCCCCTCGCCATCTGCTCGTACATGCCGAAGTACCCTGAGCCCGTGGTGCTGTCCTGTGCGGCGCCAAACGCTGCAGCTGCATTGTCCAAGTTCGCGTAGTGCTCCTGCAAGTTCCGGGTAGTTGGGTCCACCCAGGAGCCGTCTGCACCGTAGGAAGCAAGAGCACCTGCTCCGCCGGACGCGTCGGTCGCTCCTGCGAGGTAGCCGTGTTGATCAAGTCCGTGTGGACCTCGTGCAGTCGTTGCAGTTAAGCCGCGCGGGTGAAATTCGGGAGCGTTCGCGTTGGCAGGACCAAAGGACGATCCCTCGAAGCCAGGCGAAGCTGCATAGCCAGATGCTGTCGTGGGCGCTACACCAGCGGCCAGCATATGCGCAGTTGCATCCGGGGCTGCGTGTTGTCCAAAATACGTGCCTTGCTGTGCCGCGTCCTCGCGTTCTGCCGCATATAGATTCGGATTGTAATATTCAGAAGCAGCTGTTGCTTCATCTCGATAGCGATAATAAGCAGCAGCGCTGGTATGGTGATTATTGAAAAAGAAGAATCGGAGGTTGTCACGCAATGCAAGCACGTACACTAGCAGCACGAGATTGGTACATGTACTTACATTCAATTACACTTCTAGATAATAGATAAACACGCCCACTTCAAAAATTGGTTGCCAGAAATCAAAATACGCTGTGTCTTCAAAACGTCCATTTTTTCCCATAGCTGTTGACCCAGCTGCAGCTTGGTCCTCACGATCGGCATTGTAGTTGTAGATGAAGTAGTTGTTGATGGAGATGTCATTGAACTGCGAATTATTCTGCGTGTTTCTTTGAGAATAAGAGGTAGAAGGAGCGACACCGGGGGCACCACTAGAAGCATACCCGCTCTTATTTGCTCCTCTAGTACCTTTGCCGAAGTCCTTTCCGCCCGCTTTCCCTCCTGGAGCGGCATGACGAGTTCCATACCCACCGCCGCCGTAGGCAGTGCCTCCCTGCACGATTTGCTGCTGGGTATTGTAGAGAACGTTCAGTGTGGACATCCCGGACCCTGGATCACTCATTTTCATGCCTCCGCTGCCGCCACGGGAACTAGCTGCCAACATGGAGCTTGAGGATTTTTTGCTATCACTTCCTTCCGGCTTGACACCAGACGAACGCTGCTTCATATCTCTCAAATAGGTCGGTGTGTCCGGCGGTGCGTCAACCCCGTTGGGAAGCCGCGTACTTGCTTTTGAGGGTCTCCGATTTTTACTTTCATGTTCGATTTCGTTTCCAGGACTTATTGCAGCTCCCTGTCGCGATCGCCACGACACATCATGATCGAGATTCGGACTCTTCTTACTAGAAGCATGTTTTAGATGAAGCTGATTTTCCATTTCAATGGCGTCAATTCATTTCTTTAACTCCAAGAGGAGACGAACAACATTCAACAACTGCACACTGCCATGTAAGTAGGACGTTTGATGTTGCAGAAATTTTGATCGAATAAAATAATAAAAACACATATCATGTTCATGAGTTAAACTACAACATCAAGGAATATGACTAGTACATCAATATTCAGTACCATAATACTACAGCGTTTGCCGCGACTGCGGCACTAAGACTTCGTTCGAGCAACGCAAAGGTAGAAAGACCCTTCTCTTTGCTCTCGTCCACAGGAGTCACCTCAGCATAATCAAACATCGTGTCTGAATTTCCAAGCCGGTCTCGTTCGTGTAAGCGCCGAACCGTGTCGTATAAACGTAAGAACGCGGGATGATTTCTTAGAAACGCGAAGAAGCAAGACAGCGACAGTATACTATTGTCGCGTTACAAATCTGTAACGTAGTGCGATTTTTTCTTCTCGGTACATGATGTGAAAATATCTAAATCCATTGAATTGAGTAGATATTTTCACATCATAATCATCATGATCGAAAAAGTTATAACAAGCAGCAACAAGGTCGAGGTCGACCTCATGTTCATATGGTATCGAAGATTCAGAATGTGCATGAGCAATAGATGTTGAAGGATGTCGTGTTGAGCTACTAGCTGTCGTAAATTTGGATGGTCGACGGTGTCGGCACAGACGCATGCCAGTTCGATAGTAAGGGCGAGTCGCGCAGCGAGCTGTACATCTGTCATTGTTTTTCCGAAACCCACAGCACAAACGCGATTGGTATTCGATGCCTTACGATGCAAGGTCACGCCTTGAACCAGCATACCACTTCGCGTTTTGCTTATCGGGTGAGAACGGGGCAACCGCAACAACCATGCCGCTACCATCTGCTTTTTGTGATGTAGGGTTGTTCTTGCTGTTCGAGCGGTCTTTAGTCGACATCATGCATTGACCAATGAAGTGTTTCCTCAGCACGAAGATGCATGAACAAATCAAATGTGAACAATTGGCAGGACCTCCACTGATCTACACGTCGACCGATGTGAAGTCCAATTATACTCGAAGTGAGTCATACTACATCAACATAATTAAGTAGATAGAAAATACCTGATGCAAATGATCATTCGGACGCGTCCATATCTCGTCGCCGGATGATACTCCCATAGTCTCCAGCCACTGTTGCGCGTGCGAAGCTCCCGGTCGTTCCTCGTTGCTCAGCAGGCAACCAAGCATAGGACCTGACATTGGATTTGTTGAGTAGAATGGATACTCTCATGAGTTGTATGTCTATGTTGAGTTGTATGATGATTCCGATATCAGTACTTCTTGGCTTAGCTGACGCGATCACGAAAATGATCTAGCGTGTATTAATTTCTACCGGCTCTCAGCTATACAAATACGGGTACCTGGCGAGTCCGGATGCGTGACGAGGAACAACATGGCTCCGAGTATAAAAAGTGCTGCAAGCAGCTTTCGCAAAATGGACGAAAAACTTTTGCAGGAAGCGGTCGTGCGTGCTGAGCACTGAAAAACGTCGGTAGCTTTAATGCCAGATCCTCCTGCTACTCCCAGTCCAAAAAACGGCAATAAGAATACGACGGCTGACGGAACTGATGCAGTACCACAACAACTCGACGATGTCGACAGTGTCGGTGTAGTTGATGATAATACAGCAAACTCCTGGCGCGGCGAATGCAGAGCAGTACTAGTACAGCCACTACAACTCGATTCTAGTAATCCTTCCTTCTCCCAAGAGGATGGAGTTGTAGTCGTCGACGTACTACAACCAGCGGCACTCACGTCGTCTAAGCCGTTTGCTGTCGCCTTGTCGTCGGGAAGAGAAAAGGTGTTGTTACCGGGAGTAGCCAGGATAGAAAAAGAGGCAGCGGAAAGAGCCATCGACACGACCCACGTGCGATGAAAAAAACCTTTCCCGGCCTAAGAAATACGGGCTCGTCGTATACTACGACGGGCTTCTTGGTTCTTGGTTATTTCGGAGGTACGTTAGTACTGCTTGTTTCGTGTCATCTATTTCTAGTATCTTTGCAGTATACAACTTCTAGTATCCCGAATTATTACATCATTAACATGCAAAAAAAAAAGTTGATCACAAACACAAGAGAAACTAGACGAATTTCAAATTGAGATGATGCTACGCATCAACATCCACGATGTATGACGCGAGCAAGCTGTCGTACTCCATTCTTTTGTGGAAATAAATTGACAAGCAAACGTTAAAATCGATGAAGCTACTTTCCTTTCGGAGCGAAAAACAGATACCTTTTAGCGAAAAACAGATATCTTTTAGCGAAAAACAGATACCTTTTTGTAGTTTCTTGCTTGATGCTGGTCAACTTCAGTCTATCGTACTCTAAATCTCTAAGGAATTGCTTATTGAAATTGATGCTATTGTTTGTTGATTAATGACAAGAAAAAAAACATGAAAAAACTGAACGCGATATTGGAGTTGAACGATATAGAAAACATCTTCAATACATACTCATACACAAAAACAAATAAATGATCATGATGGTCATTAGTGCCTGCTGTAGCTAGAGCTACTTTCCTTCAGAAAAATGAGAACAATGTCTTGCTTATTCTTGTAGTCGTAGTCCAGTGCTGGTAAAAAATGAGACAGAAACATAACTTTCCTCGATGATAATCTGAGTTGATGTAGTTGTGCACACAATATGCACGAGGAGAGTCAACCTTCAACCTGTGGTACCTGAAGACTAGATGTGCCTTCACGGAAAAGATTGCAGGATCACGCGACTGCCCTCGATGCGAAACAAGGGTGCTCGTCGAGCCGTAAGACACATGTTCTGGTGTTTTCGTCTTGTGCTCCTAACAACAACCTAACACATTTTCTCGCTGTAGCCTGCTCCTAATCTCGCGCGCCGCGTATTTTTATGTTTTTACTCTGTCATTTTAGTCATGGGAAAGGAAATAATCAAGACGAGAATTAAGTAAGATGATGATGAGGCTGACTGTCTAGTTTAGTAATTATCCTTCCATAGATAAAGAAGATGATATTAGAGAAGATATCAACTTCAAGAAAAAATTGACAAAAAGCAGAGTCAGAAGAAGGAATTATACATTTCAATAGTAAATGTAAATCTGAGTGCTCGTGATGTATATTAACTATACTTGGAGCTACGAATAAAAGCGAAGTCAAATAAAAAAATGCTCTATTGATAAAAAGGAATCTTGAACTTGAAGCAAGAAGACCACAACAACATGACGACTTTCCGACGCATGAAGATCAACTATCAGCTGTTGTGTCGGCCACGACGACAAAAACCTCAGCATTGAACCTGTAAGACGGCAACACGACAATACAATACAACTAATCTCGCACAAAGTTCAGTGCAGACTGCCATAAGGGCGCCAAAGATGGTCTACACGATGGATCTCACGCAAAGATTGCAGTAGCAAAGCGGTACGGTTACTTGTGAGTTTTCATCTCCTCTATGTCTCTCTCAAAACTCGTATGCCTCATTGTCCTCGTTGACTGGTCGAAATTAAAGTTCTTCTTCTGTATCCAATTACTACCGCTAACAAACTCCTTTGCCGAAATTGACCGACACACACGACAACGACCATGACTTCGGAGGAATCGAGTTATCGTGAGGAAAAATGGCGCACAAGAGCATATTCCTAGAAATATGGTAGCAAACTGACGCATTGTTCTTCCACTGATCTTCTACCTACAAATCTTCAATTAATATACACCACGGTTAGAAGAAGCAAGAATAGGAAGTGCAAGTGGTACTCGTCAAGTGCTAGTTCGTCAAACCGGTCGGATTCACGTACCATTTTTGATGACACGTCGACGGGCCAAGGAGAACGAGGGAGAACACTGACTGCACAAGGGCTGGACAACACATCAATGTCACACCCCACCTAGTACCAGATACCCTGCATTCATCCCGCTCACTATATTTTCTGCGAGCTAGTTGTAATAGAACTGATGGCCTGTTTGGTCTATCTTGCTTCGCTTGTCATTGTTAAGTCTTTGCAAGAATCCAGCCGAGGCGACGCGTAAAAACTACCTGTTCAAAAACATCTGTGCAGGATGATCATCTACCAATACAACATAACGGCTGCTTTCAGACGACAACGATCTGCATGCACGAAAATACAAAAATCCCGGTGGCAGAACGAGCGATAGCGTAAGATGACTCTACAAGCAAAACTTTTTGTAAATCCTCGCAGATCGCTGTACCTGTGCCTATCACTATCTACATCATAAATATTAAGAGCAACAAAATTCAGCAAACGCTTCCGCTCCGAAACCTCAACCCCCAACACCCGAACCCTGAACCTCCGACACAAAAACCACCAAACCCCAAACCTCTGAGACGCAAACCCATGAACCTATGAACCCACGAAGCCATGAACTCACGAACTCGTGGTGAGCCCATGATCGAAGAAATTGAATTGCAGCGAAACTGTTCGAATAAAGTCGAAAACTTTGGGACTTGAGCGAATCAAATCCAGCGAATTCAATCCCAAGGCGGCAAAATAATGCGGAAAGCTTCGAAATTTGAGAAATTCGAAGCCAAGAAAATGAATCTCAGGGAAACTTTTCAAAATTCAAAATTTTGGGATTGGAGAAATTCAAACTCAGCGAATTTAATCTCCAAGCGACAAAAAAAACACAGCTGAACCGAAAGCACCCGAACCCAAAACACCTGAACCAAAAGCACCTGAACCAAAAACACGCAGACCAAAAACACTCGAACCACATACATTGGAGCCGGATACTCATCAATTTAGATCCTAAGCGATAAAATCCAAGCGCTTTGCTATTTTGCACAAAAGCCGCAAAGTTTTGAATTGTCAACCAAAAAGAAGCTTCAAACTTTTCAAATTCAAGAACTCAAATTCGAAAACTCAAGCCCAAAGCCGCAGGCTCAAGGCCTCAAGCCCCAAACTTCAAACCCAAAATTTCGAGTCCAAGGCTTCACGCCCAAAACTTCAAAGCCAAGACTTCAGGCTAGACGCTTGAAGCCCAACGTTTCCAATCCAAAGCCAAAGCCTCAAATCCAAGGTCTTCAGTCCAAAACTTCAGACCCAAAATCTCAGACCCAAGACTTCAGGCCAAACCCTTCAAGCCCAGCACTTCGCTCGAGTCCAAAGCCTCAGCCTGCAAGCCCAAACCCAAAGCTTCAAAATCAAAGCGCCAAGCCCGAAGCTCTACGCCTCGAGCTTTGCTGAGGCTCAAAGCTTCACACTGAAAGCGGCCGCGAGCTTCAAGCTGCAAGCCAAAAGCTTCAATCATTCCCGCCCCAAGTCTCCACTTCAGCGACCTACGTGCGAAGCTTCGCACTCAAGACCCCCAGCCCAAAGCCCTGCACTAAATTCAAAAGCCGACAAACCTGGAGATATCTCAAAAACCTCAGAGACAGAAGCGCCCCCCCCTGTTAAATTCCGCGGCACCTCTGTTCCGGCTCCTACCTCTGGCGCGGACCACTTCGCCAGGAAAGCGTCGCAAGCTGGCGGAAGAGGAGCGGGGGAGGTGCGTCCTGACGAAGGAAATGCGCGAAGGAGGTGGAGGATTCTAGTGGAGGGAGAGCTATCGGGCGCTGAAGTCTAGTATCCTACGTACTGTTCATGTTCATAAAAATGGAGGATTTTTAAGAGGTCGAGAATGTCGGAAGATCGTCTATGAATTACTTACAATGAGTCAGTATGTCGTCTAGTCTAGAAGGCGAAATCGGCGTCGCCCCGATGAATCCAAGGTGGATAATATACACAAGACACTGATGAGCCCGGGATGGAGGTCATATAAGAGCAAGGTCGTAGAAGACATCAATTCAAAATCAATGAGGACACAGTAAAAATGGGACCGGAACTTTTGGCGTGGAAACTGTTAATGTGCGGTTGACAATGGCATTGAGAGCGAGTATGAAGGCAACTCATGGGTGCCGCACCTCATGTTCTCGCTCCACTTCTCGAGGAAGATTGATTATTCCCTGTGTTTGCAGCCCCTGCTGTGTAAGGTAATACTGCGACGCTGCTGCGGCTGCTACGGGAGCGTGAGGATACTGGAAGAGCGCCCAAACTGGGCAAGTTTTTCACAAGCATATCAAGACTCGCAGGAACTCCGTACTCGAAAAAGAAGCCGTGATCCATTCGCAAAGAAGGACTCAGGGGACTAACTTCGCCATTGTTTTTATCGCTCAGCATCATTTCGTCCGCGACAGGTGGCGAAAGGCCTCGCGACGTACCATCCGCTTGTCCGCCTCCCGCTTCTAGATCTACCTCACCTCCTGTCGCTTTGCAAGGGTCATGGGCTTCACCGTCAGCCCTCTGAGCAGCAGCTCGACTTGCCTTTTCTTTAGCTGCAGCTGGGCTCATTCCGCCACTGGCAAGTGCGGCGCCACGCAATGGTGACCCGCCCAGATCCGTATCATACAGTAAGCGAGCCGACAGCGCACGCGCAAAATCTACACAGTTCTTGCCGTTGAAAATTAGAAAAAAACAGCTGGTTCTTGCAGGGGTCTCCCTCCACCTGTAGGAAGAGGTGCACCGGAAGACGCAAAGCCGTAGAAGTAGAAGTAGGAGTCTTCCACATCAAGACCCCAAATAACATCTTGCTTTTTCAAGAACACTTTTCATGGTCACATGCACATCAATCCATCGTCATAAGAGATCGTACTCCCCACCTAGCCAATCTATTTGCATGCTCTGTAGCATTTTCTGCACCTCACGTCGGCTATATCGCGTTTGCCCGATGGGAATCGATTCTGCATAAATCTGTGTGTTGCAGGGACGATATGACAAATAATGTGGATCTTCTTGGCCCGATTCTGTGAAACACGCCCAAGTGCTTGTAATAGAAACAAGTTTGTACATGATCTCGACTGATTCGCGGTCTCACGCTAGAATCAGATTGGTACATGATCTCGACTGATTCGCGGTCGCACGCGCGAGATGCCATGGCCTTCCTCGCAGTAGCCATACTGCCATTCGTCCCCGTAAACTTCGATTCCGACATGATAGGCGCCAAAATTATCGAATCCGAAGAAATCGAATAAGGAGTTGAGCCCTGAAAAGTTGAAATACTCGCCAACCTTCACGTGATAGCAGTTCACGTAGACCATGCGCGGGATATGCGCGAAGTATTCGCGCTGCTGCGAGGACGTAGCTGTGCTAGACCCTTTATGCCGTTCTTCGTCGGACGACGTCGTGACCCACGACTGCTGTTCGTCGGCACCGGCGCGGTCTCCTGCAGTTTGCCAAGCTCCTGGAACTACATCATGGTCACCTCCAATTCCTATCCCAACATGATCATCGTGTTCATCGTGTCCTGGTCTACTTGGTCCTGAATGATACAGGTCGTCCATATTGCCTGAGAGAACACCTGAGGGCGCCGTCGCGGGTGGAGGTTCTCCTCCACGTTCAGGCAAATCTATTTTCCCTGTGTCGCCAGCAGACTGTCCGTGGTGCAGCTGGTCGCCCGCAGCCTGCCCCAATGGTAGCGATGCTGATTTCGAGTGGCCACGGCTCCCAGGGCCAGCGCTCGCGGAAGACATGGTCGGAACAAGGAGAGGCTGTTTTTGTCCACTAAAAGCCCCTCCTGCCGTTGCTGGCGAACTGTCTGAGCTGTTTTTGCCACGAGTAGCAGTAGTAGTAGTAGTAGTAGTAGTAGTATTAGTAGTGGTAGTAGTAGTAGATTGATGCGTCGAGGTGGAGGCTCGCTGTTGTTTACTGTTCAAGCTCGAGGAATCCAGAGCAACGCCGTCTCCTCGTGCGCGAACGGTTTTTAGGTACTTCTTATTGATGCTCCGTGCGGCACATGGATATTCGCTGATCAAAATCGAAATCGCAGCTAGTAGTTCCGGAGACGCGCCTTGCTCCCCGCCGTCCTGTCCTTTATCCCCTCCACCGCCGGCTCGCCCTCCTGAAGCAACAGTCGCGTTATCTCGTCCCCCAGTGACGAGCGGCGGCTTCGACTTCTTTTGCAGACTATAGTTTTCTGCGTTGTGGTTCGTTATGCCAACGTCGCTCTCGCTGCCCGTTGTCGTCGAAGGATCTCTGCTACTCGATTTCGAGCATTAGATGAGAGCGCAAGTAGCGCAACAAAGATTTTGAGGTCCCAAACCAACATGAACCGGAGGACCACCTTTCTCCCACTCAGAAAAAGCTAAGGAAAGACTACACCCAGACCGACGCGTGAGAAGCAAATAGTGATCAAGATCTTTATTGTTATTGATGATGATCACTTTAACTTTTCGTTTCATCTCGACCAGTCAGCTAGTACTACATAATTGGAATTGCATGACCATGATTAACAATTATACTTCATCTTACACCTCCTGGCTCCTGTTCGTAAGATGATACGCTGCGTGCGTCCTCCGCTAGATCAGCACAAATGCTTTCCTCCTCCAGATTTACATTGTCTGACAGGCCTTTCCTTCCGTGCTTGGCACCTGGTCGCACTGGTTTGGCTACGCGCGGCTGGCGTGTTGTCTGCAGATTTAGCCGTCCGGTCATCGGGGCACTGCCGTCGGCTTGCTTGGGCCTGGCAGATGAGGGCGAAACTCCTGCCGTGGATCCGTCAATCTGTCCAGCAGAATCGCCTTCGTGATCTGCTTGTGGATGGTACGGTCCTCCAATTCTTGCAGAATTCTGTATGCAGCCGTCAGTACTCGCAAAGCCTCCTTGCCCCATTAGTGGCCCAGCATTTGGTGGTCCTGTCGTATTTATCGTCGAATCTACTGGATCTGTCCTGGTGGCAACAGTTTGCGACCGCTGGGGAATAAACACGGACTCCTCCGGGTCCGTGATTTCGTAATTACCCATCTCATTGCCGTAGTCCTTCACCAGCGTGACCATGCGAGGACTCAACTCTAGTTGGGCCGCTATCGCGGCTTTCAACGTCCGCGAATGTATCTTTGGGTCCAGGTCTTTTAATAGCACGTCACGCCCAACCGCGTGTCGGCTCTTGTTGCGAAATGATATCTCCAACTTCATCTTTTGGATTTTTATTTCTATTTGGATATAATAGAACAGTTTATAAGGGTTCCCAACATGGCTGGGCTGGGCACGCTGGGCACACTGGGTCGCTGGGCGACCCAAATCTGCCAGATCTGCCGAATTCTGCGCCCAGCGTGACGCGGGGCGTCTCCAATTGCGGGGCGCCCTTCGGGCGACCGCTTGAGAACACCGGCGGCGCTAGTCTAGCGTAGGGCAAGGCCAACGACGGCGGCGAGTTTACCGTTGTGCACAGGAGCGGCGCAGCATTGCACGCACCAAGCAGCCCAGTGCAGCGCGACGCAGTGCAAGCCTGAACAGAGCAGGCGCCGCGCAGCCCGCTGCTGCGCAAACTGGCGCAGCACTGCGCCAGCGCAGGCCTGAACCTTAAGGGCGGCGCGCCGCCTTTGTTTGTCCTCACGGGGAGGACGCGCTGCACCGCGTCCCCGCGGCGCAAGTAAATCCATCGGCCACGCAGGCTCGGCGCGCCCAATGTGTGGCCCCCAAGTCCGCTAAGCGCCATCCAAGCGCCCGCCCAGCGTGCCCAGCGTTGCCGCCCAGCGTGCCCCGCGTTGCCGCCCAGCCACCCAGCGAGGCCGCCCAGCCACCCAGCGTAGCCCAGCGTGCCCAGCGTCTATAAACTACTCTAATATAAATAGATTAGTCATCAATCAAAACATTCGTACTCGTTCTTCGCTCGTGTGCGCGTCAGTGACAGTCGTGTCAATCGTGCCATCGCAATCGAAAAGATATATTCCTTTTATCTTTAACTCGAACTTTATAGCTACTACGAGTTGAAGTACTTGTACAACATTCAGAAACGCTTTCTTCGTCTCCGTCTTTTTCACAAATCATAATCTTCGGTTCACTTTTTTTCATCTCAAGGACACGAGTCAGCACTCCCGATTACTTTGCTTAGCCTATGCACACATGCTGCAGAATAGTTTCCCCTCGAATTTCGAGAGAAGCTTCTTCTCATGGCGCGTCGAGCGCGAAAAGTGAAGACCAACAATCATGTGAAACGTCCACAGTTTAATCACCAACCCGACAGAGCTACTTCGTTGGTCATCGAATGAGGCCTGCGTTAGAGGTGTAAACTATGTACTAGCAAGTACTTATGTAAATGACTCACATAAACATACGTGGCATAGACATTTTCCGCCTCATCAGGGAATAATTCGTCGGGCCTCGTGACTGGCAGTGTGGTCTATCGGGGCCGGTGACCGTGACGGAGCGGAAATCAATATAATGGAAGTGGGAACTTTATTCTCAATAGTTCTTGTTGTCGGCCCAGTCAGCGTACTGGCTAAAGATCATGAACGCCAAGTAGCTGTACTGAGGAGAGAGAGAGCCACCTTCTCGCATGCTTATGTCATTGCTGTCAAATGCGGAATACCAGTACCACGGACGACGCACAGCGGCAACATCACCGTCACACCAAAGGACACCAGCTCAAGCAAAGCGCTCCTCCAGTAGCGAATTCGGGGTCATGTGCTTCGCGCCGCCGTGTGGCCTCAGCTTCTGAAATGCGTTCTGGCCAAATGTTTCACGTGTATGAGAAATATTGCCGGGAACCGCGAGTTTCTGTTCGAAATATTAACCGTGATATGGTGGTCAAGATGATGATGATGATGATGCACAACTTGATTGATGAAGATGACTAGTAGCGAAAGGTCAGGATGTAGCTACCAGTACTAACATGAAGATGCAGTCGAAGGATAGAATCTTGGAATAAGATTGTTTTATGGTTCTGTGGGATTGGGTTGGCTTAGGGTTAGATCACCTGAAGATCAGAAACAACAAGTATCAGCTGCAGAGTTGGCACTCTACTCGTTCTACTACTTGTCCTTGTTCAATAGCAAAAGCAAGTTCTCGCATTTCTTGCGACGACTACCGAATGAGAATGACACGGCGCATCGTTTCTTTAAATTAATCATAAAATTACAAAAAGTACCTTGTCCTGCAGCTCTTTCCCTAGTGTGCTCATGTACGCGTCCAACGGATCCTCAACATCGGCGCCCCGTGACGTGCCCTCTCTCAGCTGGCGATCCATTGCTCCGCGTGCAGATTGAAATCGATGCTTCGATGGATCTGAGGTCGTCAGCGCGTCTAGAATAAATCCGTCTAAATTCCGCTGCACCTGGGTTCGCAATGCTGCGCGTGATCTTGCTGGATTTTCAGAAGAGCCTGCTACTGTCACAGCTCCTCCTGCAGCGAGGTTGCTGCCTGCTGCAGAGAGAGCAACAGGGCAGCCACTTCCTCCGTTTGGTTTTGGAATCGAGGGATAGTTGGTTCCAGGCCGCTCCGAGTTACCAACAAAAGGCGGGATCGTAAACGGATTATTCATTGAAGCGTTAAATGCAGTTTGTGAAGCTGGAGTAGGTAGCAGATTAGGTGAGGGCGCTGCCGATCCAGGTGGAGCTGCCGCAGGATTGTAAACCTAAAAACAGAAGCGTCACAGTTACATCAACAAGTAAAAAGCAAAGGCAAAGAAGTGAGAAATGTATCTATCATCTAAGGTGCAAGTTAACTGCAACTGCATCTGCATATCTCAAAACTAAAACAAGCTACGTCTTCAAAACTTCTCTATCTTACGATATGGTATTTAATGAAGCTGATGCTGATCCGTATCCTGCCAAACAATCATTTGGAGTTAGTGATAGGGTCTACTGCTCACTCTTCTCATCATTCAAATTCATCATTCGTTCACAGAAATACTGCATGCGACGAAGCTGCGGCTGCCATCGCAACAGGAGGCAGTCCGCTCTGTCTTGCAGCTTTCGGTACCGCGCTCGCTGTAGTTCCGACTGCTGGACCAAGATTCGCGATACCCTGCACAAGCGCACCAGAGGACGCTGATTTATTTCCGCCTGTCGCGGTTGCACTGCCACCAATCGCTCCTGCATTTGCAGTCGAAGCTGCCACAGCCATCGCTGCGGTGGCGCTTGATGTGACGACGCCAGCTTTTGCCGCAATCAGGTGCCCCAAAGGCAGACCCTGCGCAAGCAAAAGCGCAGCCTCTTCTTCCGCTTTCGCGGCAGCCATGGCTTCCCGGTCTTTGCGGCTCACATATGGCACGCCGCCGCTCTGGATAAACTGTGGTATTTGTTTTCGTGGCGCTCCACGACGGGAGCTACGGCTACCACGAGAGCTTCCAGATGAAGATGACGAACTACGCGAAGAGCTCCGATTTATTCCGCCACGTCGCTTTCCTTTCTTATCATTCTTATCCCCACTTCTCCTGTGTACTTCATCCCCATGCCGTCTTTCGTCCCTGGATCTGCGTCCTCTGCTATTTTTCCGGCTGGTGTCCTTCTCCTGTCTAGTACTCACCCCGCCTTGCTGCTGAAGAAAGAGCTCACGCGAACCCAGCATTGCAGGTCCAAGACGGTCGCGGTCTCTGTCTCGGCACCCTCGATCATCTCGTCTCCGGTCCCGCCACCGCCCACGCGAATCCTTGCGCGTGCGACTACGACTACGCCTGTCACCCATGTTGACAACGTTAAGATCCAGGACAAGTACTAGTGTGATGTAGTAGACCTCCAGTTGTAGTGTTCTAGATCATGTAGATATTACATATTTTAGGGTTAGTACAACTGCTACTGCTAATCTAGTAGTTGTAGTTTGACTTGATAAAGTTACCATTATCTGCGCAAGTGCAGGACGGAGTAAGTAGAATGACAAGTGACTTTACTTGAAACGAAATCCATCTTCGATGAGCAAAATACATGAACATGATCGTCTGAAAAAGGTGTGCTCTCAGATTCATAAAGCAGGACTGAGCTTCGAAAAATTCCTGACATTTAGCTAGACGATGATGATGATGATGATGATGATGAACATCGAACAGATAGTAGATGCAGTTTGCGTGCTGCGGGGTAAAGAACATCTGGTCATGTTGTGTATGTATTTCGATGTCAATACTTTTTCGAACAACATACGGGCATGTCAAAATTATGCACTTCTAGACGTCTTTTACCTACTTTCTGCGCGAAAAGCGCAAAACCCATTTTCCGTAGGGTGAGGCTTGCAGCCATTAGACAATTTTGGTTCTGACAGTTTTTATCGAGAAGGAAGCAGCAACGGAGAACATATGAATGAAAAAAAAGAGACAAACAAAATGGAAATCACTAAGGAGAAGTGAAAGTGAAAAGACGCAACTAGCTTTTAACAAACATTGACGTGATAGCGAAAATTTGAACTGGAGTGACGAAGAGGAAGAGGAAGATGACAATCCATCACGGGAGGAACTCTGCTCTTGCATCCTCTAGACTTTACCAGGCAGCAACTGCACCTAGTAGGTAGAAGCCCAAAGCAATGCGCCCAAACACAATACACTCAGAGAATGTGTCCTCTCTCTGCGTAGTGTCCGCAGAATTTCCTCGTGAAGTGTTGTAACTTGTTCGGAAGTTGTGTGTCGTTCTTCCTGAGTACTCTGCCCGTTTCTTGTAGACGAAGACGATGTTGTAGCTGATGCAGTTCTTGCATTAGAATTCTTATAGATGTTCATAGTTTTCTGTACGTTATTTTTCATGTCGGAAGATGAACGTGGATTCCGAAAAATGCCGAACTTTCTCCCGAGACTTACAATGCATTGGATGAGCGCAGGCATTTCAAATTGGATCTCAATACCTGCAAAAGGAGCATCTTCAGCAGATGATGTTGTACTTGTAGGAGAGGCTGTGTTGTTTGATGTCATCTTGGGCCTGGCCATACGGTCCCGAGTGGAATGTCTCATTTGCTCATATGTCAGGAGCAGCCACGACCGTCCCAGCACCGACCACGAGGGGTTGAGCTGCGCCCGCATGACAGGAGCACAATAGGTCCTCTCTAGGGGAATCCGTCTGTCAGGATCCCCCCTCCTCATCTTTCTTCTTGGACTTGGTCTTGAATTTGAAACTTCTTTGTTACAACTCTTTTTAGACGCATTCTCAGATGAGTCTTCTCCTGGTTTCGAAATATTAATATCCTTCTCGTTCATTTTGACATTGCTGAGGCTTCGGACATCGTCAAAAGTCATTTGAGAATCTCGCTTTGCAGCGACAAAACGAATGTGCTTCTCATCCTTCTCTTTGTAGTTTTCTTCTGCAACGGATCGTCTTGATCCTGGAGCATCAAAATAATGCGTAACGAAGCTCTCGAAAGCCTGAGCCTGCCTCTCCAACCTCTTGGTCAAAATTATGTCCACGCGAGAACAGATCTCCGCCTCGAATCTCCTTGCTGACCATGAACGCTCTTCCTCAGAATCTGCTATGCTTGCTTCTTTGCGTGGTGCGCTGGCATGGTTCGTCCTGGTCTTCCCCCGCAAAGCCTCGCCTGCTACAGCATGATCTTCTGCACCCTCATGTACTTTGCCATCAGCTACTTGTTCAACATGCACAGCCTTACTCTCTTCATAGTAAGCATTAGATTTTTTTTCGTCTTGAGCAGTCACGGACGTCACGCTCCTGGTTTTTCTTCCCACGCGCCCGCAACGCTCGCTCCTACCATTTATAGTAGCATCAACATGGTCCTGCTTTGTTTGCACCATCAAGCGTCCCCGCTTTCGGCTTCTCACATCGAAAATCGGTTCGCCTCGCTCCATGTATCTTCTCGCAAGCACTCTAGCAAATGTAGACTTGCGATCGCGTTTGGATAGTCTTTCAAACTCCGGATGCTGCTCTGCTCGTAATCTGAACAGAAGTGCTCGAGCGATTTTACTTCTTGCGCGTTCCACATCATGCCTGTCGTCGTGGTGCCACTTCCTCGCCTCAGTAGTTTTTACAAAACTGGGATCCTTGTTCAATGAAGACGAAGGTCCCGAACTCTTGAAGTTGGCTTCACGAACTAGCTCTTTTTTCATCTTACTAAAGGGAAATAAAGCGCTACAATCAGAAAAAAAGTAAAAATGCACGTTGAGGCTCGCCCTGCGCGTTGCAGGCTGATCCGATCACTCAAGCGGAACCGCCTCTGCTGCGTTTCTGAGTTCCCCCTGCCCCACGCGCGGGCCAAGGGCCACTGCGCACGAGCTTGCCCCGCTCTACCAGCAAGCCGCAACGCTTTGCCAGCGCCAACCGACCAGCAAGAGGACCCGAACACCGGAAGGAGGGCGCCCAAGAAATGGGAGGGCCCCCGCGATCGATGCGTGTGGAGTCTTCAAGAATGTGCCAACTCACACATTCCGAACACTTGGCAGCACGTTGGCAGAGGGATCGCCAGGCAGTTAGTCGTGTCTGCCCGCAAGCCTGCGGCGCTCCCTCTGGCGGGCGGCTAGGCGCTTCCCTCGAGCCACGTCCGAAGCGCTAGAATGGGACCAAAGGGGGTGGGGCAACGAGGGCCGTCCGAAGCGCTAGAATGGAGACCCTAGTCGCGTCCGAGGCGCTCGAACGAAAAGAGAGGGGGCCAAGGGGTTGCCCCCCTTTGGTGCCCAAAAAAATTTTTTCGCGCACCCTCTTCGAGGACGTTCAAGGGGAGGCTGGCTGCCACCTTCAGCCGATGCTGATGCACCACGCCAAGGGACACCCCGAGGCAGAAGCCGACGCCTCTGCTCCAGTGCCGCGTCCTTGGTTGGATGGTCTCGGTCCTTTTGACCAAGGTGCGACAAAGATGGCCGCGTCTCACTGCTGTGGGGAGCGCCAAGCCTACAGAGGCAAGGAGTCCGGGGGGGCCGCTCCTCAGGGTCCGACGGCCATCTGGTGGGACCGGGGGAAGGCGTCCGCTTGCTCTAGAAGCAAGCGCCTGGAGCGTACTCGTGGTCTTCCTATTACAGTGGGGCCGGCGCCCCGCTCTTAATGAGGGGCGCGGTGTTGGGTTATTCAACGCCTGAAGGCATTGTTAGTTTTTTTCTGTTTCTAGCGGTTTTCTGGTCAGTAATCTCCGATGGCTCTCTCCCAGTTCTACATAATCTTTCCGGACGCTCTTCAGAAATCCAGCTGACATCCCTCTGATGTTGCCCAGAGCCACTTTGCTCTGACGCGGATGAAGTACCAAAATTCGATGCAGCAAACGTGGCGCCACTCCGAGGTTCTGGCTTGATGTCGTGATTAGAGTTGTTCATCTCGATATTCCTTTCTTTATCCAGAGCGATAAGCTCGCGCATGCCCTTTGCAAGCTGCTGGCGATTCTCGACTGAACTCAATTCGGCTGCATGCTCCACGACTGGCACTTTTTTGGAACTGGTCACGATCGACATGTAGGTTGCTGGTGCCTTCTCCGTTTCTCCACCATCCCTCACAGGATCATCATTAACAGAAGAATTTCTTGCTTCATTTTCATACTCGACTACAACAACCTTTCCATTTCGTAGTGCAGCACCAGAAGGGACATTCTCTTCAGCCTCTGCCGCCGTGGCTTCTTGCAGCGGGTGTTCTACCTTTTCGGCCACAATGTGATATCTCGGATCTCGATACCATGGACGTTGCCTGATGGCACGCGGAACTTGGCACGTCGCTTTATCAAATGCGACCAAATCCGAATCAAATATAGCTCGCACTGGCACTAGGGGAGTGTCGAGTGAGGTTTTCGCGTAGGGACCTTGGAGTTTGAGAAGAGGACGAGGGATATGATCTTGATCGTCTTTACGAAGATTAAGGTCAAACGCAAACTGGACGGCAACAAGAATGTGGATTGATGAGTACTCCATGGTAGTCCTGGATATGTTAAGCAGCAAGAAGACGAAGATGCGCGAGTCGAATACCGAAGAAAAATCGACTCCCAAACGCATGGCTGGAAAGTCATGAGAAAGTCAACTTGTATATGCAAATAGTATCTCTGTCATATGATCAAGGGGACGCCAGCAAGTCAAAACATCAAAGTAACCATGAGGAATAACGAAAAGAAGTACCATATACCTGCTCGCTCGTTTTCCCCTACTTGCGAAGATCCCCAAGAGTGCTTTATTTCAGGCTCCGGCAACCGCTTGAGCATTGGGTAAAGCTTTTGTGTCCACACGTCACCGAACAGTCGCTTTGCGCGCGATCGCAAATCAGGTGATGCAATGGTACGGAGTCTACCTTCACTCAGTTTCGCTACCGTCAGGACACGTCGAACACCCCCGGCATAGCACAAGGTAACCTCAAAAACCCGGTCGCGAGGATTTTCACAACCTTTTCCTGGCGTGGAGCTGGAGGCATTTGGCGATCCTGTGGCCATGGAACGCAGGAGCATCCTGCTTCGTGTGCTCTTTCTCCCGAGGTTAAGTCCTGGCTGAGGCTTTACAGCAGCTGGCGACCTTGAAGAAAGACTACATGCAGCATTCTGGAGCGTCACACTCACACGTGCAGCAATTTCAATACTATCACCAGGAGCGGCATGTTGGTACCGAACTTCCCTCGATGTAGTATCTTCATCCGGTACAGCAGGAGCGCAATTACTCGCCTTTACACCGGCTACCCGGCATTCCTGCGGATGATCCACACGTATTTCCTGTTCCGTTACACCAGAACATTGCAAGCGCGCCGCCTGTCGTAGAAAAGGCATCGTATGCATTGCGTGCATCTTGTATGCAGATCGCAAGAGCAAAAACGGCACAGCCCAAAAAAGTGTCGGCGAGACAAAAGGCGAGAGTGCGTGACACAAGCCAAATTCTCCAAGCCCACGGATTAGAGCGAGGTCGCTGCACAGAAGTACATTCAAATACATTATCGTGAAGGACAAACAGGTGGTAGGCTCACAAGCACTGTAACTGTTGTTCTTGTTGATCATTCAATATATTAATACACGTGCGCTCTAACTGTATTTCAACCTTTTCTTATTTGAAACGTTATGGGCACGTAGCTTAAAACACATCGATACGAGGGACGTTTTCCTATACCCATCGAACATCTGATGTAGCGGCACTGTGGACGCATCTCGCCAAAGGACGAGCGGCCTTCGTCCATTTGCCCTCGATCTTGTGCCTTCTCTTCTGCGGTTTGCAGCGACTATTCCCATTCGTGCGCTACTCTTATTCCGCACGCAAATGAGCATGTGAAGGGTCTGGGCAGTCCACCTGGCAGAGGACACGCACGCGATTCGTCTTCGTCTGACCGACAGCATCGGGCTGATGCTCCTGACCCTCAGGCCCGGTGTTGGCATGTCAAGCGACGTAGAAAGCGCACAGATGATAGTTCTTCCTTCCCGATATTCGTATACAAGATCGACGTCAACATGATCCTCGCATCATCTTCACGGATTACGATGACCGCCGCTCCCTGGTATTCTTTCGCTGCCGGCAGCTGGCGTGATGCACCGCATCTTCACAAAATGCGCAGCTAGCATACGACCGAAGCAGCGGCACGCCTGAGTGCAAGCACCGACGTAAAACCCCGCAAAGCTCAGCATGACCTACAACTTCATCTTCATCTTGTAGTTAGTATGAACTTTAACATCACACTTCAGCGTGCGCCAACGAATTTCAGTGAAGATCTTCTCGACGATTCTACAATGTTGGGAGGGTGAATCCTCGACGTTGTCTTCATAGAAAGAAGCGGTGAGGGTGTAGAAAATACTCAGGGAATAGGCGGCACAACTTTTTTACTTGGATACTGACTTGCAACTCAATCGCTCCTGCTTTACTGAAGAAGCGTTACCGTTAGGTACGATTCAACTGCCCATTTTTCTATTGCCTCAGACGACGTTATCCAAGATCCGCATCGATTTGGAAAATCAAGACGAAACGACGCGGCCACGAGTGGTCGTGCATTATGAGATGCAGCCCCGCCGCTTCCATCATGCTGAGTTAATAATAAAATTCATATTTTTCATGAATGCTCAATATTTCGAATAAATGCTCATGCCAACCACGGTTCTCGTACGATGTATAGAAAAATATTCTGCTCGTGATTTTTTCAAATTGAAGGACAAGAGGGTTCTATGCATGTTAGAGACCTGCTGCTCCCAGAAGCAGCTTAATTTGATACTCGCTTCGCGATGACATACATAAAATGACAACACTGTTTACAACAGAGAACTAGAAGCATCTTGGATCTTTGTGTCATTAGTTACCTTATAACTTTCTTAGATGATATGCTGGAAATAAGGAATCATTCTTGACCTGCATGCGGTTGGATCATGTAAAGCAACTACACGCAAGAGACGCAGGATCATATCTATAATAATTTTACTGCTCGAGGACAGTTCCTTCTATGTATGTGCTCTTCTTACTTTCCAAGTATGTACTACGACTACTAAGATGAATCAGTCTCTGGCATGCCCTGACCAGCTACAACTCGTCCTTCGGGAATTTTTTTGGCCCATCATGGAAGATTTCCGGTGTCTCGCGCCTGGCTGTCTCGTAGAGTGACCGCTCCCGCGGAATGTTGAAGTTCTCAAGGCGCCAGAAGCCTTTCTCGGACGTCGTAGTTGTTCGGCAGGCCTTCTTTTCAGCAAGCTTTTCACCCTCGACGCAGCGGTGATAATTCGCTTTGTTGCCGGGGTGAGCATTCTTCACGAGATTCCCGAACAGATCGAACGCCCTGTGATAGTGACAATTTCGTTGTGATAGTGATACTCGGACTTGATGGGTGGGTTTAACTTTAAGTTGTGTCATGTGTGTGCCCGTGATATCGTCTTGCCTGACGACCGTAGGTTTTTTTTCTTTTGCGTTCGGACTATATGCCACCGCCCTTTCAAGCAATCAATTAACATGTTCAGCTATGATCATCCAAGCTACATACTGGGGGCGCATAAGACCGCACATTCGGGCACAAATCTACGTATACCGGCAGAGGAGCCGTACATTCGACCCCTGCAGGGTATCAGTCTGCAGATGATCACGACAAAGCCGAGACATCAGCAGCCTATGCATAGCTAAGGCGGTAAGTGAAAAGTCAGCCTCCCCTAGCACCGAAGCGGGAGAAGACTGGCCCTCAGTAACCACGAGAAAACTCCTTGCTAATCCTGCATGTAATGGATTGTTACTGAAGGATGTGGACTTGCTTTTCGAGCACGATCCACGAAACATTGCACCAAAAACTTTGATCCCTTTCATTTGGAAAGAGATTGAAGAAATTGACACAAGATCTCATATGACATCCTGTCAATCCTCACTGTGCGCGGATGGTACCTTGGCAAAAGCCGCAGCCACGCACGCCCTGTTAAGGACTGGATCGCATCATCCTGGTTGATCTTATTATATCTCCGTACTACGTACCCGTGTGGCACAGGTGACACAAAATGTCCGTAAAGAGAATGAAAATGAATGAAATTTAGATCATCAGTCAGACTTTGGCTTTTCGAACGTGTCCCATGCAATCGTGCATAAGTTGGATTTTCACACGATCACGCCAGGAACCTGGGATCATATCGGCTCTTCGCAGCCGTCTGCCTTCCGCTTTTCTTACCACCGAAGCCCAATCTGGGCGCTGCGCGTGTTACTCCATCCACATCCGATACCTTCCTCTGGGTTACACTCCAACCCCGAAGGATGCACCTCGCCTCCTCCATTACGCGTTCAATTACCACCCGATTTCCAATCGTATACTGCGGCGTGAGTATGAGGTTCTTGAAAGTATGTCCATAGAAGTCCGCATTTGTGCTATAGCACCACCATGTAGAACGATGTCAAACACCATTCTGTAGCCTTTCTTAGTCAGGAGTAATCCGACAATGCAACCATCAGACAAAAAATCAACCACCTCATTTTCTACAGACATTTTCACGATGCCTCAAGGGGAAAATGTTGGAACAGAAAAAAGGGCTGTCAGTGGGGCGGACAGGATCATGAAAGGAAAAAAGGGAAACGGCCGAAAAATTTCGGGGTTTGTAAACAGGCACAATTTGCGTCAGTTTGACCTTTCTCTTGAATGATACTTCCATTTATTCAGTCGTACTTACACATCATCACCTCACTTATTATAGATCATACAATGGGGTCAGTATTGCTGCGCAGGAGACGATATAGGAGGTGGCATGAGAAACCGATTTTTCGAACGAGTCGTTACCATTTTCAAATAACCCATCTCTTTGATCACGAAGGCAAGTAACCTCTCACGCTCGTGCTCGGTATTAATCAAACTCACTGTACAAGACAGTGGACTGCGAAACGAACCGAATCTTATGGATGCTGCTATAGTCCCACCTATCTATAAGTAACTTTAAGTTTACTTGTCAACTACTTACAACACTGACTGCTGTCGATCAATTCCTTGAGCATAATCTATGTTTCTCCTTTGCTTTTCGTCAACTACAATGCCATTGATTCATTGTCATAGTTAGATACCATTGCTGTCCCATTGCTTGACCGGAGACGTCGCAAACGTAGGTCGTGATTTTGCTCTCAGACGTTATCTGGTCGAGACACTGGTCGGTATTCCACGCTCGGATACCCCGCATCGTGTCATGCGTTGGTGGAGTTTAGAGCTTGCTTTTTCGCTTAACAGCTAACTATGCATCATTTCTCTTTTTCTTCGTCGTGCTGCTTGTATAGTTCTGAGTCAGTAAGTTCGAGAAATACGTCCAAGATTTTTCTGGAAGTAGAAAATCTGGTGGTCCACCTCATCTATAATTGAGCGTGGGTAAGTACTTACATGCTTCTGTCGTAGAAGGGCGACGGACGTAAGAAAAAAAATGTTTTCCACCTAATTGTTGGCCCAGTGAAATCGTTGGCGGTGGTTGTTCGCATCACAGGGGCGCATCGCAACTGATCCGTGACCGTCCCCACTTGTTCCGGCACTTCGTGTGTAGGTGAGACACTTCGGCTTATTCTCGAAGGCTGTTTTGTCGTTATAGTCAACTCGCGTCTTTGGAATGAGGCTTTCTCGTCCTTCTTCCTGTTGGCGCTGTTCTGGCGTGTCTCCCAGTGCCTTCCCCTGGAAAGAAAACGGAGGCGCCACAGCCAAGGATTCGTCGAGAGGGAAGTTACTGCTGCCCAAAATATTTGCACTACCGCTTCCGACTTCGGTTGTGTCGTCCCATCGCAACATAAAGGTATACTCCGGGACCAAGCCTCCCTCCAAGTACACGATGCCAAAACGCCATAGGAACCAGGAGAAATCGCGGCACTGGAGTTGGTCGCGAATTTCCAAAATGTTTGACAAGTCTCCATACCACGGCAATCCGTCGGACCGAGCCCTTCCACCATGCCCAAATTCCTCGGTCATTTTTGCACTATAGTTGCCTGTCCAAGCCTTCGCGGCACGAAACCTGATGATGAAAGGTTTTTTGTTGAGGCGTGTCGAGATGAAGCGGTCCAGGGTGAAAAGGATTAAAAACTTCATTATAGATTGTGAACAGGAACGTTTTGTATTTGTAATTGTATTTTTTCTTCGTATAATTTATCTCTGTCGATACCTGTTCACACTCGCGCTGTTTGGAGGTGTAACGAATCGGGCGCGCGTCCTCGGATCCCGGTTTACACGCCACATGTGGGCCACATAGGAAGTCGGAGCGTTTTGAATTTCACCACCGCAAAGCCAAGAACGCAAGGCCTGATCCAAATTCTCACCACCCCAACCACGCATAACGGGATCGTATCCGCCAGTCATCTGCCACCAGCGTCGTGACATACCTGAAGTTTGCAGTCGCATTAAATGTAATTTCTGGTGCCGGCCATAGTTGCACGCAGCAGGAGCAGGAGCAAAAGCTAAATCAAAATCACTATGTATATCTATGAAGCGCGTACCCGTACTTCATCTATCGTTGCAAAATAAATTGCGTTTACCGAGGAGTCCACCAGATAGGACTGGCACGTCGTCATCTTCTGAGTTAAACCATTTAAAATCGGCGTCAAACGTAAGGTAGCACTTCGCTTGCCCATTATTGCGAAAACGTTCGGTCCATGAATCTATGTCCAAATCAGTAATCATCGGAACGATAATCCGTTTGTAATTGTCACCGATTTTTTCGAAGAAAGGCTTGTACCTGAACGAGGTGGCTTGATATTTAAGTTGATATAATTACGTGATTATATCTACAAGAAACCGGGGTCGCCCCTTGGGCGACCCCTCCTTGATAGCAGCACAGTCACAGGCACAGAGTAGACACATAAGAGAAAGCAAAAAAAAAAGCGACTGAGGCACGGAGCGCCCGCCCCTTGGCCTTGGCGGCTGCCGTCGAGATGATGGAGAAGAACAAAGACCGAAGCAACCCACGGAACCCAGAACCCTGGCGCGCGGAATCAATTAGGCACGCCACGCCAATGAGACAGGCCCGGCGGACATTCATGCGTGCGCGGGGGCGGGCCGGAGGTGTTGCCAATGCCGTAAGGTGCGCCCGACGTCGGTGAGCCCTCCCAAGCCCGCGCGCCCTGCTCGTCTTGTTCGCTGGTCCCGCTCAGCTTGCCCAGGCAGTTTGGCCGGGGCCAGCTTTGGCCGCTCAAGCCTCTCCGGTTTGAGCTGCCCGCGTTCTCGCCTAGGGCTAGCTGACTGCCCTCGGGTTTGTTCTTTGGCTCAACGAGCGGGGGCTGCCCATCGATCCCGCCTCGGCCCCCAAAGTGCCCCACGACCTCCCCAAACGCAGCACGACCGACCTCTCCAAACACAGCGCGACCTCCCAAACACAGCGCGACCCCTTAAGCACCGCACGGCCCCAAGCTACAACGTGGCCACGCAGTCGCAGCGCGTCCCCCAAGCAACACACGAAGCACCAAAGACACCACGGCCCCCCAAACTTATTAACACACCACGACCACCAAGAAGACACAGCGCG